AATTGAATGGACTGGGCCAACGGAATAGAGTGGCCATAAGGGTCCACTCATTTAGACTAATTGCCCGACGATTGGGCTCGGCGGCCTTGAGTGCCTCGAGTACAACGATAGGGTCCTCTCCTGCATTCTGCAGATCCAAAATGGATCGCAGAAAGAGGTCCCGCGTGGTGTCGAAAAGAGACCCAAGCTGTTTCAATTGATCGTTGAGGTCGGTGGCTCGTCGTAATGAGTTTGCTAGATCTAAATAAAATCAAATGAATCAAATTAAATAAATTAAATCAAATAGAATACCAAAACTCACTATGCGTACTGCTAGTCGAAGCTTTATGGAGCGCATTGAGCGCGTCCATAGCCAGCTCCACGTCCAAGGATCCCAAGCACTTCAAACTCCGTGAGGAGCAGGCTTGACACTTATATCCTGGAAGAGGAGCTGAGTTGGCTTCCAAGTCCCCGCGAGCAAGCGCCGAAACGCAAGCTTGACTGGGAAGGGAAGGCTGCATAAAATAAAGCCATATTAGCAATTAAATTAAAATAAGATATTAGAAGACAACTTACGTCGCGAATTACCCGATTAACCCGCATCAAGTCCTGCATCGTAAAACGAGCATTTTGGGTCTCCAAAATGGAGCCCAGCTCGACGAAGTCAGGGTCAATGGCTAGCAAGGGGTTTTCTCGACTTAAGGCAGCGCTATTCTATTAAATTAATAGAGTTAGCATTTTGAATGAATTAAATGGAATGACTAAGACTTACCCTGGCATGTGCGAACTTTGGGAAAGGAGTGAAGGCACCAGTTGACTGTTCTGGAAGTCGTAGTCGTCCTTGAGCATCCGCCAGTAGTACCGGTTGGAAGGTACTCTCTGGGGAACGCTCAGGAGCGGACTTTGTGGCAGCCTTGGATGCTCGTTTGGGAACGGTTACCCGTTTAACTGGACGACGGGGCAATGAAGCTACAATCCCATTAAATTAGTAAAATAAAACGAAATAAATGAAGAATATACTTTACCAGAAATGGAAGATGTCGTTTTAAGGCGTTTTGGAGGGGGCGCAGAGTCCTCCTCCTCATCCTCATCTTCGGATTCAACTTCGTTGGAAGCCGAATCTTCATCAGTGACAACAATTTGTCGCGCTTTTCCTTTAGAAGCGGCCGGAGCAACTTTCCTCGAACGAGGGGGAAGTCGAACTCTCTTATAGACCAAAGCAGAAGTAGAAGGGTCGGGGGCTTTTGAATCTTCAACTACCTTGACCGTAGTTTTGGATTTAGGCTCCTTCCTGCCCACGGGAACCTTGGTAGACGAAGAGGCTCGAGGAGCAGCGTCTACTAAAGGAAAACCGCTCAAAAGCTCATTATCGGAGTCTTTCGAACGGGCGGAACGGGGAGAAGCAACTGAGTGAAAAGAATGGATAAATAAAACAAAAATCTATGAATTAAATTTATAACTCACGAAACGAGGAGGCATCGGTCTTGAGGTTCTCTAACTCCCGATTCCTTCTAATTAATCGAGGAGGAGCTACAGGTGCCTTGGGAGCAGGTGTCGAAGGTTTGATCTCCAAAGGTGGTGAAGGAGTAGTAATTTTCGATGTGACCGCCGGTGAAACCTTACCACGTAACGAAGCAAAAACATCCAGATCCTTCGAAGGGGCCAGACGCATCATGGCGCTCCCTTCGCGGAATCGAAGACAGAAAGGAATAGGAATGGTGGGGAAGTGTTCAAGAACAGAAGCATCCTACAAATCGATTTAAAATGAATGAAAGGATCGCTTCGGAAACAAGAAAGACTTACCGTAGAAGAAGACCGATGTTCAGGGGGAATTCCCCACTGCTGTAATAAGCTATCGCGAAGAAATGCGGGGAGACGGGCAGATAAAAACTCGGCAACTAGAAGTATTTGTTCTGCGAACAAAGGACAATTCGCCCTTCCCATCCAGAATTCATGAATATAAAGCTAATAAGAACAATTAAAATAAAATAAAAACAATGAGAAGTGGAATACGCACCAGATACGGGGCGGCTTCCTCAAATAAATGATATAACTCCATCGGATCGGTGTCAATGGAGTCCTCATCCTCACTTTGTAACGTCCGCACGGCCATTTGGGCTGAACAATATAAGTCCAGGCCTGAGGCAACAGATAGAGGACGCGAAGTGTTAGAAGGAAAGCAGAAAGGAACCAGAGGACGAGGATATGAAAAGGCTGGAAAAACAGTAGATCCATCGAAATCCGGGGAATTCTGAGAATCAAGCATAGGAGGGGAGTAATCTCCCTGTTGAAGACGAACAAAAACAGCGCTCTCGAAGAACAGAGGGAGTGTTGATTTGAATGAGAGACCCGCCAGAATTACCTGGGCCTCCATAAGAGAGGTAGGAAGAAGCGTGGTCGAAGCTGCAGCCTGAGTTTGACTCGAAGTGGCAGCCATTTTGAGTTGATAAGAACGAGATGAAAGAAAGGAATAAAGAGGGAAAACGGACTTCAACGAAAAATTTCATTGAACCCCGTGCCTCGAACCAAATAAACGTACACAATGAATCAGCGTGTACGTCAGAGCAGCTCTCCGTGAAATGGAAGCTCGTTCTGTGACTAGATGATGAAGAGATTGTGAATTAAAATTTCGAAATGTGATACAAATACCGAAAAAGCATTCAATTCAATTTGAGCGCTAAACTGTTGCGATTCGTAGCAGGCGTGTGAATAAATTGATAAGATGGGCGCTAGAAACCCATTTGAGGGCATCCAAATTGATTGGAGAGCACGGAGAAGTAGAGATCCAAACCCAGTGATTTACATTAAAAGGAGATATAGTCTTGTCGAATCAATCTAATAACAGATTGGGTATCCTTTCCCGATACAAAACTACGAATGACCGAGGACGGTCAAATTCTTTAGTTTGGGGGGGATGACACGCCTAAATTTTGGCTAGACGTCTATGCTGTGAATTGTGACATTTTCACGTATAGATTTGTATCAAGAGGACTGTAATTGAGACCCAGATTGACAGTCAAAGTCGATACTGAATCAGTCTAATAAGTTGAAGGGACCATATACCCATACTACCACAAGTTGGTCAGTTTACCCATCCCCGATACTACCTACGGATAGCAGTCTACCTGTTTGTCAAGCAGGATTATACCAGACTCGGACTACATCCGAAGGATGACCATTCACGTATGACATACCAAGGGTATTCTTATTGGACCTTACACTGGCAGGAGTTTGGAAGAACTTACTCAAGTGACCATGAACCGAGGATTGACTCGAAATGACTTTCTAGAACTCAGGAATTATCAAATACTCCTTCTAGAACAAGATCAGGCATTAATCTAAAAGACTGCGATTTAGTCTAATAGACCAATCAAGTTGCATGGTTAAGGAAAATGACTAGAAGAACGATCGAAGTACTGCGAGGCTCCGAAGACATATCAAATGGATGTCAAAGAGACCTGACGTAGAAAACATTGAAGAATGCAATTAAATGAATACTATGCGTAACTCCCTTGATAGAGTATAGGCACAATGGGTGTCTGTTGAAAGAGAGAAGCAATTAGTTTAATCCAGATGAATCAGATTGATAGGATTAGAATCGAGGAGAGCTGATTTGCCTCCGGACGAGATGACAAACGATCGAAGTAAGTGTTGAACCGCAATGACAGTTGAACACCATTCGAGTCATTCTCTAAAAACAATTAAATTAAATGAATATTGAAGTACCTACCTATGTTTGGAGGTATACTAGAATCTTGGAACCAATATGGACCAAATAAGGACATGTAGATTCAAATTAAATGGTATCTGACTGAGTGTAGAAGTTTCCTTGCGGTTCCGAACGTTTATTGTATTAAATTGATTGTACTATGCGCCTCTATATTCTGTATGTATAAATAGCGATCCGATGTATCTGGAATAAAAAAGTGATTTTGGGACGACGTTGCAGTGCTAATCCGTAAAAAGGAAAGACACACTCCCGCCAGACTGAAACCTCTTCGCTAGCAGCCATTCGGGCCCGGCACTTGTGAGTATAGGAACGTTGTGTTCTGCTCCTTGTGACTGCGAGAAGTATATCCAGTTGTTGGGTATTCTTCGAACTTAGGATCAGTCGTTGGTCTTAAGGGCAAATCACGCTGTGTGGTTGTGCCAGCACATAGTTCTAGCCCTCCGTAGGGGTCTGTGTGTTTCGGTTTTAATTTACTTTGATTCAAACCCCCAATTCTTGATATACCCAAATCAATACAAACCAAAGCACAAATCGTGCTGAATCTACCTTGATCAAAGGAATACATCGAATCCTTAGAACGATTCAAATTGATTGATCGAAGCTTCGTACTTAGCTCTCAAAGCTTTGCGGAACCTTTGCCAACGCTACCCCTTGCTATTAAATAAATTTGATAGCAGTGAACTCGCATATTGTGTATTAGATTGGTTGGTTGGAGTGCCCATTAGATTCCTTCCTTTCTCTTTCACACAAAAACGAGGCAAGCTCGTTACCGGACCCTATATAGCGGCCTTCAGTTTCGGCATGGCGGACTTGGTTTCGCAAACAACTTTTCGATTTCAGTTTCGGTTCCGAGTTCCGATGACAGCTGTCACGTTGGGCGCCTATTAGGGCCAAGAGTTGAACACGTACAATGACCTACCTGAGGAACCGCAACGGACTACTCTGACACCTCTCTATGGTAGTGCAGAATGGACCTCTTCTCTGCAATGAACTAGCCACCTCAAAGCTGGCTACAGCCTGAAATATGGCGCGGCGCGTCCGGAACCATTGCAGAGAAGTTGGGACACTCTGTATCTTCTGGGGCCACCTTATGAACAGCAGGTTTCTCTACGGCCTCCTGCTCGTTTCAAAAACCGCAACAGGTTGTCCTACTGCTTATATGATTTATTCACTTCACTCCACTTGACAGGCTGTCTTCGGATGGTCTCGTAGTACTCGAAGGCACGCCTCCCTTCCAACAGGAACTTTCGATTAAAAACTTGGCTAAGTATTTCTGGTTTCTCTTACCTTTTCAGTGTAGGCAACCAATGTGCATCAGCCTTGCCGGATGATGATGTGTGTCACAGCCGAATTGGGACCTAGTCTTTGCTGTTTGTCTGTGATACCAGCTAGGTCGAATTTCTCCATCGGAATTCCTCTTCCTCCCCTCCATCTGCGACGCCGCCGCCTTCTGCTGTGCCTGCACCGCATCCGGAAACAAATGCGCAATACCCACCGGCACCGGCGGCGGCGGCTGGTTGAACCTCGCAGAGATCTTCAACTGGCTCTCGTACACCTGTTTCACCCTCTCAACTTTCTGTTGTTCAGCGATCTTCTGGAGGTCTTCTGGTGTCCCGTCGAGGATGTGCGCTTGCTTGAGTGCGCCGACGTCGTTGGTGCCATTGCCCGCCATGAGGGTGATGTACCCGAGGTTTTTGAGGGAGGTGAGGATGAGCTCTTTTTGGACAGGTGAGACTCGGGCGTAGACGAAGGTGTGTTGGAGGAGGAGGGCCCAGGAGGGGTGCGTGTGGAGTTGGGAGATGGCGGCGCCGGTGAGGCAGATGTCGTAGGTGGAGAAGAGGGAGAGGTCGAGGGGGGCAGAGGGGTCGGAGGGGGGCAGAGGGGTCGAAGGGGATGATTTTGTGTTCGTCGATTGTGCGCCAGGTTAGGTCCGTAGGGGGTTATTTGGTTGGTTAGGGGGAGGGAGACGGGCCTCGTTCGTCCCGGGGGTTTTCGCGGAGATCGAGGATGAGGGCTTCGCGAATGACGATTTCCACGGTTTTGGCAACGTGGACGACGGTTACGTCTTCTTCCTCATTGGCGTTGACATTTGGTGCACCCTCCACACTCATAACAATCGTTGTAATTCCTTTAATCCTTGGTGTAGTCCTTTCCTCATAAATCTTCATTTTCATCAATTTTATACTACAAAGGCTTCTTTCTGAGTGTACAACAACTTTATTCTGCTATATTCCAATAAGCATCCCTTTGTTCCCTTTCCCTCTGAATCCTCACATGCTCTGCTGCTCTTCTATTATCTCTTTCTCTTGTTGGCTTATGTTGTCCATTACTCACAGGTACATCACCCCCACCTCCTGCTGGTTGTCCATCTCTAAGTCTTGTCCTAGTTCTCATTTGGGCAGCAGTTTTCTCTGCAGGTAACATAGTACCATGTACCAAACTAGCATCAAAAGTCCTATCACAATTGTTAGTATATAAATAGCAACCACAGTTTAGGAATAAAATACCAGAAAGTATTGGATTCTGTCTCAATCCAGTAGCCCATTTGTGAATAGACAAAGGCCATTTCATACTGGTGATTTCTGATTAATTCCAGCTGAGAGCAAAAGCTTCTACAAGCATCGGTATTTTCCAAATGCTGAATGGCCATGTAGTTGTGGCAGCTGTAAACTGTTCCCCCTATTCTACCAAGTTTTTCACTGTCTATAGTGCGCCTCTGAATCTCATGATACAAATCAGGATCCAGATACTTTGCCACTTTGTCATAAGCCATTGCATTCTAGAGCAATGTTAATATATCTCTCAATCACATATATAAGTAGATCACCTACTTCAGCTTGAGCAAAGAACTCATCTACACCAGATGTAGTTGTTGCATTGATACCCTCAAAAGGCCTCAGTCCATCAGCTGGTGCACCACCTTTGGGCACCCTGGTACCAAAAGGGATCATGTCCCCACCAACTCTCCCCTGTCTTTGAAGGGCAGCAACCTCTGTGCTATGATTGAAGTTGAAAATCATTCTCTTCAAACAGCTGTTGCTAAAAGCATCAAATAGAACCATTTCAACCTAATACAGAATTTGAGAGAATTCAAAAATTTCAATTATAAGAATACACACTTTATCTTCTTTCTGTCTTGGATGAGTGGGATCACCTGTGGTGATAATCCATCTGTGTTGGCCACAAGATGCAATTTTTTGTTGGTCCTTGCAAACTTTGTGCAGTCGCAGATCTTTGTAATCATACATTGTCTCTGCACCAATCTTGAAAAAAAAATATATGTTATAATTCTTCATGCAACTGAAATCATACCTGCACTGGATCAGGTACACTAGTCACTCCTCCATGAATCAGTCCAGGAAATCTCTTTTCCAACTCCAATTGGTTGAGAAATTGCACCTGCAAGACTGTTGTACACCTTTCATTTGGGGGCTTGGTGCAGCAAATAGCACAATTGTTGTAATAATCAATCAGGGACATGTTTCCCTAATCATCAAACACATGTAAATGAGGGATGTTATTACCAAAAGTGCAACTTACAGCATCTTCTGGATGTGGAATGTGGAATTTTTTCATGTAGGAGCTAACTTCATGCTCAAACTTGAAGTATTCCACACTGTTCTTGAGAATTTTTGCCATGATCAACCCATGTGGGGTATAGGCTAAGGTTGATTCAGTTAGTCCATCTTTCTCAATTTTTGACATGGCAGATTGTGGCTTCAGATAACCAATCAACTTGCTGAAAAGACCTTTTGGTGGACTGGATTCAATCTAAAGAATTGTCAATTGGTAGTAACTGAATAATTAGGGGCAAGAAATCCTACTTTGTATCCAAAGTAATCCAAGGCTGGAGCTATGGAATGGCTCCACCAAAAATCAAAATTGGATTCACCACCAATCAAGAAGAGCACAACAAAAGGAAATGCTTTTAAAGGCAGGATAGGTTTCTGAGCCAGAAGCTTAAAAAAGCCTGCTGCCCCTGTAGGCAACATTAAATTGCCCAAGCCCTGGTGAGAGGTCAATAACAGACAATTCATTAGATAGAATCATTTACTGAAGGAAAATATGTAGTCTTCATGGGTGCATTCTTTTTCCAAGTTTCCTTGACCTCTAATGGTGTCCATTTGTTCAAAATGGTTCCAAGTTGATAGAAAAGTGCAGTTTGTTGATAAATCTGTGCACGGAAACTGAATTTTGACTCAGTGGTATAGTGTACCAAATATTGTGGACTAGTAATTTGGGCAATAGTTGAAGGTAGTTCTGATTTCTGTAACAAAGTCATTTCATGTTGTTATAAAGCAGATAATTGGAAAAATACTCGAATAATGTTCCGGATCTGTGAGCTTGTGAGATCTGGAATTTCTCTGACATTTTTTAGATGATGAGCAAGTTCCAGGCGGAGCAAGTTGGTTGCCTCATTGGCTGTTGGATAACAAGCAGTCTCAAGTTGCTTTTGTCTGGGCCCTTTTGGCTGGTAAGTTGGTATGCTCATTTTGAGTTCTTGGGCAGATTTGCTCTAAAGAATATTTATATTTGTCAAATAAAAATTGATAGTCAATATTCAAGTACTCACTGATAGAAAAGTGTCTTTCAGAAATGTGTGGAAATTTCTAAACTTGATAAGAAATATACTCTGAGGTCCAGAATACTCTGGTTCAGATTCAGTAAGATCTGATAAATCAGAGCTATCCAACAATTCATGTTCTGCAGTTTCTGCTGACTGATGACCTTCCACCTCTCCATCACATGCTTTTAAAGCATTATTGAAGTGAGCAAAATATTTCTTTCAAACTTTGATTAGCTACAAGTTAGAGTCAGAGACCAGTCCTACCTTTAAGGCTATCAATTGAAAAATTGATAGTCTATCATACCAATCCTCCTCACTTCCCTGAGCAAGGATCAGAACCAAGTCAAACAGGAGTTCACAGGCACTGGAAAAATGGATTTCATCTGGAGATAAGGAGCTGCAAGAAGCTGCATATTCAATGACAGCAGCCTACACTCTTCATCAGACCAATAGAAGATGCATAATTGAGTATTCCTCAACCAACCTTTTGTGACCTAAGTCTTTCTCCTTCAGTGCTCATCAGATGCCTTTTCCACATGTTCTTCCAAAAAGGTATAGTCTGGTCCAAAGGAATAGCTTCCTGTATCCTTTTCACAAGGTCATTGAGAATAGATGGAGGATCAGAGGGAGCTGATATAGGACAGTCAATATTGGACATGAGGGAGAAAGTTGAAAGTATCAGGTTTTTGATGTTTCTTATATATGTTATCACCTTATTGTAGAATTGGATCATCAGTATCATCTGTAACAGTATCATGATATTGATGGAAGATATCCGATCTTTAGTATCATGATACTGATGGGAGATGGAAGATATCCAATCTTTAGTATCATGATACTGATGGGAGATGGAAGATATCCAATCTTTAGTATCATGATACTGATGGGAGATGGAAGATATCCAATCTTTAGTATCATGATACTGATGAAAGACATCAGATGTTCAGTATTATGGTAGCCAATGGATTGAATGAGTGCATATTTGTTATATTACATTGACTACTATGAATGCTACACCCCTTGGATATGCGGTTTTCTCGCTGGTAAAAAAGATGACCCCCATTTGAGTTAGACCTTTGCAGTTATTATTTTTGTTGCAGAATTACCTGAATCACCCTTATACCTGTCTCAAGGCACTTCGTTGATCAGCTATTGGGAGTAGTTTTTTCCTTCCACAATCTCTCGATCACAGTGTCTAAATATGTGAGCACCATTAGATTCAGATATTGTGTGATCACAAACATACTTTGTTGATTGTGAATAAGTAGATGGTGTTGAGGCAAAGGTAACAAATACTGTGACTTTAGGACTGGATTTCCATTTTCTTCACCCTTGTCCTTCAAATAGAGAGGTCGAGCTGAGGAAGTGCATTCCTGTTGGACATTATCGGATTGTGCACGATGTGGTTCCATGACAAAAAAATCCAATCATGTGACAATTTGTTGGACCTTATTCATCGTTTATGCGGCCTTCCGCACTCAATCTCCAGACACAGACACAATCCATGTTTCGGGGCACCGTTTATGACCTGCAATGTCTTTTTTCTCCCGATTCGCCCCCTCTGAGCCGGACGAAGGAGGCTCACATGCGAATGCATGTTATCGGTTTAGTCAGGACCACTCTCGGACCGGTCCTGCTCAGTCGAGAATTTCTCTCTAGTTGTTTATCACCATGAGCGCGATTTTCGCAAGCTTTCTTCCACTACTACAACGATGTCTTCTTCATTAGAATCTTCAAGCTCACCCTCCAACTCGAAGTCAATGCGTGGCAAGACTGCATTGAACATTCGCGATGAAGCGGGTGCCGGTAGTCATGGAGTTATTGAAGTGGAGACGGAGAAGAGTAAATCATGGTCGCGGGCTTTTGTACGTCTGACTGGGCATAGTTTTCTCTCGAATTGCCGCTTATCATTCACAGCAGCAGCCGAACACAAAACGCAAAAGCATAAAGAACGACAATTCTTGTGCTCAGCCCATGGGCCTCAGTGCCATTTGGAATGGTGCGGCAGCTTCCCGCGAAAGCCTGAAATTTTTGTATAACGCATCGTTTCCTATAATAATCGGTATGGTGTAGGTTATGTTACAGATCCTACACAGATGATCCGGGGGCTAAGTCCCCTGCACGATAGCGGAACCGGCTCGTCGCTCGGTATATTCCCCTCCTTCTCATACTCCGACAAGTTGCCTACAAACTGATAGATTGTGCTTAGGCACATACGGAAACTTCGAGATAATGCCTATGATGTGCTCTGGAGGATTCAATACTTGCGCTACTATGCTTAGCGATAGGGAGACCTTTCGCAAAAATAACACAGACGGTCTGTTGACCTTCTTCAATCTCACGCATCCAAATCTGACAATGATGTCCTCGCTCTCACTCTAGATGCGCACTCGAAGAAGTCCTCCACCCACCCTCTGCTTCCACCGACACTCGGCATTTCCAGGGGCAGACCGTCGGTCAGCCGTCTTGACAGCTCTTGCAGGGTGTACCAATGACGAGCTTGCTCTTCTCATCGATCTGATGCTGCGACCACTCACAGAGGCACAAGGCTTGAAGCAAAGAGGAGCTATCATACAACGAACGTCGACCGAAGCCTTATATCGACAGTTAGTCCACCAGCTAAACTGCTTACACATGCGTGTATCCTCCTCGGCCTTGCCGGCGCCTCTTTCCTCTGTTTCTTTGATCTCCGCACCCTGGATCTGTTGGACGGATCCTATCTCTGCGTTGTATTTGAGGACGACTTCACAGGCGACTCCGTGGACACGGGGAACTGGAAACGCACTTCCCTCTATGATCTCAGATACGCATGTATCTCCACCAACACTTCCGCGTGCTCGGTCTCCTCTCCCTCCAACTCCACCTCTGTGATCCCCCCTGTCCAAAGCTTCATGATCTCTACCAACGTACCCATGCTGAAACTCGAAAATCGCCTGTAGTCAACGGCGTAGTAAGGAGAAATTGGCGCCCCCTACAGATGTTGAGAAGTCTAGCATCGAATACAACACGGTATGTCGAGGCGCAGACGGGGATACGCACGCATATTGAAAGGGGGGGCTAATGCTTGTCCACTAGACACGGACATCCACCTCCAATCATTCTCTATCCCCCGTTTCCCCTCCTTGATGTCTGCCATGTCCAAGCCCACCTATCTCGCGACAACCGAACACGCCGGTTGAAAACCCGTCATCATCTTCTTCCCTCATCTTTGTCCCGTCACGAAAACAGTGCCAGCTCACGGTAGATGAGATTCTTACACCTACTGCGTGTGATACTTCCTCGACTTCCTCTTCCCAATTAGAATGCAATTCAGCGTCCAACAGCCATTCTCTGCTTACCCTTTCTGATATCGATGCATTCGCCGCTCGTAGCGGTATTGCTGTTCCCCATTCACCCATAGACCCCAATCGACTGTCAACATACTCGGGCAGTTCTGCCGTCCCTGAATACATTACGAAAAAGTTGGACGACGTACCGGTCGCTACCAACAGGGTCTCTTCGACAAGAATAGGCTCAGTCATCCTGAAATCTTCTCCGCACCACGACCGCCCATGCGTGCCCGGGGAATGACTGACGCTGCTGCTATATATCGTTTACCAAATTTCCTACAAGATGACCGTTCTGCTATCAACCCGGCCACTTTCTCTCTGTCGTCTCCATCTCGTTATTCGCCAACCTTCCCTCCAAAGAATGGGTCTCCCTATAAGCGCACCACCTAGCCATCGTTTGCCTCCCCCTCCCGTTCCTGTTGATGTAACCGACGATGAGGATGTCGACCCCTTGCGATTCTCGAACTCTGCACCGTCTTCTACCACGTCTTTCAAGTCCGAAAGAGACGCCGGCATGGTAAATCAGCACTATATCCCTTGTTCTAGGCCAAGAGAATGCGAACTCCGGCCTGTGGAAGATACAGTTCAGAAATCTTGCACACTAAAAAAGGCAGTCTCTCACCAGTCGCTTTCAAAGATGGCCTCTTTCAGCGCGACATCGGTGTCCACCCCGCCGCCTATGCCAGAGAAGAGACCGCGTAAACCGTGCTCATTTCATCATCCCCGAATACCGCCGCTGCCCCAGATGCCTTTCCTACACACACAACAGCTCAACGGATACAGTGCAGGGTAGTGCCACCATAGCGGAAAGACACGCGGGAATGAATACCTGTCATGACATACAATATATAACTTATGTAACTCAGATATCAATAAAAGGAGGCTTTGCTTCTATGTTCGTTTTTGTTTACCCTCAAGAGCTAGGTTTCTTGCAACGGACTGGTCACCTCAAAGCTGATCATGGGTGAAAGCCACATCGCGTATGGAATTGTTGCACATTCAACAGAAACCTAGTGGGCTTGTATCAAACAATATCTACTTGGGTGTAGCCAAATACAAATCCTGATTTGCACTGTCGAGACTCAATCTGCCACGCAACGTCCAGCTAAAGCCCAAGTGAGACACACAGCGGCCAGTGAGTGTGTTTTTGAGTAGATTGTGTCTTTTATTGATTGTTGGGATTGCTTGTGTGGGTTGTTTCAGTGTCAACTTTGAGTAGATGGGAATTGAAACAGTGACTACAATCTGGCCTCGCCGCAGCCGTATCCTACCTACACAAATCATCATTCTTACACAGCTCCTATGGCAAATTCCTCCTCGGCATGGCATCATCCAATACACCAGCAGCCCGAGGTTCATTTGCCTCTTCAGCAAATTTCGACCTCACTTCCTTACAATCTGAATGTAGAAACACCTTCCCATAACGATGCATCATCATATTCTCATCCTCCAACCCCTGCTCCCACATCATTTTCATCGCAAACTGCTCAATTATTTACCGCATCTACATCTTCTCCTACAAATCCTTCAACTTCGTCGAACTCTCAAGATTCTCATTCGACTCCTATGAGCATTTTCTCAACAACTTGGGCAATTTGGTCCCGCCGTCCTACAGATCCTAATCTTGCACCAGGTCTCGTCTTTTCCTCACGTATACAACCGCCTGATTATATCGTGAGAGACGCACTGGATATTAGAACACCACCTGCATCTCCTACCAAGGAGGCTACACCTTTACCTGGTTTAGAATCGCAGCAAACCCAAGAAGATGTAGAGTGGGCGGTGACTGACTGTGTACCCGAGCCTGCTGTGGTGCTTCTGCTGGCAGCATCTGTTGCATCCTCGGAAGAAGCCTCCACTACCGCAACCGCTACACCTAGCACGACACTACCTGGCTCTCCTGCAAGCAGTACCACATCTATATCTGTTTCCGCTCCTGCTGGTTCATTCAAAGATACCTCTTCTGAATACACCGAAGCTCCTACTTCACTGGAGCTTGCGCTTATATCTGATGTCGCAGCCATGTCAATGACGACAATATCTCCCAAATCACCGCCCCCTTTAATAAAATCATGGGCTTCCCTCCTTTGACCCACTACTGATCCAATTCCGGCTGATGCTGTTACTCAGCGAACCAGACCAAGGATTCCTACGTCTTCTATTGTTGGATTTTCAGTACCGGCGGACCCTATCGGCAGTTCTCAAGGAGGTGGACAGGCCATTCCAACAGGTGAACGCGCTGAGCTACTTGCCCTGCTGAGCTCTGACGTCCAGCCTCCATCTTACTCAGGGCCTGCATCATCGGGAATCTCATATGCTGCTATGTCAGTTGCATCTGCCAAGATTGATTTCAAAGCCAGCGGGACTGATTAACACCGGAAATATGTGTTTCGCCAATTCCGTTCTTCCGCTGCTTACTTATTCACCTCCCTTCTTCCGCCTTTTTCCTGAACTGGGTCGTATTGGTGCGGAGGATGTGAAGCTGACAAGCGGGGTGCAGGTCCCGTTGGTCGATGCTACGATCGAGTTTCAACGGAGTTTCGAGGATCGCAAGGCGAAGCTAGAGGAGGAGAACAAAAGGTCAACGGCCGAATGACATCCGCCTCTTCCGGTAACGGTGCCTGCATTACTGGCTTGTCAAGCAGCAAAGGCAAAGAACGCACGATGACGCCTCAACCTGAGGATGACCTTTGTCCTTTCCTCCCAACAGGCATTTACGATGCGTCAAAGACCAAGAAACAATTTGACTCCATGCGAGGTGGGCAACAGGAAGATGTGGAGGAATTCCTTGGATTTTACCTCGAGGGCTTGGAGGAGGAGTTGACGATGTTGACGGAGACATTGACACATGGAGAAAGTGGTACTGTTCTCGAGGGAAAAAACAAGAGAAGGGAGCTACTGCGGTAGAGGAGACTGAGGAGGATGCACCTCCTGAGGCAGAACAAGACGGATGTATGGATGGAGGTTGGGAAGCGTAATAGGACTGTGGTCACTAGAACGGTAAGCGTCGGCATTTTATCCTGTTCGTATTTAAACAAACCCTTATCTGGACACAGATTAAATCGACTGATTCACCCATTACATGCATCTTTGGCGGGAATTTCCGCTCGTCACTTCGTGTCCCTGGTCAGAAGGAGAGTGCAATTGTGGAAGACTGGAGGAGTCTACGACTCGATATCCAGGTTAGCCCTTTTCATATTTTTAAATCATTCTACGTTTAGAATACCTCCCTTGATGTAGCGAGACTCAATCCACACAATCCAAGAAGCCCTTGCCAATATTTCAAAAACACAAACTGTTCACCTAGAGATTGCGGGGTATTGTTCGATTATTTCTTCAACCAGAGTCAGTCAGAGGTCCGACATGTCGGACAGAAGTCTGAACTAGTCTGAAGGCATCCGGAGGCGTTTTTTGCGGTTGGCTACTGTGGTATCGGGGTACCTGTGCCTTGCTACTTATAAGGCACTAAGAACACTTCAGATGCGCCACTGGACCACAATCTCAGCCACTATATACATATGTGTGTTGGAAAAGGGCCACGGCATGTCTCCTTAGCTCACAGTAGATGAGATTCTTACACCTGCTGTGTGAGATACTTCCTCGACTTCCTCTTCCCAATTAGAACGAGACTAACAAACAGAACGCAACAGAGCCGACCGATTCCTCAACCCCGATATCGAAATAGCGGATCTGGAAAAACATCTCGAGTGGCCCCAAGCGTTCAATCTGTTCGGACGCCACAAGGTATCTGGCACAGAGAATGGAAGTACCGCCGTTGGTTGCCCCCCTCCCGTTTTTGGACACATCGATGTAGAATTTATACAATCCCCTGTTTTCAATTCACGCGTTTTATCCTTGCGGTCAACCTCGGGGACTCTGGCGCCTTGGTTCAGGCCTCCGTCGTCCCACGCTACGGTCTCAAGAAGGCTTTTTCAGATACCGTGACCACGCCTCCTACCTCCTATCCGAAGAGGACAGCAAGGAGGATCACGAGTTTCCCCTGGCCAAGGAAATCCAGACTCCCACGTGTCTTCCTCTACCTCGCCTTCCACCTTCCACTGCATCTCCTTCAGATACTGTAACCACACTTCTCACACCTCAAGCGTCCTCCGCTCCCCCTGCTCCAACGCTTCCTCATTCACCTCCTCCCTCCTGGTGCAGGTCCAACGAACCCCCCCTAAATCAAATCAAAACATACACCGGAAAATCTCACACCACGAACCAATACAAAAATCAAAACCCCTTAGTCCTATCCCGGTTCGCGCTTGTCTTCACCTTCACGTGTCTCCTTAACTCCAGATTGGCACTCAGGGCCTCCTGTGATCTACCAGAAGTTAGGTTCAGGAGGCTTGCCAGGAATGTTGCTGTTACGTGTCCTTCTCTCCCCGCCAATCTTTGGGACGCGGTGTTGAAGATTTACAGTCATACTACATTTCTGAGACGAAGATGAACCTGGGGGTAGCAACGGGTCACCATCCATTGAATACCTCTCATGACATAAATTATATTTCTTGTTTATAGAGCTAAGATGCCGTTGTAAGACTAAATAACCCGCCAAGAACGAAGACGGGAAGACCAGAAGACCCAAAACACCGTTGTACCAATAGCCATTTTGGGGCCGGCCAACAAAGACAGGACCTGCACCACGACACTTGGCTTCTTCCCCATCCTGAGGTTGTTCTATTTGCTCAATGGTTTCTTAGATATTTGCTGACTACCATTGTTCATAGACAGCAATACAGCCTTCCAAGTTTGTGAGAGACTTTCTTGCGTAGGAGGTAGATATGTTGGGCGGGCTCTCAGAACGTTGTACATAAAGGCCGTACGCCACTAGCAGTAACGGACTTCCTTTCCTGCCTCGAGCGTTTTTCTTCCCTCGAAGACACATTGTCCGCGGAGTGTCTTATATTTCTGAGGGTACTGGGTAAATAGTATAAAGGTAATCGTGGAGGCGTTGAGACTTTTCTTCGCCTGTTCGTTTCTCCCTATGTCGTCTCCGCGTGCTCTTGATAGTACACGTTTACTTTCCTGCCGAAACTCAGTACTCAGTCCTACAAAATGCCAAGCCTACTGTGGGATGTTCACTCCTGAGGAAGGAGACGTCGGAGCTATTACTGCACTCACAAAGTGCGTTATTTGTGGATGCTATGCAGCTTCACATCTTCACCCAGTCCAGGAGCGTGATAGTGTAAGCCCTTATCAGAATCTACTATTAATTAATATTGATAATATTTCCTCTCAGGCCCAAAATGTGGAGAATAAGCCAGAAAATATTTCAAGTGTTCGTATCTTTGCTTTGAATGTAAATTGTAATGCTCAATTCTTTTCCATGGTGCAGGATGCGTCTACTCAGCCTTCAGGGAGTTTCCCTGAAACTAAAAAAAGCCAACTACCATTTTCCAAGGTACGTTATTCACCTTTGGATTAGATTTGTTCATTTACTTTGATACCTAGGATGCGAAGCCCTTCCCTTCTGGTTCTGCAACTGCGAGTCGAATTTTTGGATCCCGTACAGATTCAAAGATTCCGGCAGAGAATTTTTCTGCCTCACCGTTTCGAGATCATGTGACTCGTCGTAAGGAACGACGGGACAATGCCCAGGCTGAGACTGATTCTACACTAGCCTCTTCCGAAGCTACAAGTGAAAGTAGAAAGAGGCGTTTTGAACCTGCGGAGATTGTGTGTTACGCCCTGCATACTTTTTCCATTTTTTGACTTTCTGGTATTGTCCTAGGAACGCAAAGAACGATTTGAAGATATCACTGGACGTGGACGGCCCAAAAAGAAAAAGAAACCACAGAAATCATCAACTGGCCCTATTCCTCGGGCTACTTCTTCAAAATCTTCGAAACAAGTGACGTTCCACATTGGTCTCTACGGTAAGACCAGTGATTTGGCCGCTGGAAAGGCCAAAAGACCAACTCCGGCAGAGTAAGCATTAATTGTTAATCTTGTTCATACGACCTGACATAAGTCTTGTTGTAGGTTCCAATTCATGCAGTACTCAGGCCGTATCCGGGCTGTCATCATCAACGAAAATGCTTCTCATGATGATATCTGTAACGCCATTGAATTGAAGTTTGACGAGCTTTTGCCAACTACAGATATTGCAAGATTTAGCCTCCTTCAGTGTGTTTTGAACGGTGGACAAGGAACTTTGGCAGCTCTAAGACCCTCCCCACTTACTTTGTTTACGGTTAAGGATCTTGAATTGTACGTCAACACTTATCTCTGACTGTTCACAAGGAATACCAATCTTCGTTATTAGTGCATGTCTATTCACTAGACCGAAAGGGATTCCAGCGAAAGCATATCCGAATTTCCTTTATATATCACTTCCAGCCGGTTCGGAAGATCTTGATAGCCTCAATCCTGAGGGAGATGTGAAGACAAATGGATCAAGTCAAAAATCGGTGCGCCTCATCTGTAGGCTTTATGTTTCCATGATGAACTCTTCCTACAGAAATCCAAAGCTAAGAGCAAGGCTCGCCAAGTCAACACTGAGAGCGACGAAGAAAGTGTACAAAGCGACTATGAATTTCCAGAGGCAAGTGCTCTGGCCTCAACGTACTGTGATGTTTCAATGTTTCCTTTTTAGGGGCTTTCTGGTAAAGGCGACGATGAAGATGACAATGAAGATGAAGATGACACGGCCAAGCAAAAAACTGAATTGGAGCAGGATGGGACTACGGTAAGCCCTATGTTTTGCTTGTTTTTGTCTCCATCAATTATCCAGAATCATAATCAGTCAGAGCCTTTGTCTTTGTGGACGGTCGAATTTGATTGCCTTGTCCGGATTCTCTACAACATGACGGGGGATAAAGGTTTTGAATATCCTTGGGTGTGTTTCCCAATAATTAAAGCTGAATTTGCACTGATAAGTCCTTGTTAGTGGACGCCGGTAACAAAGCACCATGAACAATACCGATCATTTGCTTCGACTGCTGCGCGGCTGAAATTATGGCTTCGACGTATTACCAAAAATGACTTGGATGATTTTGTTTTCCAGCACGTTGTTGGAATTATCCGCCATGATATTCTTACTGCTTGTGAAGGTCTTCAGGCTCTCTATGCTTCTCAATCATCATGGAGCTCGGCAGATCATCGCCAATTTCTTGATCTATTCTCTCTCGGACCCGGAGGCCTGGACCTTGTCGTTGAATGTCTCCAAATCCTCTATGATGAGTTCCAGGTTGTGGACCTGGGGATACTTACACGGCTTGCTCGTGACTACACAGATGTGTATGAGGGTGTCCGGCGTCTCCCAAAGATGCTATTATCTTTGGTTCACCTGTTTAGAGCTAAGAACTCACGATATTTATGGGATCCTAAAGATGGCTTTTCGGAGTTTTTGATTATACTGGGAAAGTATCGTGGCCAGTTACCGGTTTGTGTTTTGTGTTTTCCGTTCGCTATAATGCTGTTGGACTAAGTATCTGTGGCAGATCAGTGCGCCAGAATCTAAGTTTCATCTTGACTTGTCGCGCCTTGATCTCAATGGATTCTCTGTGTATGATATCCACGAGACTCTTGTGCAAGCTTTTGGTAGTGTCCATGACAGCGCCGAACTCCGTCCTGATGTGCTTTGCAGTGGCGAGCATGGTTTGGATGGGTTTCATTCAAACTTTATTACAGTTTTACTAGACTCCATGGACACAACGAGAAGAGAATACAAGAAGATCTATGATCTCTTTGGGGGTCTCTGCCAGGCTATTGCTGACAGACTTGTCTTCGACTTTGCAATGCGTACTTCATGTCCACCCACGGCGTCGGGACCCAAGAACACTTCAAGTGAGCGGGCACATTCTGCATCCACTTCCACTTCTGCATCCTCATCTTCAACTGCTGAACCAGCTCCTTCTGCATCCTCATCTTCAACAGCTGAACCAGCTCCTTCTGCCGCTGTTCCAGCATATAGTGCGCGTGTCAAGGCAGCCCAGACTTTTGCGAAACGTGTATCTGGTTTTACCTGGGCAAATTTTCTTCGAGACCTTCTTCGAGATTGGCCTCACCCACAACTATCAAAGCGGATTGATATTGTGTCTTTCCGTAAACTTCCTCTTCAAAAGCAATATCGGAAGTTATATCTTGTGAGACTCTGAATTTCTATCTTCTTCCCACTATTTATGGATGTTTTGCGATGATTTAGGTATACCACCCCGACGCCAATGTGAAAGAATCCTCAGATTGGAAGATGATCACATCGATTCTTGCCCAGGCTATTGGGACAGCCCGCAGTAATAATTGAATATTTCTGACATGTAGATATTGGTATTTTCTTTGTTCATGTAACAGCAGTTGAACTTCCTTAATCATCTTGATGTACATACTTCTTGGGGGCAGATAATAGATTTATTTGTCTTGTATGTCAGGTAGTTGAACATTGCAGCCACCGACAAGGTAGCCGCTGTATAGAATTTGAGCGCCTAAAATAGGCATTGCTTCTTCTTTACCCCGTCCATGGCTAGTCCTTCTCGGGATCATATCCACTACTTCTTTGCTGAAGCCCATGTCCTCACATCTGAAGCGAAATTTGTTATCAATGCACTACCAAATGCGGAAATGCGGGCGGTAGAGTCACTGGTTCATAAGCTTTATGCTGTTCGTAGTATATTACGGGACATTGACGACACCAACTCAAACCCGGATGAACTCGAACATCTTGGAGATTACGTAGAAAGTCTCATCCGTCCACTGGAGACTTTTGTTGACTCTCCTCCTCCTGCTCCATCCACCAAAATTCCAATACATCACACAGGTCAACGGGGACGTCCAGCCTATGTACTTGATCTTGATCGTGCAATTCTCCTTCACAATCTCGGGCTATCCTGGGAGTCAATTGCTCATGCAATGGGGTGCACAAGGCAAACCATCTACAACCATCTTGAAAAGGCTGGCCTCTATAATGCCAAGGAAGTTCCTCATACATCTATATCAGATACTGATCTCGATGAGAAAATTGCCTCTATTGCTGATGAGCATCCATTCATAGGCTCTGCCATTGCCTTAGGTCATCTCAAGAGTCGGTGGAACATTCATGTTCCTATTAGACGTGTTCAAGACAGTTTTCGTCGAGTTGACGCACTTGGAGTTTTATTGCGGTGAGCATGCCATATCCTGGTCTGAATATGTATATACTTAATAATTTTCAAGGTGGGGAAATCTTATCAAGCGCAGAATCTATAAAGTTCGAGGGGCAAATGCACTCTGGCATCAAGACGGAAATGAAAAGCTACGGCCGTGGGGCTTCTGGATTCATGGCTGTGTTGACGGTCACTCGAGACTCATCATCTACCTTGAATGTTGCTCAAATAAGAGTGCGGATACTGTGTTGGGTCTTTTTCAGAATGCTATTGCGACATTTGGATGGCCAAGCCGAGTTAGAGGTGATTTTGGCACAGAAAACAATGGCATTGAGATGATGATGGTCAATCATTGGGGTGCAGCTCATAAAGCCTATATACGTGGACGGTACGAAGATTCCTAATGTGATTCATATCAAGCTGAGCGGTAGTTCATCCAGATCTACACACAATGTGCGGATTGAGCGACTCTGGCGTGATATCCGAAAGGACACGCTGGAAGCTTACCGAAAGATATTCAGGTATCTTGAAGACAACGAGTTGTTAGACATGTCAGACAACATACAACGTCTTTGTTTATATGTTGTATTTCACCCACGCATTCAGCAATCCCTGCGACGAACAGCGGACGCTTGGAACCACCATCAAATACGCACGGCAGGCCATAAAACTCCGATTGCCCTCTACGAGTTGAGCCGAGAGCATGCAAAAACACGGGGTTATTGGACAGGGGATCCAGGAGATAATGTAGAAACAGCCTCCCATCCCTCATATGGTCTTGAAGACGAGCTGGAGCAAGGAGCCCCGGGTGATCATCAGGTGTCGGAAGAAGATAGCGATGATATTAGGGTCAATGAGAATGAGGACATCACTGATGTACACAGTATTCTAACAGGTATGGGCTTTGATATTGAACAAGAGGATGGGAACTGGGGAATTGAAGTATATTGTGAAGCTGTACTAAAATTGAAAGTCTATGTAGAGGCGCAATTGTAATTGATCATGAGCCCCACATTCGTAAAACGTATACGTACGCAGAGGCAGCGCTTGCCAGTGCGTTGGCTAGCGCTCAAAAAAGCCGAAATGATGGCTGAATGTACTCAGCTTATGCATAAATGTCACTTGCTTAAATTTAGCGACAATACAACTTCCATATCCAAAACATACTATTCAAGAACCTTATCAACTTGCTTGAAGAGTTTTGAGGTAATGGCTCAACTTGCGTATTTACCAAGAACCTTATCAACTTGCTTGAAGAGTTTTGAGGTAATGGCTCAACTTGCGTATTTACCAGCCGATCTGATTTATTTTACAGTATTATGCCCATAATATATTCATTCTGAGCTTTCAATCATTCAACTGACGAATTTTTGTACGTAGTGTGCGTACTTTTACATCAATAGTATCACCAGGGGACTTATTTCTATTTTCAGACTCTCATTGCGAGAAGAGAATTGAGCGCTTCAATAGCGTTCCCGTCGCTTGTGGTCTTCGATTCTTTCAGGAATCAAATTCAGCTTGCCTTCATACGTGGTACTGAATGCGTCACTGCGAAAGTATCTATGGACAGGATTCATAAGTTCCTGCAAAGTGTGAGTTCGGCTGAGGACCCAATGCTGACGCTGACTCTCGAGTCAACATTCAGACAGAGTTACTGGATTCATTTGAGAGTAGTGGTACTACGGTCCAAGTCTCCAACGAAGAATATTCAGATAAAATCGGCTTCCATAACGCATCGTTTACCTGGTCAAAATCCACAGACGGAACGGCTACCCTTTCTCGGAATTTCGTTCTCACCGTTACAGGAGACCTCCATTTCAAACCGAACGCATTGAATCTTGTAGTTGGGCCGACTGGTTCCGGAAAAACGTCTCTTTTGCTGGCATTACTTGGTGAGGCTGTCTCGGTAAATCCGACAGTATTCGTCCTTACGTTAGTGCAGGTGAAATGCATTTCGCTCCCATGAGTGATGACGCCTGGTTCAATCTTCCTCGCAGTGGTGGAATAGCATATGCGGCACAAGAATCCTGGGTGCTCAACGAAACCATCAGAGTGGGTGTTATTCAATACTCTTCAGTGTATGCTGATCGACCATAGGACAATATCCTCTTTGGCTTGCCGTACGATGAAGATCGCTATGAAAAAGTTATCAAGCAATGTGCTCTGGAACGGGACTTGACTCTATTCGCTGCCGGAGACCAGACTGAGATTGGGGAGAAGGGCCTTACATTAAGTGGAGGTCAGAAAGCCCGGTTAACTCTTGCCAGAGCTGTGTACTCTAAATCCAGCATTCTCCTTCTTGATGACACAATGGCCGCTCTGGAGTATGTCTATCACTTCTCCGACATCGGACAACCCGTGCGGTTAATAAACGTTCATTCATAGTGTCCATACATCCAAGTGGATAGTCGACGAATGCCTTTCCGGTGATCTGCTTCAAGATAGGACTGTGATCATGGTGGTACGCGGTAGCCTTATATCCAACGTTTCAAAGAATTGATTTTTCAATACAGTCCCATAATGTTGCCCTATTGTCACCGTTGGTTCAATGTTACATCACGATGAAAGATGGAATCGCAACTCATAGTAACGACGTCAAGGCATATCTCGACTCTAGCCAAGAATTATTGGAACGACTTGAGGACCGGGTAGACTCGGACGCGAAGGAGGAGAAGGAGGTTCATTCATCGAACGGTAAGCTCATCGTATCGGAAGAAGTACACAAAGGTACTGGCGCTAGTTGGGCGGCTAGTAAGCATGAATAATTTATTAGTCAGCGTCGATGCTCACCCAATTAGTCAACCTATACATCACTGGCTTAGGAGGAAAACATCCCTTCATCTTCTTTATCACTTTCTTTTCGTGCCTTGCTGCTTCTCATCTAGTCGGAGTCGTGCAAATTTGGTATCTGGGATACTGGGCGTCCCAGTATAATGATTACCCGCCTGCTGAATTCTCATCTTTATAGCAAGTTCCTGTTATCTTAGTAGCGGCACCTCACTAATGAATGTATTCACAGCTATCTTGCTGAATATGGTGAAAAACCAATGTGAACCTCGACTTCTCAGACTAACATTTTATCCAGGATTAATTTTCTTGATATGGCTGATCCTCATCTCCTTGGCCCACGTCGAATTCATCATGGCTTCAGTGGGAGCATCTGAACTCATACATCATCAGCTTGTGGAGTCTGTGTTAGCGGCGACTTTCAGGTAGGCAAAGTATCATAATCACACGTACAAAACACTTACATATAATTATCTAGGTGGCTTGATGAGACACCTGTGTCTCGAATTATCACTCGGTCTACGCAAGACATTGGTTCTGGTGAGTCCACATCCTTCAATCTATTCAGTATATGCGTTGATTGTTGTATTACAGTTGACTTTGCCCTACCTATAATAGCAAGCCGTGTTTGTGATATCTCCGTCAGCTTGCTATTCAAAATAGGCGCAGTGGTCATCTTCACCCCCACGTTTTTGCTTCCTAGCATCGTCCTCGTTGCTCTGGGAACGTGGGTCGGCAGTCTCTACCTGAAGGCTCAATCTTCCGTAAAACGAGAAATGTCGATTGCCAAAGCTCCGGTTATAGGACTGTAAGCCGAATTTCCTTGGTAATTTTCAAAGAATCGGGTTGACCTTACATTTTGCCAGGATGGGTATCGTGTCAACCGGAATCGGTATGTTCATAGATAAATGGACTGTAGTGGCAACATCAGTCATTGATTTTGAATTTTAGTCTCAGTCCGAGCTTATTCTGCTCAAGATCAATTTGCCGATCTTTTAATGACGCGCATTGATCATTATTCTCGTTCGGCGAGGGTTTTCCATAACCTCCAACGTTGGATGGCCATTCGAACCGAAACACTCGCTGGAATCTTCAGCGCGGGTTTGGCATGGTACCTTGTTTACTTCACGAACTCCAATGCTTCCGCTACTGGCTTCTTGTTGAATCTCGCAGGTAAAGATTATTTCTCCACTTGTCCTTAATTTTTTAATATTTTGCATGGCGTTTTAAGTCACGTTCAGCGGTGGAATAGTATGGTGGGTGATAGCAGTGAATGGCTTGGAAGCCGAAAGTGAGCTTTTATCCCTTCCTTCCTGTGCTCACCTCATGTATTTTTTGAAGGCAACTGGTGGGTATACGATCTCAATAATGTTTTTCAGCTCATCCACCTGTGCATAGTCTTGAACGCCTCGAAAGCTATCTTCAAATTGACCAAGAGGCGCGTCTAAACGATGGTCGTATACCCCCAGCTCATTGGCCATCCAGTGGCGAGTTGCGCGTGGAGAATCTTAGCGCAAAGTATGCACCAGATGACCCTGAAGTCTTACATGGGCTATCATTTCATATTAAGTCGGGGGAGCGTATCGGTGTTGGTAAGAGATTATTTAGTTACCATTCACAACATTGTTGATTCCATTGCAACAAGTTGGTCGCACTGGGTCTGGAAAGGTCTGTCAATATTGCACCTCATTGTAGATCAGGGATGTTATTCATTTTGATGATAGAGCACACTAACTCTAGCACTATTGAGATGCATACTCACCAGAGGAGATGTCTTTTACGACGGAATTTTGACGTCTACACTCAATCTGGATTCATTACGTTCCCAGATTACTATCATTCCACAAACAGTCTGTTTCTGCAATTCGTGATTCATGACCACTAACCTCACATTTTTGACAGCCTGAACTTATTTCTGGAAATCTGAGGCAAAATCTAGATCCCTTTGAGGAACATGCAGACTATGTACTGAATGATGCATTGAAATCGGCTGGCCTGGTCTCCCTTCAAGAAGATTTAGAAAATGAAGACAAAGTCAATTTGGATACGCCTATCTCCAGCGGAGGAGCAAACCTTTCAGTAGGCCAACGTCAGATCATTGCGTTGGCCAGGGCAATTGTAAGACAAAGCAAATTGTTAATACTGGATGAAGGTGATTTGTATATCTTTTCGATTCACACTGTGCCTGACGCTTGCTTTCGTTTTCGTCTGTTTTCCTCAGCTACATCCGCGATCGGTTTGTGGTCCAACACCTCCTGGATCCTAGTAGGACCTGACACTAAAGGTTGTGCTTAGATTACAAAACAGATGCAATTATTCAAGAGTCTCTTCGAAACGAGTATAAGGCACGAGGTGGAGATGCCACAATAATCACGATAGCCCACCGTCTACAGACCGTCATGGATGCAAGTCGAATTGTAAGTCTCGAATGAACTTTTACTGCAGTTTATTTATGCCTTCGCAGATGGTACTAGATGCAGGTCGCATTGTATGTATTCACTGTCTTGTGTCTTATTGGCCACTTGTTCACTGTTTCTTAGGTCGAATTTGACTCGCCGAAGGCGTTACTTCAAAAAAGTACCGGTCACTTCCGCACTATGGTAGACAACGCCAATGACAGATTAACATTGTTAGCAATGGTTCAGGATTAGATTGATTGATACATTGTGTGTAAACCTGGTCCAACGCTGGTCGTAATAATGGAGAGGGTGAACCAATTATCTTATCCAGCTATCAGAGATTGCATCTCCAGGCTTCAATCTTCTCATGGCGGAAATCATTTTTTTGGTCTGGCTCATCTACATAGTTTGAACCAATGACCTAGTAGCTTAAGTAGCGGTCTGAATTACAGAGGAAAAGGGAAGTAAAGGAAGGAAAGTTTAGTACATGGCTTAGTCCAACAGTTGAACGTTCTGGACCTTAGAACGCCCAGCTCGACATTTCAGTTTTGTCACTTAGTCCAGCGTCGAATCCTCCGCATATTTGTGAGATACCGACTTCTCCATTTCAACATCACTTTCCAAATATTAGCCCAATGTTAATCGTCGTATTTTCCTTTTCCGTTTGCGAAGTTGTTGCTGACTTTCGTCAAGAGAAATTCCCCGTACACCGTTGGCTTGTATTCTTTGACCTTTCGCGCATTCCCTGGAAGCGTTGTCGTTTCCTGTTGTTGTATCCGAAGGGCAGCTTCCAAAGGTTTGATCAGCGCGTCGAAATTCGGTTCGAAGAAGAATGGAATTCTGTAGTAAACAATGAATGTCAGTACTATAACTAGTACGTAATTATAAAATTTTGCAACTCACGAAACCCTGTACGAAGTTTTCCTTGAGATACTGGGAAAGAATCAAAAGGAATATTCTCACCGATAGTTGATACCTCTGTGAACGACACGATGGAGAGTGGAATTGTATAACCCATTAGACCAAATCTCCCCTAAGGACAATGTTTCCAAATGAATCGCAAAAGATCTTCCTTGAAAGCTTACACACTGTATATACATTAGTGGAAGACAATTAAAACTTTGAACGTATCCAAGAGGCTCACTTTCTCCAATATTACAGACCACACAGCCTAGTTTGGGATCCGCGTTTATCCAAACCCCTTCTTCGTCGCCCTGTTCTATAGGCAAGCCAGAGAGATCGGGGCCGACTTCAGAGCGCCGGAGAAAGACCTGTAAGGCTCCGAGGGTAGGATCCGCATACAGGAATCTGTACTCCGTTCAAGAGTGAGATATTAGAGCACTAGTAAGCGTACGTTAAGCATCCATAGTCTCTGTATTGACGGTAATTATGATTATCAGTCAGATTGTAAAGGAGTAGAAAGAAGGAACCAACGAACTTGTGAGCGCCACATGAAAAGCCATCATAATCATTCGGAAGTGGTGGATATCCTGTCGATGGGAATTAATTAGTAACAATCCAGATGTAGGGTAAGCCCAAGCACTCAAGACCTATAGCTCTCATAACCCAAAAGCTATCATCGACCTCAGTGCGGAGCTCCTGCCATTCGTCTGGAGTCATTCCCAACCCGACCGCCATCCTGAGATACGAAACGGATTGTTCAAATCGTACGAATAATCTAGGAATCTGAGAGGGACTCACGCCTCCATGACAATCAAGCCCAGCATCTTCATCTTTTCGACCCAGGTTTCGTATCGTTCCCTGAATAGAGGCACCGTCGGCCATTGATTCTCTCCCCAAAGTGGTTTGGTCTTATCGGGATTGTCTACTGGTCGATAAAAGTCGATACCCTCGTGGTTATCGGCCTTGCCATTGGTAACATTCTCTTTGAGCCTGGCATAACCTGCGCCACGATATCGTATCAATACCGCTCACCCTCATCGCTACTGAGTCAAAGCTCAAATCCCTTGAGAGACGTACCTCGTGCGTAATCCTGATTGCTCAACGCAAGTTTGTCTTTGTCCTCTTGCGAAGAATGAAAGAATCGTCGTGCCAGTTCAGTCAATTCTTCAGGTTCTCTGGGATCAGAGATCGCAGAGATATCGAGATAAAAAAAACCAAAATCTCGACATGCAGCGTGGACAGCTGCTGATACGGTGGCTCTTTGGATTTCAACCTCAGGAGATGGTTGCAGGAAGTAAGGTGTGATGTTGATTATTGGTAATGAAAGTTGGGCATTGCGTAAGGACGTCTTCGAGGTCATGATGGGTGAAGACGAACGGACGTTATCTTATCTCGGGTTTCAAATTGGGAAATCAGAAACTGAACTAGCAGGAACTAGCCATCAAGATACTATTAAAGTAAATGCAATAATACGTCCATAACGAAGTTAATCTGGCGACTCCTGAGCGTATATCGTGCGTCCGGGAACATGTGCAGGTCCCTGCAAAAAACCACTCGCAGGTCCAGTGAACGCACTCTGGAACGGTGTTTCTACAAGAGGCACAGCAGACGCGGAAGGTTGTGGAGAGATGCTACTACTATTCGTAGAGGTTGAATTTACACCGTGTGGATTGCCTATTTCATGTTCTGCTTGTAGCGGGTTCTGATGGACTGTTTCATGCGTGATTGGTTCTGTCCAATGTGTCCAGGGGCGAGCGTCGAGGACGTTGGACCCGGATGAGGGCCCTTCCCAGCTCAAGACTTGTCCACCCCGATTATTGCCATTAACCATGCTTACGCTTGTATTAAGTTCTTTCCGACCGCTCGTACTACCATTGATCTTTTCTTTTCCGTTGACAGCAGAATGTTTGGGTTTTGGTTTGAAAGAAGAGGCCTTTGTCGGGTTAGGTGCTGAAGCGGATCTCGGAAACGGCATTGGAGCCGCGTCATTGAACGACGAATCTTTCAGAGCCGCTTCTCGGAGTTCAAGAGCTTCGGAAAGTGGGACAGGGTATGGTATGATATCTACAGCGCCTCAGTTTGCAGGAAGAAACAACGAGCATTAACGTATACCTTGAAGGAACATGAATTCTTGGTATTGTCGCGTAGTGTCAGCTGTTGAAGACGGTCATGAGTTTAGTCCAGCTAAAAAAACACCATTGTGTTTACCCATGTCGCGATAGTTAATCGCGCTCCTTCTAGCAGAGTTGGCCTGTCTATGGCCACCTTGTGTAAGCCTTTTGATGAATTCTTCCTAAACCAGGTGTTTAGACTGCAATAAATTAACTAAGGTGGAACTCACCGTAGCAATCGACAAGACGTGTAAGCCTTCCTTAGATACCGAGAGATTCCCCATAACCCCTGGACCACCAGTTAAAGATGATATTTACCGATAAAGTACGTCTTCATGGACTTACCATCTGCTTGTAGAATATTTTCAATTTTCACTCCAGGCAGCAAAGTTGTTCCTGGAGCACGGCGGTAATGCCTTGGGGCACTTCCGGAGGCAGCTTCCTGAGTGATATCCTCTTCTTCCTGATCTTCTTCCGATGCCAGCTGGTCAATCTCCTCTTCTTCCTCCTCTTCCCCAGCTTCCTCTTCCGAAAACCCGTTCTTTTCAGCGAGTTTCCAAAGCGGATTCGCTCCCGACGGTGGTTCCAATGTTAAAGACGAGGGTCCGGACGATATGGACATGATGAGGGTTAGTGTACAGCGGAGATGCAAGGATATCGATACACTTGATAGAGAAACAAATAGTACAAGTCGCGGAACGAGCTTACTAGGCTGAGTTGGAACCTGTTGGAACGCGGCTTCCGGTCCCGCTCCGGAACAAACACAGCTCAATAATCCAGCAACAGTTCATTGAATCATTTTACTGAGTTCATTGTTGTCACCCATCATGTCCAAATTTGCTCCACATCGACGTCCTACAAATGCTCCTAGAGCAAGTTCTAGTACCGTGTGCCAGAAATGTCTTGGAACAGGTTTTGTAAAAATTGCATTTTCACCTCTCTAAACTCATATCCTTCTAATAGGCCATTATACCTACGAATGTAAAGGTGCACGTCCATATGTTTCCCGGCCATCGAGAACGCAACAATTGGAGAACCCGCGTGTATTGGCTAAGCTCAAGGCTAGTGGAAAGCCATCGGTCGAAGTCCCCGAGGAGTTCAAGAAGTCGTACGTGACATGGGAAACATGCTTCACTTTTGCTCAACATTTATCAGTGCTGGGACAGCGAATCGCTTATTGGAAGCCAAAGAAAAAGAACGAAGCGGTGTAAGTGAGTCAAAGGGAAATGGAAAGAAAAGGAATCGACAGTGCGTCCCGTTTTGTGATTTGCTTCCTTAATACTCATTATTCTGGCAGCACCGATTCTGATTCCTCATCAAGCGATTCTGACTCTTCCTCATCGGGCGATTCTGATTCCGACTCGGACTCGTCGAGCAGTTCGGACTCTGAAAGTTCTGATCATCGCGCTCACAAACGCAGCCGCAGAAGGGGAAGGAACAGGAGCAGAAGTAGGAGTGATTCCAGTAGCCGATCATCCTCTTCTGATTCCAGATGACCATGATTCCATGCAGTTGCTTTTGAATATGGAGAGGGAATAGTATGAAAATGTCCAAGATGTTGAAATGCTGTATCAAACGACTCAGGAGTAAACTAGCTGTAGCATATGTCCCCTACACCGCCGGCTACCTTTGAATTCATTATCAATGCCACGATTAGACTACGCACAGACCGTCAGCACCGTCGCAATGTAAATCCGGTACAAGTAACATACCCATACAACCCTAGAACTTCTGCGAAAATCAGAATGAGTACCATTGATACAAACACTTTTGATTCTTGCACGTATGCTCGCACACACTGTGAAGACACAAGTTAAGAAGACACACACTCCGAAATGTAAGGAAACCTACCGCGTCGCCCACTATCCCAATGGCATATCCAGCAGTGAGCCCAGTGAACCCACAAGCAAGTCCTGCTCCAAGGTGGATAAAGCCAGCAAACAAGGGATAGCCTTCCGGTGTTACTGCCACAAAAGACAGGTTAAACACTGCTCGAGTCGCAGAGCAGTTTGTTAGACGTACGTGCCCCGGATATTAGCACTGACACGACAAGGCCATACACGGCAATGATACCAGACATGACAACAGGTATAAGTGACTACATGTCATCAGTCAGATTAGAGTATGAGTACCATGGTGTTAAAGCGACGCACCTTCATGATTAACTCCGGCTTGAACGTCCCAAGGCCTGCAATACCAATTCCAGCTTTGGCAGTGCCAAACGCGGCACCAATCGCTGGAGACTTGCTGTGAGAAAAGCTGGCCAGCTAAGCGCAGATATGAACATACTACTAAGTACCATCTAGAATGATCAGGAAGTCAGTTGTTACTCTGATGATAAAAGTTGGCCAGTAATACACTTACTGCAGAAGCTACACCTGCAAAGCCAAAGAAGGGTGCATAGGGTGGACAAACGGACATGATTATTGTGCAAAAGTTCAAGGAGAGAAAGAAGCTGGAAAGAAGCCAAAGGCTTTCGATACGTCGAGGGACCAGTTGAGGTTAAATTGCCGGCCGGCAAATTGAAAAGTCTGCTTCACCCGATGATTCCTCGAGCGCGACTGGGCTTTGCTCTTCGAAACTTCAGCTCTTCAGCAACGACCTACAAACATGTCTCTCATATTGGCGGTAAACCAATAATGCTCCCTACAACTGTATCTTTTACTCCGTCTCCTACCGCACTCACCGTCAACGGACCGTTGGGTACCACTTCAGTCCCGCTTCATTCTTTCGTTCGCATAAATTTTCCGGAGAAGGATATAATGGAAGTTTCCGTCGAGGATGCAGAAATTAAAGTGCAGCGCCAGATGTGGGGCACAACACGGACACATATATACAATGCTATCATCGGAATGACGGAGGGGTTCAAGGTCCCGCTTTATCTGGTCGGAGTCGGGTACAGGGCCCAGTTGGAGGATGATCCTAGAGGTACTATGGATGGTGGGAATGGGAGGAGGCTTAGTATGAAGTTAGGATACTCGCATACGGTTTATGTGCCTATACCTCCACACATTTCATGTGAGGTTCCGACACCAACAAAAATCGTGGTCTCATGCACAGACAAGCATCTTCTGGGTTTGTTTGCAGCCAAGGTCAGGGGTCATCGAAAGCCGGAGCCGTATAAGGGCAAGGTGAGCTATCTAATGGACCCAGTAAGATTCTTACGATTTCTTACTCGATCCTACAGGGAATATTTGTTGGAGACGAGAAGATTAGAATAAAGAGCGTCAAGAAGAAGTAGTTGTCGCGTTACTCCGTATAATGCAGTTCGCTCAAAGATACTTTGGGCACTGTGAGCCCAGTCTAATTACGACGTGAGACAACGGTTCACCCTCATTGACTGATATCTTTTGCACAAGGCAAAGAAGTTGTGCATTGCGACCTTCCACCGCAGTTAACGGAAAAAGTATCACAGTTACATTCAGCACCCTCATCCTCATCCCTAGTAAAGTACCGCTCGGGAGTCAGATATCTCTTCAACCAGATCGAACTGTATGAAGCTACACTGTTGGCTAGACCAGCTGGTTCAGTCCATTGTGGTAGATTCGTACAAATAGGAGGGCCATCTTGATTAAGAATACAGGTATGCAACGAAACTTCGGACTACATTGTTCTGACAGGCGTTGGAATGAATGAACTTAAATTCCCATTCAGTATTTGCCAACATAAGTCTTCCCGATTCGACGTCAAAATTGCTAGTCTCCCCTAGACAGATTGGCATACCCTCGGCATGACAAAAATGCTATATGTTACGCCTTATACTGAATCCCTGTTCCGTATCCTGAATCGAAGTGCTTAGTCAAAATGAGGATGGGCAAGGTCCAATCCCCCGGTTCGTGCGACCACTCTAATTATACATGTGTATTGTTAGTATGATAACTATATATCTGTGTGTGTGGTACAGTTGCGAGATGAGAAAATACAAGTCAATGGAGTTTACGAGAAGTCAAGAAAGGAGAATCAATGCTCGAACTATACAACGACAGCAAATTCCAGGGGTATAGTATGCTGGTCAACGCTGACCACCTGGCCATTCCACAACCCACTGAGCTTGGACCACTAGTTCCTGATTGTCATCATCTTCGAACTTCACTCTGTATGTGGAAGCGTAAGGAGTATCCGACTATTGACAAAAAACATCTGAGAAGCACGGATCGTACGAACTAGTGACTACTTACGCGGACGGAGGGAGCCGTGTCCGTTGGGGTCGCCACCACTTCAGCTCGATAGAAGCAGCTGGTGTCAGGATAAAGTGCCAGAACCGTAGAGCCAATTGGAAATTCTCTATATGCACTTAAGCTCGAGGGGCTTCCTGCGGGTGCATTCGGGTCCGGAAGTGGTATTATAGATCGCAGCGTCGTGTTAAAGCGTCTGAAAAATTCAGCATAGGAAAAAATAGTAGTGAGGTCTGCGAACTTACGAAATGGGTACAGACTCTGGATCGTGAACTTCGTATCTGACATGCAACCGGAAAAAATGAGCAATGGTTCAACATGTAGCTTACTGCATTCAGACAAACCTGTTTTTGTCACCGTTGATACACTTGTCGACAACTGCCAGAATCCAGTTGTTGTCGTCAGATTCGGTGACAGAACTGTTACCCTTATTTGGCGGCGGATGGAATGCCACCTGTCGACCTTCTTGTAAAGGCAGTTGTTTTGCCCAAGCTTCCCTCCGAGCTTTTGGTTCTCGGGGTAGAGCAGTCCCAGCAGGCGGACCAGTCGAGCTATTGCGCGCCGGCAGCGTGATAGAGACGCGATTAATGCCGCCAGGTGCAGGCAGTACTTGAGGAACAGGTGTGCCACCGGCGGAAGGCGACGCCGCTCTAGGGCGTTTATTTCGTTTCTCTGAGAAAACGTGTCACCTACACTATGGTTTTGCCACGGGAAGCTCGGGAATACCTTGTGAAATGATTTCTGGTGCTTTCCTGAGAGCTATCAGGATGCCAAGTTGTTCCATAGCATTATCTATCGCCCTGTACCCAGAAGGAAAGAAAAGTTGAGCCACCAAAAGAATCTTTCATCACCAGAAATGACTTGAACGGACTTGTTTTCTTTTTCGGAAGTTAGTCGTATTTCTTCTAGACCTGATACCAACTTTTTGTAAATTGCCTTCACACTGTCTAGACCCTCAGCTGGCAAAGTATCATCTGCGGGCCAAGCAGATATAAGGCGGTTTACCCTGCCAATGGTTTCTATTGTGGCCGGGCTAGAGTAAATTGCAGACAAAGTTGAAAGCGATGCAGCCGCATGATTCCAACATTCTATTTCTGCGAAAAGTGGTTAGACCCGTGGAAGTTACAGCACATTCTCCTGTGATCGGCTTTGAGAAATAATGAGGGCTTTACCTACCTTCAGAAGACGCTGGACGAAGGGGCATACCTTGCCTCCTACTCATGAAGATGTCTGATGCGAGTCGGCCTATGGCCCAGATGCATCAATGAGGAAAGGAAGGAGGAGGCGGGATTGCTTCAAGGTTGAAGTTACGTCAAACCTTCCGAACTTTTGATCGAGACAAATTCCCGCGATGTGTGTGTAAGCTACGTTTAAGTTTGGAGAAAGCGCTGGGCGTTTATTTGCTTCTCTGCAGTCAGGCTCGTTCCTTTAATTATCATATTACACAGATACGGCTACTAAAGAAGGTATGCAGATATTCCTTTGCTCAAGATTCGTTGGATGTTGGTTTGACAGCCTGGAATGACGAATCTCTCGAGACAAGTTTTCGTAAGGATACGTCGTATACAACTTTGAAGGTTTTAGCTAGGGTGCGATGAATTGGAAATTTACCACAAACCTTCTTCAATCTTCTTCATATCGTACTTCAAACTATCAAATCTACGGCGCAACGTATCATTTTTGAGATTGAGCTAGAAGGTAAATATATATCTTGACAGTCACATTCAGACAAATACATCACACTGACCATAGAGAAACCTGAGAAAATGTCTTTGACAAATGCAGATATTTTGAGAGGTTGCTCAAAATCGCCCAATATGACAGCGTTCACCGCAAGACGGGACTTAAAGGCATGTAAAATTAAGCAGGTGACACTGGACTACATAGACGAAAGACGAACCAGTTCATTAACCATGGTGATCAAGCCATGAAGGTAATCTTCTACAGATAGATTAACACGATCCTTCCATCTGTCCTGCACTAGAATTCATTGGATTAGTCGTTGAAGTCATTTACTGAAACCGTTCCTATAACTAACTGCCTAGTACATTGCTGGTGCTTTCGAGGGAAATTAGAGTTCCATTTGTCAAATACTCAGAAAGAGCTGCTGCAAAAACCGCGGTGCGCAATGAATTACACCACATATCCTTCCAGCGCCAGAATTGATTTGGAGGGATTAGAGAAGCAAGCTCAACAATTGTCTCACTGCAGCTGTATAGCACTGGCCGAGCTGTTTGAATTAAAGAAGGAACTACGTGGACAGTAAACTTCGGAATTAGCAACAAAAGGTAACATTCATACTGGAATCAGATCGCGTTGAATGAATTTTGCTCAATATACCCACTAAAATTCGCGTTTTCTTGTCGAAATCGTTTACTTGATCTCTGATTTTCTAGTTCGGGAAGTAGTCTCAAGGAATATTCGAGAATCATGCGTGATCCGAAAGTTCCACACACCTCTCTGAGATCCGATTCGTGGTCAAGCAGTTGATGGAGATTTGCCAGGGTTTCAGAGTCCATGCTTGTCGTGATTGGTATGTATGTTCAAGTGTAGGATGAAGCAATGACTCAATCCATTCCCATCACGTGCATGCCAAAAATATTCGGCGGTTTGCGCTCTTCCCTCATTGTCAATCCTCCCTTGTTTATAACGCGTTAACTGTCTATTCATCATATCTTCGAAGTCTGTACATCGATTTTGTCCTTTGTTCTCGAATGGCTGGATCGTCTCCAACGGCTTCCGATCTGGCCGTTCAGAAACTCTTGCAGCGGCTTCACGACAGTCCCAGTAACAGTGAAAGCGTCCAAGAGGCTGAACTTGATACCATTTACGCGTACTTGCAGCGCTCTTCTGTCAAGAAATCATCTAGCCTTCATTGGTTTTGCCGGCATGCAGACCCAACTACAACTCAAGCGGCCATTTTCCTTTTAAGGTTATTCGCCTATAGCAGTCCAAAAGTAGAGACATGGAAAGGATGGTTGAACGGCTGTCTCGGGGGCTGTTCTGAGTGTGTCATGGGGCTTGAAAAGGCGAAGATCAGCTCAAGAGATTCGTACGTGGTAAAAGTTGAACAGAATGTATGTACTCAACTTCCGTTTCAGGTACTTCGGTGCATTTCCAGAACATGTAATGAGCGCGTTTTGGGATTCTTTCAATAAGTGGGAATTGGAGCATACTTTGGCACAAATCTCAGACGCTTCCGCTTGGACTGATATCCCTACACCCACTTTGTATCGTATGATATGCAACTTCCAAATTTTTCAAGATTCTCGGATACAAACCTTCTTAGAACAGCATCCTCCTTCTCGTAGTCCGTCCGACTGGCCCGCAGAACCTATTACTCCTGCCATGCTTGTACTCATGATGCATGAAAACGACACTCTTAGAGACTGGGCCGTGAAGCAAGCCTCGCGATGCACCAATATTCCTATATCTCAGGACGATGCCCTACCCATTCTATATGATCAAGCGCTGGAAATAATAATGTTACCTTTCATTTCCACTGCGCAAGCACGTTCTGATAGCATCTCGACCCGCCTAGTCACAGAAACTGTGACTTTGTGGTCTTCATTTTACTCTGTTTTGCGCCTATTGCATCCAAAACACTTGACATTCTTTTCCTCCAAAGGGGTAGATGTCCGACATGTGCTTACTGGCCACCTTCATGACCATGGTCCCGGTCAGCGGCTGTCATTATTTGCAGCCTTATTTTAGCTCATGCTCTTTGTCATAGAATTCAAGACCGTCCTGCAATGCTTCAATCTCGTTTTGAAGCGTTTAGGAAAGGACCTTTGGCAAGGAGAGGGTCCGGAGTACCCTCAAGTGGTTTTTGATGCATTCAAAGACAATCCGTCCCTGAATGCTCTCCTTCACGAGAGAGATCTCTCTCCGGAGCGAAACCCATGGTTCTTCAATTGGCTTTCGGAATTCTTGCATACAATTCGCGATCAACCGGGATATTCCGAAGTTGTAGCAAAGATCACGGATTTCATGTGTGAAGAACTACAACACGAACGGTTCAGCGATGCCCGCCCCACAGTCATTGCGTGTGCTGCTCGAGTGAGTTGAATGAGCCTGGTTTGTTCACAACAACCATTTACCTTTAATTCGACAGCTCCTCAAAGGCCAAAACCGCGATGGCATAAACTCTGCTGTTGCAAATGTGTTGGATATCCACGCAGAAGCATTTGTGACGGTAGCTTTTGCAAGTTCCCATCAAAAACCTGAATGGCAAATTGCACGAGAAGCCACTCGCGGCCTGATTCACACATCCTTGATGCAGGATATCCATAATATTCACGACGCCATCTCCCGTTGCACCATTGTTCTTGCTCTCTCTCTCAAAAAAACCGAAGAGAATGGATCGAAGCCTCACGTTCACGATAATGGACACAACAGCATGGCTCCTTTGGTCATTAGAGAACAGATCTGGAAAAAAATTTACGTTCATCTCCAACCCACTGACACCGATGGGCTTGCCTTCTTACTTGCAGTATTAGCGTCCGCTGCTCACCTAGATACCGTTCTAAAGAACTCCTTCGGTCCAGCGTTGGCTTTTCCTGGATTCTCGGCTCTTCTCGATTCAGTGAACCGATCCTTGGAAGTAATCAGATGCGGGTTTCCGGAGCTCACATCTGCTTATGAGATGTCCATAGCGGCCACTCAAGTTTTACACCATCCAGATGTGGCTAAAGATATTGTTAAACTGATGCTCTCACCTGTGCCCGACTTGCATGGTGGTGCGATGGGGATTGTCACACAGGCAAACGACGCTGGCTCGGATGGCCGAAGAGAATGCTTTCAGTGGCTTTTTGAAAATTTTACCGAGGAGTCTTTTATGGGTAGCTTTGAGCTCCTCAAAGTGTTTAATGACTACGCCCCTAGAGTGCCCGAGGCATGTAGCTTGTCGAAGTCCCTTGTTCGTTGCTTCACCGACATCATTGGCGTACTTTGTTCCAGCCATCGTGGACTACTTCATCGGTCCGAGTATCTCCGCTCAGATGGGCCTGCTCGACGAATCCCAGAGCTGTGGACTCTAATGTGTAAAACCATCACGGTGATATTCAAACGGACCCCCTCTTGGTCCCAGTATTACAGAACCGAAGTAATGACAGAGTGGATGCGAGACGCTCTCATCTTCGCGCGTGATATTTTGGGAGAAAGGGCTGTTTTTGAATCTGCTGCAGAAGCCGCCGACGCCGTCGTAACCAAATCCTCCGAAATTTCGAAACGTATGCTCATGAATTTACAAGAGATTTTGGCGGAGCTTTCTAGGTGGTTACGGTTGACAGACGAAGAACTACTACATCAGTCCTGCACCCTCATCCATTCGCTCCTTGAGCTCTTCCGGGAAAAACATGACCCCCCTCAACAAGCAGTTCTCCTGAAATTATCCAAGCAGATTACTGATGTTCGCAATCGGGACAGCAGCTCATTAAGTTGCCGTCTAGATCCAGCTAAACTCGCCCCTCTTGAAGCCATCCTTGCATCGTTTGATGATGGTGATGATGTTGAGATAGTGGAGGTATCTAAAGCTATGCTACCACCCAAAGTCCCAGCTAAGCCTATAAGAAAAGCAAAAGCCGAGCTAAATCCTACATCAGCCGTCTCCCGAAGTCTGCCTGCATCCTCCAAATCGGCCCGATTCTCTGCCGCGGACCAGGAACGACTTGATGCCGCTAACTCGATGCCTAAATTTCGCAAACCTGCCGCAACGAGCGTTCCAAATGTCGCACCCCCTTCTACTAAACCTCCGGTGGCAGGTGGCAGTAGTCGTGAAAAGGGAGAGTCCGGTTCATCCTCCAGCTCAGATGAAAGTGAAGAGGAAGAAGAAGAGAGCCAGAGAAGTCTCATGGCTGGCTTGGTAAAGCTTCAGCAATCACCTAAAGTCCGGAAACAAGTCCAGCGACGACAAGTTAAAATGTTGGATTTACCACACCTCAAGCAGAATGCCCAGGAGGCCCGACTTTTGAAAAGGGATGAAGCTCGCCAAAAAGCTTTGCGATTCAAACCCGACATATCTGGACTCCATAGGACCTTGTTGTCATGGGATTACCAGCATGAGGGCGAGTCACCTCCAAGAACCCGGCTGCAGTTGCGCAGCGTCCCAGACACCTTCTCCGATTTCAATCACTACCGAGCCGTCTTTGAACCATTGCTGCTTATGGAATGTTGGGCGCAGTTGCTTCAATCCAAAGACGAGTCTTCGGAGAGTTATGACTGCAGGATTACATCTAGGCTATATAACGGTCAATGGTCAGACCTTGAGGTAATATTTCTTAGTGATTTACGTAAAGAATGGTTCTTGACTGAGAACGATGTCGTTTTACTTCGACATCCGGAGGGTAAGAGCACTGTTCTCGCAAAAGCGATCAGCTTTCGGCGTCCAGGAAAAGATCCGGCTGAGGCAGGTCTGCGTTGTTATTTTCCTCCTGATGCTAGGGATCCTGGTATCCAAATTCAAAGTTCATGGCTGATATCCAAGGTGTTCAGGTGAGTATCACTGGTTTCAAGTTACACGAGGCTGATCAGTATAATTAGTCTCAGTACACTACACCGAGAATATGCGGCATTGGTTGCAGCAGAGTATTACGACTTCGCCGATCATATTCTGCGCCCGTATCTCGCTCTCCCTGTGGGGGTGGATACTAAGGAGATCAACCAAATGATGAACAAGTTCAAGGTCAATGAACCGCAGGCCAAAGCGATTGTGAGCGCTCTGAAAAGCGATGGTTTCGTACTGATTCAAGGGTATGAACTCAAATAACATGTCTGTTTCTTTGGAATAGCAATCTAAATTTCTGATAGTCCTCCTGGGACAGGAAAAACATCAACTATCTGTGCTCTTATATCAGCGTCACTAGAGACAATATCTCAGGGTCCTCTGAAGAACCACGAAAAGCGCAAAGTTCTCCTCTGTGCCCCTAGCAATGCAGCTATAGATGAGATAGTATACCGCTTGAAGGACAGATATCATTCCTTGAAGGTTGTGCGTACAGGTGCCGCTCAGTCCATTAGCCCCAACGTCAAGCACGTCTCCCTTGACTACCTGGTTGAAGAAAAACTCGGCGTGCAAGGTCAAAAGGAGTCTAGCGAAACCGCGAACGACATGATTTCTGCTCGTCAAGAATTCCAAACCGTGAAAAATCTTCGGCAAGTCAAAATTCAGGAGCTTCAGAAACTTCGCGACAGCGGCGCTCGCTTCGATTCATTGGAGGTGGAAGTCAAGCAACTGACCATAAAAACCACCGCTTTGAGGCAGCGTCTCGATAATCTTCGAGATAAGCATACTTCGGAATCACGCAAGATGGATACTGCTCGCCGTAGGGCCAGAGACGAGGTTTTGCGAGAGGCAGATGTCATCTGCAGTACGCTTTCTGGTACTGGTCACGAGAATTTGGAGCAGTACGAATACGAAATGGTTATCATTGATGAAGCCGCACAAGCAATCGAATTGAGCTCATTGATACCACTGAAATACAAATGTAATCGTTGTGTTATGGTCGGCGATCCACAACAACTTCCCCCGACTGTCATCTCCATGCAGGTAAGTTGTTCGTCGATTTGAAAGCAAGTCAAGACTGAGAAAAAATCTAGGCATCCAAATACCAATACAACCAATCCTTGTTTGTACGACTTCAAAAACAGCGTCCGGAGGCTGTCCATCTACTCAGCATTCAATACCGTATGCACCCTGATATTAGTCGCTTGCCCAGTAAAATTTTCTATGAAAATCGATTACAGGATGGCCCGAATATGGATTCCAAAACGGCGCAGCCGTGGCATACTCACTCCAAGTTTGGAACCTACCGTTTTTTTAATGTCAAAGGTGGTATGGAGGAATCGAGCGGACGTTCCACGAAGAACAGAGCTGAAGCTCAAGTTGCTGTGGCACTTTTCAATCGTTTGAGGAAGGATTTTCCTTCTGTGGACTTCAGCTTCCGAGTGGGAATAGTATCGATGTATAGCGCTCAAATTCGAGAGTTGAAGATTGCCTTTGAGCAACGATTTGGCCGCGAAGTTCTTACTCAAGTAGATTTTAGGACCGTAGATGGCTTCCAGGGACAGGAGAAGGATGTCATTATACTTTCTTGTGTTCGAGCGGGGCCAGGTGTTGTCAGTATTGGTCACGTCAAGGGTATGTCCATTCAATGCTGCCACCGCTGTCACTCGACGTTATCATAGACATCCGCCGCATGAACGTTGCTATCACGCGAGCAAAATCGTCTCTATTTATCCTCGGGAATGCAGCGACTCTTGAACGCAGTAACGAGACATGGCGGGGGATTGTGGCGGACTCAAAGGCTCGGAATCTTTTCGCCGAGGTTCGTGGGCCGCACATAGCACTGCTGTTGCAATTTAGTTTTGTTTTGCAGGTTGATGTCTCGTACTTCACGGCTCCTTCAACCATGACGACTGAAACCCCTCTGACTGGGACCTCTCCTCGAAAATCAAAATCTAAACAAATAAAACCTCCTTTGCCTGTACCTCAGCATCCTGATCTTTCGACTCCAAAGGAGTTGAAGGCTGCAGCCTTAACTAACCCACCAAAACCGAGCTCTTCTGAGCCTTTACCTCTCGACAACGCTGCACCGATCCCTCTAGATAAGCAAAAAGGTAAAAGGAAGTTGGAAGAAACGGCTGATCCAAAGCCCGATTCCTCCCACATTAGATCTGTGCCGCCCGCACCATCTGCGTCTAATGCACATCCCCTTCCTCATCATCCTCCTCGAAAACGCCCCAAGCAAGGTCCCGCTCTATTCATACCCAAGAACAAAAATAAAGTGCGTCTTGCTGTGTTCCATTACGTCGTGTACTTACATAGCCTATCCATCGTTCAGCGTCCATGATTTTCTTCCTCCGGACAAATACTTCTAAAGCCTGATAATATCTTTTTTGGTTAAAAGCATCATTTCCTCTACTTACCCCCAGCATAGTCCAAATGTATATAGAATTTACACAACACATCTCTGTATCTACATACGTGTACATATATCATTATGTAAATGAAATCCACTCCATTACGATCTGGATATCTGGAGGTTCCGCAATTGAAACAATGAATGGATGGTGGCCCATTGTGCCCTCTGCGCAAGTTCGGTAGCATCAAGCTTACTGCCCTTTGCATAAGTCCGGATCCGTGAAAGGGAGATTTTTTTAATTACGGACCGCCCATAAGCAAATTTGACCGAGATGTCCGACTTGACAGTTTGGCTCTTGGCGTCGTACCAGCAACAGCGCGATACCTTTGCTCACTGTCTCTCCACAATGGGCATGCACCCTCAAATTCTTGAACAGGCTGCAAAAAGCAACAGAGTTAAGGGCACATCATTACAAAAGCCTAGACCTAAGTAACTGCTATCTTATAGTGAGACTTTCAGACAATTAAGAGGTCCCGACATGGTGACAATGTGTCGAGGATGCTCGTGGTTGCTACGTCGGGTCGAGATCAAGACATTGGGTGAGAAGGGTCCGGAACATTCAAAATTGCTCGTACGATGATCAAGGTGGGCGGAAATATGGAGCTGGCAGGTCTGCCGCTGCCGGCCATTAGATCAGCTTTTTTTTCCGACCCGCCTCCGGTTTTGCAATCACAAACTTATGCAAAGGGCAGTATCGCCGGGGACATCGAGCTCAAGCCTCAAGCTTCAACAACACTCCACGGTAATAAGGGGCCACGGAAACACGGGCCGGAATGAGAGAACAAAAATCAGAAGAATTTTGATAAGCGGGTCGGATTAGACTTGACGGGGCTTGTCATAGGGCGAAAGGTTGAGTGCATAAGGAGGCCTGCCGCCTGGCGCCTAGGGTTTATGGGTGGATCAAATGTCCATATCAGAGACGGTGAACCAAGTGATCTGCAAGATTTACGAGTTTGTAGAGAATATCGAAAGCACCCTCCGAATTTGAAGGCGTGCCGATGAGGGGGCAGCGAAGGACTGGAAAATCGGTGAAAATATCTTAAGACAACGGAGTGAGGACACGGCGTAGAATCTGTGTTGGTGATGTCGAGGATAAGATTACGGGTGGAGCTTCTCAGAAACAGGTGGAAGGAAATTGAGTCCTGATGTCGCTGAGACACATATCTGGATATCATGGGGCGAAGGACCTGCAGACAGGAAGGGAAGGATCTGTGGGCGGAGGTGGGCGGCAAGTCAGGGCCACCAGTATCATTATTTGTATCCTATCTACAATTATGGTAATAAACTTAAACGCTGACTAGCGCTGAAGGACATTACTGCTCATCAATTGACAATGTCCAAATGCAAGCTACACAATACACATCTAGCGCTACACACACATGTCTGTATAAATCATGACAATCATATAGGTTTGAACACTGTACTCATTTAAGGATGTTCTGCCTTGATAGGCGGTAACTCCCAACCATCTGGACCAAAATGAGGTACCGCCGTTAGAATCCCGGCACTATTTTTTGTTGGTTTCGAAAAGGTACAGAGAGATGATTTACCCAGAGAGGATAACCACGCGGGATTGATGACGGTTAGCCCTTCATAGCCATCAATGTCATTCTCGGTGTAAAGCGTCGTGAAAATCTCACCTTTGAGCCAAACCTGGCTCGTTCGCACCACTTCATTGAAAATGAGGTACTCTGGAGGAGTGTTCTTGAACAATACGGATGAAGGATGGATAAAAACGTCTTCAGCGATTCCCAGAGCTTTGTATGCGACACCTTGAGCAGAAGCATATTGAGCGCCACTGGCCGCATTTTTATCTATTCGATCTTTTCTGACCGCCACTTGATCAATGAAAGCAGCAGTTAACAATTGTCTTAAGACTTTGATCTGTCTCTACGTGAGCCTTGATTCCAACGGATAGAGCTTTCACACCGACTTGTAAATCACTCGGCGGGTTCAGATTTGGGACGAAGCCGGTATCTATCCCAAGAAAATTTGTCTGAACAATATTACTGATTTGCGCCCGTAGTTTATGTATTTCTTCCATAGCCTGTCATTGAGTGAGTTGTGATCTGTTTTGAACCATCGCGACAAGCATACCTTTGGTTGGACAAAGTGTTCTGCACAAAACTGTGCACCGCCGCCGGCATATTCGTATGCTCCAACGATAGATAGAACCCGGAATATATCACTCGTGAAGCCTCCCAAAGAGGAATGGGTCTACAAAAGCGAGAGACTCTATTTACTGAAGCAGTTACAGAATTCTAGCCACTCACATGTTGAGAGGCGAAGAATTGTTTCCGCCGTAGTCGAAGAGCCTCTTTGGTGCGGACTGCGGCACTCGTAAGATGCTTCAGTTTTTCAGCTTCATCGTCATCATCCTCACTATCCGCTGAAGCCAACAACGCTTCCTCGTGCAAAAAAGGATCTCCAACTGAAAGCGCGGACACAATTGCAATAACAAAGGGCAAACACTGGTGCTGCTGGCCGCTTACAAGCATCCTCGAGAACCGGGGTGACAGCGGGAACAACGACATAGTTTTTCCCAACTCGGTTATCTGGCCCTCTTTTGAGAGCGCACCCAAATAGTGAAGCACCTTTTCAGCCTTTTGCAGATTGTTGCGGTCGGGAGGGGTGGGAAACGGAAAATTAACGACTGCATCAATATGCATGCCTTTCATTTGAAGGACGACACCCTCGATTGGCATTCGGAGGATCTCAGGCTTCGAGAATTGGTCAAAGTGATGCTCGTATAAGGCGGAGGAATATAGGCGATAACAATGACCCGGCCCGGTACGACCTGCACGACCTGCACGCTGAGCGGCCGATGCTTTCGATATCCAGGCCACTTGGAATGTTTGTATACCGTTTGTGACGTCGTATCGTCGCTGTAATGTAGGTCAACAGAAAGGAAATGGACGCATATATAGTGAACCGTACCTCTTTCGCACGGCCACAGTCAACTACGTAACGGATGTTAGGTATAGTCAATGAAGTTTCCGCGACGTTTGTGGCGACGACGACTAGTCGATGCCCAGTCGGCGGAGGCAGAAATACACGCATTTGTTTGTCGCTGGGAAGCAGGGAGTATAGAGGGACCACGTGCATAGGTGCTATCAAGATCTCCTTGAGCATGTATATGCAGAATGAATTTAAATGACCTACTTTCACTTTCGTCGACGTCGATTCCGAGTTCTTCGTTAAGGAGTTCTTCCTCATCACTATCCAACGCATCTGGATCTTCTTCTACATCGCCATCAATATCAAAAGCGACATCGTTAGCCTGTGTTTCACCCAACTCGAGATCCTCCGCTTCAACATCAGCTACAATTTTAGCGCGTTAGACTATGAAGAGCGCGATAAAGGTGATTCAAACCTTGTGCAGCGCCGACCCTTTTCGGATTATTCTGGGCCTCATTTGAAACATCATCATCAACGCCGAAGATTCGACTGGCGGATCCCGCACCCCTTCTTCTCCTTCTCTGCTCGATAACCTTTTTCCCGAACCTTGCTTCAAGCTTTCGACACACTCCTTGAATCTCGTTTTGACCGGTGAGGAAGATTAAAATGCCACCAGGTGGGAGGCGAGTGTGTATCTTGGTAGTCTTCTTTATGGCTTCGGCGACGTAATCTGATACAGTACGTCTATTGAAGTGCATAGTGACGGGGTGTTGCCGGGCGGCGACATTGATGACCGGGGGTGGCGTAGAAAAGAGTGATTTGTTGGAGGCAAAATCGCTCACGCGAAGGGTGGCGGACATAATGATCAACCGAAGAGGCTGATACCGTCGGTAAGCCATTATTGTGGGGAATCAAATGGATTTCTCTCACCTTGGCTCCTTCCTTTCCTTCCTTCCATAGTTCCTCCCGAAGTTTCAGAACTCTACTCAGTACACCAATTAATATATCCGTGTTCATGCTTCGCTCGTGAGCCTCGTCGATGATGATGACCGAATATTTCGTGAGGAGAAAGTCAGTGGCTAATTCTCGAAGTAGTACACCATCGGTCATGAACTTGATCGATGTCATTGGCGATACTGTCGCGTCGTACCGAATTTGGTATGATACTTTCGACGAAGTTAAAGATAATTCCTGTGCAACACGCGCTGCCATTGACATAGCAGCCACACGTCTTGGTTGCGTAATTCCTATCATACCAGGATTTTCTAATGCGAAAAGGTCAAGATCACATTTTCGCAGTCAATAATCTTAGCGTACCACTGCCCGGTGAACCAAACCCAGCTTCATACAAAAATTGCGGTAGTTGCGTGGTTTTTCCGCTTCCAGTTTCACCGCATACGACCACCACAGGATTGAGAAGAACAGCTTCCATAATTGGCTGCTCCTCCGCGACAACAGGTAGCAGTAACCTAGATTCCTGCACATCGTCTGGACGTAATACCGAGATGAACTTGCGTTTGGATACAGAACCGTCTTTATCAACTTTCCCGGAAGGTGTTCTTGAGAATAGCTGTTGAGCGAACGAGTTGGAGGGTAATATAAGGTCTTCTCCTAAAGGTCCACGCATTTCTGGTTGATCGCTGGGGTTACGCTTTCGCTTTTTAGCGGGAGGCGGTTTGGAAGCAGCGTCGGAAAGCGGTAGTGAGGAGTCTCGAGGAGTGGGTGGGGAGAGGTCATATCCTTTGGCGACGTTCAGCTGTTTTATGGCCCAATCTTTGAAACCAAGACTCTTTCTTAGCTTCGTTGGTGAAGACCTATCGTCTCCCTCATATTGATCACTATCGTCTCCCTCATTCTGATCACTATCTTCTTCCTCAGATTCTTCCTCGCCATCTTCCTCTCTGTCTTCATTATCCTCCTCCTCCTCATCGGCGTTATTCTCTTGCTTTTCGATTCCAGTCCATTCTTCATCGTCCGGGGAGTCGTATGCGGAATCCGAGCTGTCAAAAGATGTGTCTGATTCAACCTCCGTGGTGGCTTTTGCTTTCATCTTCCAACTCGAGAATGCAATCTTGAAACTAACCTGAGAATCATATTATTCCAAAGTTTGCGATACGTACCTTTTTGTTTTTCGATCTTGGTCGTACCTTGGGAGCAATGACTGTTCCATCTGAGTTGCGGGCCAGAGCACTTCCGACGGTAGGTTGTGGAGCAGGAAGCTTCGGAGAGGGTTCAATTTGTTCTTCGAGGAGTCCGGTTTCCGTCATAAAATCTCCTTCTTCCTCTTCGCCTTCCTCATCGTCGGCCTCAGCTTCGACAACATCATAAAAACCATCATGGCGTTTTCGCTTTCCAGAACGACCCTCGATCGCGCGTCTTATTTCCTTGTCTTCCTGTTTATCCAACAAATCCTGATGGGTGGTAGCTTTTCCCGTTCCTAATGTCGCGGACGATTGGAAATGTACAATTGAAGGTAGTTGAGCCTGACTCTGCCTGAAAAATATCAGTATTGTTCTGAGGTGGCACAAGTGCAAACATACGATAGTTTTTCAAACAAGTGCACTCTTTCTTCCTTCTTAAGCTTTTTGTCCTGCATATGAACGATTAGCCGTATATTCCAGAAAAGAATCAAATATAACGCACGATATACTTTTCTAGTCTTTTCTTTTTCTTGCTCGTCCATTTCGATTCCGATTGAGCGACAAGCTGGCACTGCTGTTAGTTCACCAGAGCCTATTTGAGTGCTAGAGAGACATACTTCCTGCTTTAACTTTTCCTTTCTATCGAGTTCCTTCTCCTCGTTCGTCTTTGGTGTATGGAAAAGAGCATTTGGATCTGAATCCGGGGTTTTATCGTTAATGTGTGGGTTTCGTTTGCCTATTTTTCCCTTCTTTTTAGAACCTCCAGCGGTTGCCTGACGAGCCTTTGCATTGTACCGCTCACGAGGAGCTGGGCCCATGGACGACCTTGAATGAATTTTTGGGATTTGCAGACTAAAGTTCCCACGACTATAGATTCTCAGCCGAGCACTCCTGATCTTCTCGCCTTTGCACTGGTCTTTACACAGTTCTGCTTGAATTCAGCTCTCTTCGTCCTGAGCCAAATTCTCAATGCTATGAAGTGGCTAGTCACCCGTGTGGCCAGTCCTGGGCCAGTCTAAACCAGTCTAAAACCTCGTGAGTGCCTTGATCATGATTGATGTTTTTTTTCCGGTTGGCCTCGAGTTCGTAATTTGCAGAAACGAAGGAGAGACCCTGAGATATCGCAGAGGAATGCAGCCGCTATGTTCATTTCAGCCTCGTGTTATCCCATATGACATTCATGTGGTTGCGCATTTTCAATTACGCTGTCCTCCAAGTTTTCGATATATGATAGGAATTCACAATCCTGTACACTGCCTACATATACACACGGTTTTCATTACCTGAAAATGTTTTTCATGGAAGGTCCTTGGGTCGTGACTCAATGATTTACTGCTGAAACAATAAAATGATGTTTCGGCATCGTTTTTCTCTTTGTTCCCTTTTCTGAGTTTATGCTGCCATGACACCGGAGGCGACGGATCTTGAATCATCCGAGTCATTGAGCGTATGCACCTTAGGACATATTTACCTCAGCCTTTAGATCCAGACATCATGTATATAAGGCACTAATCAGAATATGAAGAGACCACCTTGGTTCCCCTGATTTTTTCCGGTGCCAACCTCCGTTCCAGTCCTTCCAGTCCACTTTCTATCTCCCCTCCTCAAGCTCGATTCTCTAAATATTACTCTAGTAGCTCGGCAACATTTTCTCTGTTCTGTCAGTGTCAACGGTTAACCGCACTGCTCCAAGGCTCAAGCGATCTATCTTGAGCACTAGCACCACTTCAGGGGTCGGGAGTTGGAGTCTCAACTGGTCTCATCTGTGATCGTACATCATTCTTCGTCATCGACTCAGACAGAGTACATATTGAAGACACCCTCGGCGCATCACAATCATATCATACCTCCATGAAGTTCCTCTCTACATCTTTGCTCTTCGTCGTTGCTTGCGTATGGGCCACCCAGGCCGCATACCTCTCTATACATGATCAGGAGCAGTCATGGGCAGGTTTCCAAGAGGGCATAATGATCACCCCTGTGCTTGACGAATTGGATTCGCATTTTTTATGCGATGTAACGATTGACAATGAAGTCTTCCAGATTTCCGTCCATTCTACGAGGTGAGTCGGTGTGCAATTGGTTGAACATTTGATTCAAGGTTATCAGTGAGGATGATTGGACATCAAATACTTTAGATGGCAGAGAACTTCCTGACGGTATGTTCAAAACGCACGCGTATTATCGTTTGGACCTGTCTGAATTTTTACATAGAACACATAACCATCATTGACCAACACCTCAGATTAGAAGCCGAACATCGTACTGGATCGACATCTCCTCCGATAGATGCGCACTCGTCTCCCCTTTCATCTCCCTCATTCAGCATTACTCGTTCCTCAATATCGTGCCAGCACGTTGGTGTTGCTAGTTCTACTTTTCGACGCAGGATAGGTTTCATGCATGCCATTGATCTTCTCAGTATCATTGGCGTGGGTTTCCTCGCTGCAACCGCATCGGGCGTTGCTGCCTTATTACGACGACATGACCAACAGAAGAGAACTGAGACCGATATTCCACGGTCTATTTCACTCAATTATTTGCACGAACATCCGAATAGTGACGATACAGAGCAGGTCTTTGATTATATCAAGAGTAAACTGGGTTAGAGCTCTTAACCTAGCTTCGTAATGAAAGCTTCATATATGATATTTAACGCCCAAGTCCTCGCATTTGTATACTGTAACTGCAATGTATTTGTATTCCATCTCATGCTATAGACAAACATATTTACACACATAGCTGTGCAAACCATCATCTCGGAGCATTTACACTCAGTTGGGAATGAAAGGGCCCTTGTATATGTGTCGCCCGTCTGGCAAAGTTAACCACATCAACGAGAAGTTCACTGCAGCATTCATCGTTTCACCACCCACCTATAATGTACCAGAGAGCACTGATTACAATGAACCCTACAAATACTGCAGATGCATAATCTAACAAGAGTCGCCCGCTTAGCACGACTAGTCGAACACATTAGGAAAACGCGGCACGTACTCATGTCAGAGGGCTGTACAGGAAGCGATACCGGCATGGATACGATGACCATTTCAAAAGCTATCCAAAGCACCGCGAGCACATTGAGCGGATATCCCCATACCCCCAATGAGAATGGAACATCTCGAGCAGGCTCTCGTCTCCTTGCGAGTAGTAACAAAATCGGTATAGCGCAACTGCAACCAAAACACATGATTGACACAGCAATGAAAGAATTGAATGCCGCCGTGGACCCAAGGTAGATGCACCCGAGGGCAAGCTGGATGACAGCTGAGAGGAGGTACGCGTTGACAGGTGTGTCTGATAATCGACCGCGACCTAAGCGGGCAAAAATATGATGGAAGGGAATGGCTTTGTCCCGGGCGAAAGCCCAAGTTGCGCGAGAGGTGGCGCAGGTGACTGAGAGACCACACAGTACTGTTAGTCCGAATACTGCAAGAGAAGTGAGTTCCCTTTTTCTCGTCGATAGATACATGGGAAACGCACTGATGAACCACTAATATCCGTGGCGTCATTGAATCAGTGGTAATCCAGAGCATGAGTTGCAACTTCCGTACCATTCCAAAACCACCAGCTTTGGATCCCATTATGAGCTCAAATACCAAAGCTTCGGGTTGTCCTTCTGGGGCTAGTGGAAGGCAAATGCCCTTCTAGTCTGTGACTGTGAAGCTTCTGACTTGTGCCTACCTGCTAACAAGACTGCGATATCTGGCAATGTGAACAGAATTGGAAGGAGAAACACGACGCCAAGCAGACATCCTGTTGGAACCGCCCACACAATCGCTTTTGGCAGATTAATCGACGGATTGAATATTTCTTCACCCATGGTCACGACTACATGGGGAAAAAGTGAGAATTTGAAACATATTCAGAGAAGGTCAGGTTTTACTAGTAGGAACTCCGAGAAATGTGTATGCTCCCTGAGTAGAGGAATGAAAGTAGCTCAAATGAATACGCTGCCACCAAACTATGTATTAGACGTACTGGCAGCATTCCGATGAAGAAAGCCCAACCCGGTGTCCATCCAGATTGCGAGGCGTCAAAATGAGTTAAAGCGTACTTGGCTGAGTGACGTCCTGCGGAAGCCTTGACTGATAGACTGACCACGATAACTGATAAGAGGGATCGAACCATCAAGTGTACTACTGACAAGTTCGAAGTCCTTACTGATGATCCCCAGGAGGTTCCAGGCGGCTGCTATACTCTTTAAAGAAAAATCAACTTGAAAAAATCGTCCTCGTATAACTAAGACTGCTTACGTCTAGGAAAGGTAATGAGTGGTCAAATACGATTGCGACGGCCGTCGTGAGTAATACAACGAGAGCGAATATAAGATCTAAGAGAGATTGATAACGAGAGTGGCAGAAGAAAAATGCACTGACAAGTTTGCCATGCAGTGGCTTCCCACTGTGGGAGGTAAATGTTCGCTCCAGCTAATACTAGTTGGCTCGTCCCCTAAAAGTATGTTGAAGTCAAGACCGTGATCTGTTACTTGACATATACGCGATACCCACAAAGGTCACGGAAACAGTCACTACCCAATAACCCACTGTCACAAGCCACCCGACAATCCATGAGAATAACAAGCGGTATTTCGAAGGTGCCAATTGATAAGTCCAGAAGTAAGTTCCTGAGGCTACTGGATATTTCGAACAAATTTCGCCCATAGACAAGGCCATTGTTAATGTAAAGACTGAGACCATTACGAAGCTGTCGAAGTTCAATGGGAGACTGTAGGCTGACTTTGAAAGCAACCAACCTCCACAGCATCGTCGCTGGCCCCCCGGATATTAGACTTGTTTGTAAGGGTGACGTGAGCGCAAATGCTGAAAAATTGAGTTCGAGTTGAGAAAATCGCATTTGTGGATGCAGGGGACGCCCTACGTATTGCGAAGAGTGCTGTCCATGGGAAACTAATAATTAGCCAGGACCGCGATGAATTCGTACGCTACGTACAAACTGCCACTAAGCATATGTTTGTGAGTCTGTAACGTCGACAAGAGAAATTTAGCACCGACTGAACAACATATGATAGAATCCCCGTCTCTAGTTAAAATCAGCAATGTATGTGAACCGAAGAAGTGAAAGGGTCCCCAACACGAGTCAAATGCTGAGTGTTATCTGGTTGCAATTTTGCGTCGTCTTGCACAGTCGAGCTCAAAGCGACGTCGAAGCCATCCTCGGATGCTGGCCGTGTTCCCTTGAGCTCCTCAAACTTGGTAGTAGGCCTGATAGTCGATGACATCGGTCGGACCACTGTCAGTTACATGGTCACAACCTTATATAGTTTGCCACTTTGAATACCAAGATAGCCCGGGTCTTGGAGGGTCTCGTGCGCTGATAAGGTCCTATTAGAAGATCAAGAAGCAAAGAGAAGTGTGGAATCTCGTAAGTAGTATTCACTTTTTCGCAAGGGAGCTGAAGAGCGGTGCTGAACAGTTTCTTTTCAGCAATACGCACCGTACTCCAAAATCATTACCCATCTCACCTGTGATAGATCCTCTAAGTGAAGCTGGAGTCTGTTGGGAGGAACTGGGTCGACTGTACTGACGTCAAATATAAAGTATCGGTACTGAATCTTACTGTTGAATGTTCCTAGATGTTCCTTCAGAAATTTCCGTTCCTCCCTTCCTTGGTCATTCATTTCATGCCGACATGGTTGTATTGAGGGTCATAATTGATTGAGAACGAGACTGGAATCGAGTCGGCCTAACCCTTCGCTCTCAGTCAAAATATTACGGTAGCTCGTTGGTTCACTAGGCATTTTGCAATGTGACGGGGGAGGTAGCGTTCTTGTCTGAATCATCCTTTCGGCGTGTTAGACCTGAAAGACTGAGTTACAGACCTGAGACCAACTCATTCCTGAACGGAAGTTGGACCGGGAAGGAACGGGACCGCCGATTTGGCTTATCAATCGATTCTGCTTCTGATTCTTTCATGTTTACTCCCACCAGACTTCCGCCAAACTTATACTGATAGCAGAGGCAATGAACGCGCTGACCTACGTTGACGCTCCTAACCAGAACTTGGTCAGACATTTTAAAATGTCTTGTCTATGTTACTGACGCCGTGAGTAGGTGTGCTGCATTTGTAGGTAGGAACGTCCTCTGCGGATCCGTTTTCAACTAAACGTTAATGATCAGGATGCCATTTGTGGACCCCTGCACAAATCAAACCTGCTCTCATACTTTTTGTCGACCATGTATTATTCAGTCACTTGCACATTCCCCGCAATGTCCTATCGACAGGTCTTTTCTTCGAGTTGAAGATATACATTCAGCAGATCCAATTATCCGTTCCGTAAGTTCCACCGTAGGATGCAACTTTACACATGAAACTCATTATATCATATGCAGCTCGTTGATGAATTGGTGGTCAAGTGTTCCAATGAGCCTGCTGGTTGCTCGTACACTTGCCAACGGCAGCTTCTGGAGTCTCATATCAAGAATGATTGCTTATATGCTTTGGTGTCATGCCCAGCTGATGGATGTGCTGAGGAAGTGCTGAGGAAAGCTCAAGTTGGACATTTTTGCTCTCACACATCTGTGATATGCGAGGATTGCGAAACGTCTGTCCGATACAATGAACTAGAGGTGCGTCCGTTGTACACATTTTGCCGGAATCTACTGAACATTTGGATATCCATGCTAGATGCATCGTTCTACTTGTCTCAAGAGATTCTACCGATGCGAAGATTGTGAAACTGAACAAGCTTGCTCATCGCGGGCAGCGCATGCTTCTTGCTGCCATGCTGCCCAGGTGAGATGCCCACAAGAGCATCATGGATGTCCCTGGGAAGGTAGAAGGAAAGATGTTTCATCTCATACGACAACATGTTCCTACGAAGCAATCAAGGGTTTCTTCGCCATTCAAGATGCTCAGAAGGCTACACTGGTCAATGAGAACACTTTACTCAAACAAAAAGTTGAAACATTAGAGAGTCAGTTGCGAGTGGCTCAATATGAACTTCGCTGTGTGCAAAGTGCCTTGGGACCTTGGTCTCGAATACCCACTTCTCGTTCTGTGTCCGCCCTTCCTCCTTCCAGCCAGTTGCCAACGTCATTGCCGCACAACCACACTTCGCCTTCACTTTCGTACATGCCACCGGGCGATCAAGCTTCCATAACACAGTACTTTCCAGATATCTCGTTCGATGATTTACAGGCGCGTTCCATTTCTTCTGCAGAAGATCAGCGGGTACCCGAAAGACCTAACTTCCTCCCTTTAACTCAATCAATGTCCTCCCGTGTATCCTTTGGTGGAGCCACAAATCAAAATTGGCAAAGTACAGGTTCTCTCCCCATAGGAAGCGGATCACGTCCATCCCAGAATGTCGTTGCTCCGCTGAACTTAAATACTACACTTGAGGGTAGCTTGGAGGGCCTACGAGAGTCCATTGTCACTCTGTCCACTTCTCTGGATTCACTTGGGCGGAGGAATGACATTGCATTAACCAACGAGACTCTAAGGCTTAATGAAGAGGTCACATCGTTAAGAGTCGCATTGCACGGACTCCGGATGCAGGCTCGTACTCTCGATCAATTTTCCATCTTCTTTCATTGATTAGTCATAGGTTCATACTATCATGATGGATCGTAATGCTCAAGTAACTGGGCAAGGACCAGGCTTTGACCCGTTATTCATACAAGGCGATATCCAATGGTTGCCCAATCGCTCGCATATGCAGAACCCGCCGCATAATTCTATAACAAAACTCTAAACACTACAAAAAAGAAAATTCTAGCAGGTCGAATGTGGTTGAAATTACTATGTAGCTTATAAAATATTAAACAGCAACTTTCATCGGAGCGAACTATTTCGATTAACTATTGTTGAAATGCGGCTATATTGTCTTTATGTGCAGCCCACAACTCATCCTGATGTATTTTTTCCAAAGCCTGGTCTCGTTGATCAAGGATCTCTTCTTCAGCAAGTTCTTCGTTCAATAATTCCTCGTCTGTCTCCAAAGGTATCAAAGACTCCGAATCGACAGAGGTGCTCGTTGGAAAACGGATAAAAGGGGGGTTCAACTCGAAATGGGAAAGGAGAGGACTGCTAGCTAGGAGAGACAATGGCGAACCATTGCCCAGAGAATCGTCTGATTCTTCGACTCCTTCCTCTGACTCAAGTTGATCATTGCCCTCATGATCTGCTTGATTGTCGCCATCAACTTGGACATTCCCCTCCTGATCTGCTGAATTATCGCCATCATCCGAGCACGCATCTTCTCCACAGAGATGCTCAAAGGCTTGTGCTTTAGTAGTAGGGTATCCAAGCATGGTAACGGCTTTTTTAATGGTTTCCGGGTATATCTTATCTTTAATTAGTCGAACGATGCGAAATTAAGACATACGTAGGCTTACATCGTCATTTTCGTGGCGCCAGACCTTACGTCCCCCTTTGAAAAGTATTTCTTGTTCTCCGAGTACAATGGCACGATGAACGACTCGGGTGACATAATCTGATAAAATAACGCCAAGCAGACGGATAGTGTGAAGCGAAATCGCAGAGACTGTGGTCGTAGCCTGCGAAGTATCTCGACGTCGTCTGGACGGAGAGTGAGTAATGAGAAAGGATAGGTATGATAACTGACTCCTCACGTGAGAAGTCGTCCTAGAGGGTGTAAATGGAATAAGTCAAGTCCTTGATTATGACAGACGGCTGCGTCGATTTCCAAGTCAATGAAGGTTTCGAGTACTTTCTGTTCCCTCGTCAAACCACGTTTCCGCGGCCTTTTCTTGTGCCGGTCTTCAAATTCCGACCCTTCTTCACTTTCAGAGTTCACTTGACTGGGGGTGTAAGGTGGTGAGCTAACAGCCTTTCTCTTTCGACCACGCTGTAGTCTCTGAGCATCCGTTACGATATCAGTACCAGCAATCTCCGCACGTTTGCGACGCATGTGTAGCCTCTTTTTGAGACGACGACGCTCGGTCGGAGATACTTCAGCAGCCAATTCCGGTTCTGTTTCCGGCACTGACAACGAGGGGATCCCTGACGATGTTCCTTCTTGTCTAAAAATCTTATCAATCACCTTGCAATGATCAACGGTCAAAATTTTCAGTGCATCGTTTCGCATACTGGTTAAATTTGCATCCGTTGGCTCTGATGAATCATGGTCCTGCGATCCCAGGTCCGTCCCCCAAGCAAGCTCGATGTCCCGAAGGAATGCAGCTTGCTCCTCCTCTGCCTCCACCCATTCATCGGTGACTTCCATTGCTATTTCGAGATCGGATCTCAGCGGTCCTGTGTCGCAATTTCCAACGGCGTCCTCCAATGCGAAAAGATATACGCAGACTTGAGCAACATTCTTTGTACCAATAGATTCCGCAATAAGATCTGGCCGTAAAGCAGAATGTGAACAGAGGGCTGCAAAGAAGCGGTCCTTCTCGTCTGTAGACCAATCTGAAAGGGATACGTCGTCGGACTGCTCGTCACGTACACAAAAGATGGATTCCAAAAGTTCTGAATGCTCTTGGCGCTGGTTGACGTGAATATCAAGTGCCCCGTCGGCCTGATTTTCGTCCTGCATACGGAACTGATTGCAGATGTCATGAAAACAAGAAAACAAGAAAACGTTTAACCAGCTTTAGTTGGCCGGTCCGAGCCAAGCCGACTCGTTCTTTGTTTTCAACTTCCATGTTCTATCCTCTCTGCTAGTTAGTAGCTCGTGACATTAGGATTCGCTCTCTGTCAACTGTATCAATCAGCTCTTATTGTGCATGGGGCCTCCTCGGATCGACACAGTGGTGCTACTATTGCGTGAGAAAGACCAGGAGGTGCGTTCACCATAACGAATGAAGGCGGCACTCGGTAAAGAAGATCACCTTATAGATTTTGCAATTAAAGTTACAGTTGAAAGCATATGCCGCGCGTACTTCGCTCATCCAGAGCCGACTCACTTCCACACAGGACGCATTGGATGCACTCCAGCTCAGCCACGACGAGGAACTCAGAGCAGAACAAGCTGCCAAACACAAAATGCAACAGCAACTCAAAACATATCATCAATTCCTCAGATCAGTTAACTATGAGAAGGAAGATCTTCGTAATGCTATCGTATCCTTCCTTCAAAGAGGTATGTCATGAAGGGGGCAAGAAACACTTATGTTTCTACATTACTCATTAAGTATCCTGGTATATGTCTGTAGTAGAAGACCCGCATAATACTTGGCCGCAATCTCAACTTCATGTATCCAGCTTACTTGGTCCGTCTGCTATGTACTTTCGCATTGACTAGTGAGCTCAGATGTTATTCCCAGAACCTGCTGATCCCAAATTGTTGATGCATCGTAATCAGGATGTCTCGAACGATTCTGATCAGAGGTTGATGAATTATGCTGCTGCCATGATTGATACTCTAGTACATGAAAGAGATTTAGCACGAACAGCCCATCAGTCTCTCCTTTTGGACGCGAAAGCGCAAATAGCGGCCCTTGAAGCTGAGCTTGCTCATCGCGATCTTGAACTTGAAAAATGCATATCCCACTGTGTCGACTGTCCCGAATTTCAGAGAAGCCGGACAGGATTTGAACCTTTCACTCCAATGGAACCTTCAGTCCTTTCGAAAATCCTACAGAAGACCTCTACTCGTCATAAGATATTGGAGCTAGGGAATCAACAACTGAAGGGACAGGTGAGGACCATTCAACTTGATGCTAATCACAATCAATCATACATCATTTTATACTTGCTCGTGCTAGCTGGAAAATCTCAGGCAGAGTATATCGGTACCACTGGCTTCAACCTCGCAAATGAAGTACAGCGACCGCATACAACATGACGAAACTTCCCGCGAAATCCAAGACGATTCCGATCCCACTGTGCGTGTGTCTCCCGCAAATGGAGATGTGGCGCCGTCCTTGGGGAACGTTATTCCCACCTCGAAGCTCATCGTTCAAATGGATACAGATATCAGAAATTTAGGCCTCACTATCAACGCTTTTGCATCCGAACGGGATCGACTCCAGAAAATGGTTGCTGAACAGGCTGTTATTCAGAAGTCAGAAAGTGCACCTGCTGGCTTAGAGATAGAGTCTCGAAGGTGTGGAACAGAACTTCGACGTCGTTGCTCAATGTTGACGGATTTGATTGGCCCAGGTCTGCGCATCTGTTTCAAGACAACGCCTCTGTAGACATGGAAGTTGCATACGCAGCTAGCCTCTGTCGCGAAAAATCTCTTATTGAGGATAATCTGAAACTTGTCGAACGGTTGCGCGATTTACATTCTTTCGATGTGCCAGATAGCGATACCGAAGCAAAAGAAGATTTGAGACCCTTATCTCGCTCAACTGCTGAGCCCGAACTAAAACGCTCAGCTTCGTCCGCACCACCTCAGCTCATTGACGCGGAGGACGGCGAAGTATCCATGGACCTCGCAACACCTCTCCAACCAACAACTTTCATAGCAACGCCAGAGAAAACCCGTCGTTCGAACACTTCGGGAACGCCGAGTACTCCACGTCCTCTTATTCCTCTTTCCCCAGCCCCAGTCAGTTCTAGTCTTTTCGGGCAAGAACAATCACCATCGTCTCCTCGACAAGGGCAATCGTCAATACCTTTCGAAGACATCAAGTCCGTCGGACCCTTGAGTCAACCTAGTGCGGAGGATGTAGGTAACGAAATCACAAGCGAGCTTGCTTCTGGAGAGCAACAGGTGGTCCAGAGTGCGGGTGCGGTCAACGAAACGGAACTCGTACTTGATTCAGGGACGAACTTGAATGATTGATTTCGCTACATTTTGATTGCTTTAAGTATGTATATCTTGTTTGTACGCACTGTCACTGTGGTATTCTTGGTTGGCTGGGTTGTGTTTGGATGCGCATCTAATGCATAATATCTTGTGGATGTACTCAATTGTAACGTGGTAATATGTGATCCTGGAGTCAATAAATGCCCTTAGAGTCAGTTTGATGTGCAGAGTCGCCCTGACTTTACTAGTGTCAGATTCCTATATACAGTAATTGATCTGTTGCGTGACAATGGATGTCAGCGGCTATTCGGCAGGATATCGAAGCGCCCCGTAGCGCCCATCCGGCCCTTCTTCAAATTGTTTCCCGACATCCCGCCCCATCCCGCCCCCATCCTGCTCCCATCCCGCTCCATCCCGCTCAATGCAGTGCACAATGTGCACACTAAGAATGTGTCATTTTAACACATTTTGATTTTTAGTACTGTACTGCCTATGTAAATATACCATAATGAAAACTGAATGTTCTCAACACAAAGGAACTGAGCACTACTGAACACCTCTGAGCAAGCTGGTAAGGTGATGATGGACTGGGGGAACAGTGATGGGAATGAACCATCATCGTAGCAAGCAGTCTGTCACATCTTGTCACAATTACCTCACATTTTTGTAAGTGATCAATTACTGTATATAGAAATCTGACACTAGTAAAGTCAGGGCGACTCTGCACATCAAACTGACTCTTATGGTTGATCAAAGTGGATTTCATGCGGATACATTTTTGTTGTTGTTAAAGTGGTACAATTAATTCCTGGATCGAAGACATGCACAAATTGAAGGTATCAGCAGAAATGGCAAGACTTATCACCAATAGCAATATTTCGTTTCCTTCGCCAGTTTTTTCAACTTGCCGAGTGGGGCTTCATGTTGGGATTTTCGATCCTGGCGATGGTTTTTGGAGTTGACTTCGTTCAGGCGGACCTTCACCTGTAGATTTTGTATTCCTCTTTTTCTGAAATTGGTCAACTTGTTTCGCAACATGAGAAGCGTTGAATCGTCCATCGACAATGTGCAGCAGGGAATTGCCTGTAGCAGCGATTACACCGCATCCGAGACACCAATCTCCGTCCCACAGAGCAGCAACTTGACCTGGCGATACCCCGCGCATAGGCTCGTTGGTTATGATCTCAAGCTTTCCATCATGGGCACTGTCAGAGCTTGGCTTAGACAATGAATTACAGGTTAGGAGCAAAAGTTGCACGTCTTAGCTATACATGACTGAACATCCTGACGATGGCGCACTTTGACCGCCGCACGGAAACCTGCTGGTTCAAAAATGGTGGCAGGAGGGGCATCATTCCAAATCCACTTCCATTCTTTGCAAATCACTCGATGTTCGAGCAAGGCTTGGTGATTACTGCAATATAGATGTTTCAGTCTTCGCCCGTCCCCAAGACGCCTTGAACAAGATACTCACCTACTCGGAACGACATAGATGGCATTCTTGATAGGGTCCTTGTGCGAAACAAACATTTTGGAGGGCTGTCCTGCTACCTTGGCGTTTTCTCCAATTGTGTATGTCCAAAGGCCTTCATGATGTCCGATCACCTTTTGCATCGTAGAGTCAATTATCGGACCGGGATTGGGTCTGAGGTAAGAATCTACAAGACGACTTAAGTTGAGAAGCAAGCAGCGCGTCATTGGATAAAGACTTGCTTAAAAATTGACTAAATTTTCCTCTCTCGCCAACAAAGCATAGACCCATACTTTCCGGCTTCTCTGCTGTTTCTAATCGATACTTCCGTGCGAGTTCTCGGACCTCGACTTTGGTTATTTCGCCCAGAGGGAAAAGCGCTCGTGCAAGGCCTTGCTCAGATATTGACGACAAATAGTACGACTGATCTTTTGTTTGGTCTTTTGCAGAGAGAAGTTGGGGACGGCCATTCGAAGACCAACGTTTCCTTGCGTAGTGTCCTTGTTTCATCTGAATGGTGGGATTGAGAAGAAGGTTCAACTGCCCATACCTGTAGCAAACCATGATATTCCTGTGATTGGATCGACGGGTAATCGTTCCAAAAGAGCCCCGAATTTGATTTCTCTACGCAAAAGTCAGCATGCAGTATGATCAAAAGGCCTACACTGTACCTGTTACACCAAACATCGGGATTCGGCGTAGACCCACTTTCCCAAACATCCAAAGCTGGTTGAAATATTCTATTCCAGTATTCCCGCGAAAGATCAATCTGTCTGCGATCATTAACTAGAAGATATCTCTAACACAAGAGTAGCACACCATGGTGCATGGGATTCCGAGTGACTTGCAAACGCGTTGAACGTCGTCCCAGTCTTTCTCCCATTCGCAACCTTTGTCTGTCCCAGATTCATCTCTGGTATCCCAGTTGCGCATGAAAATTGCAGACAAGTCGTAGTCCTGCACGTCATATTAGAAGCTTGTCGCCAAAGAGAAACGTAGTTAGACTTGGTTCGCGAGTAGCCTTGCAGTAACGGAAGAATCGACGCCCCCTGACATGCCAACGACAACTAGAGAAGATGTTAGAGATTATTAGTTTCCTCCAAAAGTCCGAAGCGCACCTTTGTCACCTGGCATGGGTTCACGATAGGCATGAGTAGACAAGGTGCGTGAATAATATCTCTTGAAAGCTACCCGAGAACAGAGTCGAACACCTGCCATGAAGGCTGATCAGTGAAGAAAATGCTTAGGTCGAAAACTGGGCTGAAACGGTAACCGGGACGGATGTCATCACGTGGGCAAATGTCGTGCAGCGCGCGCGCCTGTTCCTTCGAACTTTACACTGCAGTTCCCCATCTGGGCCGGTGACGGCGTTATCACCACTTTCTTGCAAGTGCCACTATGCCAGAAACACGACCTCGTCAGAGCAGCATTGGCTCTAGACGCCGACCTCCGAAGGCGCATATACCCTACAGAGGTGATTCCCTCGAAGTTACGAGGAAAACCGGCGTCAAGGTCGCGCACGACCCAGATTCAGATGGCTTCGAAACATACGAGCATTTCGCTCAGCAAGCAGATAAAATCACACCATATAAGATCAAAGATTCGAAGAAGAAGAAGAAAGGCATTTCTCCGGACCCAGAGCCCCAAGAGGAGGAGGGTGACTCTGACATGGAAATCGACAGTGCGTATTACTTTAGTGTTCGTGCTGTAATAATGAAATATTCACTTTTGAAAAGGCCCAATCCACTACATAGCCAACTCCAGACAACCCAGCTCCCCCATTTCCAGACGAACGAACTCGATGTCTCGACCCGTGGCACGAAACTCTGCCAATCAGTTTGACGATGTACCATCACCTCACACCCGTTCGCATAACAAGTTACGCCACAGCAATATTAGTGCTGGACGCTCTCGTCTCTCTCAGCGAGTCATGGTCAACGACGATGATCCAATATCGACCACAACACATGGCACAAATGGTTTCGCAGATATGTCCCTCGATATTGGGTTCCCCGACGATTTATCTATATCACACCGAAGCTTCACCGAATTGGATCGAGATGCTATGGAAGATGATGAAATGGATGGCGTTGTGGACGAACTACCCATTCCATCGCCCAAGCGCAAGAAGGGGAACCCTCCCTCGTCAGATGACCCTCCTGCTCAGTCTCCTAAGCGAAAACGAGGGCAGGCTATCGAGCGAACAACATCCCCTGAAGAGCCACCACCAAGGACACAGACGCCTGACGCTGAGGATGAGATTCAACAGCAACTTGAAGATCTCACCAACGGTAATGAGTCTATCGGTGAACAAGAAGAAGTCCAGGAGGACGAAGAAGAAGAAGCGGTTGCATCGAAGAAGTCCAGGATGGATAAAGGGAAAGAGAAGCAGAAGGAGAAGGGACAAGCAAGGAAGAAGGAAACTCATCGCGAAGGTATGTCGTTTGCACTTATGATGATTTGGACCCACTATTTCATCTATCCTCAGGTGTGCGCCGCAGTCAACGAAGACCTATCAGACCACTCGAGTGGTGGAGAAACGAGAAATATGTGTATGAACGGCCTACGCATGGCACCATCCTTGTACCTCACATTAAAGAAATCATTCGAATACCGGAGGAACCGAAGGAGCCTTTAGGCAAACACCATAAGCGGAAGCGCGGTAGAAGTAAGACCGTTCAACCTGCGGATGACCCCGAAGAAGGTTGGGATGATGATACAAATGCTGTAGTCAGTGTGATTGATTGGAAGACGAAAGAACCTAAGGACAAACGTCCGTTGTTTTACTACCCCCGCGAAACATTTTTCAGAGGAATTCTTTAGGAATAATCTGTCTTGCCAAGGATATCAAACCTCATCGCGCTGCCAACAGCGAATGGGCATACCAACGGATTTTCGGCGACGACAATTTCACAGCTTCTGGTCACCTAACCATCCCAGTGCACGGAAGAAAACCGACTAAGACTACCAAAGATAACACCTATGTTTGTAGCAATATTTGATCCAATTCGATCGTATTACTGACACGCTTTGCGCAGACCTTTTATCTTATTCAAGGCGCCATCAATCTGAAAATACACGAGACGAGTAGCATTTTGTGTACTGGTGCTCAGTTCATGGTCCCTCGAGGTATGTCATCGTGTCTGTATCTTTGTCTCGTTCGAGGCTCAATCATTTGGCTTTGGTTTGCAGGAAACACATATTTCATCGAGAACATCGGCGATCGCGAGGCGAAGCTTTTTTTCGCGCAGGCTCGCCAAGAGCCAACAGCTGAAAACCCCGAGTCTCCACGCAAGCCAAACACTCTGCCGCGTACCTCAAGTGTTGCGGGATTGTCAAAGACTCCTCCGGCGACCAAGAGAGCTACTACAACTGGGGTTTGAAATTTAAAGAACGGGTATTGGGTTCATGATTATTTTTTGAAACTCTTGTTTTGTATGTTTTTCTCGATGTTGTGTTATTAGTCATCGTTCAATAGTCACCGTGGCCAGTCTAATTCCTCGCATTCACGTTCCTTGATGGCTTGGTTAGTCATTTTCAAAAGGATAGCACGTTGGTGAATAAAGGACAACGGATAGCGGCTGTGAGGGTGCTCAGCGTCACTTGATTTGTGACGCCCAACTGACTGCGTCCTTTGCAGTCCCATAACATCGTCTCCATTGACGACGGATGCATCGGTCCTGAACCTGACTCCGACTCTTTGTATATATAACGAAAGCTCTCGAATCAATTTCGTGCCAAAAGTCATGATATTGCTCTACAAGGATAAGATGGGAATCACTAGAAATACATTGATGCTTGGTGAAATAAAATTACAATGATAAAGGTTATAAATGGTATGCAAGCATAACAAAACAGATTTCGGGAGGCAGGACGACACATCAGAATGTCAGAACAGAAAACTTGTGGAGAAATTGAAGATAACAAAATCATCTGCAGCTCATTAGTTTCGTAAAGCCTCAAGGCATCATGGGTTCTCCCCAGACCCCTTTGGCAGGTTCGCATTTGACTTCCGGAATGTACATTCTCAGCCACTGTACCATCTCCTTGCTAATTTGACTGCAGCGTGTAACGTCTATGGAGCGTATGCGACGTGGACCCGGAAGCACCGCTTGAGGGTGCTGAGCGGATCTGGATTTACTGGAACGAGAGTAGCCTGCAGCGACGGCAGAAGCAGAGATAGTCTTGGTCGCGGCCTGGGCTGAACGGAAGGCACGAGCATCTTGATATCGGGGATAAGAGTTGACAGGAAGCCGGGACTCCACAAAGGTGCGAAGAGAGTCCCAATCGAGAGAAGTACATCCATCTAGGGTCACTGTATCCAGTTTAGGACAAATCCATGGCTGAGAGGAAGACAGACTCTGGAATGAGAAATCAATATGTGGCGCCATTTAGACGAATTTTGACACGCACTGTTAATAGGTTTGACGAAGCATCCTCGACATCTACAAGTTCCAGGCTAGTCATAGATGGCAACTTTCGAAGAAGGGTCACCAGCTTTGGTTCATTGAAAAAGCACGATTCAATCCGTAACGATTGCAATGGGAGTCGGGTTAAGGATTGCGTGTAAAGCAGTTGGAGGATCGGTGTGACGTTTTCGAGGTAACACATTTCGAGTGACTCTAGATTCGGAAAAGTGATTTGGTTCATGATCTGGCGGGTGAAAACAATGCCGGAGTAGTAGAACGAGATCTTTGAAAGTCGGGGCAGTCGAACCGTCTTGGAGGTTTTAGGAGAGTCGATTTCTTGAAAAGAGGGAGGGTAACAAGAATCTGAGTCCACATCGGACATGTTCCTGAGAGCGAACTCTTCCAATTCAGGACAAAGGCGGAGTATACCCAGGAGCGTGCTCGGCGACGGAACAAAACCATTGAAATAACCACCAAGTTTGAGGACACGAAGCCGAGACACAAGACGCGTATCCCAGCCAAAATTGAAAGAGGTTAGGGAACATGAACGAAGACATGGAGTATGACCACGAAAGAGGGGAAGCGGGGGACTAGAATAGTGATCGTCCTGAGAACGGTAAATTTGGATGGTCAAAGATTCCAGTAAGGGTGCATCTTCCTGGCAGCGAGAGAGAGCGGCATGAGCTTGAGGTCGTGTGGGAACACTCAAGCTGAAAGATCTTGTTCGCCAGAGAGCTGGTCGAAAAAGATCCATCGCATGAATAACCTGTTCAGTGACGGTGTTTAAATGCTCCAGGCGAGGCCCGAAAGAGATGGAAATGTCAAGAGGACACGATTTCGATCTCGATAGTTTACGTCTCGCCTTTTCTAGGGAGTCGTGAGGGCTGACCGAGATCTTGGACCAGAGCACGGGAGTGTCTAAAACCACTTCTTCCCAATAATGACTGCCCAGCGTTCATGAAATGCAATGAGTTGATAAAGCGAAAGAGGATAATGGCATACCACTGACCAAACTAGCATTAATGTGGGCACCATCACAGGGTTCTCGTCCCTGATTCCAAGCACTCCAATAACAAAAATTGAGGCCAGTAGTTCATTGGGCAGGCGATGAATAGGTGATTGTAGCCGAACTGCCTGCTCTAAGTGAGTCTCCAGCTCGTGCCGTTGGCTCATTAAGGAGGCCATTTTGGAATCCAGTGAGTTTATGGCTTCCCGCAAGCGCGGAATGGACGCGCTTGGATGACATCGGGGGAAGGCATTTCCTTCAACCGAAGGGAGCTTCTGTATATATGCAGGGTGATGATACTGATGGACCGGAGGGTGACTTGTAGCTCTGCGGGGCGCAAAGGACGAAGGAGGCACACGATGGTACACCGACATAACCCGGGGAAGATCAACAAAAGTATCGACACACTGACCCGCGTTATATATGTCTGTAGACAGTTAGCTCAATTAAGGCGAGGCAAGCGCCTCGAGGCTCGAGGACACTGAAATGATATATTGAGGCTCGGATCGATTGTTTCAGAGACATTTCACACAAACCTCTTGTTTAGATATGTCCGATTGTGAAGGGGTGGTACCCGGTTGTAAGAAGAGAATGAATGAAACAGTTACATATAAAGGAAATTCAGAAAGGGATTATTTTGATAAAGTTGTCGTTCCGTTCCTCCACGAGGCTTTTACTGTAGTTGTCCTGAGTCCGACATCCAAATCTGCCTGATGGCTAACTTTGCATCGTGCTACTGAGTCGTGGGATGTAAAGGCAAGAACACAACAAAAACATCTCGATTCTCGAACACGAGGAGAGACGACGAGCCTCGAGGCAGAATGTTTAACAAAGTTCACGTTGTCCATTTTCCATTTCAGTCTTCCCACCATTTTGTTGGGCCAACAAGACTATGTATAACAATCTATCACTTCGGCTTGCTGACGCTAGATAAGTACAAATCAATATCCAATTGAACCACATAGCGCCGTTCTCTAGTGGCGTAGTCCAAGCTCAATGTTACTTGCATCTATGATTCTCTTTGTGGTATATTTTCGGCTGGCAGAATCCGGACGACACGTTTGAGAGCTATATAACGAAAGTAGGAGAACTGGGATAGGACCTTAGGGAAGAAGACTCGTCATTCTAGTATATCTCACCCCAAGACACGGTAAACTCACAACGAGATCCAAGAATATTGTCAACGCGCTGCCTTCGGGAGAAAAAATAGATGGATTCAATGAATGTAGTTGTTGCGAAGAAACTTTGGCCGGCAAAGACCTGACGATAATACTCACCTGCAAGCCAGCTAGCATTGGTGATGAGGTATTCTTTTTCCATGCTCTTGACACATATAGATAGAGAATAAGTCGCGTTGCCGAGAATTGAGAAGAAGAATAGCGCAGGAGCAAGGCCTTCACATCGAGTGCCGAAATTTTTGACTAGAGAGAAGGTCGACGGAGCACAACACTAGAACAAGATCACTAACTGATTTGCGGAATTCTTGAGCCTAGCTACAATGGCGTAGAAGTCAGGCCGCGTCAAGAGAGATAGCAAGCGACAAGTACGTAGCAAATTGCACTTGTCCAGCCTAAAATTTGGATTGCCCAAACCATGAAAAGACTATGGCGCTTTGGAAGTTTTTCTTCCATCTCAATGTTGCTACCGATCCACCACGCTAATACTCCGGTGACTACAACGAAGATCAGCGCGCCAGCGTATCGAAGAGCGAGTCCTTTCACTGAGGTCATGTCATTTTTGGTTTGGTTATTGGCGCTGTTTGGTAATAGAGGAGTTTCCTCGCTTTCAACGCCTTCGAACGCAAGGGACCTGGTGGCTTTCTTGCGATAGTAGTAAACTTGAACCAGTAAAATTATATCACACAACGTGTACTGCAAGAGCAGTCAGTACGCATAAGAGTGATAGGTTTTAATGACTAGAACTCACGTATAGACCAAGAATAATGATAGTAGGCAACAGACCAGCAAGAATGGCACCCGTCATGTTCGTTATGTCGCCCAAAAGCCACACGTAAACAAAGACGAGACTCAGGCCCTCTCCTGACTGCAATGTGTAATTTGCGTATATCTGAGGGGAATATACTACGATCCTGTTAATTATACATGAGCTTTTCATACTTGGATTTTATGTACAAAAAAACATGCAACATACCAGCATGCAATTGAGACCCATCCCAGCTACAGATAATATGTACCAAGAGTTGTCAATAACATTTTAAGAGGGTTTGTGGCAGTGCGTACGATGCTGCTCAACGTATCACTGTCAATGTCATTGAACGAGTACATGATCAAGAAAAACGACGGTTATGTCAACCGGCGTCACGTAATCGACATTATTGAATCTTCTCTCAGTCCGTCATGGATCCAGATTCTTTTCGCAAGTTTGCAACACAAGTGAGGAAAGCAGGAGGTAACAGACCTCCTCAAGGATTTCTTGCTGGAGGTGGACTTTTGGTAGCCCTCGTTGCCGGTGGTCTGGCCCTAAACGCTAGTCTCTTCAATGGTCAGTTCACTACTCCAGAAGACAGGAAGTATAAGCTGACCCGGGACTTTAGTTGATGGTGGCCATCGTGCAATTAAATACACGAGGCGAGAGCGCTTTCATGTATCTTTGGATGTATCGTCTCATTCTAGTCCAGGTTACGAGGTGTCAAGAATGAGATCTATCCTGAAGGAACACATTTTGCGGTACGTGGTGATTGTGCACATACTCCGAAGATTCGACTCCAAGTCGTGCGCACAGATACCTTGGTTCGAACGTCCCGTGGTCTTCGATATTCGTGCCAAACCACGAAATATCGCCAGTTTGACCGGCACAAAAGGTGAGTATTACATCCAATCCATATATTCTCCTTAGTCTCAATTATAATTTTCTAATAGACTTACAAATGGTCAATATCACCTGCCGTGTTCTTTCCCGTCCCTCTATAGACGACCTGCCTGTCATCTACCGAGAACTTGGTCAAGACTATGACGAGAGGGTATTACCGTCCATCGTGAACGAAGTGCTGAAGAGTGTCGTCGCACAATTTAACGCCAGTCAACTCATCACACAGCGAGAACATGTGGGCCTTTTGGTTGTGTTTATCCGTTTGTCCACTGAGATTCGGTCGCAAGGTTTCTCGACTTGTTCGTGAAGGATTGACTAAGCGTGCTTTGCGATTCAAACTTGTTTTGGACGATGTTTCTATCACCCACCTCACCTTCTCTCCGGAATTTACCCATGCTGTCGAGGCAAAGCAGGTAATCCTCTCACCTTGAACGATATGAAACTTTCTCAGAGTTATTTAGATCGCTCAACAAAATGCTCTTCGAGCAGCCTTTCTGGTTGATCAAGCAGTACAGGAGAAAGAGGTTAGCTTGTTTTCCTGGATATATATTTCAGAGACTTGTTTACTTATATGTTCACTTCTCAGTCAATCATTGTTCGCGCTGATGGTGAAGCCAAAAGTGCTGAACTCATTGGAGAATCGCTTCGCGGAAATAAAGGTTTCCTTGAGCTTCGTCGATTAGAAGCTGCAAGAGATATTGCGACTCTCCTTTCGACTTCAGGCAACAAAATGATGCTCGATGCACAGAGTTTGCTCTTGAATGGTGAGTATTTGTACAGACCGTATGTAAAGGGAGTACTGTAAACTGACTATCTCTCTCTCTTTTAGTGGCTGGTGACAATGTCAATGATCTGGTCAAGTCGAAACGGTCATAATCTATGTACAATGTCTGTACATTTAAGTTTCGCAGTTGAATCAGATATTTTCGCACTGGTAATTTACAATATATATACGACAAAATCGGCCGATACCCTCTTCGGTCGTTCGGTTCACTCTTATTCTTTCCCCGACCGTCCCATACATTTTAATCTGCGACCTCTTTGTTTCGGACGAAGAAAAAAGTTCTTCGCCTATATTAATGTGAATCTTTACCCAAATTTCTATATCTCTATCCATCCGTCGACAATCACATTGCCTCTAACTGCTTACTACCGCTCACTATGTTGTCATCTTCTCCACTTCGAGTCTTCACTAGTTCGGGTACTCCGTTTAGGTCTGGCTCAGCCGCTCTGATAACCAAACGTAAATTCCGGAATTATGCGACACAAGCTAAGATTCCGGTAAATATAGTGGAGGTTGGACCCAGAGATGGATTGCAGAATGAAAAGGGTGTCATCCCTGTTGATGTCAAAGTCGAGCTTATTGAGAAGCTCGCGCTAGCTGGGTGCAATAATATTGAAGCAGGTTCATTCGTGAGTCCAAAGTGGGTTCCCCAGGCATGTCACTGTAGTTCGCTATCGGTATATATAACTCTAATGCTTTCGGTAATAGATGGCAGGAACAGGTGAAATCATATCAAGGATGCACCGACTACCAGAAGTTCACTATGCCGTTCTGGTACCTAATCAGAAAGGACTAGATGGCCTGCTTTCTGTCCTTAATGCCTATAATTCTTCACCAGACTCCGAAAGTGTTCCTCCGCCTTCAGATGAGATATCCGTCTTCACAGCAGCAACAGATGCGTTTACCCGCGCTAATCTCAACACTAGCATTACCGAATCATTGGTGAAAATGGCACCAATGGTGCGAGCAGCCCTTGACAAGGGATTGAGAGTAAGAGGGTACGTCAGTGTGGCGATAGCGTGTCCGTATACTGGCCAGGTTGATTACAAGAAAGTACGAGAGGTTTCCAGGGAATTGCTTGAAATGGGATGTTATGAAGTAAGTCTTGGGGATACTGTTGGTCGTGGTACGCCTTCGCAGGTAGCGGAGATGTTGGAGGAAGTGAAGAAGGATGTGCCAGTTGAAAAGCTGGCTGGCCACGTAGGAACCAATATGTTTGTTTCCATAATTCTCTACTGACATTTCTTGCAGTTTCACGATACCTTTGGCACTGCAGTGGCTAATGTATTCACTGCATTAGAGCACGGGGTGCGTACGATCGACTCTTCCGTTGGTGGGCTTGGGGGATGTCCCTACTCTCCTGGAGCGACAGGCAATGTCGCTACTGAAGATGTCCTCTACGCCTTGCAGGGTTCCAAATATGGCATCACTGGAACAGAGTATGGCAAGGGCACGATTGACCTCGATCAGATCACTGAAATTGGTTGGTGGATAAGTGAAAAACTCGGAAGAGAGAGTGTCAGCCGTGCGGGTAGGGCCTTGAGAGCAAAGAAGATTCGCGATGCAGAGATGGCTAAGGATGGGGAAGTTCGGGCCAAGCTGTAGTCAGCCGTGCGTTGTAAGGTTAAGTTTTGTATCATTGTTATCACATATTTGAACACTCGTACTTCAGTCTCAGTACTAGTTAAATTAAGCTTCGGTATTACCACAAGCAAAATCGGTTCTGGTTGATTGGTTGTATTAGCGCTGAAAGAGGCTCAAGTCGTCACGTTCGCGTTTTGGCATTTTCTACTGTCACCTTCATTTCAACGCGTCTTAGACTTTGACGATGCCTGGCTTCTACAGGGGTGGAGGACAAAATCGAAAGCGCAAATTTCATGCAACTAGAAGACAAAAACAACCTCAGGCTAGCACTCGATCAATATCCGGTACACCTGCACCTTCGAACACTAATGAAGAGGAGGTCCAATCCGAGGACGGGGAGGATTCCCCAACCTTGCAGAAGAAGGTCAGGTGGGAAGGCAGACATCGGGCTAATACCGAAGATCCTACAGAGGATGGAACAATGGAAGGCACTAGTACTACAGAAGAAAACCAAGACTCTTGTGAACCTCAAGCTAGTAGGATAGACAAGGTACGGTTCATTGACTGCATACTCTGTCGTTACTCATTACGATCTCATACAGATTTTTCTGACCGCATGGTGTCAAAAGTATGCGGAACATTTTATCGCCCAAATGAAGCTAAGCACCTTGATTTGTTCTGGTTTATTCCAGTCGTCGCGTTGGTATGGCATATTACGATCCTATCAAATGCAGTATATATGTGCTAGAGGATACGGAAGAAACGTCTCACTTCGACGTGACAAAGATGGGTGAGTCCAACACTGACGAAATTTGTTCAATCTCTCATGATACCATCTTTAGTCTTGGAACAAGCTAGCCCTGACATCGTACTCACAAGCTCAAGATCCGATGATGAGTTCATGGATACAGTTCGAGAGCTGGGTAAGTTTATGGTTGACTACCTATACGCATATATTGACTTTCCTGTCTGTTTAGTGGAGGTTTCTAGTGGCATATTTCAAATCCGACCTAACAAGGAGTTCTCAGCTGCAAAAGGAAAAGATAGGTTGATCTCTCTGCAGCTGCTTTCGGACTTGCCGCAGGATGAGGATCAAAGCTCGATGCTCTCGTCAGATGATGGGTCTTCTATCTCCCGAAACGCGTACGAATTCATGGCGACGCGTAGTGGTGCGATGCACGACCCGACTACAAAGCGATGGAATGCATCGATTCGGTTATTTAATTTTGCATCTCTGGAGTCTTCTCCGCTTTGCGTGCGCCAAACTATAAACTGTGTTGAACTGTTTGGAAAAAATTAACTCCACGTTTGTTGTTTAGATGGCGTCTATCGGGGCACTACTTGACCAACTCGTGCGTGCGCGTGCTGTTGATGATCTTGAAGATGAGGGCATTCGTGGACTGGAGGTCCGTGATATTGAGTGTCTGGCCCTGTTAGTCATTCATTCTTCTTTTCCTCTGTCTGTTGTTCATGGTTTCTCAAGGAATGAAGTGATGCAGATCAATGGCGATGCTCTTTTGTGGGTTAATTTTCAAGCAGCCCACAACTCTTGTGCACCGAATAAACATACGGTAGTTCATTACAGGTGTTCGAGAACGAAGATCATGCCTCGATGCATTCCAATAAGACTAAAGAAGGTCTTTCGCTTTCTGGTTAGTTTTCCTTAATTCGTCTGTTGCGGATTTGATAACTTATACCGGAGCTTCTAATCAGGAATTTTGAATGTCACCAACACTGCATTGGGTAGGGTTCTTATGCGCTCCTGGCTTCTTCGGCCGTCGCTTTCCCTGTCGGTGATAAAGTCGCGCCATGACGCTGTCGAGTGCTTTCTTCGGCTAGAAAATGTAACAACTGTCACTACCCTTCGAGGCCATCTCAAGGGAATCAAGAATGTTCCTCGTATTCTAAGCGTTTTGCGTAGCGGAAAGGCAAAATTCGTCGAATGGCAAGGATTGGTGAAAGTATGTTGATCTATCGTTTACCGTGACGAACGGTGGTTTATAAGCATGCCTCTAGTTCACTGTGCTGTGCGCTATGTTAAAGGAAACTCTCACTGAACTCCATGAAGCGTCCGGTCTTGATATTGTTCAGAAAGTAAGCATCCAGTCATTCTAAAATTCATTGTGAAGATCAATACCTTGTTTCTGTTAGCTCCTCCCCGCCTTGGACATTTCATGCTTCAGAGAGATTGGGACTAGGATAAACGATATGGCGCGGTATTCTTTCTCTTGACTCATACGGCCTTGCTAAATTGGATGTCATCTAGATTGATTGGGAAGAATCCACCGAAGCCAGAAGAATCTGTGTCCGTCCTCATATCGATGAAGAGTTGGACAACAGAAAACATGTATATAATGGGATTGACACCGTTCTGGTATGAGACAGGATAGTTCTCGTCCACTGAATCTTACTTTTGTTTTCGGCAGTCGAAAGTCGCTGAAAGGATATCTCGCATTATACCTTCCGACTATGCATCTTCACTCAATATTGTGTATTTCCCTCAGTTAGGTATGTAACTTATGTGATTTCCATTCCCGCAGTTGATTCTGGAACTGGCGGAAACAGGCTTTCTCATTTGTGTTCCTATGCAAGAAGAGTGGCGAACTGAGGTAGGAGTCCAAGTGATCGACGGTTGGAGTTTCCAGGTGATTGAACACCACCTTGTCCGCTTGATGCTGAACTTACGAACCCTAGTTTTCATCGGAGTATGCATATCTTCCTTATTGTCATCTAGACTTCATTCCTTTCTTGATCGTCCCCGGCCCGTAGATCGCACGTCTATTTCAAGTCGCAAGAGATGCATGGTAAGGAACAGTCTTAGGATTGTGTATGAAAACTAATAGCGACAGACATGGATGCTCATATTGGAGATTTACATTCGCTGATCGTAGACCGAGAGATCGAGATCATTCAAGCTTTGCTCGAGGAAATATTGGTTCATGACGCAGCGATGTCACATGCGTGCGACGTTTGTGCCGAATTAGATTGTCTGCTCGCTTTTGCAGATGTTTCTAGGGCATACGATTACCAAAGGCCGGTCATGGTTGAGGATAATATCATCGATATTGTCCAAGGCAGGTGAATCAGGAATTGACTGGCTTATCGATATTTTCACACAGTCTACTCAGGCATCCCTTGCAAGAGTTAGTTGTCGATACGTTTGTTCCCAACGACGCTCGGATAACAGGGGGAGATGGACATTTCTCAATTTTTACAGACACTTCTGAAGCGGACACTCAACTGGAGGAAAATCATTTAAAGCTTTGGAACAGTGTCCTATTGTGCACCGGAGCTAACGCATGTGGGAAAAGCGTGTATCTCAAGCAAATCGCACTAATCCAATACATGGCACAAATCGGATGCTTCGTACCGGCAGAGGCAGCGACTTTGGGCATTGTAGACAAAATCTTTACCCGCATTTCAACGAGAGAATCTGTCTCCAAAGTGATACCGAGTTTTATCCACTTTTATCTATCAACATCATTGCTCAAATTTCTTGAACCGGTCCTAGGTGCAATCAGCATTCATGATCGACCTTAATCAAGTATCACTGGCACTCCGAAATTGTACTGCTCGCTCTCTTATCCTTCTGGACGAATTCGGCAAAGGAACTCTTCCAACAGGCTGGTTACTTCTCCTTTCCCCTTGTTCCTTCAGATCTTTACTTCAGCTTTCCTAGATGGAGCAGGCCTTCTTTGCGGCGTCATCAAGCACCTCTTGGCTAGAAAATCGAACTGTCCGAAAATTTTGGTTGCAACACATTTTCACGATGTCTTCAGGAAAGAGATACTTGATCCTAAATTGATTCCTATATCTTTTCTACATATGCAAGTCATGTTCACTGCGGCGCGAGATGGAAGTCTCCTAGAGCCAGGCAGTCCTGGCAACTCGTTGACTTCTAGGAGCTTGTCTGCCACCCTTTCTGCAACAAAACCAAGTAGTAGTGTGGCCACGCAAGAAGGATTACGAGAGGAAATAACTTATTTATACAGGTGAATATCATTCGGACTGTGGCCGGCCTGGTTCAAATCTTCTCAATCTATGTAGGGTAATGGAAGGGCTATCAATGGACTCGCACGCGGCCAAGTGTGCAGAATTGTTTGGTATTCCCCCCCGCTTGGTGCAAAGGGCGCAATACGTTAGGTAACCATGACTTTCGTTTAACGGCTGCTTACCATTGATTGGATTGTTGTTACAGTCAGCTATTATCTTCCTATGAAATTGGCCGGCTACTGGACGAGAGGATGTCGGAAAAGGAAGTTTTGGAGCTTGAAGAAGCTGAAGCGATATGTCGCAGGTTCCTGGGGTGGAATCTCACTGTGGATAATGTTGGTGTGAAGAAGAAATTGGGGGAAGTGCTTGGTAGGCAACACCCAGGAGATTGAGGTATACAGTAAATATTTAAATGCTTGTTGCAGACCTGTAACATCCGTGACTCGGACGACAGAGATGGATGGACATAAGTATTACTAATAACCAGGTTATAATTTCTGCCATGTGACCCAATGGTGACAATCACATATCAAAAATCGTCACAGCCATTCTGTTAAATTATTTAATGGCATATTATTCACTTTGCTTCCCACTTCATACGCAAACCCACATCCCTGTATCACAGAATAGAAAGCAGGCTTTCTCTATACGCTCATTTTCTGTCTTAATACAACACCATGTCTTGGAAGCTTGGACGTGGCAAGAAAGCCTCCTTCACTAACCTCCGCTCCACCACTCCGACTCCTTCTAACCCAGACGGTGCAGGCAAACCCAGTGCCAGATCCGGGCTGCTTGCTATTCGAGTCCTCTGGGCTGAAGGCCTCAGCATTCCACCGGGTACTGCACTTCCTCCTGCTGTTCAGAATGCTTTGGTGTCCCAGCAAGCCAAGGTAGCTGCTTCCGTCTCCCCTTCCAGCGTGCAGCAGCATCGACTGGCGCGGTCTAAAGGAAACAGGTCCGTTTGTTTCCATGACGAAAGTAGAGAATATCTGAACATTACATAGGGACAGCATTCAGCGTACGCAATGCTGGTGGCTCCCGTACCTTGTAATGGAATATGAGGTCAATCAGGTACTCATAACTCCCCTTGGCGGTGAACTCGACAAGCCTCTATACATGTACCAGGCTCACTTGTAAGTTAGCTTCGATCAAACATTGATCAAACATCCAAATCTTGATGAACTGTTCTCCAGTGATGTTTCCCGTAATTCGGAACTTTCCCTCCAATGCTACCTGCGCGCTGACGAACCCAAACGTGGAGGAGACGGTCTCGCAGATGACCTTGGGAACGACGTTTTCTTGGGAGGAATCAAGTTCGTCCCAGATTTCGAGAACATGGGGACTGAGGACCGCTGGTACGAGGTTGTCGGTGGGTCTGGGAAGATCCAAATTGGTGTTTCATATCAGCCTCATTATGGTGGTTCCTTGACCATTGATGAATTCGAGCTCATCACTGTCATTGGCAAGGGTAGTTTCGGAAAGGTGCGATACTCTTGTGTCCTCGGTTAACACATCTAAAACTATCTTCTAGGTCATGCAGGTCCGCAAACGGGATACCTCGCGAATCTATGCATTAAAGACCATCCGCAAGGCTCATATCGTCCACCGCAACGAGATCACCCACACCTTAGCTGAGCGCCTAGTACTGGCACAAGTAAATAGTCCTTTCATCGTACCGCTCAAATTTAGCTTTCAGTCGGAACAGAAGCTGTATCTTGTCTTAGCGTAAGTACTTTCAATTGTTCGTTGGAAGTTGGAAGTTGATCGAGAGCAGATTTGTAAACGGCGGCGAATTGTTCCACCATCTTCAGAGGGAACAACGTTTCAATGAAGAGCGTGCTAGATTTTATAGCGCTGAGCTACTTCTGGCTCTAGAGCATCTGCATGAACTCGATGTTGTTTATCGGTATGTTTGCTTTTTTTGATAATGTCGCTAGCCTGTTCACAATTTTGAGCCAGTGATTTGAAGCCGGAAAACATTTTGTTAGACTTCACTGGCCACATTGCTCTATGTGACTTCGGCTTGTGCAAGCTGAACATGAAGGCAAATGATAAGACAAACACCTTTTGTGGCACTCCCGAATATCTTGCTCCGGAAATCCTATGTGGTCAAGGATACAGTGAGCAGTGGTCTGTTTGTTTTTCGAAGTTGTCCGTTAAGCACGTATTCAGACAAAACCATCGATTGGTGGACCTTGGGAGTTCTCTTGTACGAAATGCTCGCTGGGCTTCCCCCGTTCTACGATGGTGAGCATACTGCTTCTATTTCGCTCATAGACCCTAATACTTCTGCAACGAACAGATAATACAGACAGTATGTATCAAAAGATCCTGAACGACCCCCTTGTTTTTGGGCCTGAGATTAGCTCTGAAGCCCAGAGCATACTCACTGGACTGCTTACTCGTGATCCCACTCGTCGGCTTGGAGTCAATGGCGCTGAAGAAATCAAAAAACATCCATTCTTTGTAAATCACATCGACTTTGAGCTGTTGGCCCGCAAGAAGATACATCCCCCGTTCAAGCCCAGTGTGGCCAGTCCTGTGGATGTGTCTAACTTTGATACTGTGTTTACCGCGGAAGCGCCGGTTGACAGTTTCGTAGAGGACTCAAACTTGAGCCAGACTGTTCAAGCTCGGTTCACCGGTAAGCTTTTCATATGATGCGTGCGACAAAATATCTTACGTCTAGTTCAGGGTTTTCTTACAACGGTACTAACATTCCTATCAGTCCAGTATAATCTGCGTTGTATCGTGATGCCTTCTACTTCGTCTTTCTCTCAGAAAGTTAATTCTTTTTCAGTAGAATTGCATACCTGTACAGCTTACTAATGTCAACGTAGGGGTCATCCATCTATTTATTCATCCTATCTACTTACAATGCTTTATCATTCTGCTATTCGTTGTCTCGGAATTTTTTTTGTGGATATATCATTGTACCATATGCCATACATTCATTAATATTTCCAAATCGACTTTTCGTTTTTATCAATATCTACATTTGTCTTCGACCTATTCGTTCAACTCGATACACAATCCTTACAGCCATAGTCTCTCTCTGAATAATGTTTTGAAACAATTGTTCCGCAATCAGGCCCAAGCTAAGAAGAACGCAACTTGATGCAGACTCCTGGCGGGAAGACATTGTAGGCCCGGAGGTGAACGGGCCTCGACTAAATTGCCTGTCCAAGCGCACCCCCAGCCTACTCCCGCATACACTCTACCAAACTCTACCTGTGAATCATGATGCACAAAACGAACGTTAGTGCGTTGAGACTACAAGAATATCGTGGACAAGTCCGAGAGAGACCGAGAGCCTGCCCAGAGGCCTACGACGGGGACTTGGTTTTTCCCTGAAGACCTTCTCCCAATCAATGATTCGATTGATTCCATTAACCAAGGACCAAAACCATAATCAGGTTACGGTGACCCATTTCCCCAGACCATCCGCCCCTATCCGCCCATACTTCTTTGAACTGACCTCCATTCGTAGTGGCATCAGAGACTGAACCTGCCGGCTTATCTCGGATCGGTATCATAACAATGCCGATGCACTTGATCTACTAGTCAGAGCGAGTCAGGCGACTAAATGAAGAAAGCTTTTCTGTGTCCGAGTCATCCCAGAATCTTTTCGACGTGGAGCGCCGTGTCACTTAGGGCTTATTCTTTGAATTCCTTTCTATCTTTCCACGATCTTTTCACCCTTGTACTTTAAGCTTCTACATAGCTACTGTACATTATCATAGGAATATTGTAGAGTTGTTTAACAGTTGTTTTTGTGGGATGTAATTCTCTCCATTGAATCACAATTGTGGGGCAAGTTGGCTCAAGGGGCACCCCACGACTTCTGCCCGCAACTGCCCGCAACCTGAAAATTCAAGCAGGGGGGCTTGAGCTTGAGCTTGCAGTGGAATCTCAGAGCGGACTTGTACCTGCCATGCGCGCACAGTGCAACGGCCTGCGATGGCCTACTTTCGCACGTACATAAGTAGGGTTCATTGAAGATAAATATGTATAGAGAAGGTAGGAAGGACGTTCAGTTAAATGCTTCAATTGCAAGAAGATCCATCCAAGATTAATGAGACTATGAAAGTGAAAGTAGCGAGCCAGTTACGCATTGCACGGCACAGTCGCAAAATCTGCCGAATAATGCCGGAAAATGTTCACTTTGAAATGACTAAAGAGTGACATGTCAGCGGATCCGAAAGCCATACTTAAGTTGACGCAGCTTCCCATTGCATGTAGCTTGTCCTCTCCTCATCACCTTCCCCATAAGCGGTTCAACCGATTTTAAAGATGTCGGATTCTCGGCCGAATAGTGCAGACGAGAAAACGACTCTCAATCACAATGATAAGAAACGGTTTTTCTGGCGGTCGTCAAACCCTGCTGTGCCCAAAAAGAAGGACGTCGATCACGATGAGAAGGAATCTCTCTCATCAGAACCTCCCTTGGTTCCACAACCAGTGGAACCCGAGTTGCACCCCGTCAGTTTTACAGAGATGTTCAGGTGCGGAACTGCTCTATATCTCAATCAAACATCCCTATTCATTCAGCCTCCTCTTGCGTTCGCAGGTTTTCCACTAGGACAGAACTGATCTTGGACTTCATTGGTCTTTTTGCTGCAGCTGCAGCTGGTGCAGCACAGGTGGGCAAAATTTCTCTTTGTACGCAGTATGATATTCAGCCATGATCAGCCTCTCATGTCGTTGTTATTCGGCAAATTAACACAAGCGTTTGTATCGTTCCAAGTTGTTGTCAACGAAATGAACCAAGGAAATGTCACAGCACAACAATCGTTCGACTCCGTTGCTGCTGGGTTTCGTTCAGAATCTTCCAAGGACGCGTTGTATCTTGTCATCATTGGTTTGTTGGCATCATTTATCTAGTATACTTCTACCGATTCAACCCCCCATTGTCCAGGTATCGGAATGTTCGTGTGTACATACCTTTATATGTATATTTGGACCTTTACTGGAGAAGTCAACGCGAAACGTATACGGGAACACTACTTACAAGCAGTTTTGCGTCAAGACATCCAATTTTTCGACAAAGTGGGCGCCGGAGAGGTAGCAACTCGTATCCAAACCGACACACGTACGTATTTCGGTCTATACAATCCTACTTACCTCACCATCTTCCACAATTTGACATTAAATAGATCTTGTGCAACAAGGAATATCCGAGAAAGTTGCGTTAGTCGTGAACTTCCTTGCGGCTTTTGTCACCGGTTTTGTTCTTGCCTATGCGCGGAATTGGCGTCTTGCCCTGTAAGCTTCCTGGTTCATACATTCCGCCGAAAAGCTACTAATACTATCACAGCGCAATGTCTTCGATATTGCCTTGTATAGCTATTACAGGAGCATTGATGGGCAAATTTGTTTCCAAATACATGCAGTGAGTACGGTGTATGTATCAGTTTGCTAACATTTGCTTATTCTGAGTCCCAGAATGTCCTTGAAAGCTGTCGCTGACGGTGGTTCTCTTGCAGAGGAGGTTATATCCACAGTTCGTACCGCACAGGCTTTCGGAACTCAAACGATCCTGGCTTCCTTGTACGACAATCACATTGATCAGTCCGAAGTTGTTGACGGCAAAGCTGCAATCTGGAACGGAGGAGGCCTCGCAGTATTCTTCTTTGTCATTTATTCGTCCTATGGGTTAGGTATGCGTTCATTTTAGGAGTAATATATGAATGCTCAATCCACTGCAGCGTTCGACTTTGGTACCACGTTGATCCTTGACGGTCATGGTGAGTTCTTGTCGACTCTCTTGTCGTTCCCTGCTCTGCAGGATGGTGATATCTTGGTTTCAACTGAAAATCTCCCATAGCTAATGCCGGCCAGGTAATTAACGTGTTTATGGCTATCCTCATTGGTTCCTTTTCTCTCGCACTGCTTAACCCCGAAATGCAAGCGATCACACATGGACGAGGAGCGGCATCTAAACTTTTCGCGACCATTGACCGTGTTCCAGCCATTGATTCGGCTGATCCCAACGGATTGCAGCCAGAGCATGTCGAAGGCGAAATAACCTTGGAAAACATTAAGTTTGCATACCCTTCCCGTCCTGGCGTCGTTGTTGTAAAGGATCTCTCATTAAACTTCCGTGCTGGTAAAACCGCAGCACTTGTTGGCGCCTCCGGATCCGGGAAATCTACGGTCATCTCTCTTGTCGAGAGGTTTTACGACCCTCTCGCGGGTGTTGTAAAACTTGATGGGCGGGATATCAAGACCCTCAATCTCAAATGGCTGCGCTCACAAATTGGTCTGGTGTCTCAAGAACCCACGCTGTTTGCTACTTCCATTAGAGGAAATGTAGGCCATGGCCTCATTGGCACTAAGTATGAGCACGCTAGTGACGAGGAAAAATTTGCATTAATCAAAGACGCGTGTATCAAGTCAAATGCCGACGGTTTCATCTCCAAACTTCCCCTTGGTTACGATACTATGGTTGGAGAGCGAGGTTTCTTGCTCAGTGGTGGTCAAAAGCAGCGTATTGCTATTGCTCGAGCTATTGTCTCTGATCCTCGTGTTCTATTACTCGATGAAGCCACGAGTGCGCTAGATACGCAAAGTGAGGGAGTTGTCCAGGTAGATATGTCTTCTTCTGTTTTAACCCCAACTCATATATCATTTACAGGATGCGCTCGATAAAGCTGCCGCTGGCAAGTTCATTATTTTTGCGATCAATCTCTATTTTTTTGACATTAATGCTCTCAGGTCGTACAACTATCACGATTGCGCATCGGTTATCCACGATCAAAGACGCAGATGTGATCTTTGTGATGGGAGATGGGCTCGTCCTTGAACAGGGTACTCATAACGAACTTCTAGCTAACGAAAATGGCGCCTACGCCCGACTTGTCCAATCTCAGAAACTTCGTGAAGCAGCCGAAGTCACCGAAGCCGCCGAAAATGACGAAAATACAGAAGATGCCTCTGAAAATATGGAAAAGGCTGCGCTAGAAGAGATCCCACTTGGGCGTAAGAACACTGGCCGTTCTCTGGCGAGCGAGATCATTGAACAGAAGCAGAAGAATATATTAAATGAGAAAACCGAGTACAGCATTGTATATCTTTTCCGGAGGATGGGTTGGATTAACAGAGCCAGTTGGAAAAAATATTTGTTTGGTGGATTTTGTGCCATTTTGACAGGCTTGGTTTTCCCCGCCTACGGAATTGTTTATGGTGTGCTTACAAACAAACCCTTTTACTTTCTGTTAATGACTTTGCCAATTACAGCCCAGGGTATCAACGGATTCGCCGAAACGGGTCATGCTGAGCGAGTTGCTGGAGATCGTAATGCACTTTGGTTTTTCCTCATCGCCATCATTTCAAGCTTAACTATCGGTGTTCAAAACTACAACTTTTCCGCTTCCGCCGCCAACCTTACTGCCAAATTGAGAAGCCTGAGTTTCCGAGCCATCCTCCGGCAAGATAGTCAGTTCATCGCGTCTCCACTTCGCTGAATGGGTGATCGCTAACGTATGCCATAGTCGAATTCTTTGACAGAGACGAGAACAACACGGGTGCTCTGACTGCCGAACTCAGTGATAATCCCCAGAAGGTCAATGGTCTGGCTGGAGTCACCCTCGGGGCGTGAGTTATCAGACCATTGATAAATAATTGCGAGGTTAATCAATAATCATTACAGTATTGTTCAAAGCGCTTCTACCCTTGTCGGAGGAACTATCGTTGGCCTCATTTTCGCATGGAAACTTGGGCTCGTTGGTTTCGGTGAGGTCATTTTCTCCTGTACCTGTCTATCTCCCTAATATACCCTTTGCAGCATGTATGCCACTGCTGGTCACAACCGGATATATTCGACTCGTGAGTAGTATGTTGTTTACAGATTGTATCGCTCTCGGTCTAATTTAAATATCTCAGCGCGTCGTTGTTCTCAAAGACCAAGCAAACAAGAAAGAGCATGCTGCCTCTGCGCAGCTTGCTTGCGAAGCTGCTGCGTCCATCCGTACTGTCGCAGCGCTGACACGGGAAAAAGACTGTTGTGATCTGTATAGCGAGAGCCTGGAAGAGCCCCTGCGTAAATCAAATCGAACTGCTATCTCCAGCAATGGTCTCTACGCCCTTTCACAATCCATGGTCTTCTTCGTGATTGCTCTCGTTTTTTGGTACGGCGCTAGACTAGTTTCTGAGCGTGAGTTCAGCACTTTCGAATTTTTTGTCGGTCTTATGGTTAGTCCTACTTGCCCCCTGATTTTACTGTCATTCCTCACTACTGTCCACAGTGTAGTACCTTTGGTTCCATTCAAGCTGGAAATGTCTTTTCATTTGTACCAGACATGTCCTCGGCCAAAGGTGCCGCCACCGACATTATCAAGTTGCTAGACTCCGTCCCGGACATTGATGCCGAGTCTACTGAGGGAAAGCATCTTGACCCTACTCAAGTTCGTGGTCAACTTCGATTTGAGAACGTGCACTTCAGATATCCCACCCGACCCGGAGTCCGTGTCCTTCGTGACTTAACCCTCCATGTTGAACCTGGAACTTACATTGCACTTGTCGGGCAGTCTGGATGTGGAAAATCGACCGTGTTGGTAGTATTTGCTCTGTTCTTTGCCCCCGCGCTAAAATCCATCACAGAATTCAGATGATTGAACGCTTTTACGATCCTTTGGCTGGTCAGATATACGTGAGTCGTTGACGTTGAGCATCAGTCGAGATCCGTCTCACGTCTTTGTATAGCTCGATGGCGAGAAAATCTCAGATATCAATGTTACTGACTATCGCAAGTCTATCGCGTTGGTTTCCCAAGAACCAACGTTATATGCTGGTACTGTACGCTTTAATATCCTACTGGGGGCCATCAAACCCGCAAGCGAGGTGACACAAGAAGAGATCGAAGATGCCTGTCGTAAAGCGAACATTCTGGAGTTCATCCAATCGCTGCCCCAGTATGTGATTCTTTTCAAGTCATTTGTATGCTCCACTGACAACGATCTTACTCGCAATAGAGGATTTGATACTGAAGTCGGTGGAAAGGGCTCTCAGCTGTCTGGTGGCCAGAAACGTATGTAATCAATTCCGCGAATGTATCATGGATGATGGACATAGCACTTTCTAGAACGTATCGCCATCGCCCGGGCTCTGCTGAGGAATCCCAAGGTTCTTTTATTGGACGAAGCCACTTCTGCGTTAGACTCGAATTCTGAGAAAGGTATATCATGTGCTCTTCTCACTTTCATCAGTATTACTGACTGTCCTTTCTAGTGGTTCAGGCGGCGCTTGACGCGGCTTCCAAAGGTCGTACCACGATTGCTATCGCGCATCGTCTATCCACCATTCAAAACGCTGACCGAATGTGATTTTCCCTCTCTCATGCAATGATAATCGCGTCTGAATGTTTATCACTTTAGATATTTCATCAAGGAAGGTGCCGTCAGTGAAGCCGGAACCCATGACCAGCTTCTCAGCAGAAAGGGAGATTACTACGAATTTGTTCAGTTACAGGCTCTCAGTAAGAGGAATTGAGGTTATTGCTTAATTACATTACATTGGATGGAGTCTTGCTTTCCAATAACGACTACATTATTTGGATCTTGAAAGAGGCGGTATTTATTGGATACAATATAACACTCGCAATCGATGCATATGCACAATGCACAATTCTATACTTACATTCCTTTCAGCGATCACATCACGATTATTCATAATTTTTTTTGCAGTACATACGTACAGTATATAGCTACATCTTTTCTCCAATGGTATGATCGGGCCGCGTTCACTCATTCCAGGATCAGCTGCTTCCCCGGGCCTCTTGTTCCTGCGTTGCAATGAGTGCATAAATTGCGATTCATTTGTCCCATGGCTGGTTAAAGCCCCATAGCATGTCAAGGTTTTTTCCGTTTCCGTTCATCCAAATCCTGATGACCGTTGCTGCCACTGTTGCAACACCATCGGGATTCAATTGGAATTCTACCAGATTCGTTTATGCGTTTGGAGACTCCTACACCTTTGTGCAGGGAACATCTGGCTATCCCAACTTTAGGTGAAGTGAGGACTACTAAGCAAATCGAGTATGTGTGTCAACTCATCGTCTCTTATCGTACAGTTTTATCGGGGATGTGTTGGATCTTGCCTTCACTCCTCAGAAAATATTCTCCGACGACATCATCCCAAAAAATGTACGTTGTTCATTCCTGTTCATTCTGCTTGACAAAGCAAACTAAATTACTCGATGTTTCTCTCGAAGACAAGTTCAGAAGGCTCGAACTGGGTGCGTTCCAGCATCTGCCCCTTCTCATCGTTACTAGATTGGAACACTTTCTAGATAGAATATTTGACCGGGTGTTTCGAAGGCAGTCCAACTCTCTGCGAGAAACAATTGTGGAATTTCGCTTTTGCTGGATCCGATATAGATGCTGCTCTGTCAGTCAGTCTTGAGGTATATCGTACATCACTGATACTCTATGTATGCAGTTTACCTCGACACCACAATTTCACGACGTCGCTTGTGGAGCAAGTCGCACAATGGACTGAATACGCCTCCGATGTTCTTCCTCATCCCGAAAATGAAACATTGACTTTTTGGTGGATTGGTATCAACGATACAGGAGATACCATGAATAATGCCTCGGTCAGAAATCAATATAAATGTAGATTCTGTACTGGATTTTGACCTCATTACTTATTAGATCCTCGACTTTGCTGCATTCTGGGAAACGGAAATGACTTCGTATTTCAGTGCAGTGGCAAGTCGCAATCCTCAAGTTACCTCTGTCAGTTTGTACTAAAGAAGGTTTATGTATGTATAGCAAATGGCTTTCGATAACGGACTGAGGAAACATCTTTTTATCAATGTCCCTCCGGAAGATCGTAATCCAGCTACAGTGGGGAACGCCACTGCCGCAGCGGAGATGAAAGAACATATCGCGTTGTTCAACTCTGCTCTTGCGAATCACACCATTGCATTTTCCGAAAGAAACCCTAGTAAGTTCGATGTTCAACTCTCGCATTCTTGTTCATACCTTTCTCTTAGATGCCACTGTAATGACATTCGACGCGAACGCAGTCTTCAACAATATCTTGGACAATGCGGCCGAGTTCGGATTTACAAATATCACTGGGTGAGAGCCATAATTAAAATCACTCATGCATTATTATGTATGTGATGGGCTGTTTACACTTAGATTTTGTACTTGTACAGATCCCGAAGGCTTCTTCTGGTACAGTGAGTTTATACCCTTACATCCGTGTACAATAAGGCTCAAGCTGCCATTTGGTTGTAGATACCGGACACCCCACTCAGGCTGTTCACAAGCTAGTGGCAGACACTTTGAGGTCTCAACTAGAATCTGGAAGTACTTGAAGTTTAAAGAGCGTTTTGATCATCATCCTCGCTGAAGCAAGTGCCGCTGGAAAATGCAAGGAGTGGATAGACGGTAAAAATGACAAAAAGGCGTAAAGATTATCATGAAGCTTTTCCCTTCAGTCACTAGTCACTGAGTATGGTATACAAACTGTTGTAGCAGGACCAGAGAACGGCACTACTTTTCAGCATCGAAGGGAATCAAATGAGGCAAAAGAGAGAAAAAATAAGTCAACAGCAATGGTACCAATTAAAAGAACAGATATGTCATTATGAACACTCCTAACGAGATGATCACCACGACCTGCAGGGGAACACCATCTTGAGGCATAGGTAATTCCTCTACCATGGTGCCGACATCACTGGGAGCGATGGTGATGTCATCCGAAAGCCTCCTTGTGCGTTGTCTGAGCTCCGGGGGTGGCGCAGCAGCAGCTAAGAGTGATCTCAGTCTATCAATCTCTGCCCGAGCATCCATCAGTTCCTCGGTTAGATCCGGGAGGGGGGGTACAACAGGCGCAGCAGGTGTTGAGGTGACAGGAGCAATAGCTGGTGTGGCAGATTCGGGGACAGCAACTTCCGGAGGAGGGGGCTGGATGAAGACAGAGACCGGAGGAACTGGCACTTCCTCGTGGGCATCGTGGTGTTCTTCCTCCTCTGGGTGTTGTAGTGTACTTGGTTCACCTTCTAGAGCAAATTCGGGGATATCGTGTCCATTCGCTGTTGGCTGTTGGCGAACAGTGTCAAATTGCCGCTGTGTTGGAACAAATCAGCTATACACGCCACAATTAAGGCTTGCAGTAAGACATACTGAGTCGGGAATGATTGAGCTCTGATTGGCCAAATTCTCATCCTCTTCCTCCAACACCTGGCCTTCGGGAGGTAGATAAACCACTTTCAATTTCAACTGGTGTATCTTGTTAGCCTCATTGGTGTCTCCTTCCGGAACCGTCCACTGTAATGACAAAAACGGTCGGAAAGTGCCCCAAGTAACAGGGAGTAATCACGCACAATCTCTCCCAACGGCTTCTGCTCTTTTTCCGGGGTTACAAGGGTACTCTGGATTAGGAACTTGTCTTTGCATTTTGCGTTTAGCGGGGGTTCTTCCTTGAGAGGTTGTAACATTACTGCAAGGCTAATATCAAGTTCCCAACGTTTGAAGAGGACCAATGACGCACCAGCAACCTCAGCAGTTGCACCCGGCTCTATCCTGCCCGAATTCGGTCGTACGCAGTACAACTGGGAGGGGAGAATTGTCAGAGTATAGACAGCGGTTTTATTGTAAAAGTGGCAAAGACCTTAGGAGCGGTAGTTTTAACTTTGAAGGCTACGGGTTGAGCATGGGGATTAGTTATAATCAGCGCCCTCTTAACGAGGGTGGTAAGAGGACCTGGGCTGAAAGGTTATCAGGGTTCTTTAGGAGCGGTCCAAGAGATGCGTACGGTTAAATCCAAGAGAATTGTTGGGACTTAGATATACAGACATTTTGGAAGGAAAAGAAAGGGCCGCGTGGAGAAGTTCAGCGTAATACTCTTATGAAGTTTTGGTGAGCCACGTGGACGGATAATATGTCGCTCTGACGTTCAAACTTCGCTCCTCATGGCCGCCTGTTGCCCACTTCGTGTTTCTTATAACGCGAAATCATAAAGGCACTGCATTTCCACTCGATGTCTCGAGTTGTGCTGATCCACCAAATTTCTCTACTAGTCTCTACTGATACAACTCCGATGACGAGAAGAATCTAGCTAAACGTTAAAGCTTCGAAGTTTCGTCAACAACAGCACACTGCATACCAGCATGATTGAACACTCTTTCGACATCGCGATTTCTATAGCGCAACAGCATGTGGTTTGCTGTGTCTGCGGTGTAGACGACAAAGCATCTTGCACAATCTGGCAGCGAAGATTGACAAACAGTGAAAGCTCTAAAGGCCCTAAAAGGAGCTCTTGCATATCAATGGAAGCCGCGTCTCCGTTCCTACCTTCCACCTGTCGCTGATCTCATGTATCACAGGCTATACACATGGGTTACTACAGTATCACTACTACCATCTTCATCTATCCCTGGGCTTCTCTCTCTCTCTTTTCTCCTTATTGTGACCCTTTGCTTGCTTAATTTCAGAACTATTATGAATTTATTCTTAATGCAACCTATTCGGGAGTGAATCTCCACCAGGGACTCGATTTTTGTACCACTGCCTATAGGCTTGCCAATCAAACAGTGTGTCGATGATATATTCCCTCGAAGTTGTAATTTTGCTGTTTTGAACTATGCCAGGCTATGCCATGTGAATAGCCTGTATATTGGCAATCTTATTGCGTATGCAGATATCATTAGCCTTTAATTGTCGCTTTGTGGTGAAGCCTTAGGCATGCTTCAGAAAGGTACTTACAGTATCATTAATGATGTCCTAATACAGAAGTGCGAATACCAGCTTTGACCTTCCCAAATGCCGTTTACGCTATCATTCTATCTATTTTTCAATTTCTCCTTTTGAAAAGCTCTTTCTAATGTGCTGTCTTTTGTTGTGTATGTTAGCAGGCGCACCTCAAATTACAGTTCCTTTTCAAACTCGACGTGTGTTCTTTGCTACATTGTAGGCACTGCTTTTCAACTCGACTTCACCCAACTTCAAATCATCTGCACTGTTTCGCAATCGCCTTGGCTCAGGCTATGACCTCAACTATGACCTCAGATTTGGAGAATTGCGAGGTCCAGTTAGATGACTCAGTCTTCTCGGTGACTCGGCCTGATTACAACACCTCAGGCCTCAGTATTTAAGTCTCCTTCTTGGAGTTGGATTTATCGTTATTCTATAATCTTACATCGTATACCACTCATTGTTACTTCAATTCTCCAAGATGTCATCTACCGTTGGTCAACCCAAGACCAAGCTTAACATCGTCATGGTGTGTCCTCAGGTGCCAATCCAACCGTCGTTCACTGGGACGTTCACTTGTATTGACAGGGCGCTGCAACCTTCGGCGAAGAAGGTCGACCAGCAGTACGGATACATGACTTGGACGAGATTGAAGCTCTTTTAGATATATTCCGATTGCATGGACATACTGATGTATTGTTTTTATCCGCCTGTTAAATTAATGCCTTGAATCACGCTGATTGACCAACTTCTATGTAGGTCGATACTGCTTATTTTTACACTGGGGGGACCAGTGAAGTTGTCCTGGGAAAAATAGACTGGAAGTCTAAGGGTCTCAAGTTAGAAACCAAGCTTCCTGCAATATTCGTAAGCATGTCTATCTGCCTAGGCTCTCGAATTGGGGCGATGTTACTTTCATGCACAGAATGAAGAACAGAAAACCGTGCACGGAACTGAAGAAAGCGTGTCACACACATATGAGGTCTGATTAGCCAAAGAATTTGAGGATTTTTTTGTTGATAATGATTATTCGATCATAGGATATTAAATCTCACCTTCTTAAATCTCTCAAAGCCCTTGATTCCGAGTATGTCAAACCACTATGGATATCGTTGGAATTTCGAGCTCAATTCTTGCTGTAGGCAGTTGGAGATTTTCTACTTGCACACTCCCGATCGTTCGACACCTTACGAGGTGACCATGAAAGCGATAGATGCTCTCCACCGCGAAGGATACTTCAGAAGGTTTGGCATCAGTAATTATACCTCGTAAGTGGCACATGTATTCCAAACTAGCAGACGGACATCGGGCTTCATTATAGTTGGGAAGTAGCCGAACTAGTGGGAATTTGTAAAGCGAATGGTTATGTCGTCCCGTCCGTATACCAAGGACTGTACAATGCGGTTCATCGCGCCGTTGAGCCAGAGCTCATTCCTTGTCTTCGAAAATTTGGAATAAGCTTCTACGCTTTCAATCCTTGTATGTCCTGTTACATAATCCAAGCTGAACCTGACATTGGTATGTTTTTCTGTAGTGGGAGGAGGATTCTTTACTGGGAGATATAGCTCTTCTGAAGATGATGTTGGCGAAGGGACACGCTTTGATCCCAGTGCAGTACAAGGCAAGGTATAGATCTGTTAACCGATCTTCGTTCTGCGCTGGTCCTAACTTGGAAGGACCCAAGCTTTACAGGAATAGGTCCGCTTCTGAATATGAAAACCAGAGTTATGCTTAATAGGCAAACATATACCAGGTATTGGAACGAACATTACTTTGAAGCAACTTCGGCTATTCGCGCAATTGCTGATGCACACGAGCTTTCCATGGCGGAAGTTGCTTTACGTTGGTTGTGCCATCATAGTGTCCTGAAGCGCGATTTTGGTGATTCAGTTCTCATTGGGGCTTCGAGTCTGAAACACGTCAAGCAGGTAAAATACTTACTACAAAGAAATTTCCAAATCTCTAACGAGTTTCGTTCAGAATCTTGTCGATCTTGAGAAGGGCCCTCTCCGTGAGCTCATAATATTGATACAGGAAGTAGGTTAATCTGACATTGTTGTAGCGGAGAACGTCATCGAGGCTCTTGACAAAGGTTGGGAAACCGTCAAGCCGTATGCGTCAAGTTATTATCATTGATCAGCTGAATAATGGAAAAGTCGAGGAAAATACTATAAACTTTGGACGCATTCTGTCCAAGAAGATGTTACGGAGTGGTCTGATAGTTACGAACATGTATGTAGGATAGGGGTTTGACATATTTATACATAGTTGGTGGGAAAGCTCACGGCACATCTTTGCTACTGTATGATCTTCTGTGATCCCTCCATGCCTGGAACTTCTTGAACCTTCAACTCATTCCTTTTTGCTCGGGCGACATGCCTGCACAACTTGTAACTCCATCTTCCACCAGTATACATATATCCTCCCCTGCCCCGTCTTCAATCACGCTTGTTGTCAATGGCACTGTTTCGGATGCTTCACCGGACTCTTTATCCTTCGCCGAGCTGGAAGGAAAGGAGCCCAAAGAGCAGGTGAGGTTACGTGTCGCAAGACCGCTAGAGCTCTCCTGAAACTTCACATTCAGCTTGAGTTTCTGGAAGCTCTCATAGTAAAGGAAAACCGAATCAAAGATGGTGCAGAGAACTTGTTGAATATGCGGCTAGATGTGTGTGTGCGGTTTATAACCTACGTATCTCTTTAATGATGCTCTACGATGAAGGACATACTCCGTGAAAAGGTCGTGTCAGAGCTAAAAACCGCAAGTATTCGGATAAAAGCTATTATGGATAGGAAAGCAGTCATTGGCACGTTTATTGTGGCACAACCTCTCATAATTCTCTGCTCACTCGTTACATAGAAACGGCGCTCAGAAAGCATACCAGACGAAGAGGAGAGCATGAGCGGGAACTGGACGAGAGAGGTTTTTCAATATCTGATCATCGCATTTGCCAAACTCATCTCTTCTGAAGGAGACGATTTTCGAACTGCCCTTCGCAATGCACAAGACTGTATCTCTTCATTAATCTCTTTCAAATCTGAACCTCCGGACCCTTCCAATCTTGATAAAGAGCTGGTTAAAGTAATGACGAAACTTGTTGGCATCTTACAACGAAATCTGCGCGTCCGATATGAACTCACCATCTCCGAAATTGCTCAATCGTACGCCCACTCTATTCCGGAGCCAGTCTCGTGCATGACTGATTTATTGCAGTGTAATATTTGCTCTCGCCGATAAACGCACCAAAGAGTGTCGTGCAGTAGCATATCGTGTGCTCCGACATTCCCTTGTGGACCCGGAATCTGTTAAGAAGTTGAAGGAACAGGAAATAGATTGGTACATAATTAGGTCTCTGCACCGGGATAACAAGTTCGCGGTTGAGAAGGAGCAGGTCATCAAACTTATACGTTCTATCGTTGGAGTGGGCACTGTGTCTAATGGTGGTCCCGGAGGCGTGCCTCTTTCTGAACCAGTACTTCGTGCGTTTATCGCTGTCGCAGAACAAGCGGATGATCCTTTTAGATTTATCTGCATACAAACTTTGGCTGAGCTAGGTGGGTTGCCTATACTCGCATCTCGCGCCCATAATCCATTTGCTCACTGCCTTTATAGTCATCCTTGATACGGACTTAGTAGACAGGGCTGGTGGTATACGCTTCCTCCTGCATGCTGCCGGAGAGGGACCGGTAGAAATTACACCAATACTGGCTTCTACATTTTTGCATATAATTGATTCTCCACGAACTCGAGCTTACCTTCGTGTGGGCACAGACCTTGAGGTTGGTTGAGCCGTTTCTACTGAATCTCTATGTCTTAATTGTTCGCACTTGTCAGATAGTTCTCACTGCAGTTACCGATGCCTACGGTAAAGGGCCTGATCATGCTGAACGTATGAAGAGCTATACCAGAGTTATACAAGTCATGTTACGGACATGGAGTGGGCTGATGTACTTCTGCATGGAAGAAATGGGAGCTGTTCGTTCTTTGGTAGATACCCTTCGGCTACCTTCTTTAGAAACACGAGTACGTTGCGTAATCTCAAACTTTGATTTAACTCACACACTGCATAGGAAGTTGTTTTGAACATGTTTTTCGAAATCTTCAACATCAAATCTCCGGAATGGTATCAAACTTTCATTGCTGGCAAGCGATTGACTAGTCAGTCCTTCTTGTCTATATGAGGCGAAGTTGCTCAACTGAATCATAGCCTATCATGGTCTCAAACCGCCTGAGCCCGAACCTCAGGAACGCACTGTGCAAACTCTCAAGCTCACCGATCAATACATTGCCCTTCTTATCCTGGTATTCACCAACGTTGGGTTGCTAGAGGTAAATACTTGACAATCTTTAGACACGGATGAAAGATAAATTCGTCCCTATGCGCGTAGGCTCTTATTTCCATAATGGAGGAGGTGCCTACTGGATCCGTTCTTTCTCGCAAGGCCACACTGTTAGTAGGCGAAATCCTTCAAATATCCAATCGTGTCTTGCCATTATCGGTGGCTGCTCGAATACAGGTGACATTTTTTTTCGCATCAATCGTTCATATAATTTTGAAGAATCAGAAAGGCTTTACCCTCGATATTTGCTATGGCATCCAACTATGATGATGGTCAACAACGACTTGTTGGTGCCTCAACACTATCTGCTCTAGATAGTTTCAATCGGAACCGCACTCGACTGGAACCTGGTGTGGTGAAAACATCTTCACGACTCAGGTGATATAATTTTAGCCTACGCCGTTGAATTATCGTGTGACGTCGAAGCATGCAGGGCAAATTCAGTGGATGACGCCGTTCGGCGAGGGCAAAGACAGGTGGAGCAAGCCAAACTAAAACTAGGCATGCAAATGGATGACAAGACCTTCCAAAGCTCTCTTTTGGAAACTCAGGTGATGCTCACCAAGGACCATGCGAAGTGGAACTTTGATACCTTGCAAGAAATCATCGAGGGTCCTTTGCTGCATCCTAAACGGATGGATGAAGCGATTAAAGGAGCGCGCTTTATTAGACGTTTAATGACGTTCTTCCATCCTTTCAGTCATAGGTTTTCTGATATGCACCGTATCAAAGTAAGTCATTTTCAATACATGCAGTCGTATAGCTTACGAATTCTAGGTCAATCTGAGATGGGTCCGACTAGGCTGTTCGCTTCTGACTACTCTCTTGGCTAATCAAGACGGAATCCGGTATCTGTCGTCAGAGGATCCATTCATGGGCCAAATCGTCAAGTGCTTCGCGCAACTTGATCCTGTATGTCCACTCCTTGTATTTGAGGCATTACATCCCTTATCTGTCCTTTTCAAGTTCAACAGCCAAGCAGCACCCGACTCAGATCCAATGTTTTCCAAAAGAAGAATTGCCGAAACCCTGACGTACGGGTACCTTGAGATGCTTGGGACCCTCAGTAAACATAAGGAGGGCATCGAGTCAGTAATATGTTTTTTAATCTTGAATGCACCAACCCTTATCTTTCCAGGATTCTCGAGAACTACAAAATATTTACCGCTTTCTATCACTTGAGCGATTTAAAGAGCAGAGATGATCTTATCAAGGGAATAATTGAAAACTTGGATTATAGCACGTATGATATTTTCGTAATCTTGCAGGTTGTCATAATAACACCTTTTAGAGACGGTCATCCGCGTATCGTCTTATCCAAGGCCCTTACTTCGAGCCACAAGGTGAGTCCTTCGCTAATGTTCCGGAATTCATAGGATAAAATGCATGACCTTCAGCGCATTCAACTGCATGCCACCCAACATCTGGGAGAGTTGATTCGCAACTCCCCTGCGGCAAACTCATGGACACTCAGATTATTATTAACCCAATTATACGATCCATCCGTTGAAGTTCGAAAATTGGCTGTCGACTACCTAGAGGAGGCATGTGAAGCAAAGGACATCCTGGAGATGGTGGTGGAAATGCGACCTGTGATGGACCATCTTGGTGAAATGGGTAACTCGCTCCTACTCAAGTAAGTTGTTTTGGGATCTGTTTCCTTCCAGAAAATAAACGGTTGGCAGGTTTATGTCCACACCCACGGGGTTTCGCTACTTATACGATGCTGGTTACATTGATCGCGAGATGGATATATGGTTTGAGGTTCAGTTATTCATTTGCTGCCGAATAAAGAAGCCCCACTGACCGGAAGTTGCAGGAGCACAATATTTATTATGTGGTTCAAGTGGAAGTTTTTTTGTCGCAGGTTTTTAGTTCAAATGAGGAAGAGGAACACACTTTGTATGTCAACAAGCTCAAGCTGGGAACTAGATATAATGATTTTTACCATCTAGAGGCTTCGAGGGGACCGTTCCACCTCATTTCTATGGGGAGATGGCCAAGACAGAATTAGGTTGTCAAGTCTTGCAGGAAAAAGGTCATTTCGGGGACTTTGCTCAATTCATCCGTCAACATGGGCATGAAAGTGAGGATACGGAGTTGATCATGAAGCTCAAGAGCGTTTTGTGGGCCGTGGTGAGTTGGACAAATATGTATGGCTGAACTGCTTCTCACGCTTCCTCTCAACAGGGAAATATCGGAGCGACTGAAGGGGGACTTTTCTTTCTGGAAGAAGAGGAGATCATACCGGCTGTGCTTAGCATAGCTAATAAATCACTTATACCCTCCGTACGCGGGTACGTTCTTTCTCTCTGCTTACGGAATATCGATTGAGCCTTTAGCGGATAGAACCTGTTTCTTCGTTTTGGGACTCATATCGACCACCTCTCAAGGCGCGGAAATCTTGGATGATTATAATTGGGAGGCCACCCTAACACCCATGGGCATGCCTACTGGCCTTTGTATACCCGTTGACGTGGGCGAATTTCTTTCTGTGAGCACTTTCATGTCAGCCATTAGTGTAATTTTAGTTGAGACAAATTTCCCCTTTCAGCTACCATCTTGGAAACAACATGTACCCGACGTGACCAGCACCCAATTGATTCCTCCCACCTCTGAACCGGAACTGGAAGCACTCACCGCCATACAAAAGCTTGCCAATACAGTAATTGCAAACGCGGCTTCACGGTCCCTAGCAAGGTCTGTTTGTCATCTTCATTCTGTCGTATAATGTGTATTGATGTCAAAATAGAATGAAATCCCGACCAGAATATCGTTCAGTCTTCACTTCACCCGCCATGCTTTACCGCGTTTTTCATACTATATCCACGTCAAGATACCGTCTTCCGGTTCGGCGATATATTATGGATCTTTTCAACATCGAGCTGGACGAGGAAGTGGTCGCCGCTATGGTTGAGGCGTCGAAGAAATTCAAAGCGAATTCTTTGCATCCACCTCCGAAAACAGATCTCAATCGTCGCCTTAGTATGTTCGGTAATCTAGGACGACGTTCGTCAGTAAGCGACGATGAAGATGACGATGAGATGAATGAGGATTCCTCACCTGTTTTACCGAAGAGAGAAGAACCTGCATTTGCGCTGCGTCCTGTGCACAGAATTGCGGGGTTTGCCGTTGAGTCCATTGCGATGGGGAGAGAGCCTGGGTGATAATTTTTCCCTAACCTTAGTCGTCGACATTCCTATCACCCTAGGACTTAAATTCATATAAAATACTCCTTATATGCATGAATCGGAAAGGAAGTTCAACTATGTGGAGGCGTCTCCGATGTGTCCGAGCGACTCGAGACCAATGCTTGTAATGTTCACCCTTTCGATGACCGACTAGGTCATATTGAGCAATAACAGGGGGATAGATGACATGATTAGACCTAACTAACTATTAGTGAAGACATTGTAGAAGGAATGGATAAGCAAGTACAATACAGCGAATTTTTCGATGTTTACTATCACATACTCCCTCCACCATGGATAAGGTGCAACTCGACCTCGCGTGCAATATCATCTTCATACCCCTCAAACTGACCCTCGGCAAACTAACCCGAGCTTGTATTCCCTCCAAAGCATATTTTGACTTTTTCCCAGTACGTTGTGCGCCAACCAGCCTGTTCCCAGTCTATAATACCTACAACTTTTGCGCTGTCATCCACCAAAAGATTCCGTCGTGTGATGTCCCCATGAGTGAACACGATATCACTGGCAACCGGCATTTCTCGACCAATACGAGCAAGACGTTCCTTCGTTACAGGATTTTCACTGTAAGCAAAGTTGTCAAAACAACCCATCCGAAAGTCGTTGAATTCGGCTATGGAAATCTCGGAAGGGACCGCAAGATGATGATCCTATCCAGCCTTGCGGCTCTGGTTGACGGATGGCACGCAGTTCCTCAATCATGTTCCTAACCTGAGCCATGATAGAATTCCTCTGTTCGGATGACAGAAACCGCCATTTACGTTGCAGCATATCTCCAGGCATGTGCTGCATAACGAGGTAGCCTTTATGGCCATCGCTAGGGGTAAAAAAGTCATAGACACGAGGGATAGGGAGCTGAGTGTGATCCCGAGCATATTTGGTAGCCTCTGCTTCGAGCTGAAGAAAAGCAGGATTGCCCACTTTTACTACTGTTCCATCCGGCAACAAGTGGACAAGCCCTCCAGGGAGTGTAAGACCATGTCGTAGTAGATATGGAAGTAAGAGTCGCCGAGGATGGTTTGAAAATAATCCAAGGATGCGAAGGATGAGTCCTAAAAGACCCATGATTATCGTGTACAAGTCGTCTTTTGACCAAACCTCTTTCTAACCTGGCATCGGGTTGTTATATTTGCGGAAGTCGACTATAGCACTCCGCGCGCTTCCTCATCTTGAATTAGATGTGGATTTCCTCATTTTATTCTAACTCAAGTTTGTCATGCGTTACAATTTCTCTTGTTGATAGATAGATAGGGTGTAAACGCTTGTCTATGTGAAGGTACCAATACACAGTCTTTCAGCTAACAGCTTACAAGGTATCAGAGTCGGTACGAAAGTAGCTGAATGATCATGACTGGATTAACTGATTTAATTTGGAACGAATGGTTGAGATGTATTACATTCCAAAATCTATTTGGTTCGCATGATACGGAGTTTGTCCTTACGATACAGGTAGTTCTCGGCGTAATTCTTTGGTGGTATTCTCTTAACCTCAGGAAGTTGGCTGTAAATGATGTACGTATTAGCTGACAGGAAGAGAAGAAAGAATAGCACGCACACATAGTAGTCCCAGCCTATACCGTAGCAAAAAAGGGGGAGGTGTGTTCGGTGAATAGACAAACCGGAGAGATGAAGAATTTCGAACCTTGCTTTTCCGCAAAATGGATTGCATCTTCCTTGGAACGGAAAGAGACTCGGGTTCCTTGCATGTAATCGGCACTGTTAAATGCAAACTGAGTTCCAAGAAATGCATCTAGTAGGAGTTTAAGGGCTCACGAACTAGCCCAGCCCATAAGCGGATTCTCCCAACGACCTCCTCCCAGAAGAACATCGAAATCAATCCTCCACCTGTCACCCTTGTTTGGACCGCTCTGCATAGTATTACGGGTAGGTTGATAGATGCGAACTGAACGATGTCTTAGTTCCGCTGTAAGAGATTTAATTTATTGAGTGCGTAATTAGCTTTCTGAAAAGGACAAAGAAAAACGCACGAGGAGCACCGCTGACTACATCTGCAGTCATGACATCGCGGGCTGGAGGAGGGGCAACAATTTCGGATGATTCTGTATTGACGGTGGGGGCAGAGTTGGTGTTGGGGGTCGTAGAGACTGTTCTATATGCTGCTTGGAGGATGTTTCGGCGACATGGCGCCAGCGAGGTACGGAGTAAGGACATGAAGTGTTCGAAATCCTGTCGAGAACTGTCCAATCAAATCACAGTTGGAGCGGCTCCCACGGTCAGACCCGTTAGGCGTTAGCCGAACGAAATTATCAGCGGCTATCCATCTCGAACTACTCTTTGAGGCGTACTATATTCAGAGAAGCAGAAAGATCGGATGAAAACGTTCGGCAAATCGATACAGAAGGCATAGTTGTACTTCAAGCGGCCGCGATTGGATGCACCACTTCGCGATCTTCAAAAAGGTTATCTTATAATCTGATAAATCTGATATTACTATGTACACTGGCTTTCATGCGTCTAAATTGCGAACTATTTTGACATGTTTCTGTTTTATTCTATTGCGCACAACGACCTTACGTTCATAACCGATGAATGATCGCAGTGTACTTAAGGTGTACTGGGATCGTGTGGCTGTAGATTCTTCAGGGTTCTGAGCGGTCGTGTAGGAGATGTCGGAGAGCTGGTAGAAATGTGTTGGCTACTGTTGGCTACATGCGAGATTGAATAATGGATAAAGGATTGGCTTGGTACTGCCGCAAAGAGCATGTATACGAAAGGCAATATTATAAACAGCAACGAAGTCAGAAATATCTCTGTTCCCTGCAGCTGATATACGGCTTCGTCCAGTAGTGCAAATGCCGGCGAGCCTTGCAAAAAAAAAAAAAGCACAGAAAGTTGAAAAAACGGCGATCTCTGATGTCATCGCCCACGTGAGGATGCTTCTTGATTCTCCGGTACCTTGCTGAAGCCATGGCTTCCATTTCACTTTCATGCTTTGCCCATAACTCCCATTATCAAGCTTGTGGTTCTTGCATTTTGGACCGTGCTCAAGCTCATCATATTCTTTATATACACTATAATGGGCGACATTCAAACCAGGCCATTTTCCAAAAATTATAGGCAAATACCTTCTCGTACGACGTTCAGTTCTTGTGCTGATTTTCACTTTGCTTTACCTAATAGCGGTCTTATCAATCAGACTGTGATTGGAATAGCAATCACTGTGTTATGTGTGGGTGGTCAGGAATTGATGAAGAGAGCGAGGCGAGGCAGTAGAACCAATCGCAATGGAGTTTTGGGTAGCCGCGAATCTTGGGAATTTGGCTAGTACGTGAAATTAATCTAAAGTTTCATTTTCAAAGGGTACTGACTATTCTCATTGTTTATCCCTCAACACCTTCCACCAACCCGCGTTATCAGTCTTTACCAAGGCAGATCCTGGGCCAGGTATGCGGAAATAGTCTCCAAGCGATCTGACATAGCACTCACATAACACCTAGATATGCTTCACCTCCCATACCTCTGCATTGGCCCTTGGAATGGATACCCCAGGTACTCAGGTTCCCCGAGGAACAACTAAACCAACTTCGAGGAGTCGATGCTGCTCTTTATATCCGTTTTCTCCGAGGCTGTTTCTGGTTCATCCTCCTTCAGACATGTACAACTTTCCCTATCCTCTTCCCCATCCACGTCAAGTTCTCCAATGACTCTATCTCACCCAAATCCATGACCCGTGCCTCTATATCCTCATTAGTCGACACGACAACCGGTCTATCCTTACTCTGGATACACATCTGTTTGATGTTCTGGATTGCTCTTTCCTGGATGGCTACATTATTTTGGATAATGCATGGTGCCTTTCGAATGCGCTCTGATAATATTGCGGCAACTGCTCGGCGGAAGGCTCTGAGAGACTCGGATGGCCATGAATATCATCCTCACCCACACCCCCCGTATACCTTTGCCGAAAGTCCATCCCTCGATACTAATACTCCCGTCGAGGGTCTTCGTTTTCGCACAATAATGGTCTCAAATGTGCCACCTCAGCTTCGTAACGAGTCCGAACTGAAGGAGTACTTTGAGTACTATATGTCTCGGAAGCTAGAAAAGCCTGCCCTCGGCGTGAACTCCACTACTCAACCGGGGATGTTCAACAAAGTGTTTTCGTTTCTATTTAACCGTGTGAAAAAGTTACCAGTCTACCTGCCCCAGGAAGGCAAAGAAAACACGGGTCATACGGAGGAGACAGCGAATCCAGATGACAAACCGGTCATCGAGAGAGTGGTAATCGCACGAAAGATGACGGAGTTGGCATCTTTGTTGGAGCGTAGGGAGGAGATTCTCCGGCTACTCGAGACGGCGCATATAAAGCTGGCGAATACCACTTTGAACGCCGTCAAACATGCCATGGAGCGCAAAGCCAATGCAACCTCTTTCACGCGGAGCAGTTCTCGTGCGGGTCTTATTGCGAAGCAGAGGGCACAACAAACCAATTTAGAAGCCGGTGACGCCTCGCAAGATGGAACAATGACCGAAGAACAGCGCATTGAACGACTGATCAAGGCCTTGGGACCTTATGTCGATGAATTTGGAATCAAATCATATCCTTATCTTAGAAAGTCATTCAAAGCCCGATATTCGTTCAAAAAAGTGCGAACGGACCGATCTCTGGATTCTGATTCTGAATCAACCGAACCACCGACATCCCCAATATACCCTCCATCCACCGTTGCGAGTCACCCCCCTCGCCGCCAGAAAACAGTCTGGGATGTTCTGCTCAGCCTTCCACGGTCCAATATCGATGCATACCAGCCTCTGGTCCGGCTATCTCATTTGTTTCGCGGGAAGACAGTTCCTTCCATCGATTACTACACGGCAAAATTGAACTTGCTTACCGCGCTGATCACTGAGAACCGTGCAAAGCCGGCAAACCGGTATGATCCCGTGTCGACTGCGTTTGTGACGTTTGCGGAGCCGGAAGACGCGCGGAGGGCTTGCAAGTACCTTGCCGTGCATCCGAACAACCCTTTGGCATGTATAGCGACGATGGCTCCTCAGTATCAAGATTTAGATTGGCAAAGAATTATGAAGAGTTCCTTTAAGGCGGAGGTGAGTCATTTCGTGTGCTTGGTGGGACCGCTCGTTGATCATCATTTGCAGTTTGTCAAAGATTGGGTGGTCGATGCTGGTGTATGGGCGTTCACCATATTCTGGCTGTTTCCCGTTTCACTGTTGGTTGGTTTGGTGTCAATTCAGAACATTTCTACTTTCTGGCCTTCGCTGGTATGGAGATTTCCAGCTACTATCATAGTCAGTGTCTAACCCCCTCTTCGTAATAGAAAAGATACCTTGATAATCATCCATGGGAAGAAGAAGTCATTCAATCTTTCGTCCCCACCCTTCTCGTCGCCTTGCTCGCGCTACTCATACCCCTCATCCTCCTGCTCATTGGCAAAAAAGCACACACGATAACCACGCTTTCTGCTCTTCACGACCGTATAATGACACGTTATTACAAGTTTCTCATCGTCAACGTTCTAGTGTTCTTCTGTGTTGGCACAGCAGCCCTGCAATCTATCTTGGACTCAGTTGGCGCGTCTAGTGCTAACACAGTATTAAATACGGTAGCAACAAGTTTTCCGAGCGCAGGGCCATTCTATGTTGGTTGGTGTAAGTAGAAATTGGAATTCAACAATGCATGTAGGTCGTTACTTACTATCTTCATTCATAGTGATTTTCACCACCGCTATGCATGGTGGTTTCGAGATCGCACTGTGTATGTTCGCTCTCACTTTAATTAATCGCGGCATCCGCTAATCGGCTAATTGGCTGATTTGTTTTGCAGTTGGAGTGAGTACCCTCTGAGCACTCGGCGATTGCTTGATCACTAATGAGTCAACTAGCTCCCGCTCATTATGTATCCGACTACGAAACGCCAAGTTACCCCGTACGTACCAAATGTCTTTAGTCTCCCGGTTGAAGTTGATTTTAATATCCCAGACGGAGGCGTGCAATTGGCATACGGCCTCGAACTTTCAACTACTACTGTAAGCTTCCGTATATCCATAGTTCGTCAACGATTGACCGTTTGTTTATATAGATTGGCTTCCCACTCATCTATTAGTTATCCACGTGTTATTGGTGTTTTCCGTGCTCAATCCTGTGGTCATACCGTTTGGCCTGTTATACTTCTTTGTTGAATCCGGTGAGAACGATTTCGTGAAGCCTACATAAGTCACGGCTGTTTACTTTTTTTTTTTTTTTACTTTTTCAGGGGTCGTCAAGAATCAAGTATGGATTACTCTAAATTATTCTAGGACTATAGCTGATACGCTAATAGTTGATTCATGTGTATGCCAAGAATTATGAGGGAAACGGCCAACTGTTACTGATTCGAGCAATACGGTATTCTCTGGATGGTACGTTGCTTCGAACTCGTGCATCGTACATAGCCAATTTATCCCCATTTCTCAGGGCTTGTTCTCTCCCAGGTACTGCTTTAATTGATGGATTGAGTCGTCCGCCTATTGATAATTTTGTGCGCTAGACCGTCTTCTTGGCGTACATGGTAGTACTCAAAAAGTCTGTGAACATTGGTCTTTCGGCGTTTCTTGCCGTTTTCACAATCTCCGTGAAGATATTGTACGTAACGTGTTTTACTCGTTTGGCTACAGTCTTGTTCTGAGCAGCTCTTAGTATGACGCGAATATGTCGAGCCCAATTTGAGAACGACGATATTCGTGAAGCTAAATTGGTATGCGGCAGAGCGCCGTCCTCCGACATTACTCCTACAGAAACAAGAATATTGGAGGAAGACGTTGAAGCAGCAACGGGAAGTCAAACCCAGCAGGATCTTCCTATACATGATTCATCCTCGACATCGCGGTCCAAATTCTCAGTTCGGCTTCCTGAATGGATATCATCTTCTTATGCCACTATTCGGCAACGCCCTCGTAATATCGCCCACCGTGCGCCAATTCCTTTCTCAGATGATAGGCCGAGTTTCTCTCGGTTAATGTCCATGCGCAGCACGGCTGTCGGCTCCCCCACAGAATTACCCCCTACTATTGCAGCATTGTCAAGTACGGCTCACGAAAATTCTGGGCCAGTGACCCCTCATCCTCCGCCGATTTCCTGGGATGATCAATCCACACTTGATCTTCCCTACGACAATCCCTACTATACACGAGCCATCAGTAATGTTTTATGGCTTCCCCGAAATCCTTGTGGTACCCTTGACCTCGATGATACAGTGGATCTGAAAGTAGCTATTTCAGTCGACCCTACGACAGGTAAAATAGGGACTTGGAGTGTATCCGGCGAAACGAGGTCACCTTCTGATGCTGTTGAGTCTATCTCTGATTCCTTCAGACTCTCGCCTGCTCCATTTTCCGATGGTGGTGCTTCAATGCTTAGTGGAAACTCAGGTGTCAACACTGGGGCGTTCCCTTCGACTTCTGAGCCTGAAATCGATGGCACAGAAAATATTGAACTCCCAGAGATATTGGCCAAGAGAGCGCTACAGAAAGACAATGTTGAACCGGCTGTTCGACCACGACGCCCTTCATTATTTCAACAGCGTCAGAATGAAAGGTCATCGTCGCTCAGTCTTGGACCACACCGTCGGCCTAGTACAAGGCACCGTCAAACTTCGGAATCTCGGTCAATTTCGGATATCGCTATCGCTGCTCAGACGAAACCTCAGAAGCAGAAATCTATAATGTCCATGTTTGACGACCATTCCATCTCCCACGAAATTGATCCTGCTACTCGACCTGACGCTCACGCACAGGCTGAATTGGTGATGGCTCATCCCGCTCCATCGCACATGTCAATAGATCATCCTCCTCCTACTCTGAAACGCGCAGTCACTATTTCGGCGAATCGTGCCATCTATCACGAAATTATCGCCGAAGAACAGCAGGCACTAGGCCAACGATTGGTTGAAGAGCAGGCCGAAGCGGACAGGAATAAATCAACAAAGTCTTGGTTAACCCAATGGATGTTTAAGAAGGCGAAGTAAATTAAATCTTGTGTGTTTTCTTGTTGTATTAAATGTTGCTCATGATCTTCGATTATACCCTTGCTACAATATAGTGTACGGATTAATATCAACGTTTCTTGGATGTATAGTAACGTATATCTTCCGCGCAATTCCCCGTGCTAATTTGCTTGTTCAATGGAGCCGACATTCTTCCACCATTTACCCCACTTGCGAGCCTATTCCGAGATTTATAAGGTGCTCATGTTTGCAGGTACTTCATCAATCATGTTCGTGCAAACTTCCTTTGTAGCGCTTCTTTGTGGCTCAGCTTACGCTGGGACCACGATATGGTCAGGAAGTTTCAACCCATATCCAACCGTCAGCACTTTCGATGACTGTAAGAGATTTACTTCACATGCTTCATAAACTAAGCTGGTTTCATTAGGGTCTTGGGCTGACGAAGTGGGAACGTATCAATGGTGGGTACTGACAACTTGCGTCAGAAACATTTCTCCAACTGCATTATCATACTCAGGTATATTCATGGAACAGAGCCAACGTCGCACTACCTTGCACTTGACCCTAGCTACAAAAATCCTGCTGATACAGCAGAGACCAACGGTCTCATGGTGACCATCGACTCTACCGCGGAATGGAATTCGGATATGGAGCGAACCGAACTCATTCCACAGACTACCCAGAATCTGGGTACAGGAAATCTGTTCTACCATTTCTCGCTTAGCACCGATCCAACTGGTCTTAATGCTCCCGACGTAGGCGTTACTCTCCTTTGCTTTGTTAGTACTCATTTGAGTTGCACGTTGTTCAGTCTACCCTAGAGCACCAGGTAAGTACATAGTATGCGCTTTCAGTAAAATTTGGACTAGATTTCCTCTAGATCTTGTTCTTTGAAAGTCATTTCACGGAGGTATGTCCTCCGAATATCAGCAAGGATCTGGGGTGAACCATTGAACTTGCTATATCCAGATTAAATATGGAGTAGCCCCCAACCCAACCGATCTGCAATGGATGGTCAGTAGCCAATTCCAGTGGGGGACGCCTCTTGTTCCGGGGACATGGTACAATTTCGCCTACGATATCGACGTCAGTTTACTCCCTTCCTGATATCTATCTTCACTGAAGTACCCTCCGTTTACTGACAGTTTACTGGCTCGACTGTGGGACTTTGGTTCTCCGATGGCAGTTCGCCCTTGACGAAGGTAGCAAACAATGTCGCAGCTTCAACCTCAACCAACTCTGAAGACTTCCATGTTGGCGTTCTACGTATCGTAAACACGCCCGCTCCAGAGAACTGGTATATATCCGGCGTTTACATTGAGAATGGTCCTATCACGACGGCGATTGGAAGTGGAAACAGCACCGGGTCAAGTTCAAGTTCCTCCATCTCCAGCAGTTCTGCTACTTCTGTGACTTCTACACCAACTACCACCATAAGTTCACCTTCATCCACGCCTACCGCTACAGCTCCTGAAGTATGTAATCTAACTTTATCTTGCTTGCCGAGTTTGATGAATTTTTGTTTTGAAATAATAACCGTTCCAGTACGGTCAATGTGGAGGTACGAAGCATGCATTCTCTTCGTCTTTGGTGCTAACGAGTTATTAGGCACTGGATATACTGGACCAACCACTTGTGCTTCTCCGTTTACCTGCACCGCGATTAGTCCACCTTACTATTACCAGGTAAGGAACTGTCTTCGAAAAGAAAGTTACTGGATCCTGAACTGGAGTTTAGTGTCTGTGATTCTTCGAACGGGAACATGGAATTGTTATCTGAAACTATCTGAAACCAATCCACCTTGAGCGTTGAAACGTCGATGTTACTGCAGTACAGATAATGTACCCTACCGGAGCGAGAGATTTTCGTACATACATCCTACCTTCTAAGAGCTACTAACAATGTAAACACTGATCTTGCAATGAAAATATCTTACTGTGCATACATGGGGGGTCAATCAAATTTGAGATAGAATATAGAGGGCAACGATGATTTAATGCAGGGACTGTCTATCCCGTCTTTAAGCTTGACGACTTGAAGCATTTTGAGGCGTGTGTTCGTCTATCCAGTATGCATCAATGGTATGCCGAGGGTGTAGGGCTAGGTAGGGCTTGAAATCACTCAAAGTTCCTCAGGGGTATACTGACGTCGGCGTCAACAGTGCACGTGACTGACTATGCAGTTTCTCACGAGAAATTCTCAGCTACCCTATCACTCCTTCCACAGCGGTTCGGTATATCCCCAAGAAATTCAAGATGGGTATGCCTTGCCAATACCTCTTACGATGATCTTTGCTGATTTGCTGCAGTCCGTTACGCCGCCGCTGACCATGCCACTAATCCCGAAAAGAGTGTGTGGATGCCAAAAATGCAGGCCGATATATTCATCTGAACTTTTCATTACTTCTAGCCTCTCGTGCGCGAGGTGAATACCTCCGAACTCACTTCAAGAACATGCGGGAGGTCGCGGCCGCGCTGACTGGTGAAATAGTCTAGCTAAATTCGTGAGGAGAAGAAAATCTAACGGGGATCATTTATAGGCCTCAAACTCACAAAGGCATACACGTACCTTACGGATGTTACAGAACACAAGCAAGTCATTCCTTTCAGACGATTTGCTGGCGGTGTAGGACGTGCGAGCCAGGCAAAGCAGTTCGGTACAACCCAGGGTGCGCTGTTTGAACTTTTAGACAAGAAACATTATTTACGCCGCGATCTCTAGGTCGCTGGCCTGAAAAATCCGTCAAATTCATTGTCCGTCTGCTGAAAAATGCTGAATCCAACGCTGATGCCAAGAATATCGATGTTGAAGATCTCTACATAAAAAACATCGTCGTGCAGCAGGCTCCCGTATGTCTTGTCGTCTGTTCTCATGATAGTGCCAAGTTTGATTGATGTTTTAGAAAACCCGCCGTCGCACATACCGTGCCCATGGTCGTATCAACCCTTATCAAGGTCACCCATGCCATGTTGAGATTATTCTCGCTGCCTCAGAGGAGGAAGTGGAGAAGAGCAATGACAAGTCCAACGCACTCATTGGCCTTAACAGACGGCAAATTGCGAGGAAGCGAATTGAGGCTGCCCGGGCATAAATGAGACTTATACGGCAGGGGACCAAGGTGCTGGATTGGGGCGTATAGTATGCAGTCCGTGTTCTCTTATATGTACATGAATCTTCTATGCACTGCTACATGTTCTTCTACAGCATCACGGACCGTTTTTGGACTGCAGAGATGACAGTGGCCTTGCGAATGAATTTGAAGGGACTTCTTGGTGATTTCTACGGCTACAATGACTATTTATTACCTACAGGGCGGCTGAATGCACGGTAAGATTCAAAAGAGTGGGCTATCCAAATTATAAGAAAGAGGAATGATATAATGCCAAAAGAGTGGAGAGGTAAGAGCGGGAAAGACACAATGCGATAATCAAGAGAGTCGTATAAGATGGTGAATAATGATGAACGGGGGTAGAACAGGAAGAGCATGAGCTAGGTCGGAGGCAATCGCACTAGTTCAAACCCGGAGGGTAGTCCGCGATTTAGGACTTGGAGGGGGAGAGACTAGCGGTGAGTCGACCGTAGGAGGCGAAGAAGGTTGTTGGGCGGGAGGGGTACGTAGACGTCGAGGCTTGAGTTGAGTGCTATAAAACCAGATCATCAATCAAGGAAATCCAGAATCCACTGAAATACGAACGTTCTGAATTCGAAAGATTTCATATGTGTTGCTTCGTCGGCAACATTGAACCTGGAAATGTGGCTTCGAAGAAGGCCCTCCACGGTATTGTCTTTGGGGAGAGAGTATAGGCGAGGTGCCTCGAGTGCTTTTGTAATGTCATGAGGAGATCGCTACAACAAGACTGGAGATCATTCGTACCGGAGATGACTTTTCCAATCACCCGTAAGTGATTGGCGTGAATACTATTTTCGTTGATGAGCGCGGTATAAGCATTAGCGATGTGCGTTGTGCTTTTTTCGACGTTGTCTAGATAGTCAATATATGAGAAAAATATCGACGGCTCTTGGGAGTGGCACGAACGAAGACGAGGAATGCATGCAATGGTCCCCAACTGGGTATCTTGCAATTCATCGGCGTTCAGCTTTTTGTTGTTTATTTCGAATATGGTACGGTATTTGTTGTGCATCTCTTCCGTTGCGGAATCAAGTGCCTGGTGGGAGTGAACAAAAGATACCCAGACCCTAGTCATGATGCACTCACGGGGAGAATTTCTATAAGACGCCAAACGTATGAGATATTAGTTATCCCGATGAAGATAGTCGAAGCACAGCTGTTGTTCTTCATATCGTAGCACAGCTAAGATCATATGTTAACAAAGAGTTGATTGAAGAAGGACACGGACTCACCCCACAAACTTTGAACCAGAACTTGATGGCTCGCACCATCCCGTCTTCATGTTCCGCTTCCAACAAGATAGTACTGATAACCAACATGAACAATGAGCGATTGAAATGTCGGACAGCCGTTGCTGCACGCTCCGCAAGGTTTCTAGACGCCGTAATTTCTTGTATGGTGCCCTCATAAACCCGAATCTGTGCTGCGAGGCTGCTGGATTGTCTGAGAAGAGCTCTTTGTTGAGACTTCAGAGTATTAACCAAGATACGCTTAGTTGATTTGTCGACCTGTTCCTGGAGATTCTTCGATTCCATTCCAATGGCTTCGTGACGTTCCTTTATATCGCAAAGCTTTGCTCCCAAGCGAATTTCGCAGGTCCTTGTCTTCCTCTCCAGCCATAACCGAACAAGAGCCTGGACAGGTAACTGACCCCAGATACTGGCTTCAATGCGTGTCAACTGCTCCGCAAGTACCTTGTACCCCGCAGTGCAATTGAACGCATCTAAAGGAAACTTCGTTGTACATTGTTCGACGAAAGCGTAGGGCGCGGGGTTAGAGAGACGCCTGTAGGATATACTCTGTTGACGCTTTTGAAGCCACGTAGTACGAGTGACGCCGTCAACTCGAACAACTTTGACAGCTTGAGCAAAGGCGATACCCAAGCGATCTGGGAGAAGCGAAGCAGAAACTTGTTTTAAGACAAAGTCCTGCATGTCGTTCAAGACGCAAGAGTCATCATAGGGTGGTTCCCAGAACTGAGTAAGCCACCGAATAAGCACACTGACGACGCGTGGGCGAACAATTTTGGCATGGTTGTTACACCAGACGCGCATTTGCTTCTGATCCATAGGCTCGTCTGGCATGGGTTCGTTGAATCGGGAGATGAGTAGATCGAGAACGTCACTGGGAAGGAGAACATATCGAAAAGTTGTGAAAAACCAATGGATAAGGTACGGGTCTTGAATCGCATCCTTGGAGGTCAAGAGTCGAATTACAGCGACGAGGGACATTTTGATCATGTGCGCGCTGTCATGACTGAGGGTAATGTTCATCGCGTCTTCGGACATTGGAGGAAGCTCGACGTCGACGTCGGGGTTCAACGGATCCACAGGATAATAGAGAGCAGAATTCCGGGGAGCATATTGCGGGTATTCATCGCCACTGCTCGCTGCATCTGATTTGGATTTGAAAAGTGACCCCAAGACGCTTTTATCCCTAGCTTTATGCAAAATGGTAAGAATAGCAGACGTCCTAGAACTAGAGCTCGATTTGGGAGAATCCTCTGTGGGATGATCTAGGACTTCAGTGGTGATCTGGGCGAGGGACATCCGCGCAAAAGAGCGATCGGAGGTGGAGCCTTTCGGAGCACGGAGATGAGGTGTAGGAGGTAGACCAGGAGCTTTGACTTCCTCGACTGCGTCCGCTGGAATTTCTGGAAGGGGTTTGACCAATCGCTCCGTGAGACCAAGAAGGCGCTCCAGCGCGTCAATGGTCAGCTCAGCTATGTCTACAACTCGGGAAACAGCTGCAGCTCCCCGCGACGCGTCCACATGTTCTAATCGTTCGACTCCCTGCTGAAACTGCTGAACCATAAAAGAGACAGCTTGGATGTTCTCTAAGTATTTCTGGTCATCTTTAACGTCTTGGGGGACCTGCATTAGATGTACGACGTTGATGATGCTCGAAAGGAGAACCTGAGCCAGGGATCGTACCCCGGGAACATCGGCAGTCGACCGTAAGGCGCGAAGGAGCTTGATGCTACGAAAAAGCGAAGGATGGCCTGCGCGAAGATCGTACTTCAAACGCGAAGACGTCCCGGACGTGTGGTCAAATTGAGGTAAGAAAGTCGCTTTGCTAGTATCATCTGAAGATATAGATGCAGATCGATGGCGACGAGCTGGTAAACTTGAAGGAGGGGTAGGAAGAGCAGCCACAGGACCTGCTGTGGACTTCTCCTTCGGCTTTGTGTCGCGTCGTTCGACGCTGGAAACTGGATTCGAGGACACGTACATAGCAGATAATCAGCTTCGTATCGACAGTTTCTCGCGGGAGATTCAGAGATACTCGTGAAAGCAGGAGTTCATATAAAGATCATTGTCGAATACTTGATATATGTCGTGACCTTGAAATTGGTGGCCATCCGTGAAAAGACACAATGAGTTTTGCTTGGACGTCGGTCAACATGTTTAGTACCTTTTCAGGAAGTCTAACGCTCCGACGTCTTGAGAACAATGAGTGCAGTCATGGACATGATATCGTCAGATCGTTGTCAACATATTCCCGAAACGTTCATAATCAGCCAACAGATGAAGGAAATTTCGAACCACTATTAATCTAGAACACACAGGGTCAAACGTTGGTTTTGCATGGTAGAACTCGAACCTGCTCGGACGTGGTCAAAAAACGATGAATTTAAACCTTGTTATTTTCATAAGCAGTGACTACTTCGAGGTCAAAGTTATCATTCTTCAGCTACCTGAGGATGATGGCCAATGCTGATTATGGGTCTTTTGTTTGTTAATTGCATCTGGAGTCACTCACCTATCTGGGTCGAATCCAATCCAAATTCATCCTGTCTAAGCTCATACGATATTTCACTGACGCTGTAGAAATAATTTACTTACACCATTGCATTGCTGTGTACGGAGTTTCAGAGGAGGCTACACCTGGCTACACCTTGAACCAAAACATGAAGGTGTTAAGAGGATGATGATCTGAACGAACCTATGTACAGCTTTTGAATATTTTGGGCGCTAATCATCAAGCCGACAACGAAATCCCGTGTCATTCCAATTACACAAGTTTGCCTTCTTACACACCGAGGCATTTCTACCTACAGCTAGCCAAGCAATGGCTTCTAATAGGTAAAGCCCGTGAACTCCCCAAGAAATGAGCTTATATCATATTCGCTGTAGACTCAATGACCCCGAACAAACTATTCGAATAACTCGTCAGTTTTCTGGGCTTCTAGTTGTCCTTAATAATCATTCGTTAATCCACAGTTCATGGTGCTACCGGGTTAGCCAAACGCGATCTCCTTGGTTTACCTGATCCATTTGCTGTCTTGACTGTCGATGGAGAGCAGACCACCTCCACTACGGTCTCTCGAAGGTCACTGAATCCAACATGGAATAACCATTTTGATGTGTGAGTTTGTAATCTTCCGATAGACTTTCCTCATGTGTTTTCATCAGTACTGTTCGACAATCGTCCATGCTAGCTATCCAAGTCTTTGACCATAAGAAATTCAAGAAACGTGATCAAGGTGTGTTCATTGTACTCCCTCGCATCCGTTGATACAACTGAAGTCCCCCCCACAACACAGGATTTTTGGGCGTTATCAACATTCCTGCCGCAGAAGCTATTTCTTTAGCCGCAAATAATCATGGTGTGTCTCTACACATTTCAATTTGCCTAGCGCTTCTTACTCATATCGAATCAGAAATGATCACGAGAGATCTTACCATGTCTAGCAACAACCTCCCTGTGTATGGAAAGCTGTTGTTCGGATTCACTTTAACATCTCGACCTCCTCCACCTACTCCCCGTCTTGCCGACACAAGTTCCTTCCCAATGCCCGCTGCCGATACCGCTCATCTTTCTCCCAACCATCCTTCGGGCAGTGCTACCCTTGATCGAATACGTTCCTCTAGTGTTATTGCTCGTACATATGACAACGAATTTCCGCGAACGCAGCATCTAGCATCTTCGCAATCTCTCAGACCAAGTTCTAGTAACGCAAATCTCTCCTCGTCTATGTCACAGCGGTTTCCACAGCCTGAAGTTGCCGGACGACCTGTGTCAACGGCAGGAGTAACCAATCCAACGCCAGCAAGAGTCGTGGAAGACAGTGAAGGGAATCCCCTACCAGATGGATGGGAGCGTCGAGTTGACCCTCAGGGAAGGACGTACTACGTTGATCACAACACACGCTCTACGACGTGGTATAGACCAACTTCTAGCCAACAAAACAGGACGTCGCAAGTGCCGCAACAAGCTCCTACTAGAAACCCAAGCGCCACTTCTTCGGCTCCTTCTACAACCCAATCAACCTCCCCGCCGTCTGAATACAATGATGTTCATCTACCTCTTGGATGGGAAGAACGCCGGACCCCAGAAGGTCGCCCTTACTTTGTTGATCATACCACCCGCACAACGACTTGGGTAGATCCACGTCGGACTCTAAATCAATCAACGGTGGCACCGGCGACCAATGTTAACTCCAATTTAGGTCCACTACCGTCTGGATGGGAGATGCGTCTAACCTCGACTGGACGAGTATACTTTGTCGATCATAACACTCGGTGCGATTTCTATGTGTATCTCTTACACTTTTGCTTAACCTTACCTCAAAAGAACTACGAGCTGGGATGATCCCCGATTACCAACTAACGTCGAAGATAACGCTCCACAATACAAGCGTGATTACAGACGGAAGGTGGTCTACTTTAGGAGTCAGCCAAAGATGCGGGTGTTGGCAGGAAAATGTGACATCAAAGTGCGACGTACGCGTGTGCTCGAGGATAGCTTTACGGCCATCATGGGACATACCGGAGAGAACTTGAAACGCAGACTGATGATCAGCTTCGACGGAGAAGATGGATTGGATTACGGTGGTGTTTCCAGGTAAGTCATCATCATATCTTAAGAAATTGAAATTGAACTACTCGAATTCAGAGAATGGTTCTTCCTCCTCTCTCATGAAATATTCAATCCCAGCTATGGTTTATTCGAATATTCCGCCCACGACAACTACACCCTTCAAATTAATCCTGCTTCTGGAATAAATCCAGATCACTTGAGCTACTTTAAGTTCATTGGCCGTTGTCTGGGACTAGCAATATTTCACAGGCGTTTTCTGGACGCGTATTTCGTTGCAAGCTTCTACAAGATGATGCTGGGGAAGCACATGACACTCACAGACTTGGAAGGCATTGATGCCGATTTACATCGGTCGTTAGTATGGATGTTGTGCGTTGCATCATTGTCTGCTCATCAGATAATGTTAATCTGAATGATCCATAGGGAAAACGACATCACGGATGTCCTTTATGAAACATTTACAAGAACAGAAGATAGGTTCGGCGAGATCGTAACGATTGATCTCAAGCCAAATGGTGCCGATATACCAGTAACGGAGGAGAACAAGAAGGAATACGTTGATGCTGTGGTCGAATATCGGATATCAAAGCGTGTCAAGGATCAGTTCAATGCTTTCATGGAGGGCTTGTTGGAATTGATTCCTTTGGATCTCATCTCTGTGTTCGATGAACGAGAGATGGAGTTACTAATTGGAGGCATATCCGAGATTGATATGTAAGTGTAATTTTCCTCCTGGCATAACTCATGATGAACCTTTGTTCGAAATTCACAGGGATGACTGGACCAAATTTACTGACTACAGAGGATATGAAAAGACCGACCAAGTCATTGAATGGTTCTGGCAATGCATTCGATCTTGGCCAACTGAACGCAAGTCTCGATTGTTGCAATTCACCACAGGCACATCTCGTGTACCAGTCAACGGTTTCAAGGATCTTCAGGGATCCGATGGTCCTCGTCGATTTACTATCGAAAAATCGGGTGATCCTCAAGGATTGCCTCGTAGCCACACTTGCTTCAACCGTCTGGATTTACCGCCATATCAAGACTACCAGAGTTTAGAGACCAAATTGATCTTTGCTATCGAGTACGTCATTTTCATTGCCATTTCGTTAGGATTTTCACCTGATTTTTCAAATCTTTCTACTCACAGAGAGACAGAAGGATTTGGTCAAGAATAAAGTATTCTGTTATTGTATCTGTGCCATCGACATTGTTTTCTACTTTCATGTTTTGCCTCACATATGTATGTTTGCTCTCCCGTGTTTTTCATTCGACTGTCAGTGTCTTTGTACATCACGGGTTTGAATATAATCGGTGTATCTGCGATTGTGAAAGAGCATCCATATTCTGACACTGATATGCACAAATGCGCTGTGTATAACGCGTATAACGCGGACCCTGGTTGTTTTTCAATTATGGTCACCTTTCCGTAATGACAAGGAAAGACAAGATAGATCAAAATTGAAGACGATTTAGATGAGTACTAGCAGCAACTCATGCGATGCCTTGTGATGCACAATGAGAAGCTCAGTTCCACTCAGGGTGTCATATTGCTCCGCCCACTCGCTCCATTTGTCTGTGCAGTGAGCAATGAGAGAGCGAGAATTGTCATAAGCACTCAGCCAATCATACGTCGAGGACAGACGGCCTTCGTGTGTATTATAGGTAATTTACTCATGAACAACAGTTGATAGTACAGATTCGAACACAAACAACAAGCGTTTCTAACCATCCATTTTACGAATCATCCTCTTATCCCGCTCGCCCACTATCTTCACCAAACCCTCGTTCTCTAATCCCTTCACTACTTCTGTGAACTCCGCTGGATCGATTTTGATACTACTTTGAGCACTAAGACTCTTGACCACATCTGTCCACTTGACACCTCGTGTTCCTCCAGTAGCGTTGATTATCTTTAGCAACTCCCTCCTCATATCCTCTCTCAACTTGAGTTGACCTTGGCCTGTACCTGTGTTTAACATGCCCATATCGATCTTACCAGTTCGCGGGTCCATCGCACTTGTTCTGATGGCTTCACGCATCAATCTCACAGCCTCCTCGACGTCGTGGTCTTCAACAAATTCCGAGAAGCGCATCCGAGCATGGCCTTCAGAAAGACGTATCATACTTTCTAGTTGTCGTGTGGTGGCAGTGATGCGTTTTTCTGAAGTACGCGGGTCAGTACCCATATTGCGCATCTCGACGTAGGCCGCGACGAGCTCCTTGCCGGCGGACTCGGTGATAATTGGGTGAATTCTGGATCGGGCGTAGTCGATGTAGGCGGCAAGTTCATGAATAGGCTAGGAAATGTGTCATCATGAGTACACTGCGTCGGCAAAACCAAAAAAAGCTTCCCACTAGAATGTCACTGCCACTGTTGTCGGGCGTGTCTTCAAGGTACAGTCCAACCAGATGCTGAGCCAACCGACGATCCAAATTCTCATCTACCTGGTCCAAAACTAAATATAGCAGGTCAAATCGCGAAATGAGAGTAGGTGGGAGGTCGATGTTTCTCGTGATAGGCAAGTCAACGTCGTATTTCGATCCGACTGGGTTGGCAGCGGCAAGAATGGATGTGCGAGCATTCAATGTAGTTATAATACCAGCTTTGGCAACGGAAACCGTTTGTTGTTCCTGTGCCGGGAGTGAGCATGATGGAAAGGCCAAAATGACGTGAACAAACCATGACTTCGTGTAAAACACTCCTGGTAGCATCCGACATTTTATCGAATTCGTCGATGCAGCAGACCCCTCCGTCGCTTAGTACGAGAGCACCACTAAAGTAAAGTGGATCAGCTCATGGAGGGTTGCACAGAAGAAGCTGAATCACCTTTCCAGCACCAACTGTTTAGAATCTGGATCTCTAGTGACATACGCCGTCAAACCGACCGCGGAAGAACCTTTTCCGGAAGTATACACTCCCCGAGGTGCAATTTTGTGAACATACTACCATGAGCGTTAACTTCGGTAAACAACGAGAGACGAGGTCGCCCACCTGCAGAATCTGGCTCTTACTTGTACCTGGATCACCCACCAAAAGAACATTGATATCTCCACGATATCTTGGCCCTCCGCCTCCTCCGCCCCTTGAGATACTCTTGTTAGTGCCACCGAAAAGCTGAAGCAAAATCCCTTTCTTGACATCGTCCATTTCCCATATGGACGGTGCAAGCGATCGAGCTAGACGTTCGTAGATATCTGGTTGCTGAGAGAGTTCTCTGAGATGATCTTGGTGTAAAGCACGCCGGGAAGACCCTCCTTCGACAGAAGGGACGTCGTCGAGAGGATTGGCATCAGGATTGTCTCCGTCTAGACCATCCCCAACGCCGCCTACACCAGGGATCTTGTCCCCGCCCATTGGTCGAGTAGATCGATCGAAGCCCAGTCCCTTATCAGTCCCAAGCTTTATATGGACTACATCCACAAAAGTCTTGAACAAACTCTTCAGGCTCCTTTGTCTCGGATTGACCCTCACCGGAGTGCTTCTGAAGATTCCAGTTACGAGGATCCTATCACCCGGTTTAGAGACGTCAACTAGTTCGTCGTAGACGCTGAGAGAGACGGTATGGGGCGTTTGACCATCTGGCACGGCGTCGGGGGTCTCTTGTACTCGAACGACTTGCCTGTCCGCAAACTCTGACCGATTATGAATGAGGGACATGGTTCCTACAGATGCGCAAACGTCTCGTGGACAACGAGCAGGTTCAGAAATTCGTCCACGTGAGATTTCAACTTGAATAGTGTGGGAGCAGGTGAGGCAACGGAAGAAGGCGACTTTCATGTCTGGGATGACCGGAGTTGCACGAATGACAAGGCCTTTGATACAGACGAGTTTATCTGTATCTGAGAGGGGAAGTAAGGTAAGCCATGACCTGAATGGCGAGAAGGACCGGATGTAGCTCACCAGAAGGGTTTAGTTCGCGCATGTTAATAGGCGTTACTCCTAAGGGACGGACTTTGTACACCTTGCTCAAAATGTCAGATATCTCTGCATCACCAGCGGCATCTTGCATGCCCTCCAACCCTTCCGCCTGGTCTTGCTCAGCCAAATCAATCATCACATCCTTCAATGCTTGATCGAATGTCGGTATAACCTCCTGCGGATACTTAATGACTTGCGTGTGCAGCTTCTTCGTTGGTGGATAAGCCAGCAAATTCCTAACGTCAAGATTAAGGTTGGTTTCGCCAGTCTGGCGCATTCGTCGAAGATACCCTTCGTATAGAAGCACTTCACCTTCCTCGGGCGTAGCTAGTGCTGAAGTAGGTAGCCTATTCTCACGATTATAGGCAATGCGATATTTGATCTTGAAATTTTTCAAGAAATCGGTGAAGAGTTGGATAGTTTGGTTGATGTTGACTGTGGTACCCCAAATGGCACGAATCTCGTCGGGCTCTTCGGATACAGGGTCATTTGCGGCTGAAAGCAATGGGGCAGAAGAAGGAGGAAGGTCAAGTTGGATGCCATCGGAGGTGAGTGGGTCCGCGTTAGAATGAGTCGAGCGCGGGGGGCGGACTCGGCGATGAGAAGTCGGTGTAATGGAGAGAGAAGAGTGGATATCCCCTCTCCTATTGATGGGAGCAGAGGCTGTCGGGCTTCTACAACACTCGTTGAAAATACACAGAGCGAACGAACAACAGTGACACGTACGAAGGAAAATCCAAGGGCTCGGAGTCTTGATTGGCGATTGGAGGGTCAGAAGTAAAGTTTACGCGTCTTCGAGGCGTTTTGGATGGTGAAGAGCTTGGAAACGCGATCGGAGAAGAGCTCCCGGCTAAAAATACGCGTGAACAACAGCAAGTGCAGAAAGATCAGGTATTTACGGGCAAAAAGAGGCCTTTGTTTAGGAGTGCTAAGCCCTACTGCCCTCCTCGCGGTAATATTTCGGAGAGGAGAGCTCCCTGCGATGCTTTGGCTGCCTCGTGTACGAGCTGGGGTCCCAGCATTTGTTGAAGGAGTTCCTGCAAGAAAAAGAGGTAGATTGTTGGTTGGCGCGGCGCCCTGATCACCATCCTCGTTCATATCGGCATCGGAGGAAGGAAAATCGAGAGCAGGCGGTGAAGACATTGAATTGTGAAATCAAGGAGAAGGAACGCGTCGCGTCCGCCGTCAAGAAAGGCAGGGTCCGTTTGCAAGTATTTTCTCATCACATGGTTAGCATGCCCGAGACCGGCCGGGTATACCCTGGTGTGGGTTTCGAAAATATCACAAGAGCATCAATATTTTAGAAGTCATTTCAACTGTCCATGTACATGTAGCATACTTTAACATCTTATAGCACGGATATGCTATTGTTCACACACGGAGATGGGGGGCATATATTATAATATAATCACGAAAACGAATGAAAGCCGTCTGCTTCATTAGTTCGACTCTCTTGTCAGCAAAGACTCCCTTGCCTCCACAACATACCTCTGCATTAGCTCAACCACCTTCTTCAGGTTCTGACTATATTTAGCAGATATCGGAACAACACTCAACGAACGCCGATTTCCATCATCGTCTACCACAAGCATTTCCTTTTCCACAAACTCTTCTAGTCGCTTCAGTTTGAGTTTTGCTTCCTCAATAGAAGCCGCATCGCCATCTCCAGCTAGTAGATCTGCCTTGTTGGCTATAACCATCCGAGCCTTGTTGCTCATCCCTGGGAGATACTGCTCAAGCTCGTCTCTGAGAATTGCAATCTCCTCCCAAGGCGCAGGACTAGAAAAGTCGACCACGTAGACCAACCCAAGGGAACGTTCCATGGAACGGAGGAACGAATGACCGAGTCCGACATTTTCAGATGCTTTGGTTATCAGACCTGGATTGTCGGCTATTGTAAAGCGGAAGTGCTCGACAATGTCGAAACGGTAACCGGCTCCAAACCCTCGAGCGACCGCGTCAGAGTTTGCTTGTTGATTTCGGGTCAAGGCGTCAGCGAACGCGCCTTCTTCCATTTTCGCCTGATTTTGGGCTTCTTCAACCAATGTCTCGTCGTGAACCATACCCTCCGAAAGACCACCTTCAAACGAACCGTCAGCAGCAACGCGTACGACCCCGATCACAGGGTTCAGCGTCGTAAAGGCATAACCAGCGACTTCGGTTTTGGCTCGACCGCCAGTGAGAGCACGAAGCAGAGTACTCTTGCCTGCATTTGGGATGCCAACGAAGCCAATGTCCGCCAAAAGTTTGAGTTCCAAGGAGAGAGTGACTCGTTCACCTTCATGCCCGCGTGTAGCGAATTTGGGAGAACGATTGTCTTGTGAAAGGAAATGCGGATTACCTAGTCCTCCTTGACCCCCCGAGGCAATGAGATGACCTAAAGCATCCTTTCGTGGAAGTCCGAGGGGAAGGTTTGGATCTTCTTCCAGTTCCATATCTTTGTCCAAGTCCAAATATATAGGCTGTTCGATCTCTCTTTTCCGCCTTGCATACCTTCGGTCTCTTTCCTGCTTATACAACATTTGTTCTGCCTCCTTAAAGACGTCCCGGTCTACGTTTGACTCGCTATGTCTCGGATAATGTACCCAACGCTTGTCACGCATCTTAGCCTGCTTATCTGCTGGATCAAGTCCCTCCAATGCCTCAGCCTCTGCTTCCCACTCATCTTTTGCCCGGCGTGGATCATCTCGTGGTAGTTCACGTACGATGGTTCCCAATGGTACTCGAATAATTAACGGAGCACCGTTTTTGCCATTTTGCCACGTCCCTTGACCGTTGCCGCCGTTTTCACCTCGGACGCGTTTGGCTACGGATGTGAGGGTTGTGAGTTCTGGGGTAGGTAGGATGTAAACATCTCCCCCGCGTCCGCCATTTCCTCCTGAAGGTGGACCAAATGGAAGAAATTTTTCGCGATGAAAAGCAGCGCAGCCGTCTCCGCCTTTTCCTGAAAAAAATTTCATACATTGTTTCAGTGAATTTGATGCCGGTCTAAAATCATCTAACCTCCTCGCACGTTAATTATGAGGTGGTCCAGGAAAGTTTGGCCCTTAAGAAGAACGAAGATTGGTACACGGAAAAGAAGATAGAAAAGGCAACGTACTCCCTGTCTCCGTTTCCATTCCGTCTTCCGTCTTCTCTGGTACGTCTCGTAGTCTTCAGATTGAGCTTCAAAATCGCGGCGTATTGCTCCATTATTACAAGCTATCCTGCATGTTGAGAAATGAGATACGCCGCGGCGACAGAATGCAGCTGCAGACGGTGTGAACTCAAGGACAAAATTAAGCATGAGAAATTTAGCGCCGAGCTTGACTTCATCACACATCTTTTTTCGAGATATCTGTATCTCGATGCTAAAGCCACAGGATAGGCTGGGATATGGTAGCCGGCTCATATGTATAAGGATGTCTTTCTTTTTCTTCTCTGAGGGTAGTGGCCTCATCTTACGAACTCAAAACAGACATTCCTAGCCATCATGGTATCGGCGCAGCCATTTCCAGAGATTCGCCTTATTCAAGTTATTAGTGAGCTCGAGAGCAAACGCTAGGACCCAGGAAGCAGAGACCATTCCATAACTCAGCTTAAGTACCCCAAGTTGCCAACTCGCCCCGACGGAGTAAGTGCCCTGCGGAGACTCTGTGTTTCAAGTACGTAGCGCGTTTCTAAATAATATATTGATAACACAATGTAGTCAGCATATATAGAGATAAGTTGACGCAAGGCAAGGCAATCTGGCTTTGCCCATCCTATCAGCCTCTCTCCTCCTCCTACTTAGATGTCGCCGACCACACAGCATGGAAATCCACTCCCGGATTACAGTGCCTCAGCTCCACCTCCGGGTTACTCTGCTCAAGTCACCGATGGCGAAGAGCTTCTCGCAGCGACACATACACCCCTATCATCCAGGCGCACCGGTTCATACTCGCGGAGTTGGGATCATGGCATTGGTATTCGAGTGGTTTTGCATGAACTAAATGAAGATGTTGGCAGTCAGATGCCAGTCTATCATCAGCGAGGCTTGATTTGCGGGACGATATACCAGGAGAACCCTAGGAATACGTTGCAAGTCTTTTTGAAGGCAAGTTGCGTCTGATAAAACGAAATCGACGTGTTAATGACTATGTCCATGGCAGATCGAAGGCAAACTCAAGCTCAGTGTATTTGGAAATAATCCTCATACGAGCACCATCAAAGTGGTTGACGAGTGTTATGAACTGTGGTCTAAATCGCGTTCGCAAGCCGGAACTTCCACGATTCCTAATGAGATTGCCTTTTCTTCAGTACTGCCGACAACCTTCCGAGACGGGGACCGTGACGTTTCAGTTCCCCCATCTCATGAGATATCGTTACCAGGGCTCCCTGGACTCTACTCGCAATGTAGAGTGTCCTTCGATGTCTTTCGTTCGGTGTTCTGACCTATTTGTTAGGTACATACGCAGTGAAGATCCTGTTGGTCACACGAAGCCCGTTATGGAACAAAACAAAAACGTACGTGGACTCGACTTTGCTTGCTGCTTTGCGTCTTGCAATTATATTGCTGAAGCCAAACTTGCTCATCAATGCATGAATGATAGGTTCACAATTCCTTTCAAATACCGCCCTCGAAGTCGACCTCCGGTACCTCTTCTCACACACGACGGAATTCGACCTGGTTGCCCCATATTTCATGCCACTATCAAACGCGCACCCGAGGTGTGGTTCGAAACGCTTTCAATCTTGCGGTGTAAACCTGCGTCAGGGTTAGCGCCTGTCGAAGTCCAAGTAAGTTTCCCAAGATACGCATTGAAATCGATACTCATGCACTCATGATACAGTTATTCATGCCCTCCGGACGAACATTCGGACTTGCCGATGAGATTCCTTTTCACATCCAGCTCACTGGGACCGCATCTTCCATTCAAACGCTGTACAGACTTCTGTCTCCTCTGAGTGCATCGTCAGAATTTCGCGCACTGACTCCAACTCTCACCAATCAGTCCACCCGAGATTCGATCAATAGCAAATATTCGGTGAAGGAAAACGATGACCGTAACTTCGTTTTCTTCAGCGTTACGCTCATTCGCCAGGTCTGCGTCGAAGTGAAAGACCAAGCCGTATGGAAGAGTTTTAGTATCGGGAAAGGAATAATACATCCTATTCCTCCACCGTTTGAGCTTGCTGTCCTGGCGGACGATGCCTTTTTACCTCCACATTCTGCGGATCATACAGAGAAGATTGTGAACCTCGACGCAGCGGGTGAGATTCAGTGCCAACCCGACGTTGATATCGGGCATTTCAATGGTGGCAAAGTTCAAGTTAAGGTATGATTCACTATCGATATCTTGAATACATGAGATTGAAGCTACTCAATCCTTGATCATAGGATTTTTTGGTTTTGCAAATTGCACCCTTCAAGAAAAGCGACAATGCTCGTTCACCGTTTTTTCCTCTCAAAATGCCAGTTCCTGTATTTATAGTTACAGATAGCTGGAGTGAGCATCCTATGGTTGTCTAATATCAACAGTCAACTATTTAATAGTCTTAATTAAGGTTTAATGTTACCCCTAAACCATTTAACCCGCTTTGGCCTGTGGGTAAGTTAACGTAAGATTCATGGTCAGCTTGCCGAAAGCTGTTTCTTTCGTCTAACGCGCCATACACACTAATACCCATTGTCTCTTACTTCGGCAGACCGGATTCCTTGATCTTCTGTATTCGGAGGGTCCAATCAAACTGACCAGTGTCACGTCCGGGGCCCAGTCTACCTTGCTTCCGAGGAATTAGAATCCGGCCCATTTATCTGGGATGCAATGTCATCCAAACTATTTACACCGTACCCCCTCCCAACACAATTAAGGTCATCATTATTCAAGACCCCAACAGATGGTGTGGTTCCACCCATTGATGAACTCGAGGCGCTTCATGCGGAGCTGAAAAATCTCAAGGCGAGAACTATGGAGAAAGCCAGACGAGCTGGAGAGGATTTGAAAGTGCTAGAAGAAGGAATGAGAAGGATGAAGGACAGAGCGAAGAAAGGGAAGGAAAGAGAAGGCAAAGAAAAGGTCAAGAGAGAACGCGACTGTCAGTCTCCAACTCATTCTTTTTGGAAATACCATTGACCATTTGGTTCCCCTTTATTTTCCTAAATCCAATTTCCCTTTGACCATTTTGTGATGGCGATTCCGCTTCACGCATCCAATCACGCATCTTAACTTTGGCTTTTTGTGGTTTATATACCGCGTTCACTCTAATATCTTGCTACCATGACATGCCCGTGCAAACTCGACGTCAAATTCTACTCGCACGGTCCCAAAACATAGTCTCCACAACACCCCTACCTGATTTCGCAGATGATATACAGCCACTGCTTTCATCATCGGGTGCTTCTGGCTCTAAACCTCGTTTCTCCTCGCATCCTCTCAACAACCTTCCTTCGTCCTCAAGGTCCTCAATGGATCCCGAAAGGGATAAGAAGAAAAAGAAAAAACGGAAGAGAGACCTGTTGGAGGAGAGTGATATTGAGATGGGTATGCGCCAAAACATGCATTTCGGCTTACTCTTGTTGCTTACGATCATCTACAAATAGTAGACGCTGGTTCTCCACGAATACGCAAGGGAACTCCTCCAATTCCACACCCCTCTCACTCAATTTCCTCATCTTCGTCTATTCCACCTGCTCCCAAGGCAGCCAAATCAATATCGTCATCTTCGATCCCCAAGGTACACTGTATAAACTTGTTTAAACTCGTCTATGTTTCCTGAGTTTTTTTTTTTTTGTAAGAATTCTACCCAATATCATACAGGAATAGACTTTACAGTCCCTGCTCCACTTACCATCCTTCCACCCCGACCTCCGATACAGCCACCCCCAATACCTGCGCCTTCACATCCCACACTTGTTTCCGAGGATTTCAGTAAAATAGTTAAAGCTCCGACCCAGGTGGCAATCGCAGCATTTTACTCCAGTGTCGAACCATATTTAAGAGTGATCAAGGAGGAGGACGTAGGGTTCTTGAGCTGGGAAGGAGATGACGTAGAACCTTTTGTGATGCCGAAGCTAGGAAGACACTATCTCGAAGTTTGGGAGGAGCAGGATCGATTGGGCCTTACTACCTCATCCAGTGCACTTGGCACCCTTCAACAAGTAGCATTAAACGGCGGCGATATACCTCCTAATCCTTCGGCAGTAGCGCCCAATCCCTCTTTTGATCCTTCCACCCTCTCCGAATCTGATACTCAGCTGGAGCACCTTGGGCACGGACCGCTCACAGAACGCCTCATCTCTGCGCTCCTTCCTATGCCGGACAGTCATTTGACATGGAAAGGAGTCAAAGCCGCAGAAGACGCAATGGAGGGACGGCCTGGCGGCAGTGGCGCCGCTGCCAGTAGAAAGGAGAAGCTCTCTGTATCGGACCTAGAGAGACGAATTGGGGATACAATGAGGTGGTACAACTTGTTGCCGTCTGGAAGCAACGTTCAACCACTTGATTACAGCAATAAAACGGACGATCCCATCGCCACTGCTCTGCGCATCAATCAAGCAGAGCTCCGTCGCGTATCTGCCATAAACCGATTACGCAAAGCACGCTATGCGGAGATAGCAAGGGATAGAGTCGCATGGGCAGAATACCTAGAGTTGAGAGAGTCGATTGATAGGAACATCACGAACGTGTATAACAAACTTCAAAAAATGCAAAAGGCGCAGAGGGATGCACCGAAACTGGGAAGGAAGAAGAAGTTCAAGTCTGAAGAGAGCACCCCTGTCAAGGGAGTCAACGGTTCCAACGGCAATGGTTCTGTCAACGGCGACACTCCTCCACTTCCACTCTGTCCTGCAGCACTTGGACTTGGTCCAGACGAGGATAATCAACTCGTGGTTAGCGAGACGCTGAAACAACTCGTACAAACCAGAAGAAATTGGGTCAAGCTAGGCGAGACGCTTTTGGATGAGAAGGAGGGTCCATTAAAGGTAATTGAACTAATGGAGCCTGGGGAGTCTTCACCAGAACCAAACGCAGAGGACCTAAGTTCTTCACCCGGTGTTAATGACAGCTCATCATCTAAATGGCGCGTACCAGTAATGGAGCGGCCTCGGCGCGGGCGACTTGTTGGTTTTCCTAAAGAAAGTATATTCAAAGGTATAGAAGAAGAGGTAGAGGAGCTGATGCGAGACTGGGAGCGTCATAACGTGGAGCGGGAGCAAGCGGAGGGACAGGCGAAGATACCGACGACGACTAATTCCCGTGTCGGTGCAACGACGGTTCCACATTCGAACGATACGTCGACATCTGGGAGTGGGCTGAAGATTCATCTCAATGGACATGTGCAAGCGACGTATGGTAAAGGTAAAGGGAAGGCGAGGGATGATCAGATGGATGTTGGTTGATGCTCTTGAGAGACTATAATTTCTCGTGCTTGCTTGAACGTGAATTAGTATATTATGATTATCTACCTTTGCATGCAACAAAAGAATAACTTTTCCAAATTTGGCCCCACGTGGTACATTAAATCTCTTCCTTAAATCCTTCCGCTTTGTTAAGTTGCCGCCAAATGGTCACTTTCACCTTTGTGAGCGTAATTTATACTGTCTTGGACACGTCGTACTAACTCACAGAACAGATTCGACACGGACAATCCACTGATAACGTGGTAAGCGGCTCGCATTGGTCTAGACGCGTCTTATGGCAAAGGTGCACTAGAAAAGGGTTTGGGCAGGATGGAAAGATGCTCCTTTATCAAATCATGGTAAGCCATACTGAGGTGTTCATATGGATAAAAATCTGAACTGCGTGGCAGGCATGAAAGTAGGATGCGATACGTCCATTATCGGTTGTCATAATCTCATAAATACTGGTTTACGCCACAGCAAGCGACGGCTTTAGGCAAATGGTTCTCTGACAAGGGTATACATTTTACTGCAATACTATCTTCAACCCTGGATCGTGCAGCAACCACCGCTGAAGTGATTTTGAGCCATCAGCCAGGACCTCATCCTCCGCACATAAAGTCTCTCCTATTACGGGAACAACACTTCGGTAGTGCAGAGGGAAAATCCTGGTCGAGGAAGTCATACTCTGGGGCAACATTAGAAGAAGAAAATCGTAGTCAAGGAACATCCACGAATCATTCGAGACGCAGTGATCGTTTTCCCGGAGGCGAGAGTAGAAAGGATTTGGCTGCGCGCGCAGAGCGAGTTATCGACGAACTCCTGTTACCATATATCTTGAACACAACAGGGCCAGTTCCTTCTCACGTTGCGGTCGTTAGCCATGGGCTGTTTATCAGAGAAATTGTGGATGCTTTGTACCGGCGCGAGTTTGGAGGCGAAGGGATGCAGAACAATCATCGTGGTCTCAGTAACACTGGGTGGACAAAGGTGATTGTAAACGTGAAGGTGAATATGCAAAATCTCTGTTCCAGAAGGCATGTGACAAACTTAAGGCAGCGGTCGATTATCCCGACTTCTCCGCCCTCGGTGTCAAAACTTGACTTGAGTGTACGAATAACGGCTATCAATGAACATGAGCATCTCGACAATCTTGTGAGATTTACACGTTCTATCTAGGCCCTCGCTGACTTTGAGTACATAGGTACGGCAGAAAGGGGGAATTGGTAGTTTGGCTCATGATCCTAAGCAGAAAGATATTCGCGGATTTTTTGCAGGTAGTACCGGTGCCAGTTCATCAAGCAAATCGTGACATGTGTCCATCCATTCTTCGAAGCTGCATTGGAATATCAGTTGTGGTTTGTGAGTGACATTCAGCAGAGCGCACAGGTCCTTGCCCTATCCTATTAATTAGACCCATAAGGTAGCAGTAATTTTTTGAGTTTGTGTGTCTGAGCAGCAGTAGAGTACGCAGTTGTCGATAATCGATTTTTACGCGCCGGTGGTTTGGTCACATTCAGATGCTGGTGGTTTGCTTTCCCCTGGAGGAACATGGAGTTAAGTTACAAATAATTGACGAGCCAGTATTGCAGACATACGCGTTTAAAGCTACTTCCTGAAGCAAGGGATCTCCAACGCTTTTTGGCCCCACTATGAGACTTCATTTTATATCCCGCCTCGACTACAGAGGTCATCGAAAACATTCTACGTTGCCATATTGGAAATGATGTGAATGTAGACCTCAACGTCGGGGTCAAGCTGGAGAACATGGGCGTTTTAGCAGTGGAATTATAAGTGCACGTGAGAACGGATGAGCGAGTACGTACGTATCTCCCGGAGCCAGGTACCGAGAGCCACCTACCTTACTCGCATTGAACGACCATGTCTGATGCTACACCAAATGAGCATACTCCTCAGGACGATGCTGAACGCGTAAGGAAGCTTCTGACCGATCTTCCAGTATAAGTTCTCATATCTTCTCTTCTGAAGATTCGTCTGAAGAGATTAGCCAAATTACAAACTTCTGCATCAGGCTTTGCAGCCCCTTCGGGATCATCGACCCCTTCAATCGGTACATCAAGACCATCCTCCCCGAAACCGTCTTTGCCAAAGGTCATCAGCAAGCCTTCTCCGGCGACAAAGAAAATCTTAGAGCCAACACCTACTCCTCTGGAACCACCTATCAGGAAGAAGGCGCCTTTACATTTGGATTTAGATATTTGGGAGGATGAAATGATCACAGGTGTACTTAAAGTGACACTTGATGTAGGTTTCAGAGGTCGAATATAAGTTTTCCAGAACTCATAAGTATCTGCGTCTCTAGAAATCTGTAGCAGAGCGGAGCAGTTATGATATAGTCTGGCTGAAACCTCTGGCGGACGAGATAAAATCAGAGGCTGCTGGTGCGTACTGAATGCTTTCTCTTCAACATATCAACGCAACGCACTCACGCACCTTCCTAGTACAACCTTTACGTCTAAATATCGATCTCATAGATCGCCTTCTCATTGCCCGACTAGAGATCGATCCCCAAGCCATGACGTTAGTCATCCCTTTCCTCTCATCTATTAGCGTGAATACTTACTTATCATAGAGATGACCTAGACTTTTTGCCGGTGCTGGCGTCTCTCCCGCCTCAACAGACTATTTTCGAATATCTGGTCGGTGCATGGAAACGCTTGAATATGTTTAGGACGAGTTTGATTAAGAAAGTGAGAACGCATCCATTCTTATAGGTACCAGCTATTCCTTATGCCATGGTCTAGGGTTATACGCCAGCAGAGACCCAAACCGCGCTCACCAGATTAGACAAACTACGTGATCTTGTCATCAGCTACTCTGGGCTCACCCTGCAAGAACCCGAGATGTTTCCTCAGCCCTCAGGGTGCGTTCTGAGTTAAAGCCATGTCTAATTTACCTAACACCAATATCAGACGACTGCTCGGGCCACCTGAGCTCGTTGCGCCCCTTCTTTCTCTATCCACACTATCGACACCTTTATATTCCTCAAACACCGCTTCGACTAACACCCTCTCTCCTACTGACGTAGAGTTATTTCTTCAAGATTTGGCTCATCGCTTTGAGCCCGACAATGAGATTGACGAAGTCTTGGGTGACGTTGTTAGGCAATTACTATTCCATGAGTCACTATTCCGTCCAGAAGGTTTGGGTGGTGCAGTTGCTACTTGGCGCGGTGTGGTGGGCGGCCTCGAAGCTTTAGTCTCTGTCAAAAGCATCGCCGTCATGATCACTAGAATGCCGGAATGGATTCCGGCCAATGCTACCGCAGCGAACTTTGAGAAGCTTTCGTTAATGGGGCCATTATGTCGTTTGGGTGTTTTTGCAAGAGAATGGGTCAGTCTGCTTTCGAAGATCGACTACCCCTTGTATTGATGGCGCCGCTTATAGCCAGCCATAGCTCAGAGTTATTTTTCGGAACCTGAGAAACGTTCACCTCAGGACCTAGAGTCCTCGTATGCCAGTCTTCGAGGGACATTGAAAAGTCTTCAGGTATAAGATTCAACTACTCTTGATATACACAGTCCGGAATAATAATGTCACGCTCAGAGCACGTTGTTTCAAATCTTCAACACACTTGTTCGAGCCGCCCCGAATTCTAGAGAAGCTGTGTTGCAATATTTCAGCAAGATTGTTTCACTTAATGTCAAACGAGCTGGCTTGCAGGTAATTGTACCTTCTTACTTTTGGCAACGTTTGTGTTGGTTTATTTGGATGAACAGGTGGACCCAGATACGGTTGCTTCTGATAGCTTCATGGTCAACATTCAGAGTGTTTTGTACCGGTTCGCAGAACCTTTCATGGATGCCAATTATACTAAGGTAGGTTTGAATACAAGTTCTGTACTCGGTACTCAAACCATTCTCAGATCGATCGAATTGATCCTTTATATTTCGCGCACTCTGACCGTATAGACGTCACGGAGGAAACTCGTATAAAAGCTACTGCACAGGAAGCTTCACAGTGGGCTGAAGAAAATCGTCTCTCTGGAGGTCAGTCCTCGTTACATAGCTATGATAATACTCATCAACTTCCTTTCTCGTCATCAATTAGGACCGGCTCCCAACTTCATTTCGGATATCTTCTATCTAGCCGTCGCGACGAGCCATTATGGTTATCAAAAGACAATCTCCAGTTATAGCGAGTTGGACAAACACTTGGAAGACATTGAACGACATCTGAGCTTCCTCAATGGAGACGGTTCTTGGATGGGGGTAAGCTACAGCCGGTATATGGTCCGGCTACAAATGCTCACTACTTGCGTAGACTCCATTACAAGCCCGTATTCAGGCATCTATCAACAATATCAATGTGAATCATTGATGTTTTCCTGGCTTCATCCCATTTTTACATCCTCTTATAGAACGAGAAAGCAAAAGTTCAAAGCGCTCAGTATGCATATGAAGCGCAACTCAAAGATCCTGAGCTTGTTTTCAGGTCTATCGGTTTCACTGTCTTCTTGTCAGTGTGGTTGATTCGGCAGGCCGACCCAAAGAAAACGCATCCCAACCCACTTGCTGAGTTCGTTTTCATTATCACTAGTTTGTAGTTCTCTCGACTGACCCTACTTCAGGTTACCATTGTCAAAAGATGTGCCAATGTCTTTTCGGGTCCTTCCTGAATACATTGTCGAAGATATCGTTGACTACTTTCATTTTGCAACACGGTGAGTGGGAGCGTTTACGGTGACCGGCAATGAACGAAGGTGATTTATTTTATTAGACATGCACCAGATAAGTTCGAGCTGGCAGGCAAGACCGAATTGTTGACTTTCATCTTGACATTCCTGTCATCGACATGGTACATCAAGAACCCTTTCCTTAAATCTAAGATCAACGACGTATGAAGCTTACCCTCGTTATGTTTTTTGACTAAGAAGAAATTAGGTTCTATTTTTGAGTATCTGGGGCTATGGACGCGAAAGTACCGGTATACTTGGGGGTCTACTGAACACACATCCACTGGCGTTGAAGAACCTCATGTCGATGTTAATGCACTTCTACATCGGCGAGTGATCTTTTGGGTGCAACGCATACAAACTCTTAACGATCCTTAGAGGTGGAACAAACGGGAGCCAGTTCGCAGTTCTATGACAAGTTTAGTAAGTAAATCAGATCGGTGCTGTTCTGTGTGCTGATTGCCTTCGTTGCAGATGCTCGGTCAGTCGGTCCAAGCCAGCCATCGATATTTGCGTTCACATCCCACCTCATTGCAGCCGTAATATATCCTACGTGCTGAAGGTTGTGTGGAACAACCCGACGCATAGGGAAGCCCTCAATCGTGAAGCCGAGTGGGTCTTGTCTCTTGCGGTCCTTACCTAGCTTCGATTAACCTCGAAACTGTAGAAACGTGGACAAATTCATCCGCTTTATCAATCTCATGATTAATGATGTCACATACCTCATGGATGAATCGTTGAGCGAACTCACACAGATCCATGACATTCAAACGGAGATGGACAACAAAGAAGAATGGAACTCTAAAACCTTAGAGTACCGCCGAGAACGTGAAGGAACGCTTCGTCAACTTGAAAGACATGCTTCGAGTTACACTACTTTAGGTCGAAGCACCGTTGAGCTACTCAAACTTTTCACAGCAGAGACGAAAAAACCTTTCATGATGCCCGAAATTGTGGACAAACTCGCTGCGATGTTGGACTACAATTTGGAAGCGCTTGTTGGGCCTCGGATGCAGAATTTAAAAGTCCGCCAACCGGAAAAACTGCGATTCGACCCAAAAGCATTATTAAGTGATGTGCTGCAGATTTTCTTAAACCTCAGCGACCAGCCGGAGTTCATGAAAGCTATCGCTGGTGACGGACGAAGTTATTCGAAGGGTCTATTTGAGCAGGCGGAGAGGATTATGTTCAGAAGATCCTTGAAGTCGGGAACGGATTTGGAAAAGTGGCGGTTACTGATTACCAAAGTTGAGGAGGCCAAAGAGACACTCGAAGCCGAGGAAGATCTGGGCGACATTCCGGACGAGTTCTTAGGTATGAACGCTTCTTGCCATTATTTTTGTAGAGCTAATCACCATTCCAGATCCGCTCATGTTCTCCATAATGAGAGATCCGGTCATACTTCCCACATCACGTACCACCATTGATCGGTCAACTATCAAGTCGCATTTGCTGTCCGATACAACGGATCCATTTAACCGTATGCCACTAGCTATAGAGGATGTTGTTTCGAGTAAGTTATCGTATGCATCTTGCACAGCATGCTGAATGAGGTCTTTCAGATACTGAACTCAAAAGCCAAATTGATGCCTTTCTGATTGAGCGTAAGCAGCGAAATAAAGCAAGTGGCTCGGGACCGGAGGATAGCATGAACGTAGCACATTAATAATCAATAGATATCCGATGTAAAGACTCGAGAGAGTCATAGTCTGTCATAGTATGTGGAGTGGACAATTGCTAAATTAGGACTGGTATAATCAGCTTTGCCCTTTGACACGTGGCTGTAACAAGGTCTCACTCGGAATAAAAGATACAAACTGGGTACAGTGACAAAGGTATAATATCGCGAGATAATGATGGTACATGATAGGCTGGTATCATCTTTTCCGTTTTTTAGCCGGTCGCGTTGAGGAACCTGTAGTGGAAGCACGAACACGAGTTGTGGCTGCTTTCTTCGTTGTTGATTTCCGTCGCCCTGTTTTGGCCGCTGCCGTATCTGTCGGAAGTATGATGACCAGTATCTGACTGGAAGACGAGGAGAATTTACCTGGCGTTGCATCTCGAATTTCTATGTCATCGTCAGCTTCCCCATCCACAGTCTCACCGCCGTCTGTTGCCGTAACAACACTAGGCGCTTGCCCTTCTTCACCACTATCCGTCAGGTCACTACTATCGCTTTCCCCACCCACAAGCCCAGCCATGCTTGCTTTGCTTTTGGCATTCTTTTTTCTTGAGCGTGAAAGCTTTACCTTCAGTGCTGCTGGCGACGTAGCGGCTGTTTCCGGAGATGAAGGTGGCGACGCGATTGGATTCACCCTACGTGTTGAGATAAGTGGGTCAAGTGAGGGCTCTGACGGGAGCGAAAATTCTCCGCGAATGTAAGGGTGTTTGATATTTTGACCATCGATGGAGGGTGATTGCAGAGAAATCTTATTGGACAACGCAATCTCATATTCAAGTTCCTGGGTACCAGTATCAAATTAACAAAGCGAATTATAAGATAGTGACAAAGCTCACGATTGCATCCAGAGCATCTATATTATAACAACTCCTGAGTTTCTGCCACAGCTCGTCTACAGGAACCCAATGTCCAGTGTCCTTATGGATGGAACTTCTCATTGTAAGGACGTGGAAGTGTCGATGGATTCCAACAGGTCGAGCATGCATTATTGAGCGGAAAAAGGATATTTCACCCTCGATTGTGTTCAGGAAAGCAGGAGTTTCGGCTGACGAACCAGCCATGGGTTTGTTCGGGGTTCGTTGTAGCTGTTAAGGGTTGGGATTGAAGAAGAACTATCATTTTCGCTGACTCATCATTCAATACCCATGGTCAGCAACAGCGAGGATCGCCGTCTCAACTGGCTGCAAATACATTCCTGACCTGCAAATACCACTCATTAGGACGTATAAAAGAAGAGCATCCTGATGGAAATTGTTCAGAGCCAATATGAATCCCATCACCCTCGAACTTCTTCGTTTCACCGTTGACAAAAGCTTCAGCCTTGTTGCTCCTGCTTTTGCCAATCTTCGTCAAACAGTAAGGGCTGCTGGTGTTAACGAACAGTACTATGGATTGACGGACGATAATATGAAACAACTTCTTTGGGTTATTAGTGCAGCTCCTGTCCATATGCAACGATTGACCAACTTCTGACGACTATTCTTGATAGAATGGCCTCAAAAGATCCATTTACCGGAACTTTTGGACGAATCTAGCAAATTCAGACAGCAGGTAACTGCTCTAGACGTCAACTCGAAACCTATTTCTTGGCTTGTTCCGTTCCGATTTGCGGAAGAAGTTCGACCTGCCTTGACTGCACCTGTTTCCGAATTCGTGAGTGTCGTCTCAATTCCTACCACTCGTATAAGGGCTAATATTTTGATCATAGGCACACATCGTACTGAAGGAAACTTCGAAGCCAGGTCCGATATCTGAGTCACTGCACAAAACATTTACAGATTGTTATTATGCCGCTGGATTCACCGGAGGGAATTGGGGAATTGCCGCTAACTCGAACGACAGTGTTTGCCTCTATGTGCTTGGATGGAAATCAAGAGCAGTACGCCTCTTTCTAGTTTCTCAAACCTTCCTTGCCTCAACTCTGCTTTACCTCGCAGTATCATTCCGAGTATTCCAAATCGGCTTTGTTTGACGTCGAGATAGATAAACTCAAACCTCACTATGCTCCAGGCTCGATGGGCCTGTTTTCAAAGCTCACTCAAGAGTTAAGCTAAGGAGGATCATTATGTGTGTGTAGATTTCACGAAACCGCATTGAAACAGAAGGCGTACCAGCATGGGGATATACATGCGGAGAACATCGTATCCTCCTTTCTCAGTCACGAATCTATACACTATTTTCACTCACCATGTATTTGGATCCAAGCTCCAGTAATGATTTCATCGACGTCGATTGGTACACAACCAGACCTTCGGATAAGCGTGGGCTGATTGATGTCAAACAACCCGGGGATGAAATTTCATTTCGTCCCCAGGCTCACATATTATAACCCAGGTTTGAATTTATGTAATTGGTACTAGGCTGTATGTTTTTTACAAACCTCGCTTCATACAATATCTGTTAGCCCTTGGGATGAATGGCAGTCAAAAATCAATGACACATTGTGAGGACATATCTGACCTGTGTATGACCCAAAGGCTTTGAGGATAATTTTGAGGATAAGCAGGGCAAGGTATTTATCTTTAATACGGCACCATTTTGACCAGATGAGCTTCAAATTTATAGTGCTTCACATTCCAAGTCAAGCCATGCAATTGGCAGGAGGCTAGTTTGCTGAAGATAGACTATGAATATTTAGTAGAGATGATTCATTACAGTAGCAGCAAGATAGTATGATAAATGATTACTTGGACTGATTGCGCACGAAAAAATCCACCACAAGAATCCGCCCGCTCCAAATCATTTCATGTTCCATGAGTCATTTTTAGGTCACGCGAGAAATGTTGATCATTGTTTGGTCTTTTTTTTGCCACGTCGTCAACTTTGTTCAAACGTTCAACATTCAACACTCAACACTCAATGCTCAACGCTGGCCCTTTTCAATGGTCAACATTTAACACTACGAGGATCATTTAAATTAGGACGCAACCTGCAACTAACTCAATGTTCAACTTGTCTATTGAAGATACAAAATATTCAAGGCTCGGACTGCATCATCCCCCCTCAACCTCAACCTTTAAGTTACGAGATTCACTCCAACCTCAAGAATGACATCAAGCTGAACAAGCCCTCTATGCCGCCATTAACTCTGCAAAACTGCCTCAACTGCCTACTTCAACACCACATGCTTCGGGTACATCAAAACATCCCCTTCCCAAGATTCACCAAGCGATTTTTTGTTTTTTTTTCACCCGTCCAATTAATTGGTTCCCAGGTCAGTGTGTCTTAAATTTTAAGTTTCATTCTCAGATACATGCTTTATTGTGTTGCATTGTATGTAGATACTAAGTAATGATTCAGTCCAATAAAAGATTTGAAAAATTTGGAAAAGAGCAGGAAAATGAACGTTCCGAGTACTGCAGTGGGCCTTGATTATGTAAATGAGTTGATGCCCAGCCTCAATATTTTGAACCCAGGTTTCAAGTGATGCCGGGGTTAGGATTACGGAAACTGTACTGAGCACTAATTTAATCAGGCTCAGCATCAATTATCGCTGGGTTAAACCTGGTTGAATAGAACTGCACGCCTGTGTATGATGAACAAACCAACTCCCTCTACTTCTTCGACCGAATTGGAAGAATGATTCCGTGGATCCATCATTGTGGAGTCCTTCAGAAGGATACAGGATGCATGTGTTCCCCTAGTTTATGATCCTACGATTGTAAGTGGAGTAGTCATTAGACTTGCATGGAGTACTGGGATCTTCTTAAGAACATGCTTGCGGGATGGATCCGTGCCAGTGGGGCGTGTCCAACTATAAAGAACGACCAGTCTGAGTCTACACACAGTTAATATTGCATCGCACAGAATCGTTTCAGCCCTCATTATGAAGTTTAGCTTAATCGTCTTTTCCAACTTGTTTCTGACAGTTTGCTCACAAACTATATCCATCCTGTCTCCTACTGCTGGTGCGGAGATAGTCCCGGGCCAAGATGTCACTGTCCAATTGGCCTTTGCGGTATGTAACCGTTGTTTTTGATTGGTCGGACGATATGTCATGTTGAAGTTCAACAGAATTCACTCACTGGAGTGGAGCACGTCGCCGCCGTGGTTGCCATGATCAACTGTGCTGGAGCACCTTGTCCTGCAGATGCTAGCGACACCCTTGGTATCCCTCTTTTCGCGGGTAACTACACACCACAGTACCATGAACAAAATCTGGCAAGTTTGAACTTGAATTCGAACTGCATCTTCCAAGAAGCTAATGAATACTCAAACACATAGCCCCCATACGAGAACTATGTACTTGCCCAGTTTTTGATACTCTCTTGTTATTACTGAACCCCTCGATCGTGTTTATTCCTTTTTAGACCGTGACCGTTTCCAGCACGCTTGCGGTTGGAACAAATATGTTGACTGTCGCTCACTTTATGCTGGTCGGAGTAAGTGTCCTTTATTGTCAAGGATGTTCCCCAGGAATGAACATACTACTCTTATACATAGGCCTCTGCGGTTCCGGTGTTAGAGTTCGCCAACGTCACAGTGTCAACGCCGTCCTCAAGTACTCGTAGGGAGATTTCGATTCGAGGACGTACTATTAGTACATAATAAACTGAATGTATAATGGACTATAATTGGGAGTCTTATGGGAGCTTCAGATGATTACCGCCGCACCTTCAGGTGTAGTTTTTCCACTTGAATTTTGATTCAGATTTTTCTTGGGAAGTTGAACGCGGCTTTCAGCCTTTTCTAACGGAGCCAGCTCTCATCGCTCCCACTGCACCATACGCTCCTAAGCTACTAGCACTTCTATGGGTCAATGGCTTATCCAGCATTTGACCCTCATTGGCCCTCATTCCATAGTCCATGAGTCGAGAGAAAACGAGGGAGCTCAGGGTCGCCACCGTTATATAATCAGATATAATCGCTAGCGTTTCTAGACCAAGACTTGTTCGACAACGACGTCGACAGCAACGGGTCTTCGCCAGTCTTCGCTTTTGCACTACTTTTGACTTCTGACGCCTCTACTCCTCTAAAAAGATTTCAGAAAGAGACGATACCTCTCAGTCGCTTGCTAATATGGTGGGCAAGAACTCGAAAAGTTCATGTACGAGATGCGAAAAATTCGAACCTCGCGTAGATGTCAGTTCTGCGAATGTTTACACGAAGTTGCGCTTGGAATTCGGAACGTCCATCGACGACTCGGAGGGCGTCGAGCAGACGATGCGCCTCTGCGACAGAGACGTCGATGACTATGAAACAAAGCTGGCCTACCTTCGATCGCAGATCATCTACATAGAAACCCAGCGCGCGCGGGTAATAGACCATAAAATCGAGCTTGGTTCGCTCTTATCACCCATCCGAAAACTTCCTAATGAGATTTTGGGTATCATTTTCGATTCTGCCTGTAACCAAAACTTATTATGCGACTCCGAGGACAAATATTCTGCTATCCGCGTCCTTCCTGCATTGGCCATCAGCGCGGTATCTTTTCGATGGCGACATCTCGCTTTGTCCTCCTCGCGGTTATGGTCAACACTCAACTTAAAGTTTTCTGTGGTGGCCATAGCGGCTGAGTTTATGTTGAAGCTCAAACTCTATCTGGAGCGATCAGGAAATTCTCCGCTCTTTCTCGACGTGAAGTTCAAGGGGTTTCCTGACGATAATTCTTCTTTGCCTGTCATGGACCTTCTTGTGCAACATTCAAAACGCTGGAAAACTTTCACCGTGAATGGACAATGGTTGCTTACAAGCTGTTACGCACTTTTACACCCCCGACAGCACTTTCCCATCCTTACAGCGCTCAGCACAGATGGCGATTTCCATCAGGAGGAATTGGACATCTTTGAGGACTCACCACAACTCTGTTCAGTTAGAACAACAGTACTTCCCCCGTCTAGGCTCCCGTCCCACCAGCTCACTCATGTTGAAATCGCTGTGCCTTCATCTGAAGACTTGATAGGGCAGTTGGACAGGTCTCCTAATCTGACCACTATGGTGCTTTTGGGACAAAAACAGTCCTTCAGTGTCCAAGACTTAGGCAGGCTTTCGAGAACAATGCCAATGGTTCGGTCACTGGTATTGCAGGTCCAATTGAGCAATAATCTGCTTCAGACAGTGTTCTCATGCCTGACATGTCCCCGTCTTTCGGAACTCAGCATAAGTTCAGCTTATCATCATTATGACAACAGTGCAATTTCTGTGATACCTTGGCCAAAGCACCTTTTCAAATCATTTATGTTAAAGGTTTCATCTGGATTGACGACTTTCACTATCCGGGATATATCGATTTCCGACTTAGACCTTATCGCTGCTCTTGAATTTATGCCTTCGCTCCGTAGCCTAGCCATACATGATCTTCGGTTACGGAAAGAAAATAGTCCCATAACTACGCGACTCATTCAAAGTCTGCACTTACGAGGCAACCAACGTTCCAGCTTCAGGTCGCCTCTCGTTCCCAGATTACACGATCTTGCAGTCGAATTTGGAGGGACCGATTTCGACGATACGATTTTCGTCAGTATGGTCGCATCGCGCTGGCTTCCCGACCGAGATTATTCCGCCGGAGTTGACGTCGATCGCTTAGGATCCGTGGTTTTGAAGTTCTTTCGACGGGAGGTGAACAAGGAAGTCTATCAGCCATTACAAGACCTAGAGGTGATGGGCTTGAGAGTGGTTGTTGATGGTGCCATGGAAAGAAAGAATTATCGGAAAAGGCGATAGTGGTGAGCAAATTTTGAATTTCTACGATCGATGTCAATAATGATTACAAGACATTTTCACACAGAACTTATCGTCGAACCACAGGTCGCAGCTTTGCGCTTGGAATTCATCGAAGTCTAGACTGTATACGCAACACAACACCGTTTTTTAGACTACTGATCTTGTTCAAACTATCTAATACTGATTAACATTACCAATGTTTATACATAGCATGCTTCAAGTACTTGTTGTTGTTTTTCATTCACTGTATTAATTGTATATTTCAGTAACAATCCTGAAACCATTGAAGTTAGACTATGCATTCCTCTCATCGTTTGTCAACAGAAGTTATCAGTTGCTCAAATAAATTATGTAGTAACAAATGGATGTCAGGTGGGTGGACTCCGGGCGCCACCAGCTAAACATGAAGTTACGAGGCTGTAGTTTACGGAAGTATCGTCCTTATGTACGGTACTTCATACAAAAATAATTTCCTTTTATGGCAGTAGTTTCGCCTTATTCGGCCAAATGTAACACTGAGTTGAATTGTATTGAATTCTTGTGACCGGCACGGGATATCACGGGACTGTGACTCTGTCACAATCATTTTTTCTCGTCTCACAGCATCTCACTCAGTTACCCCCTGTTACTCTATAGATACTGTAATTCATGTATTTATTTCATTCTTAAAAAACATTCAATGTCGGCGCCTGTAAGGCGCCCCGTTTATTTGATTCCATAATATTTAATAGCCCCCAAAAAAGGAGCCGAGTTTTTGCCATGCACGGTGGTGCAGTGGCCTGCAATCGCATGTAGTCTCGAGCAATTCCGAATGTTCGATTCGACGGGAGAAAAGAAAGCTGGCCTCTTGGATAAATCTGCGCGGACAATATTTTCTAACTGTCCACGGAAAATGTTGTACGCGAGTTTTCGACGCTCAGGGTTTCGAGATGGAGCATCGTGATGTCATTGAGCAAGATTACCCGTAGAAGAACCCCCCAGAATGACTTCAAATCATACTGTATAGAGAATTGTAGATAAATTTTTTGGGAGGAGGAATCGGCCTCGACAGATTCGCTAGGACGCGGAGCTGCAGAAATTTCTTCAAAAGAATAAGGCAGGCTTGCTCTTGAACATCGAGCCGCATTGCGAATGAATAGCTATGAGCGACTCACAGGCCACAAAGAAGGGGGTGCGCTGATTGAATAATTAAGTATACGACGTAGTCAAGGAAAAGGTTGGATACAAACAGTGCAGATAGTACGACTAGATGAATCATTAGCGCACTTGGCATGATCTCAAGTCAACAAGCATGCCCAAGTGCACGTCTTGAGTTTCGGTCTTACGGTGGTGCTAGAGATACTAATATCACGATTTCAAACGGCATGATGTATGACACCCAGCGCTGTGTTCAAGACGAGATTAACAAACATTTTCGACGAAGATGTAAGGATACATACGGTATGATACCAGTCATAATTTTAGCTAAAGCTTTGACAATGTTTTGTAAGCTTCGCCCTTCAGAGATGGTGGTTGCATATTGCTCGAAAACAATACGATAATGGTGCCTACAGCATCCTCCGCTCCAAGAGATGGGCTCGGAGCCAGATCCTTGCCGCTAGGTTAATTGATAACACTGACGTTCCCGGTATATCTGACTCGTCCTTCTTCTTCAGCCGCTATGCCTTCTCCGCCAACTAGGTTGCTCGAGATCCTGCAAAGGTCTCGAGTCACCTCCACGCTCCGAAGTTGGAGTAGATTATCCGTCAAGTATGGGGTCAAATTCATAGGTTAAGTATAAATCTAGTACTTACATAGCTTCGTATATATATATTTCAACGGTTGGAAGACCTTCATTCGCGTCCGGATATTTCGATGATGTTGTCTCATAACTTAAGACTCATGAAAGCCGGTAATGGCGGCAGAGCATGCTCAAAGTACCATAGTCGTCCACCAACATTTCGCCAGATAGATTAGAATTCATGGGAAAGCCCCGGTAGCTAATTGCCACGCCTGTTGGATCTACGCAGTATGTGGATGCGGTGGTACGGAATGTTGAGAGCGTTGTGAAAGACGCGGTATTGTTTGGTTTTTGATGAGGCGCTTGACCGGGCGCTTACACCCCTCCAGATTCTTGTACTATTCCCAACAAATTCCCAATATCGCTAGTCTTTCCTCAGCACAATTACAACTACGTTTAGATGGAATGCGAGCGCCATTCTGACTCACGAGATTGCCCTCACTCGAGAGTTCTACAGAAAAGCGAAACCACTAGCCTGTAGCCAAACATGGAACTGTATCAATCGCGCCCATCACAAACACCTTGGACGTAGCAAGCTGCAAACCCTTCCTCTCTCCCTACGTTGAATGTATACCAGTAATTGACATCGCCTTGCTACATTGTACTCTCCCGATGTCGATGTATATCGCCTTCGTCGGGTACATCACACCTATGAAATTATACGGTGAATTCATGGACCTCTTCGCTCCTCTTCGTCAGTTGACTTTACCCGGTATCTCAAATCATCGTGATTCTCACTTGCGGCATAGATAGTACATAGAGAATCAGAGGAAACTTCGGGACAGGTTGAAGAATTCAAAATGTGGGCGTGCCGCTACTTCGGTGTAGCATGTCGGATATCTCATTCTCCGATATAGTTGAGTGCCTTTTCTCGAAGTTCCTCCTGTTGTATCGACGCTCGTGCATACACATTCTTTCAGTGAAAATCATTCCAATATATCAACGGTTGTCAAATATTATTGGTGTGCATGTATCTATGCATTATGATGAACCCGTGTCAACTTTCTTGGGAAATCTTGAAATCGATCACGACTACACTATAGGACGCGGCAGTGGTACTCGGGAAATGGTTTGCCTGCCCCAGTGAAATAACACTTAGATGCAATTATACCTCTGGTTTTGAGCTGACATTCGACGTCATGACTTATGATGTACCTTTCACAAGATCTCGAGGATTTTTGATGTACATCAGCGCTGGAGGGTTTTGACCTGTCCGCACAGGCAGCGGTAGACTCTAGCACAGTGGACAGAACCGAGGAAATGGAAGAGGTTTACACAGTTTTATTTCGCTATTTAAGCCAGATGAAAATTTCTCTGAACAGTATCAGTTCACTTCTATCTTTCGTTCACGTCTTTTTTTTTGGCCAGGTCGCCCAGCTAGTCTTCTTTGTTCTTTCGGACCCTCCTTTGCACTTCTACATACCTGTTAAGGTGATTCCACATATTCTCTCACTGTTCGAGATGCTAAATCACCTCTTGCCAGCTTAAGATATACGCTCATTTACCCAGACTTACTTGATAGCCATGTTCGCCAAAATATCCTCCTTGTTTGTCGTTTCTGCTTTGGCCGGCAGCTCTTTTGCAGCTCCTTTCAACCCCCAGACTCAGAGTTTAGGCAAATGATGGTTATGATTGTGTGACACAAACAGGAAAACTAACACCCTTATTTTGACTAGCTCGTCGATACATTTCCTTTAATGACTGGCACGGTCTCTCTTCCCTTTCCGGATTCGACAACTTCTACGGGTCTGAGAACTTCTCGGGAGAAATATCCACCCAAGTTGTCGAACAAGAGCAAGAAGTTGTCTGCCATTCATTGAGTGTCGAAATCATCCAACAAAAGCTTCTTGTATTACAAGAAATGGCTAAACAGTAAGTCCTGTATGCTCATCTTTCTTTGTACAAGATTCATTCCTACTCCATTTTTAGGATCATTACCGAACAAATCTGTGACGTTGAAACACAGACCATCGGTGAGTAAACTCAGCTTTGTCCTGCCAGATAGGGTATCAACAGCTTCATCCTTCAGTCTTCCAGCAATACATTTCAGCCAGCAGCCACTTCACCTCCGACATAATGCACACCTCTGGCATAAGCGCCGGCTATGATTCATCCATTGTTAGCCACCATTCCGACCTCTATAGCTCTGATGGAAGTCTTTCTACTGTAAGTTATATATAGTCGCCGATATCTACACTCTGCTGATGAATATATGCAGTCAGACCTCGGATTCTCTGGCTCAGACGTTGGGAAAAGTGTTATTGTTCCCACTGGTACCAACTGGAACGATTCCACTTCCCCTAGCTCTGTACAGGCTGCATATGCTGCTGCTCAAAGCGCCATTAGCAGCAACTAAGTACTCCCCTTGTAGCTGTTGAAACAAGTGGCATGCATGGGGCTGTAGCATGCCGAGTCTTGGCTTGAGTATCATTAACTTATACAGTATACGTGCAATTTTCCGATGTTTGTTAGGCTTCAAATTTAGGATACTATCAGCCTGCTATCAGCTATAATACATACGTGAGAAAATATCTTCGGGAACAACCGCGCTTTTCAGCCGTCTCCCTTATCTCCTTATCTCTGTCAACAAGTTTGCGACAGCCTTATTCCAGTACTGAACATCTAAACTGACGTTCTACTTGGCTATGATAATTGCGTATGTCAAAATTCCCCTGAATATGGCTGAATATGATACTTATATCTCAAGCGAAGGCACGGGGGAACCAGGGAATTGTGAGTTTTTCTTCGTTCCCAATCTTTTGCGTTTAGTCCGCCGATCTGTATAGCGATTTCTCGAAAGTACTCAACACTACTTATAAACAAAAGACGGGGAAACTTGAGCTTGAGACATAGATCGGGCCTCAATCCACAAAAAATCCGAGTTGATACCGGCGAAAGCCTTTGCAGTAAGTAAGAGTAAGAGTACTACCTAAGTGATTGTTCAGATTTACCCCTATCCATCAATGTCCAACCTCTCAAAAGCTGTAGTGTGTTGTTCTTTTTGTATGTAGTATGCTATGCTGTGCATGTACATAATTCGCCTTCAAGTTTACTGAGATTCACTGTCGTCCCTAGTATGCTAGATCTCAATCAAAATTAGTGGCCGATGATTATACTTACAGTAGGTTCTTTTTCTACTATCTAGCTTATGCCCATGACATCTGAGCCGGACTAACTGCAGGGACGCACTGGCTTTTAACCGTTCAGGAACAAACGATGGGGAACTTGGAAGGGATTAAAATGCGACACACAGTCTCACTCGTCGCTACTCAGCCTAGAAGTAAGATCCCCACTTCTTCTACTATCCTTAGATAGCCCGGCGTGTCCTTTTGGTAAGCACCAGCAAGCGCATCATCATGCGGATCTCGAAGGTTTTTTTCCTGACTCGATCTCCCCCATCTATTAGTCGAAATGCATCTTTCAACTGGTCTTTCGTTGGTGTCCATCGCATATCTGTGGGACGTTGTATCTGCATCAACAAACCTCACCCAATGTTTCCTAGACATGCAGGCGGGGAAATTTGGGCCAGACGCTGGCCTTGACAGTTATGGAAACCCTGTTCAAAACCTACGGGATGCAACCGCGATCCCCTATGATCTATGTGTTGTAGTGTGCGGAGGAGGTCCTGAAGCTTTTGATTGGTCCAATTTCTCGAACCAGCTCAATACCTGGCTACTTCCATGGCTTGCCTTACTCTCTCAACTTCCATTCGGAGCCAACGACCACCTTCAAAACTTACTTGCCGTCGTCCTTACCATTGGCTCTCCTGTCCTGGCATCATACTCTGTGGTGCTGACAGTGCTTAATGGACGATGGATTGCGCAACGGTTTTCTGGCTCTACCTATCCCAACACGCTTGCGGCCGTACGTGCTTTGAAAGATCTACAGCAAGCACCGATTACATTGAATTTAGATGACAAGGCACTTTTGGCTTCTTTGGTCGTTCTTCCAGAGAATGATGATTGGTGGAAGAAACTTTTACAGCATATTGACTGCACGCATACGTGGTCGATATCCGCTGGTATATCTCTGGCATGGGTTTTCATTGCCTACGCCATCTCTGTCATAGACTCTCTCTTCAATGTGTTACAGGGAGTAGAAGTCGATGGCCTTGGCTCAGTCTGGCTCTGGCTTCTTCCTGTCGTTATTTCCTGGCTGCAGATTTCACCCAAATGCGATAGCGGTCGAATAACAGAGTCACTGCGACATGCTAACGAGATTGCTTATGTTGCTGTCGAAGGCTGCAACAAATCTAAACGTGCAGGAGAAATTAGTGATCATCGTGCCTTCTTTTTCAAAGACGGTCACAATCCATTGTACAGCGATGAGCGATGTACATCGCCGATCTACAACTATTCCCGTCTGTTTTCCTGGACTGCCGTTGTGGAGGAAGTATGTGTCTGCTTTGAGGAAGCAACCAGACGTTCTCGCCTCTATCAACCTGTTGCTTCAGAAAAAGAGTGGGTTCTTGGGGAACAATCTTGTTATGTGGAATTGGAAAACCGTTATGGCACGTCGTCGGAAGTGGTCACATATTGTTCGCCGCTCTTTCGACAGACAGATAGATGGGGTCCCGGTGTATTTGGAAGGATTGCTGTTTCTTCGATTATGGCCCTTTTTCTCCAGTGGGGCACTGCTGGTGCTGCTATGATTGTTGCAATAAAAACACCTACTCGTGGTCTCAGTTGCCTCTCCGGGAGCTTCCTCGTTTATGCATCGGTTTCAACAGTTGTCTGGTTTTTTCTGCTCATTGCAAGCATTCTTTCTCACTTTTCTTCTTTCAATAATGTATACTCCAATATGACTGCTACACTTTCTATCATTATACGTCGAGTTGGAAAATTTTTGGCTGCGGCAAATGCCGTATGGATTTTGACTGCATGTATATTCAATTTCAGTTCGTTCTTTGACAGGTGCTACTGCAACAGTAGCGTACTAGGGATTGGCGCTGCAAAAGCCTTCAATGTCTTAATTTTCACACAAGCCGACCAGTTCTCCACGCGTACGGCTTGGATTGGAGCAGCTTTTTTGGCAATGGGTTCTGCAGCCATTTATATTATATTTATCAACTTGTACGTTAATTCTCCGCTATCAGCCACTATTTGTGATTCCGAATCAAACGTATGCGTATAACAGTACAGAGTATGTACACTACACTACAATGACTATAGAGAACTTGTAAACCGAAAGTTTGTAAACACGAACCGGGAGCGGCCCGCGGAACTTTCGAGAAACCTCCGGATGTGATTCGTAATCCCATCTCTAATTCTAACACATACGCGCGTCTCGAGGGACGCGCAATCATTGCTTTATTTTCTCCACCATCTCAGTCTCTTTCAATATTTTACCCCCAACAATCAAACTACAATGCCATCGTCTTCAACTCGAGCCACACACAAACCAGAACAAGACGGCCCATTGCTCGCTATTGGCAAGCAATGTTCGCATCCTACATGCCATTTAGTAGACTTTCTGCCTTTCAAATGCCAGCACTGTCAGGAATCTTTCTGTCAAGACCACTACAAAGTCGCCGAGCATTCATGCCCGAATTACGATGAGAGTAAACACAACAGGATTGCCCCTAACTGTACGCCCCTTATTTCCTTCGCTCAGACTCATTCTAATCGTCCTTCTCATTTTAGGTCCACTCTGTAACGAACCTGTCGCAATTCGTCCCGGTACAGATCCGAATGTCAGAATGGAAGCCCATTTTGCCACGGAATGTTCAGTAATGACGGGACACGTAGCCAAGAAGTCCACGCCGATCTGTGCGCAGAGAAAATGCGGAAAGGTCTTGTTTGCTCCAATACACTGTGATGTCCGCAGTCGCCTTTCCAACTCATTATCTCATTCTGACACGATTTATGCAGAAATGTAGGAAGTCCTTTTGTCCTTCGCATCGATTTCCCGGTGACCATGCATGTAACACGACACATCCTGCGCGCTCAAGTGCACCTGCCAATGCTCACCCGTTCACGCTCAACGTCAAAGCTGCTTCTCATGCGGCCTCTTCAACCGTTGGCGCGATTAAGAAGACGATGTCTTCAAACACAAATGCTTCAGTGGCCGCTCCCTCTCAAGTTCCAGTTCCGACCTCCAAATCGGTTCCCCCAATGCCTAATCCATTTTCCAAAGTTGACAGGTATGTTTGGTCTCCCCCATAATTCTCAGTATGCGCTCATGACGCACCAGTTCTCCACGCTCTTCCAATAACGAATCTAATGCTATTATTTCTACAACTCCTTATAATGCGACAATAAAACCAAAACCTACCATCCGTTCTAATTCATACGTCCCTCCACCAATCTTTTCATTGGCTTAATGTCGTCGGCATCACATTGTATCCATCATTCATCATTTTTGTATCTAACGCTATCAAAGACGGGCGAAATTAGAACGAGAGAGCATGCGCAGAGCTTTGCAAGAGCGAGCTAAGAAGGGGTTGCTCACTGAAGAAGAGAAGTTGAGGCTGGCTTCTCAGGAAGCGGAAGAGGCACAGGAGAGAGGGAAGAGAGGAGATTGTGTATTGATGTAGAACTGTGTCTATGTTGGACCTTTCAATCTATTAACCTTACCTTGCTATTGGCGGGTGTTATCTTTTGATAGAAGGTCCCACCTTTATCACCAGCATGGTAAGCGTGTCTGCAGAGCGCATGAGGGTTCACGGTCAACCTGGATCTCAAGGCACGGCATCATTCAACAGCTCCAGAGGCTGCGATTAGTCAGTCAAAAAACTTTTGCAACAGAAGGTATGATGAGATTTCCTAGGTTTCAGAAAAAGCTGTATGAATACCGTTATTAGCACTAGGCCGATACAAGGAATCCCTCCCTGATCAACACTTACGAATCGCGGTATCACAGGTATCACGCTAAGTACTGCCAGTGAAAACATTGTCTATCGACATGCGTCCTCATGCGCCGAATTGGAAAAACTCTGGCAGCAGCAAATGCAGCATGAATTCTGTTAACATGCATACTCCAATACAGCTCAAGAATCTTCATCGGTGTTACTGCTATGTATAGCAGCGTTTCAGGACTAGGATTCCAGACCTACAATGCGCTACTTCACATGACATCTCCCTTCCTCAATTACCATAAATTTGAGCACCAGTGGAGACAGATGTCCGCCAGATACTTAAGAAAAAGGGAGTACTGAGTACTGAATGCAGTGAATATTGAAAAACCGCGTAGCTAGTTCATCTTAGACCAACACACCCAGTCTATTAGTGAGAACGGTCCGTCAACGTACAATGAAAGCCAGGGCACTATGTATGATACAATACAGTTAGAATAGATGAATATACATAAGTTAATTACTGCAAGAAAATCTCCAACCATACGTTACTGAACTAATTCGCGCCCAGAGCGCAAGAGACGTTCCACAATTTCAGACCAGTCTACGCCTTCTCCGTCCCCAACAGGTACTGATTTTCTGTGCTTCGATGCCCTGTTTCTATTCCCTGCGGGGACAGACTTAAGCTTCGCCTCGAATGTCTTCCCTTGAAACTGCTTTGCAAGATGTTTCACTTCACCCAAATCGGAAGTCGCTTGAGCGCGAAGGAACGCGGCATTGTCTGCTCGATGCGTGAGACACTGTGCTTCAACATACCCATCTAAGCTTCCTTCAAGGGTTGTCTCTGCGCTACTAGATTCCATGGGCTTTCCGTCTGCCCATAACGAGCCTCCATTAGTCCGTGTTAGCACATCCCCGATGTCTAGGCTTTCCCCTGGAGGAATAGGTATCGGCTGCGAAGGAGTGACACAAGTCATGTCGACTTCTTTCCGGAGAACTCCGTCTACGTCGACAGCAGAGAAGAAAGCCACACCCTGTGGTAAATCATCCAGTCCAAGCTTGTATGCAAACATAGATCGAGTCCACAGGTTAGCGATTTGTAACGCGAGGGCTGCCCTAAATCTGTCCTCTTCTTTCACAAGATATCTCAATTCGTCATGGACGGAGATAAGATATCGAGCACCGATATCGTATTTCTGAATAAGATAGTCCATAGAGACAATAAGGAGGTGGAGATAATCGACGCCAGAGGATTGTACGACCCAGTTGATGCGAGAGGGCATGTAATCAGAACCAAAACCAGCGGGCAAGCAATCTTTTTGCAACGCATGCGTTACACCACAGCCCAGCGCGGGAGTCTGGGGTTTGTCTGAGAGAGCAATCTCTTCAAGCTTATTGAAGAGATAGCTCTCGGTTCCTCCATACCAGAATTTTTTGCCAAAGAGGTCGCTTCTGTGTGTATTCTTTCCTTTCGTAGATGCATATAGATTTTCGGCCAGTTTCTGTGCTTCCTCTTGGCTCATATTGGAGTTTCCTTGTTGCAACAAGAGCATCGCATGTCGCATGCCTGCACCGTAGATACGAGAATAATTGAAAACTTTAGCCTGGTCTCTCGAGATACCGAGAATGCTGGCTGTTTTAGAATGCAAATCGGTCCCGGCAGATTTCGTGCCCTCGAGCGTCATCCAGCCGATCGCAGTAGCACCATGCATTCCGAACTGGGCATCACCCATGCAACTCGATATCCATAACTCTTCAGAGTCCACATCTGCACCGACGATGGCATAACCCGGAGGTGCACGGACCATGGCTTTTAACTCGGAGCCTACTCGATTCTTCTTTGCGTTGCTAGCAGTGAGCCAGGTTCTCTCAATTGCTCGACGGGTGACGGTGCCCATAGTGATAACTTGAGGAACAATAATGCCCCACTTTTTCGCTCGAGGCGTCTCTACAAATTCTTCTCCCAGTGCCGCAGCCACTTCTGCCAACTCCTTCTGCTGACTTTTGAATTCCTCTGGAGATTGAGTTGTCGCGATATCAGGGAATCCCATGTCGGAGGACTTTTCATCCCACTTTACCATCTGGTTCAAGATCCTATCTCGCGCACTGATCCAGTAGCTACATTTTACACCCACGTCTACCAGTTCCTTCAGTTCATCTCCAGCACTACTTTTGAGAACGCCATCCATAGCAAACCTAAGAAAGGATTTCGCGAGGGGGCTGCCGACGTTTGCCGACTCCCCGTCCTTATGCGGAAGTTTGTAGAATACGTAACTTGCTGCATTGGCAAGATGCTCGTCGTCTGAATGATAGAAACTGAGTGGAGAGGAGCGTTGCAGTCTTTCTCTGATGGCAGAGTCTATCGGAGGGTCAGCCGATGATGGCGACAAGGGGACACGGAATATCCACCCATGCTCGCGCGAGAAAACAAGAGGAAATCCTTGCCAGGACATCTTTAAAAGAAGAGGGGCGTATCGATTTCGCGTTGTGATGTCCAAAGCACCTGGCGGCATACCCTTCTTCGGTTTAGTGAGGTCCCAATACCATTTTGGCCAATATACAGGTGGTGCTTTTTGAACCTTCGGCTTTTTCAGCTTAGTTTTAGGTACACCGTCGTTATTGATTTCGACAGGCGACCAATCGAGCTGGCTAAGCCAAGAGGTATGTATCGTCGCAGCTCGATCTTTCCGATATGCATGTTCAGCGAGGCGCAATACCCCATGCTTGACTTCATCTCCTTTGTCACCCCGACTGAGTTTCAGAGCAAGATCGACATCGCAGGAAGTCATACTACCATCCTGGAGTAAAGGAAGAGAATGTGAGCGAGTTAGAACAGTTCCAGTCTTCAGTCCTTTCTTCAAAGCGGTTGGAAGTAAAGTAATTTTTGAGGCGTCCTCCGAGGGGCAGTAGTGCCATTTGTCTTTCGTCGTGAAGCGCAATGGGTGATCGTCAAATGAGAGTTCAAGGAGCAGCGGAAGTATGCGTTCTATACACTTCTTGGAAAACGGATCAGCGAGTAGCATGGCGTACCAGGATGGTAGTGTGTTTGTCGGAGTGTTTGTTGGGGTAGCAAGCTCTGATGAGTCAACTAGTGAGTCAGAGGTTATCTTCTATGATAATGAGAATAGGGAAGACTGAATAAAAGTAGGACGCACTGGTTGTTCACCAGGAGGATATACACCTCTAGTTTTGCTGGCGACTTTCGGTGTCCAATCCATCTGGTTCAGCCACACATCGTCCTGCCATGGACCGACGACTGGAGCATCGGGAGAAGTAACTTTGTACTCCGCAATTGCGGCTCTTGCCAAATTCTCAAGACCGGTACGAACTTTTCCCTCCAGATTTTGCCAGACTCGCTCTGCTCTATCAATGTATGCTTCCCATTGTTCATTGACAGGCAAAAATCCACTACCCATGGTCGCTACGCCCGCAAAACTGACTGGATGGGGACATGCTTGAAGGAATCCAGGAAGTACTTTCTTATAGACAGCATGCGTAGTGCCCACATCCGTTGCGCAATAAGAAATATAGTCGTTGATACTTTCTAGTATCTCTAGAGGAGTGGCTGTCATGAAATCGTTTCGAATTTCCTTCGAGATATCGATATCACAATGAAGTTTAGCAACGTCAACGAGGCTATTTCCGGACGTGATATCTTCCCAACGTTTTTGGCTCGTTTCAATGGAAGGTTCATCATCTAAGTCTGCGTCGGTCAACAATGGATCTGGTTGGTTGGTATCGGATGACGCTGACTGAGTAATTTTGAGGCCAGAAAGAGATTCCTCCAAATTACTCTGCAGATCGACCAACTTTTGGACTTCTCCTCTGTCATCTACAAGGCCAGATGCAACTGCCTCACGCAGACCCTTAAGTTGCTGCTCAACGTCATGGAGAAGATGTATCACAGCCTCTATTGCTTCATCTCTAGATTCAATCGCATCTTGCTTTTCTTTCCGATATTTGGCCCATGCAGGCCGTTGATGAGATGAAATACCCTTGATGGCGACGTGGAGCGACATGGTATCCAAAAAGCGATTTTTGGTTCCAGCAAGATGATACTCTTCCTGAATTCGAGCACGATCGTACGAGACATTGTGCCCGACGACTAGACGTGAAACATCTGGAGGACCAAGAGGAATGAGATGCTCTGGGGAGTTGGACGAAGAATCGAGGATCCAAGGGGATATCCAAACATACCAGGCGTTGGGGGAAGCAGCGCATGCTAAGATAGGATATTGATGGTATTTCGGCATTGTCTCGACGTCAAAAGCGAGCATGATTTCTGATTTACCATCGTGCGAGGGGAAAGCGACGTGTTCACAGTACCCAGACCCATCTGAGCTATGATGGTACTTAGTCCATCCGGCCTGTAGCTGCCAATCGTCTGGAATAGGTGGGAGCTCTGCCTCAGCGAACTGTTTGGCAAATGAAATATACGGCTGAGAAGAAGACACTCCGATACGGTGAAAGTGTTCGAGGAGATTATTTCCTTGTAAAGGAGGCAAGATAAAGTCTGTAGAGGGTAATGTCGAGGACTGGGTCGGATCCAAGCCATGCGTCTTAAGGTGCTCAAGGGATATATTTGTGTACGTCTTCGGGGGTGAAGGAAATGTGCAGTTTTTAAATATCTGTTCGTGCAAGGACCGCGACAGCATTTGAACGCCTGCGGCGTTTCTTTTGACTGTTAATTGTAAGTGAGATGTGAAATGGACGATATACTGAGGACCCACCATGCCTGAGCTTCTGCGCGTCATCTTTCGTTTGCGCTTTGACAACCTTTTCCTCCTTGTACTTGAAAGCTGTGAGGGGCCTGGCAGAGGGTCGCGGCACACTATCCCGTTGCCTGAGGGTCTGACTTTCCAAGGCCCTGACAGTGTGAAACCACCTAGACAAACGAGAATGTCCAATTCTTGTGGTAGATGAGAACATCTAGAGACCATGGATCAAGAAAGGAGCATATGTGGTCTGTATATGTGAGGGCCAGGCTATAGGGTGCAGAGCTCACGAGTCTTCACGAGTCCTGCACGATCACAGAACGAAAATTGGTAATCATGTGCCGCACTTATTAGCCGATACTAATGATCAGCTAGGGGTTATCCCATTTTCCGAGTACTACTACTATTGCGCTCGCTCAAGCACCAAAAATTCTTTTCAATAACAATCTATCATTTGCCTCGTTTCAGACCCTGCTGAACAACAAATTATACCGCACTCGTACACAAGCGTCCACATCGTAACCGTCACCTGTTTGCAACAATGTGTTTTGCCCGACGATTATCTTCAAGTCTGTTCATTCCGGTCCCCATTGATCGGGCCTTGGATACACACTCTTGCAGTTGAGCTGGAAAAGGGTTGCTATATTCAGCTTTGGCCTCCCGACTTCCCGAAACAATGTGATGCAGAGAACGTATTAAGTTACTATACAACAGTCCAGGTACATAGAGCACTACAAAGGAACGTGAGATATTGAGGTGATACTAGATACAATGCCATGTCGGACAGGCAACGTTGAGAAAGGGATTCATGATGGTCGTACACTAGTTGGAACAAAGAAAGAAATCGAAGTAAATCAGAGTCTACATATATCCCAATGAAACCAAATACAGCAGGAGAGATAATAATGCAATACAGGCATTCAAGAAATGAACAGTATGTGAAAATGGCATGTTGAAAGACAGCTGGAAAGATTAAGCAGACCTACTGAGATCAACTAATGAACTACTCTTCTTGTTTTGTATTAGCATCAGAGCCTTTCGGAACCGCCCTCGAGCCACACGTCCTGAACTCCGCCTGTCATCACTGGTGTCGTTAGAACTAGAGGAAGCGGAAGGGGTAGAGGTAGATATTGTGGTCGGGGTAGAGGATAACGATCTTGAAGGTGTTGAAAAGTTGTTATACCGATACCGCCGCGTGAAAACTTTGCCCAAGGCAGTGATCCCCTTTTCATACACTTCCACTGCGACTACCACGCTGGTATGGTCTGCATTCCATCGTCTGACAACATCGTACGTCCCTTCTTGTTTCAAGTGATTCGGGCATTTTTCCTTTGCCCAACGAATATTGACCTGCCTCAATTCGGGGTTCGGATTACTCGAAATACCTGATTTCGATTTTGTGCTGGCACGTAAGATCCTTAAAACAGTGCGCAACATGCTTGAATCGTCTCCTACGTATTTGTGCCCCTTTGTGAGCGAAAAGGTACGAAGATGTGGAAGTAATGGAAGGTGAGCCGCGAGGCACAAGAGAGGTTTCTGTCGGGACAAAATAGTTAACGAGAAAAGGACAAAAGAAATGTAAAGGTGATACGTACCACGCCGAAGCTTGTCGTACACATGAAATGTAACTCTGTCAATTTCGGACATGCTTCCATCAGCCCTTTGAAGAAGGTGCTGTGGTCCTTGAATTCGGGGATATGAAGCCATAGATCCAGACTTGTCAATGCGCTCAGTTTTGCTAGCGTGGAACACACGCCTCCCACACCGTCCAACCTTCCAGCGAACAATGGTTCGCAGGTCAGATCCAGGATCTCGATCGAAGAAAGCGCTGGTTGAGGAAGTACTGCGAGTTGCTGATGAACACCGACGAATGTACTTAACTGCGGTAGAGCGGTGGGTTCGAGAGAAAGTGGGATTGTTTCGGGTGACATCCACCTCTTGAAGTTCCAGGAAAGACGAAGATACTTTAGTTCGGTGTGTTTCGACAGGAAAGCGCCAAATGCGGCGTCATCGGAAGGAGAGTTGAGCTCAAAATCGTCGTTGTAACCGAAAGAGCCCAGTGTAAGCGAGTGCAATTTGGGCCAGTTCGCTTCGGCCGTGCAAAGTCTGTCGACATTTAAGAGTCGAGTGGAAGAGGAGAAGGAGCTGAGCGTAAGATCTTGCATATTGGGGCACTTGGTCAGAAGCATATCCCAGAGCCGTTCTGGAAGTAACTCTTGTTCGGGGAACAGATCCGTCTCCTCGAGGCTGTGCCGGACGGTCAGAGAAAAGCTAGTTAGATCTGTGAAGTCGAATAACTGTCCGACGGTATCTTGTGAGCGCGAACCGATAGGACTATGAATTGCGGACGTACATCACTATCAGGATTCAGTGGTTGATAGCCAATGTTGGTATACACAGTCTTCAACAGCGGGCATCTGGCAACTCCGTATCAGCACGCCTCTTCAGCTCAATCAGCGCAACTCACTCGTTCCTTAATGCAATCCATAATCGATCATTCGGCATCTCGAGTCCGTCCCAGTCGAAGGTATGGAGTAGAGCCATATTCTCTGCAATTTTGAGAAGCATATCCACTACCCAGTCCTCGTCAAGTCGTTCATTCGCTTTGGGCCACGCAAGATAATAGTTTGGCCGCACGGCTAGCTTGCGTATATATCGACAAATGTCAGGCCGCTCAAAAAGCATTGTGAGTGCTGTTCTACAAGCTCGGCTAGACTTCAGAACCACGGTGTCGTATAGGACCGGCAATAAGAGTGCTCTGACATGTGAAGACTATCAAGAGAAAGTAGTCAGTATGCAAAGGGTTCGTAGCATGAAAGAACCTGCACTCACAGTCAAGCTCAGGCTGAGAAGATCAGACGACCACAGATACTCAGAGACTTCGTACAAAATATCTGCTGGCAGGCCTCCTGCTACCGGAATATTAAATCTGTTCTCCGCTCGACTGCCGAGTAAAGGTATTTGTAAAAGAGTTGAAAGAGACCTGAGACCACGGCGTCGATATCCGGGCAGCTTTGTCGTCTCACATACCCTGGAGGTCGAAGCCTCCGAGGACATTCTAATTAGTAGATGGGAGGATGATAGCAGGACGTTTACGCCGACTGTCGTGTAACAGTTGAAGCAGTACAGATAGCCGCCAAAAATGCGTATAACCCTGAGCAAATCCGATTTGGTATCCCACGTGGCGCTTAAGCGCCCTTTCGTGACAAGCTGTGACAATGCTACAAAGTTGCACGTGAGTTGTCATGGACCTTCGCCGTCGAACGCCCTTCAAGTTTGTAACCAGCGAAGATTCTGATGATGGCGCTGTCTTCTTAGATGATCAAGGCGAGTGAACAGTGGGTCCCACTGCAGGAAGGTAATCACACCTGTTTCAGAGCAGGAAGAAGTGATTGAAAGTCTTCGTGAAGAGACCGCGAAATCCAATAAGCGATCAACATTCATGATGCAGATTCACACCTGACGGGAACGCTTTTCCCGGCCGAGAAATATATAGGGAAATGAGAAGAGCAATCGCCGATTTCCCCTCAGTGAATAAAATTCTTTCTCATAAGGAAATAATTAGGTTTTACGGACGGGAAATGAGTAAAATATTAACTGTATTTCCCAATTTAGAAATATAGTATTTTTCATCAAATGAAGATTATCTTTCGCCTTTGATAAAGATTATCTTTCGCATTAGATAAAGATTACCTATTACGAAAGATAAAGATAATCTTTCGCGCTAGATAATTTTTAGATTGCGCGCTAGGGAAATGGAAAATTTCCCGGTTCGCGAAACCAAATAGCTTAGCGCCTCTTAGCGCCCACCTAAAGACATGAGTATGCTGTTGGATTATGGACAAAAATATTACAGCGCTTTGGGAGTGCTATGGCGCGCGCTTTTAATAAGCGCGCGCGATCACTTCAACCCGCGCCGGGACCGGCTACTTGCGCTCCGTCATCACCTGACACGTTGTTTCTTTCTTTCCTCCCGCGACCGTAAATGGGAAGACGGAAGAATCGTGGCAGGGATCCAGGTAAATTTGTCCTATGCCATTCATTCGTGGTCAATTCTTACTGAATCTACCTTATGTAGTCTTACTTTTTCTCCAAGACTCTCACAACCTGAGAATCCTTGCTCAATTGGCGAATGAAGATAACTTTGACTCCGATATAGCAGCCGGCCTTCTAAAGGATGTACAAAACAAGGTTTCCAATGTACCCGATGTAAGTTCTACTCTCTCTCACAGTTTGTTGTGGATCTATTAGTGAACACATAGCATTGTATGTAGTGGGAAACCTTTTACAAACGAGCGACCCGGGTATCGTCCTCACTGTCTGATCAAAAACCCATTACCCACCTCCGACAATTCCTGAGCCATGTGCGAGCCCGGAATACACAGAATACAGCAAAAGCTTCACACCGCCAGAAGCGGAAATTGGTATGGTTATACTTGCCCTGCAAATATTTTTCTTATGAAATTCGATTGGAGGTTTCCGAACTCGGTATCCGATCCGATCCATATACAGTCCAAGATGTCCTAGATGGGAAGCCCAATGCTCCAAAATTCATAGTAATCTGGCGCGAACGCACGACCAAATATCGGGACATAAAGGCCAACATTTATATGACTGAAAATGCCAGTAGCGAAAATCATGGAGTACTCAAAGTTGTTGATTTAGATGACTATGACATGTTGAGGCTAGATCACAATAAGTCATATATAATCCTCTCAGGCTGTCCCAAAGGTAATTTATTCCCGACTCGACTCAATTATATGTTTCTCATTTTTTCTAGCTTTTATTATCCAGTCAGTTGTCATGCGGGGTGTTGCCTTGGGATGTGCATACTCCCCATGCTTGACAGAATTTCTCCGTGAGGCAGTTGATGCTGCTGTCAATTTCCGCCGCAATATTCGGGTACTGTATTTTTTCCTCCAGTTAGATATATTGTACTGATACAGTCTGTGCCAGCCGACCCATGTTGGGACTATGAACCAGGTTGGTCTCAACATGGGCCCCCGTCATGCACGGGTTTTTGGACCTGCTGTTTCATTCACAAAGAAGCTAGTCAAGGAAAAGATGGTTGATCACGATGAAGATATCATCGGTGCTGCTTCCCTGATATGGTCTATTGCACAGGCTGTTCTTCCACAGGATGTCCTTCAGGTCATGTATGATCATATCGCAGCTGAAGAGTTACCACTCCTGCAGACTCGGAATGTTGCTCCTGGTAAGAGCATAGCAATATTCTTGGCTGATGTCTCCATTAACTCCTCACAGGATCAGGTTTTACCCTCCAAATTGACAGTACCGAATACTTTTTTCCATATACAGAGCGTGCACCACCAGAAGTTTATATCAATAGGGCATATTCTGCGTGAGTTTTTGTAAATTATACCCGCCTGGTTTTCACCTTATTTATTATGTGCAGTCCCACTCATATGGATCGCACTTATTGTAAATATGCTGCAGCATATATTGCTGACCGCATTATTGACCTCATGCATCCTGATCGTCAGGGTCCTCATGCACTCCCCTGTGACATTGGGGGAAATTATGTTGATGTCCAGCTTGGTGTAGTAGTTGAATCTGCACCTGGAACACTGATCGTTTTTCAACCTGGCCAGCGACATGGTACCACATTATCTTATGGTGTATGTAATTATGGTTATGCAGTCACATTTTCGCGCCGTCTTATTGATGGGTATCGGGAGCTTTCAGAAGAGGGGAAAAGGGAATACTTTATCAGGCCGTCAGATTCTAATGAAGAGGGTGTCATATATAATTAGAGTACATAACTCTGTTTAGACTGCAACCCAGAATACTTTATACTGCTGTTAGATTCTAATGGAGAGGGTGAAAAGTATATTGAAAAAAAGCCCGTTTCAAAAAAAAATTATGCGCCATTTAGTCACAATGTAAAAAATCACAGAGTTCATATAATATACATATACATAGTCATTTAATACCTAGTTATACCCTATAACCTTTAGCTCTACAGCAGTTGGTTTAACATATTGGCACCTGCGGGGGTTGAACATTGAAGCTCAAGCTATCACAGGAGGGCCTTGACCTTAATCCAGAGTCGGCGCCTGCAACCACTAAGCCATGTAGTAATTATTATTGCAGGTAATAAATAATTTATATAGGAGTAGATCCTGCTTATATCTTCCAGTATACACGCTCACAGTGCATCATATCAGGTAGAATATACTGTATACAGTAAACAGAAAGCCTAGTCTTCGACATCATAAGCCTCAGGATGTTCCTGCTCAATGCAGGCCTTGACTCGCTCCCCAGCAGCATTATTGACAAATGCCTCGATTCGTTCAACAACCTGTCCAACTCGTGTACACAAAACCTCCCTGCACTTTAGCCTCATAGGTGCAAAACTGGCCTCGCTCTCTACTTTCATGGAAACCAGAACTTTTACCTGGCGAATCGCACCCCGAGTCTGGCCAATTGCAGGTCCCAAAACTTCCCATCCTTTGATAAGAGCTTTCATACAGCGATCCTTCTGGGGGCAGTTTGACCATACAGCATCGTCATCAAGGTTGGGAATTTCACGAGCGAGAAGTTGAATTTGACAAACAAGGTTGCTTTCGCCTTCAAGAAGGAGTTTATGAATCTTCATATCGATAGAATATTCTACAAAGGCAATATTAGTTTACTCATGGAGGTAAATTCCGATAACACACCACTGCAACAACCTCCGACCCCATAAACTGAGGTTAAAATCTCCCGAGTAGCACTATAGCCCCACTTCGGAACACCAAATGTGCTCGCATAAAACATTTTCTTGCCTCCATTGAAGTCGTAGCTGTGAAATCTAAGCCCGGCGATTGCAAATTTCAGGGCATCTGGACACTGTAAAAACTGAGAAATCCTGCCGAGGGCGAGAAGCTCATCTGTGCTCCTGTTGCTCTGGGACTTCCATCCTCTATCACTGGGTGAGTAAGTATAGCAAGTTCCTTGCTGCTATGACTTACAGGTGAAAGATAAAGCTACAGAGGACATCAAATGCTGCAGCATCGATAGGTAGCAAGATGGGATTATCAAAGATCGTGCCCTCTTCTTTTCCTTGAGGTTGGGGAAATGTAAAACAGGCCTCGAAGGTTTCGCTAAACTTGGCCATCATCCCTTTATAGACAGCATAAATAAATCCCGAATCCTGAGCCTACGAAAAAATTTGGTTATCATTTAACGGCTACTTGCTAAAAATTTGCATACCTTCAGGAATAGATTTGCATCTTCAAAGTAATACAGAGGATGCCGTTTATATACCGCAGGGCTTTTATCCCCTTGTTCTGGTAAATCATCTCCAGAGATGGGGCCATTATCAATGTCCATCGTGATGGTTTATAGGCAAGGATGTCAACACAGCCACCCCAGCACTTCTTTACTTACATGCTCATGACTTCGCTTCCTCAGCTTCCAGTGAATCCGACTCACCTTCATGGAAGATGGTCTGATAATGTCCATGCAGCTTACGACCAGATTTTATCCATCTGCACATATGCAAGTGAGCTTCTTCACCAAGAAGCTGACCCAAACCGGCTTCGAATTCATCTTGAACGTGTTGTTGGCGAAGTAGTCCCTCTTTTGGTTGCCTTGGAGGGTTCTGACGAAGCCAGAGAACTATCATCAGACTGGTTTAGAGAGTGTGCTGTGCATATTGCCGAACTTTCTAATGATCTCGCAAATGCACAGGAAACTACACGCACAACGTAAGCTGAAATCAATAGTAAGCTACAAATACTGATATCAAAAACCTGGATAGCGAGGATTCACATATTTCTATCCCTGGGCCTGTTACTGAAGAACACACAGGCAAACCTGGCCGTCCACGGAAACATATCAATGTCGATTTTATGCGTGAAGCAGTAGATGCCAAACGGCGGATCACATTGGTCGATCTTGCATCGCGAATTGGAGTTAGTGCGAGGACACTTACCCGCCGCCTAAAGGAAGCAGGGGTATACTACAAGTTTTCAGGCATTACAAATCAAGAGCTTGATGCTTTAATCCGGTGTTACCGACGTGTGAAGCCAAATGCAGGTCTACGTTATATTATTGGATTTCTGCGTAGCCGTAGCTTCCGTGTTCAAGGTACACGGGTACTCCATTCTATGCGACGTGTTGACCGGTTAGGCAATATACTGCACCGAAAGCCAAAGATCAAAAGGCGGAGTTATGCTGTTAAGCGGCCAAATGCTCTTTGGCACATCGATGGGCATCATAAACTCATTTTGTGGGGTATCGTGATTCATGGTATTGTAGATGGATATTGCCGCACTGTTTGTTTTTACTTCTCTGTTGGTCATCTATACAGTTGATTTTACCTTTTCACTGTTAGGTTACTGGGCTGCGTGCCAGTACAAATAACCAGTCATCAACTGTTCTTGAAGTGTTTCTCGAGGCTGTCGACAGTTTTGGCCATCCATCGCGCGTTCGTGGAGACAGAGGTCGGGAAAATAAAGCCGTAGCAATATATATCATTTTACGCAATGGCCTCAACCGTGGTTCATTTATCTGGGGATCGTGAGTTCTCTATCTCTATGATCATATCATACCTGGTCATCAGTAATCAACTCTGGTAGATCAACTCATAACACCCGGATTGAGCGTCTGTGGGTTGAGGTTGGATCTCAGTTTGCGCGCAGATGGCGGGCATTCTTTATCCGGCTTGAACATATCCACTGTCTTAGGCGAAAAAATCCATATCATCTGTGGCTTATTCACCATCTCTTCCTTGATCTCATTAATGAAGACTGCCAGACGTTTCAAGCTGAGTGGAATACTCATCCTATATCAGGTGCTGAGGGAGCAGATGAGAGCCCCCATGTAATGTTTCTGCAACTGTCTGTATACTGTGTTCATACTCACTGTTACTACAGGACAAGCGGTTCCTTGGAATGATACATCATGGTATTTATATGGATGATTGCGAAGGCCTCGATACCGACACAATTGAACATTTATATGGAACTGATGGCCCGGAAGTTTTGCGTCCCCCTGGTCATACAGGTGCTGGATATCTCAATGACGAGGGTGAATCAACCCCATCAAATGCTAGCAGTGATAGCGAGGGTGATAACGACTCAGATGTAGAGGGGTTCGACACAAGGATTGATAATGTTGCACAAGCAAGCAGCCGTCAATTCCTTCCCAAACCAGTAAAAACACCCCGCCATATCTGTCCATTGACTAACAAAGAAATGGCAATTTTTAACGAAGCTCTTCAGCTGGCAGTTGCCCAGGGAATCGTTCCTGTTGGTTATGGAATCTGCCCAGAAGAATGGAAAGATAATCACTATCCCTCCATCGAGATTATTCAGACTGGTCGTAAAGGTGCAAAAGAAATCTCAGTACAGCTGCCTGACTTCATATGGCGACCACGAGCACACTTATGGACCCTTGGACTCAATATTCTGGAACACATTGTAGAGAATAGAACTTTATAGTTTGTATTGATTTTAATCGCTAGTCTGTTGTGAAGTACTCGAGTTTACGGTTAAGATCCCATACATTCGTAGGTACAGATGCGAGGATTGGTGAGCTCGGTCTTGGGGATCCATAGTCATCTCCCGAAGTATTGTCGACCTCAACAGCCCCAGCTTCCTCAACATCGTTATCATGCCAAGCGATATCAAAAACAGGTGGCGAAACATCTTTCTTTGCCGAAAGCCTCTGTGACTTTTTTCGAGGTGGGGGAGCCTGACTCGTGGATTCATCTTCAGAGCTCTCATCGTCTGAAGCAGGAGAATGGGCTCGCTTTTTGCCCGAGCTTGGATATAAACTATCGAAATCTTTGGCAGTCATGAGCCTTTATCCAGTGAAAAATGGATGAATAATGTACCTATGTCATGCCAACCGATTTCCCGCAAAAACCGTTTGGCATATCGCTCCCAATCGGGACATTTTGACCTCATGACATGAGCAGGAAGGGGTTGCACCGAAACTAATGAAACGATTCGCGATACGATATGAGTAATATGGCATTCTAAAAAACAACAAATACACACTGATGATTACCGAGTGAAGGGTCCAAGCTTTGCCCAGGGCTCCACGGGCTTTATAGAGGGTTCCGCCATCAGGCGAATCCTCGTCAAGGAGTTTCAGACCTTTTCCTTCGACTTTCAGTAGTCTCCACTGACGGGTTCCTTCTTCTCTACCCAGTTGTGTCAGATACTCCATTGGGGCACCTAAAACCTCTACAAGTCTTTCCTCGATTTGTTGAGTATCCATCGCTTGACTGAAAGTTAGATCGGACTTCGCCTGTGCTGCTTTATACAGCCCAAGCTTTCGCAAACATATGAAGGCATTCTCGTTATACTTAACAGAGTGAGCAAGGTCAAGGAAGTCATCGTCCTATACAATAGAGTAAGCGATTGGAGCCTGACAAATAAAAGTGACATACATCGAGCTCAAGGCCAACAAAGAAAAGAGCGACTTGTGCAACAGGAAAAGTACTTTCGGTAGGGCTATCGTGAAATTCGCCTTTTCTACTACTAGTAGACTTTCGGACTTGGGCAGAGAAGCTAGATGTTGCATTCTTTTTCGCCTGAACATAAGGTAAGATGAGGCATAGAAGCGATAACAGGAAGCATGCCTTTTTACTGATAAGATTTTTATTCGCCTCCTCATTGGCTTCATTGAATTGACCCGATCTGCCCAAGGACTGAAGAAGTTTCATGACTTGGGGCTTTTTGAGTGGTTTTTGTTGAGTCGACGATGGTAGTGTATATGAATGCACCTTCTCAGAATGATCGCATGAGAAGCATTTTAAAGAGTCAGAGTGGGGATCAAGTTCATAGCTGTCGCAGGCACAACGTTCCCCAGTATCCTCTGAGTGAAAATTGCACCCAACCATCGAGGAAGAGCTGTGTAAAATGTTAAACCCGAATTTGCTTCAAATTTGATTAGTCACCCCATTAGGGTTATAACTTCATGTCTAAAATACAAAAATATGAGCAGTACTGGGTATTCTTATGAACCTATGTCAGAAGGTGAATTGAAGGAAGAGTTGCCTATAAGCTGGCAGCAGATCTTGTAAGAGAGAAACTTTTGCATGTGATGTGACTTATTAAAAGCGCGCTGCTAAGCCTATAGAAATATATCGTAAGCGCACCAAAATTGTGCGCGCCATTATACCCTCACAAAGCGTGGAAATATTTTTGTCGCGCCATATAGCACTCCCAAAGCGCTGTAATATATTTGTCCATAATCCAACAGCATACATGAGTGGCTAAGCATGCCACCTCTACCAAAAACTCAGCAAAAACCAACCTATTGATTCATTAACTCTGCAACCTGTAGATAGTGCCAATGGGTGTCGAGCTGTGTCAACTAGAGTGAGTGCCACTCATATGTCTGGGTGGGCGCTAAGAGGCGCTAAGCTATTTGGTTTCGCGAACCGGGAAATTTTCCATTTCCCTAGCGCGCAATCTAAAAATTATCTAGCGCGAAAGATTATCTTTATCTTTCGTAATAGGTAATCTTTATCTAATTCGAAAGATAATCTTTATCAAAGGCGAAAGATAATCTTCATCTGATGAAAAATACTATATTTCTAAATTGGGAAATACAGTTAATATTTTACTCATTTCCCGTCCGTAAAACCTAATTATTTCCTTATGAGAAAGAATTTTATTCACTGAGGGGAAATCGGCGATTGCTCTTCTCATTTCCCTATATATTTCTCGGCCGGGAAAAGCGTTCCCGTCAGGTGTGATTGTTGTTTTTTCTTCGGCTTTCCTGTGCGTCACGGCTCTCTGATGAATTAGGAGAACTCATCAGTATTCCAGGCATCTCATCTACTTTGCCAACCTGGACCCCACCGATGAGACTATCCCTCTCCCTCGACCATTCGTTTTTGTATCTCTGGTTCTCCATGCCAACCTTATGCTTCTACTCGACCCGATCGCAGTTCGCAACTCCTTCTTGTCAATAGGAATCCTAAACGAAACTATCGACCTCGGGAAGTGGACACTTTCTCTTACGCTTGCGTACTCCTTAGCCTTCGTTGCTCCTGCTGTCTGTCTATTCTTAAGGCACTCATGGCTATCTGTTGCATGTTGGTCCATCACCCCTCTTATCACGTATGCCGTACAATCGGTTTTGGAAGCAGCGGCTACTGGTAATGAACACATCAGATCCTTAGAGGCATTAAAGTATACAGCTCCAGGTGCATGAAGAAAAGACGCCGAATTGTCATCCGGGTTTCTGTGAATATGCCTTTCAGGTTTGTATTTGACTGAAATCAGTTGCAGTCAAATCGTTCTCAACATTTAGGTCACTGTATTTGCAAATAGATATGACAGGAGAGACAGACTACAAGAAAGATGCGCAAGATAGATAATGAACGGGTGATCAACGGGTCGAAGCAAAACTAAGAGTAACACGAAGAACCTTTGAAAGGGTTATTGCCTGCTAGGGCCCGGGCGAAGCAGAGATATCGTCGTGTCTATGCACATGGTTGATTATATGTGCAGGCATAGGAGAACGCAGCATATCTGAGTCATTTATGAATTCGTACTTCCGGGGGCTACTCGTAAGGTCGAGATTAACCCAACCTGATCCGCGACTCGAAGTTGGTGAAACCTGGGTGGAATCATCTCTTCGCCAAAAGGACCAAACACGAAGGACGTCCTGTGATGAACATCTCAAGCATCGAGTATACGGTACAGGAAAGCAGCTACGTACTGCTTGCGACCCAAAGACCAAGAATACTACTGTTCCAGCTAATCGAAGCATAAGGCACTAGATGAAGCATCGCAATTCTCTAAGAATCACCTGTCGCAGCGTACAAATCTGGGGCAATGCTACGTTGAGAGAACATCGAAACAACGTCGACGCTGAACATTGTCAGTGATTAAATTTCGAAAGGTTGGAGGGCACTCACAACATTCCTAGAAATACGAAGGCTCCGAATATAATGACCCTCACGAGAAGCTGTAGATCGACAACAATCGATTGTCCATTTCGTCTCATCCCGCGACATCTCCTGAACAACAACACGCAGATTCGGACTATGCGCGAACAAGTGCGAGGGTTAGTAGAACGGGTTTTGTATGAGCATGCGTCGAACGCACGTTTAATCATGATGATTCCTAAGCACATGATAAAGGTGAATATGGACATGGCATCGGAAAGAGGGGGATATTTGAGGGCACAGTAGAAAACTTTGTGCTTCCTGGTGACATACTTGGGATATTTCAAAGATATCTTCAAGTACCGGAAATGAGCATTTCATCATCCACGAACAAAACGGTGGCAAACGCACTACGAGGGTAGCAATTGAAAAACAAAACTGAGCGATGTAAGGTGCTCCGAGCATCTAAGCAACCAGTGGGTAAAGGCCAAAGAGAAGAATTCGTCAAAGACGCACCAACGTCATTTTACTTCTGCTCACGCCGGAAGCTCGTCCGTCCGCACTGATTATCCCCAAAATGAAGTACATCAAAATGAACACTGCAACAGACCACCTGCATCACACGAAGATTTAGCCACTGCTCCAGTTCGTTGGGGACTTGAACCTTACATGGGCAGGATACCATAGAGCAAAGATGTTTGGGTGATGCACAGTGCCGAACTTGGATCTGGATCTGTCGGTTTCGCCCTTCCGCCAAAAAACCTACAAATTCTCGTCAATCCACTACTACCACTTGGATTCCCCAATAAAAAACAATCAACGTACAGCAACAGAGAAAAGATTCCAGAGAGAATCCACGTCATGCAAACGTTTATAAGCGACGGATGCCGCTTCGTTACTCTTTTCGATAACATGAACGTCAAAACAAGGATTGGGAGTAAAATGACATTGGAGACAAGGTTGAAATATATCCACACATTCAAGAGAGGAACAGCACTCGTTCCCAACTCTCGCTGGTCTTCTCCTGGGGAAATCATTAAATATTCAGGAGGGGACTCAATGAGGTATTTTCACTTACTAGAAACCAGACCAACCGACATTGCTCCAGGTGAGATGAGAAGACAAGATTTCTGACCCGCGGGGAAGAGTATTATAGCGGAAGAAAAACAACACTACGGACCAGCCCTGATGAAAGAGTTTACGGACTGAGGTCGGTGGGGCGTTAAGATGAGAACGCTAAAGAATTTCAGACGTCGTGAGCCCTAGATACACCGTGACTGAAGCCCGAGGGAGAGAAAGCATAGATCTGATCAGGTTATGGATCGTTATATGAGAGTTATTCACAAAGATCATCGTCTGTATCAAGTTGGTATCAAGTTGGTATCAAGCAACAATTGGTCCGTGGTGGACGTTCGATTCAGTGACATGATGCAGACATACATAGTAAGTAATAATTACAGCGTGTTCGGAAAATGATGACAGACGCGATTTTTTTTTCGCTCAAAAAAATAAAATAAAATAAAAAGGTACTCGAGCTTATGCGTCGGATACTGCACATTTGTATGAGATTTTTACCTGATCAGCCAGGGAAAGATGCAGCAGGGCATCTGCAATGATAGCACAAAGGTCCAGGAGGGGTGTGGGGTGTCTGGAACTACTTCAGCTCATCCTAGGGATTATTTCTGGAGCTTTAGGAACAACCTCTACTTGTATATAGCCATTAGGTATGGGATGATTTTCAATAGCAATCAGCACAACATCAAGTGCTTTCTCGTTTGGGCAAATTTTCTTCGGTAGCCGACGCGTACCTTTTGATTTTATTTTATTTTATGGGCTGATAAAAGTTTCGTGATTGTCATCATTTTCCGAACACGCTGTAATAATGATTTACTGCAAGTGGAAGTACTCCGCAAATTTCGGGTACTGAACTCACCTCACATGGGTGATTCCACTGTGAGCCAGTCCTTGAACCAACCGATCTTGGCTGTAACTAATGGAGCATATTGCAATCAAATAAATAGATCAGCAATATCATGCAGCCTAGCTCGAATATTTGCCGGACAACGGTTGATAATGTGGCTCAAGATATAGAACAGGAATTGCTTCAATCGCGAAAATTTCTGTTTCAAGAGAACAGCTCGTTGTCTCGGGTCAAGTCTTTTGCTGTAGACCTCGCTCTAGTAGGACTTTCCATTCGGTAAGTCGAAAGGCAATCCTACGGAGACTGATTGGCTCCGCGAACAGCTTCTTTGGTTGTTGAGGCAGTTTATACCCCTGCAGCCGGGTGTAGCAGGGTATATATATATGTATATACCCACTTCGCTATCTGCAAACCCTGTATGCTCGCGAGAGCAAAGATACAGGCACAACAGTACTTGACAGCAGTTAAAGCAGTCCGTAGCAGTCATAGTATAGTTACTATGAACCGCTTTAGCTGCTCTAACCTGCTTTCGAGGCCTGAACCAAGTTTTGCAGATCATCGGCCTATATAAGTTCTCGAAGGAACTAATGTTGTTTTTCCCGATCAAACATTTAGAGCAGGCCATCTCGTCGACGCGTTCTGCCCAAAGGACCCATGTAGAGGCTTTTCGACACTTTTGCATCGCCTTAAGCTGGTGAGCATTCTAGATACCGTAGCTAACAGCCCCGTTTGAGCGCAAGATGTCTTTGTCTCTGAGTAGAAATCGAAGCTGTTCCAGGACGTCGTTCATGTTTATGAACCTCGTTCGGAACAGTCTTTTCTTATCAACGCTTCGGTCCTATTGGCAAAATATACGATTGAAGACATATCTGGCGGCATGTCTAACTGGCCACCTACTAGTGCCTATCCTGTTTTCGTATCTACGGGTAGCCCTCCAGACATTGTACGTGCAATTTCGACATCCGTCCTCTTGAATCTATTTTTCAAAACCTATATCAGCTTTCTACGCCCACGGAAGGTCTCTTCGCCCTGGTACAGAATTTAATCCAACAATTACAAGACCCTTCGCCTGTCTTGAAGGAAAAATCGACAATCATTCTCCCGCAGGGTCTGTTCGCGAATTTGACTGTTCCCTTTGCGGCAGTCTTGCTTGAATATCCTGTTGCATACTGTCCTTCGGAAACGGTCGTCAGTCCCTTCCTTAGCAGCGCTACACTCGACATATACGAGGTTCGTTTGACATTGCCAGATCAAGGCGATGTCACCTCTGGACGACGTAAAGCATGGCCGTTTGTCAACGATGAGGACCGACATTATCGCTCTGTCCTCAAATTTTCATGTCCCTCCGATTTGGGTCGTTCTTGCCCTAAATTGAATCCACAGTCAATACAGGAGAGTTTGCAATCCTGTTTTGTTTCTCGGATAGCCAACTCATTGCTGTTGATGTTGAGCACTCATACAATATCTGTACATCACACGATTGAGACTTTAGACAGGGTAGCACTGTAACTAGAGATATTTTGGCAGGGTACTCCAGGGGTACTCAAAAGAGACCCTAGGCTACTCTACATCAACATTGATAATCTTGATGTCCTCGTAAGGTTTGTCGGCCTTGTTAGTTTTGACGTTTTCTATCGCATGCACGACTTCGAGACCTGATAGCACACGCCCAAAAATCGTGTGTTTTTTGTCTAACCATGGCGTTGCAGTGGTGGTAATGAAGAACTGTGATCCGTTGGTTCCAGGACCGGCATTGGCCATACTGACAGTGTATGGTCTAGATGAACGTCATCAGCAAATGGTTCGAATATACAAGAAAAATGACATTGTATACCTATCATGTTTGAGATCATCAGAAAACTCATCCTCAAACTCCCGTCCCCAAATCGATGTACCCCCAGTGCCATCACCGAGGGGATCCCCTGTTTGTATCATGAATTTAGGTATAACCCGATGGAAGATAATGCCCTCGAAGTAGCTGCTTCGAGCATGGCCAACAAAGTTTTCCACTGCCTTGGGGGCTTGTGTGGGATAAAGACGCATGTGAATATCCCCAAGCGTTGTGTGGATAGTCGCCGCGTTGGCCAGGGGGGATGGTCCACTTTTCCCAACAGGAGCAGAAGTTGCGATGCTCTGTTCTTCACGGGTTGGCCGTTCATTGAACACATCTCGATCACCTGACTTATTATCTCTGTCAAAAGTTTAGCAGAGCCAATTGATGAAAAAAGGGAGCCTTACTCGGGCTCCGATCTGTTGAATATATAAAATCGTTGACGCTTGTAGCCAGTACAGAACAGAGTTGGGTCGCGAGACTGCCGTTCGGCCAAGAGGGGATTCGCTGAGGCTGCCATTGCCTGTGATGATTTGAGAACGGAACAACTTCAAATCGTATGGAACAGATTTACCGCAGTCGCTGCAGTTCTCTTCGATGGACCACCTTGGTATAAACTCAGGTTTAAAAACCTTACTGACTCATCTTTACCAAGAAGGCGAGAAACACGATTGGTGACAGTGTTAACGACTAGACTCATCCCGCACCGCACATGAGCAGGCGATAGCGCAGGGGAAATGGAACGGGCCATGCATACCTTTGATACCAAGAAGGGAACCATATACTACGAACGAACCACCTTCGTCCCAGACAACATTGCTCCAACGGCCAGGAATTCGACCATCAGGACCAGGAAGTTCAAGTTCCCTTTCCGCAGCTAGTCGCCGACCAAATTCCATATCTTCGACCTTGTAGACTGCTGTCCCTGCTTGTTGCATCTCTTGAATTGCAGTCAGTGACTCGTCGTATTTTCGGGTCAGCTTTCCACTGAGGAATGAGAAGATCCGGATTTGACGATCAGGCAGGGAGAAAGTCACAAATGACGACGAGTTCGGTGATAGAGTTATACAAGTTGGCGTTGATTTAGACTGTCAACGACGAATGAGCGATACAAGAGGGAAAAAAGTCAGAACAAACCTTTTTGAACTCGTATAAATCAGTTTCGCTTTTGTACGACCACATCCCAGGTATATTCTCAGGCTGTCCAAACGGCTCTTCTGGTTGCCAGTATTCCACAAAACCGCCTTCATCGGCTGTTATAACGGTGTTGAACTTGTCGCTGTACTATGACCAATATAAGCGTATTGTCAAACTACGACAGGACTCTTACAGTGATGATATGCACAGGAAAACGGTGTATGTTCTCAATAGTCTCTAGCGGCACATCACCTCCTCGACCATCATACAGCCGGATGGTCCCACAAGAGGCATCGGATCTAAGAGCAAGATTAGGATTAGTAGCAAGTTGAAAAATGAGTATTTGAGCTTACACGGCAAGCAACCCTTGACCTTGACCACTCTTGTGCACCCAACAGCACGCGTGAGGTGTAAATCCCAATTTGATAATGTTGATCATGTCTATAGACGAATTAGTATACTGTAGTTGGGACAAGGGCAACAATCACCAAAGTTCACCACATCGAAGACTTTTGCGTTCCCATCGTCTGACACGGTGGCCAACATTTGCCCATCCGTACTTGCTGAGACGCCAGTAATAGGGCCAAGATGCGCACGATAATGTTTGACAAATTCAATGCCAGTATCTTGTTTCTTCCACAGTTTCAGTTGTCCGTCCACAGATGTTGTGATAAGAAAATCTGTTCTATAGGGCGTTTAAGATCGTACGCGAACAGGAAACAGGATGCGGCACATACTTTGTGACCAAGCAGAAGTTGATTGTATCTCGGTGCATGAAACTCTTATAATATTGTTCAGTATGTGGTAGATGATCCAGGTAGAGTTTTTCATGAGCGAGCACTAGTTAAGAGCTCTTAATATCCATTAAGGCTCTATGGTGAGGTTATACAATACGAGCCTTACCTTTCCGCTTCTTCTTTGATACGCCTTCAGCCCCAGCTGGCATGGGCATGGGCCCTAAATCATCGTCGTCGTTATCGTCGAAGGTAGCAGACATATTTGAGTCTACTTGATGATCATTTTTGAGCTCTTCTTGGTTATTCCGGGCGCGTTTTCCAAGGACGGAGGGGTCAGTTTCGGTCATGGTCGTCGCAGTTCGAGTAGATAACAAAGTTACGGATGCGACACTGCCACAAAGATTAGATAAGCGCTAAGATGGCGCTAATGTAAAATTTCTCCGCATATAATGCCTGCAGTCACCCAAGATGGACAATTTGACGATGCCCCAGAAGTTCCCGATCCCCGCGCAGGCTTCTTCTACATCGACTCATTCGAAGAAAGCGACGATATCTCTGAAGATGAAGTATATGAAAATGAAGACATCGATGACATCTACCAGGATGATCGCGTAGAGGACGAAGACTGGGAGATTGCTGAGCGAGGTTGATTATGCTTCTACTCCTTTGAATGTAGTTAATTCATGCTCTTAGACTTCACCAAACAGTACAACAGACTACGACAACATGTAGCCGTTCGTTCTGGGAATGCACAAGGTGCAATCTCAGCGCTGAATCAGTCCACATCTGTCGCCGCTCTACCTGCAATAAATCATCCCCGATCTGGCACTACTACTGCATCCATATCTAGTCCTGTAGTCAAAGATAAAACTACGGATCAGCTAGCAGCCCTATCGAAGTATAACTCGAGGCTAGCGAAAATTGATGTGCCTTACTTTCTGGGTGTAGGTATAAACCGGAAGGGACCCAGCGCGTCTGCAAATTTGAAGGACAAGTCGGACAGGGCTACAAACGAACAAGTTCTGGATCCCAGAACTCGTCTCATCCTCTTCAAAATGATCGGGCGAGAGTTAATTCACGAAGTAAATGGATGTGTTAGTACTGGAAAAGAGGTAGGCTGATATCTTTTTCTCTCGCTCTTTTTGCTAATCATTGATCAGGCTAATGTTTATCATGCATTGACACCAGACTCAAATCATTTAGCTCTCAAAATCTACAAAACCTCTATCCTTGTGTTCAAAGACAGAGACAAGTATGTTACTGGAGAGTATCGTTTCCGACGGGGGTATAGCCGCAAGAATCCTCGTAAAATGGTTCGCCTTTGGGCCGAAAAAGAGATGCGGAATCTCAAACGATTGGTCTCTGCTGGTGTACGCTGCCCAGACCCCATTGAGGTTAGGGAAAACGTCTTAGTGATGACCTTTCTGGGAGATAAAGAAGGCTGGTATGTATTGCTCAACCTACATTCACTTGAAATTGATCCATTACAGGGCCTCTCCGAGACTGAAGGATGCTCAACTCACACTTGAAGAATCTATCAATCTGTATGTGGAGCTGATCCTGGTCGTCCGAAAGATATTTCAGCAGTGCAAACTCGTACACGCCGATCTTTCTGAATATAACATCTTGTTTCACGAAGGTCATCTCTGGATTATCGATGTCTCCCAAAGCGTCGAACAGGATCATCCGTCTGCCTTCGACTTTCTGCGTAAAGATTTGAGCAATGTCGAGGAATTTTTCGGTCGCCTGGGAGTTAGGTGCTTGGGCCTTAGGCGTGTATTTGAATTCGTCATTACAGATAACCTTCCCCGTTCCAGCGAAGCGCTGTCCGACGAGGACATCCTGCGAATCTGGATAGAAGAAGGTTTAAATCCAGAGAATGCTGCTTCAGAAGATTTAGAGTCATCGGCTGCCCACGAGGACTCTGTCTTCAAAGAGTCTTACATCCCTCGTACTCTCAACGAGCTCTTCGATCCTGAGCGGGACGTCGCTGCAGTAAACCGCGGGGAAGGGACCAAACTTATTTACGCAGGGACCATAGGTCTGGTAGACCCCTCATCCAGTACTAACGACCCCGAGCGATTGCAGTCATCTAGGAGCGCCCGTGCCAATATGAGCCGCACCGGTGGTGCGGTTGACAAAATTGAAAACGTTTCCGCTTCGGAATCAGATAAAGAGTCAGACGACAGTGACAACGACACCGATTCCGCGGGTGTGTACTCGGAACGTAAACCTCGGGGGCATCGACATGAGGACCGGGAAGCAAAAAAGGTTGGTTTCACACCGAGTTGATTCCTCGGATGCTTTGTAGTTTACTGAATTCCTTCACATCGTTGCGTAGGAGAGGAAAAAAGCCGTTAAAGCGGAGGCAAAAGAGAAGAGACAGAATAAGATGCCGAAGAGCGAGAAGAAGAGAATGATGAAAAAATCTGCTCGTTGAGGTTGAATAGTGACCTGCAATAACGCAAGTTCCTGCCACAAGCTATTGAATCCACTTGTATCGATTTGCTTTGTACGTTCGTTACCTAGAGACGAATGTGTGGAAGGAAATTATTCAAAAGAAAGTTGGTATGATATCAGATATGTATAAGTTTTACTTTTGACGTTGGATGCCACCAGATTCCATTCATGAGTCCGTAACACACCCGTGACTGGCGTCAGTCACCAACTTCACGTACTTATACAAAGTACCTTGTGTCACCTTTAACGGGGGTGCGACCCATGCTTTCCTCCTCTTTTCCATCTCTTCAGGAGTGATGTGCAACTCGATCGTGTTCTTCACGGCATCAACGGAGATAACGTCACCATCCTGCACAAAGGCAATCGGTCCTCCGACCTGTGCTTCGGGCACAACATGTCCAATACAGAATCCGTGGGACCTATCATGAGAGAATAAGTATGGGCATGTAAAGACTACCTGGGGAGAATAAATGCCACAGATTGAAGAGTTGAGCTTACCCTCCGCTGAATCTACCATCGGTCAAGCACGCAACATCGAAACCCAAACCGGCACCCATTATCAAACTTGTAGGTTTGAGCATCTCCGGCATACCTAGATCGATGATGAAACACAGATGTTCCGTTAGACAATCCACGCGGGGAATAATGCATCACGCAGCATAACAACGAACAAAGCCGATTGAAACAAAGAATACGGGTTAAATTGATAAAAATGAGCCAAAGCAGAAAACATGAATAGCATAATGGAACGTCCAAGGAAATGACAGGAAAGGGTGGGTTTGTCTGAATTGAGATAACGTCGGAAGGAACTGAACACATACCTGGACCACCTTGAGGACCGAGATATCGCAATATCACCACGGTTTTTTCGCCCTTTTTGATGGAACCACTTTCCACTGCCTTGACAAAGTCATCTTCGCTGTCAAAAGTTCGTGCTTTGCCCTTGAAATTGAGACCTTCTTTGCCTGTAATCTTGGCCACTGCACCCCCTGGAGCAAGGTTTCCCTTGAGAATTCTAATATCAAAGGCACAAACACAAAACGTGAGCACGAGTTAGGCACACAGAGGAGGAAGGGGGAATGCAAGGTCCAACGGTACAGAGTAACACATATCCATTCACGGGAAAATCGAATATGTGAGGAATTTTCGAAGGACAACATAGAAGCTTCAACGAACCTGATATGTCCCGATTCTTTGATAGGCTTGTTCAAAGGCCGGATGACATCTTGGCGATTGAAATCGAGCTCGCCATATTTGTGCACCCATCGTTCAAGGTTTTCTCCAAGAGTGCGTCCGGTGACAGTCATGTTATTCCCGTCAATCATCTTTTGCTTCATGAGGAAGTGCAGGATTTCTGCAGGGAGGTAAGTGTTACGGAATGATCAGCATACTTGACCGGAAAAATACAGCATAAGAACGGGACGGAAGGAGGAAGGGCAATGTCTATTCAAACGGAGGGTAACGTTTGAAAGGTCCGTGATTCTCGAACCAAATAATGAGAGAAAAGATGGGATGATAACAGAACAATATCGCGAGACAGGTCAAGAAGCAATTGACTTACTAGGAATACCTCCGATCTTATACACGTCCTCCATCAGGTACTTGCCGCTTGGTTTAATATCTGCTAAAAAGGGAGTGCGATCGGAGACGTTCTGGAAGTCATCGATGGTCAGAGTGATTCCCACTGAGTGTGCTATTGCTATAAGATGAAGCACGGCATTGGTCGAACCACCAAGGATCATAGTTAAGACCTATAACAGGAAAACAATTCGTTGTAAGAAGGACACTCGTTTAAACGTCAAAGTAGTGGGGAATGAGTGGAATGTCGTGATCAATATGGAAATGAACATACCATCGCGTTCTCGAACGCTGATCTTGTCATGATCTCTCGTGGTAAGATATTCCGAGAGACAAGTTCATACATTGCAGGACCGATAGAAGCACACTCTGCACGTTTCTCCTGAGATTCTGCTGGGAACGAAGACGAACCAGGAAGAGTCATTCCCATAGTCTCGGCGGCGCTAGCCATGGTATTTGCTGTGTACATCTAAAAGAGGGAAATTAATCAACGCGGCTGCTAGTAGAAATCAGAAGACAATCGTACGCCACCACAAGCTCCAGGACCAGGACAAGCATGGCGGACCGTTTGATATCGTTCCTTCTCTGCGGCAGGTGTCTCGCCGTCTTGAAGGAACTTTCCATATGACTGGAATGCCGAGACAAGGTCGAGTGGAGGCAGACCCTCGCACGATCCTCCACGGATGGTACCTCCGTAGACCATCAGTCCGGGACGGTTGAGACGACCGACTAAGAGTGCGTTCAGTGATGGCCTGATTTGGCAACTTGAGAACTCACGAGCTATGAGGACACCAGGCATATTCTTGTCACAACCTGGTACTACGACCATACCATCAAGATGGTGTCCGCCTGCTGCAGTCTCGACTTGGTCTGCGATAAGATCCCGAGATTGTAAAGAAAATGACATTCCACGAGTGCCCATGCTAATGCCATCACTGACCCCAACTGTACCAAATTGATATCCAATGAGGTCGGCTTTTTGAAGAGAGCTTTTTATATCTTGCCCAAGACCTAGAAGATGTTTATTGCAACTTCAAGATCGATTGAGAGTTTGCTGAACAGAAAGAACGAGTGGCCTTACGGGTTTCCCTCATACCTGTGAACATGAGTCATAATTGGTATGTATACCTTGGAAGCGCGACCCACCAGATGCTTGCGACACCAATCATTGCTTTGTTGAAGTCCTCATCACTGGAGATACCGTCTGTGGCATATAGCATAGCCTGTATACAATCCCGTTCATAATACAACGCGCTGAATAGGAAGAAAGTAAATAACCTGACTGGCACCTTGGTCTTTTGGTTGGGTGACTACTCTGCTGTATCGGTTCATAATTGGTTTGTCTTGACATTTTACAGAGGAAGAGAAGAATCTAGAGGACGAAGAGGACCAGAGCGGTCTTGGTGTAGATTTTGGCTTGAGCATTTTTTTTTTGGGAAACTCAGCCGGGACAAAGCGCCGGTAGCATTGGGAATAAGCGCGCTGACAAATAGTAGTGATGGCGGTCACCCGGCCCAGCTCGGCTACAATTTTCTCAAAAATCAAAAAAATATTATTTGAGAATATCCTCGAGGTTAAAATTGCCTTTTGGAGTAGATAAGCGAGTTCTCAAAGAAAAGCGTCAGATGAAGACGCAAAGCACTCTTACTTCTACGTCTTAATGGAAGAGGTATAGGAGTTACTTCGCCAATTATTCAAACGATTTCACCGCGGATAGTTCCTTTTGAGGTAGAAAAATTTAAAGTTGTATACCAAATTTCTGGGCCGTAACTTCCGGAAAGACGCCGATGGTATCACTCAGGAGACGATATCGATTTCGAAAGTGAGAGACGAGCGAACGATCGAGTCTAGGTTTACACTGCCGGTATGGCTCTCTGTAAGTGATAATGTTCATTGACCTCTCTAATTGTACAGAAATTCTCATTTTATTTATTCATTCAGAGTCTTGTTCCCTCCGTGGCCTGACACGGAACTGGCCATGGAAGCAAATTGCTTTTTTCTTCCTTGTTTTTCGTTGGAATATTTTATTTGGCCCCGAGACACATGGTCCGTTACAGGTTCCTCCGACGACACGATCGTTAAACCAAAGGTCTGACGAGCTGGATGGCCTCTGGATAACTTCTCCCCTTTATTTCTCCTTCTCATTCCCTTCCTCTTCTCATGGACAACAATAGCAACGCCAACGACGGCCAACAACGCAGTACATTACCGAGAAGCCTCATTCCCCATCTATACAGCGCCCCCCAGACATCTCGTGACAGTTCTACTAGGACCACTTTATCCGAGCAGGAGGAAATTGAAGAAGAAGATACCGAGTTGCAGGAGCAGCAGAGATCTGCTTCTCCATTTGCTCTTCGCCCAATCCCTTCAGAATATCCATCAGAATCGCCGCCTCTTGCTTCTCGCCGTTATCCATCGTCTTATTCAGCCTACGATCATTCAGTACAACCACCCAGTGGGCCAGAAATGCGCCTACCACCTACAGCTCCGGCTATTCGCAACGAATCGTCGTATCACAATCCTAGACCCGCCCACGTATATAATTTCCCGCAAATAGAGATGCAACAATCGTACGTAGCACCTACGGTTGGATCGAGCTGGAGAGAAGGCGAGGCTGGACCGTCTACCATCACTCAGCGAGGTCACCCCAGTGAAACCCGCGGACGTTCTACAGTGGGATATGTACCGCCGTATCGTTACATGGATCAGTACCAACAGCAGCCTCATCACAGAGAGAGTTATTCCAGACAACATGAGCCGTACCATTATGGCGCATATACCCAAGGTGCGTTCCACGATCATCATTTGTTGGATAGCAGTTAGATTAATCAATCCATAGGACATTCATTGCCCCAACATGGAACGGACTCTTTTTTGTCCCCTATGCAAGCTCACCGTCAAGTTCCTGAGCATATATACGGTGGAAATCCCCCTCAGCCGGTCCATCAAGACCTATATACGTTTCCTCCTTCGGGTCAACAACCTGAATCCCATGGAAGCGTCGCCAGAGGCTGGGGTCCCATGATTGCAAGCAGTAGTACCGCGGCAGCAGATTATGCAGACTCCAGTTATCCGTCACTTCCCCCGCTTCCTCATCCATCCAGATATTCGACTGAACCCGAAGACGATGATGGAGAATACTTGCCTCCAGGACGACGGAATCAGAAGCGTAAACTAGAGAATGATGAGCAAGAACCTGGGAGTAGGCCCAAGAAAACGTTGATAGCGTGCGATTTCTGTCGAGGTAAGTTTGCTTTCCTTGACAACCTTGCAAACCTTGTCCTATCAACTATGATAATTGCATGTCGGCGTAAATTAACTGACAAAATGCAGGACGAAAGCTTCGGTGTGACGGCACCCGACCTTCATGTTCCAATTGTAAATCTCGTGATAATCAACCTTGTGTGTATCAAAGCCATCCACGACGGAGAGGACCTGGCAAGGCACCTAAAGGACAACGGAAGAAGATTGCGTCCAATCGAGCAGAGACCACCACTCCGGCTTCCGAACGCTCTAGAGCGTCCAACGAAGGATCGCAGCATTATTCGCCCTCAGGTGATGATTTTGAAGTGGATGCACTTCCCCCCGACTTCCGATCACAACAACAGCAACAGCACCTTCCGCCGATTCTCCCCTATCCAGGTCCCCAGGGAGGATTGATTTTACCGTCATCGTCGCAAATACCGCAAGGCCAACCACATTTTCCGCCTCAGAGTCAAGATCAAGGTAGATTTCAGCAGGTTCATACTCGCAGGGGATTAAGAGACTCTGCAGTCATACCTCATCCTCTATATCCCGATGACGGTAATGCTGAGCATCGAAGTGAACGGACCGACAATCAATGGGTCCGACAACGGAACATTTAGACGGAAATATCACCCGGAGCTTCGGCCTTGAACTTCCTTCCCCACATTCATATCACAGTCAATGACAGATCCTCCCGAATTGGTTCCTGTTGCTATCCGCTCTTTTTCTAGGTACCTTTACGTGCGCGCTCACGGCGCATGCCTACGGTTCCCACGATATCTTCACCCCTTCTATGTATGAGATTTTTCGGTTTTAGAAGCCTAATATCTATTATAGTCCTCGATTTTTTTATCCTCGTATATTCCAGTATTGGAGTTGGTATAATTGTTGTAGCGTACAACTGCTTATCTGTCTGTTTATTAGCGATGTTGTAATAAAAAAGGAACAAATTTTGGTCAATCAGGACACCAGTTTATTCCGATTGGTCCGGTGGGAATCAAGCGCGGTGATTTTGAAAGATGATCCTTAGTGCAGAACCGACAATTACTTACCGCCTGGCGATTCTTCTCTGTCTCCCTCTCGCTCTGGCGCCGAGCCGTTTGTTCCTTATTGCCTTCAACGATACAGCTGGAGCTCTAGCATGAACATCGCTGTCCCTGTCAATGAGCTCAGTCATCGTGAAATTACCCCTCAATCGACAAGTAGTAACGTTCCCGGTGAATATCTTAGATATATGGTTCGCGTTTCTTGCTCCGTATAACTTTCTACTTCATAGGCAATTCCGTTCCAGACTTTTCTCTACTAGTCGCAGGTTGTCGAGGAGGTGCGTACGATTGCTCTCTGCTATCAATCGGTAATTATTCACCGTTTCCATGCGCAGGCAAGACCTCACTGCTCCGACTCTTACTCGACACCTGTAACATTTCACCTCGGGCGTCTAGGGACCAGCTAGCATCAGTCGCTAAATTTGTACAAGGATGCAGCTCTCATACAACTCACATCAGATCTACTTCAGTTCCCATAGATCTCGAAGCCGAGGGTGGAGGAGAATTTACGCTTTCTCTAGTCGACACACCGTCCTTAGATTTCAAGGATGCTGCTGTCACGGAGCGGTCAATGCTAGAAACTTTGAGGTTCATCGAAGGTAGACTAGGTGAAGCTGCGGATGCGGTAGGTGTCTGATCCTTTTCGCCGTCGTTATGTTCCTGTACACGTTTGTGCTTACCATCGGGCCTTGCATCCAGGACTGGGAACAGCAGGACCGTTTAGTGCACCTGTATGTTGCTGTTATTTCTATCATTGTTAATTGCTGTATTCACAGAAGGGTATTTAGGTGTGTATACTTTCTAGATCCCGATCAAATCATTCCGTCTTCTATACCTGCACCGCCTGCACCAGTAGTTCCCCGTACGCGCACAAACAGCTTTTCTCAGCCGGACCAAGAGCCAGTAATTCTTGAGCCCCCTGTGACAAATAATCCGCTTCACTACAAACCCACTCTGCCTCCCTTGGACGTGCTTTGCATTCGGCGCCTCTCTGCACGGGTCAACGTCCTTCCTGTGATTGCGCGCGCCGACGTTTTGCCCAATGACAGGCTTTTAGCCATCAAGATGGCTGTGCGACGCGACCTCGCTGAAGCTGGAATAGGCTTCGGTATATTTGATATGGATGTTCCCTATCAACTACCAGATGATATCGCCTTGTCGAAAAGTAGCGATCCGTCCAACGGGTACGGCGTTCAATCGAATCCTGCGGCAACAGCCAGTTCGCCTCCAACTTCTCCCAATCCTCTTTCAATGTTGCGGTTACCTTACGCATTAATCTCTCCGGACCTGTATGCGCATAGCGACGGAGTACCAAGAATGACCCTCTCGAGATCCGATCTGGTTCAGACATACACCCCTTCTCAATATAGCCACCCTCCCTCGAAGCTTGTGCGAGGCAAATTCACTCGGATCTATCGGTGGGGAGGTTTGGACGTCTTAGACCCTACCCATTGCGATTATGCTCATCTCCGTTCCGCAATATTCCATCACATGGAGGTATGTACCCTTTTAAATGGTTACGACTGCACCCGGCTGATCAGATTTCCTTTCGTTCCCTTTTCCCAGACTCTTCAGAAATACACTAGAGAATATTTATTTGAAAAGTTCAGAGCTGATTATAAGCTTCCTCCACACCAACAACAGCCGCTTCCGACCTCTCGTCATTCTTTAGCACACTTGTCATCCTCACATTCGCACTTGCCTTCACTCGGACAACCATTGCGGCCAGTACTGGCTATAGACACTGCTCCAAATCGTCACAATTCAATATCTGACTCTCGAGCGATGTCTGTTAGTAGAGACATTCGCTCTGCACCAATGTCTCGGAACGTTTCCGATAACGTCTCGGTGAAGAGTGGTGGATCTAGTAAGTCGTGTTTACATGACTCTTTTCGGCCGCGATGTATTGATCGGGCGTGGTTTTAGCCGATACCACCACTAAAGGAACCAAGCAACGCACGAAAAAAATCACAGTGGCGTGTAACTTCTGTCGATGTTGGTGATTCGACTTCTGATCCTTTTTGTAATTGCTGAGATTCTTTACGTATGTAGCAAGAAAGCTCAAGTGCGACGGAGGAAGACCTTCATGCACACAATGCATTAAGCGGTCCCATCCCTGCGACTATATGCCACAGAACAGACGAAGGCGTGGCGTACCACGTCGCACGGACGAGGAAAGCGAAAGCGAAAGCATCGACGATCCTTCGGATGCACCTTCCATGTCCCCCCAGGTCACCTCGAGACCACGTTCCCGCAGAAACTCTATATTCGATAAACATAACGATTACGGTTCATCATCCTTACCCCCTATAACAGGTGGCGATATTCCATCTTCGTCTCGGTTGCGAGGTAACGTTTCCTCCTCTACTTTCGACACTGAGCTTCCACATATCGCCACACTCTCACTTCCCTCTACACCTGGGCCACCGATGTCTGCCCCGTCGCTTCCACCAATCAGACCTGCATCCGAACACCAGTCTGCCCAACGGAAACGAGCATCCACTGTCCCAGGGAAAAGTACCCGACAAGCTTCCCATTCTGGTCCGAAAGTGGTGGCGTGCAATTTCTGCCGAGGTCTGCATTTCTATTTCTTTTCTGTTCAATATTTTTCACGTGCCTTACTATTCATTATCGTCCGTCTTCAGCGCGTAAAACGAAATGCGATGGTGCCCATCCTGCATGCTCGAGCTGTGCTCGCCGGTCGCTTTCCTGCAGCTATGTAACTGATCGTCGAAGTGGAGGTGACAAAGCACGGCGTGCTTCAACATCGAAGGCAACGGCATCCCAACATCCCCCACCGACACCTCAATTAGATTACATACCTTCGCCCCCATCATCGAGGATGGTACCAACACCATCGAGTAGTGTTCCTGACATGTATGAGCGTCGTGACCTGATGGTCGCTGACCAGGAAGTGGAGCTCAAAAGGTCCTCAGAATATATGGACAATATACGCCCGCCAAAGAAAATGCGGGTTGAGAATAATATTGGTATACCCTAGGTTTATACGTGCTGACGAAAATTTCCATTCTGTAGAATAACTGTCTTATCCCCATGTTTTTTTGTTCTTGATTTGGTTCTCTTCGATCTTCTTGTCGGATTCTGGGTATCCTCACTTGGTTGGGTGTTGGTCCTACGACCATGGATGGCATGGGATGTAATTGTAAAACTCCTCAATACTACTTACCTATATAAACCTTGCTTGAAACACACAACAAACATTCATCTAACTGCAATTTAACTGTGCAATTATTGACCGTGTGCATTGTTCGGCGGCTGTATAGTTGAGAAGCGCCTAATTTAGAAAACGGCTTGAATACTATTTATCATTGTCTTTGTAGCCCATTCTTTCATTGCCTAGTCTTATCTTGTACTGTCTGTCTCTCGTTTCACTTCCTTCGCTACTAATATGTTCTCCCTTCGGAGAAAATCAAGACCTGTACCAGAGCCAACGAAGATACGCGGGTCGCCTTCATTGCCAGAGTTAAATAGTCAAGGAATTCCCTGGCCAGAAAGTCTTGTAGATGTATCCAGCATTCGTCAGGACATTCCCCCCATCTCTGAACACATTCCCAAAGGTGCGGCCCCTATCTCTTTGCAGGGAGCTCCCCATGTTATCCCCTTCCACAAACCGTTTCGGCCCTCAGGTAGCGGGGAAGGCCTTCCATCCATCTCTTCTTTGTACATGTCAAATGCACCTGCAAATTCCACCAACGGACCTATCCCTCGGACTGCCTCAAGCAAGTACAGTCAACGAAGAGCTCGTGCGCCACCCACATTCAATCTCATGGTTAGCATAACCTTGCGCTTCTTGCCAATCCCTCCTTCGCAGCTTACGTATCGCTCGAAATTTAGGTTGTCGGTGGACTAGGTACCGGAAAGACTTCCCTCCTTCGGCTCTTGCTCGAGACCGCGGACCTTTCGCCTACTGCTACAGTGGACCAACGAGCTGCCGTGGATCGCTTCTTGAGCGGCTCTCCGAAACCAACCCAATCTATTCATACCGCTTGCGTTGAAATCTGTGAATCGAAATATGATAGAGTGCTTTTCTCTGTTATTGATAGTCCGGGGCTCGATTTCATGGAAGGAAGAGAGTTGAAGCTGGAGAGGCAGGTTAGTAGTGTTATCAAGTATATTGACGCGCAATATGCGGATACCCTAAGTGAGGTGTGTGCTTTTCTTATCTTGATTCTTTCTCGCGCTCATTACATATCAGGAATCCAAAGTCGTCCGAAAGAACAAAGGAGACCAACACATTCATCTGTACGTTCTTCTCTTCAGGATTTACTGAACGTACAACTCAATTAAAACAGGTGCATCTACTTGATTGATCCCTCCTCTATTATGACTGTTGCGGAGCGCAGGATCAAATCATCTCTGCCCACCAAAACGCGGTCAGAAACCACAGTCTCCTATCGAACACCTCCAGATCTCATTCCAGATACTTCTTCGGACTCCGAGGATGAAGAAAGCCCTCTCACCATGGCACCCGCTGAAATTCGCGTCATTCGGCGGTTGGCTGCGCGTTGCAATGTCCTCCCTACGATCGCCAAATCAGATTCTCTGACAGACGATGCTCTGAAAAATGCGAAAGAAGCAGTCAGAAGGTCTTTGTCAGAAGCTGGACTTGATTTTGGAATTTTCGGGCCACCACAAATCTCAACACCAAAGAAGGCCAGAGCAGCACGTTTTGCCGGCGATTTGAACGACGCGACCGACGCAAGCAATACAGAAGATGAAGATGAAGAGCGACAATCCAGACCGGTCATCAAGCTTCGTCGGCCCACAGTTGGTCGTGCACTCTCGCGGTCGCGCTCACGACGCGACTTGTCACAGGCTGCTGAAGATGAACATCGACCAGTTTCGCCAGATATGGAGAGCGTTGCAAGCGTCAGATTCTCTGCTCATATCGTGGCTAAACCCGATCTGACTACCTTAATGCCCTTCGCGCTCATTGCTCCTGAAATCACCGCGCTGAACCGGCATAACACATCGACTGATGACCAGATGTTGAATACGGCTCCCTCTTCCCCTATACAACAATCGGAAGATGGGCACGCACTTTCGGTGGAGAGCAGCCGCCGACATTCTTATCTACAAGGCCCGCCGCCTGATGCCCTGAAGAATGTTTTCATTCGAAAGTTTCGATGGGGGACTGTGGACGTACTGGACCCGGACCATTGTGATTTTTCTGCTTTAAGAACAGCTGTACTGTCTACACATCTCAAAGTTAGTCCATGCACTTGATTGTACTCCTTGTGCTAATGGTTCGTTTTAGATGCTCAAGGTCCACACAAAAGAAGTGTTGTATGAAAAATACCGAACCGAAAAGCTTCTTGCGCGTCGCGCGACCAGCCAGATCACAGACGAGCAAAAGGACAGACTTCTCCAAGGTGCGTTGTTTGTTCTTTTCTTGTGACCCATCGTCTCAACGAACGTACGTCGCGTGCAGATCTCGGATTGTGATCTACCATTCACTATCATCACACAATATACCTCTGAATACCTATGACTCTTTGATCATATGTATGTCACATTTCTAACATCAACGTCCTTCACGGCCTTCTCATTGCTTGCTGAATTATTTGTAATCCTTCTGAGAGCTACGTACTCTCATTTTTCCCTGGAGCGGATGTGTTCTGAAATTCAATTGTATCCCCAGTACTTATTTTCCTACATATGCATACATACTATTTCGATTCAATTACATACTAACGTTGCCATTACTTTGTGTTGCAATTACTTGATTTTCAAGAACTACTTAGGATTGCTTTTAGTCGCAATCTCGGTTCTACAAGTTTATTATTTTATTACCGGTTGCATAGTTGTCTGCCTGGGCTAGGCTGCTGCTTTTTTGTTGTTCACTGCATGGACGACGAAGAAAGTTCGGAGTAAGTGTCGCTTTGCTCCGGTAAATGAGCTGCTCGACGTGCATCTCAGTCACTCCTAGTTTGAGGGTATGATTTATCAACACTCTTTGACCACTCAATGGGATGCATGGAATTTGCCCAGGCGATGAATAACAATAGGTGAGATAAGTATATGGTCCAAAATGTGACCCATTGGGTGATCAGAAACTAGCTCAAGTTGCAAGTTCTGTCCTGTTTTTTATCTCCAACTTGTGGATATCATCCTCTGATAGCCCGTCCAATCGATGTAGAAGGTAATCCACCTTGTGATGAAATATGAGAAAAGACATGGGATGAATTGAAGACAAAGACGCACTTCGACTTCCTTCGTCAACGGAATGATGTAGCTCTCGTAGAGTTCCACAACACCATCAACCTCAATCTTTGCTGAATTTCCGTTGACCCCTTTGCCGTTCAACTCATTGGATAACTTGTCCGGCGCAAGATCCAAATCTTGTGCATAAGTGGCTGCTTTTGCTCGCAGTCGTATAAGTAACTTGCGCTCGACTTCCGGCTTCGTTATAAGATCTTCGAGAATTTGCCGATTGGGTTGCAGAATATGGGGAATAAATGCGCTAGGATTTTCCAAGAATTTCGATTCTGAAACGAATTTGCCTGAAGTAATGGACTAAGAAGATACAACATGGAGATGACCTTTCGAGGCAACCTACCATAATGCACCCTTTTACTTATCGCCTGTAGTACTTCGACGTCTATTGTCGCTGTGCTTCCATAATTCCCATCGTCTTCGTATTCTTCATCGCCAACGATACCTTTGATGCGTTTTGAGGCTGCTAGACAGAGAGTTGCGCGTCGTGTTATTCGCGGAACAATAGAACAGACGTAGAAGGAAAGTATGGATGGATTTGCGTTTATCTTGTTCGGGAAAAGAATTTTTGGAAATTGCAAAGGCGGCAAGACAGGTTCCGGAAGACCAGTGGTAAATGGGTATTCATCCGGACTATGCGAGGTATAAGTCAGCGAAAAGTTTACGAGATATCGACATAACGCACCTGGTGTAACGCCGTGCTTTGGCTAGGCAAAGAAATGTATCGTGAGACACGGCCATCCTTTCTTGAAGATAACCGTACCCACCGTGAAAGCTCTCAGTCTCCTTCAAGAACCATTCCAGCCAACTGCCCGCAAAACCAATGTCTCTCAGTTCTTTAAATGCTCCCCGCTGGTATATTCGTGGATTATGTGCAAATTGGGCTCTTTCAATTAGGCCAAATATAATCGTGTCTTCCAGACGAACAAGAACTGATCGAATTCGTTCCAGTGATAATGGGTCGCCGATGGTAAGATTAGATTGCATCCTTCAAAAACTAATGTAGAGTCAGCAAAAGTAGCAATGGTGACTCCCAAATCGCAATGGTAAAGCGTACAAACTTTGTTGGTTCTGGGTGTCAAGCGACAGAAATAGTGTCAGTGAGAAATGTATGACTCGACACTGTGGCGTCACCTCTTAACTTGATACCACGATCGTAGAGGGTAGTGTCCTTTCACACAAGTTGGAGTGCTTTTTCCTACGCTTTTTGGACTCTGTCAAGTGCCAACGAAGATGTTCCCGGTATAGCGCCGACGTCAACGCACTGGTCCCACTATCAAAACCATCTTCAAGCTACAGCTTGGCTTATATCAGAAGCCACCGTTCCCTCAAGGAGCCTAATTCTCCTTATCGTTGTTCGCGATCCATCGGTATAAATACCATGCCGCGTAATCTCTCGAAGGAAGAATTCTTCAAGGTTTCCTCGGGTAGTCAAGTCTAATGACCTTCAAGTCTTATTTAATTCGAAATTCAGACTGACCGCTGCAGTCACAGAGCTATTCAGATCAATGCAAGCTCGAGCTTTCCATGACATTGGGATGGTTTAATTAACACGCTTCTTAAAATGATAGGGCTAGCTACGTCTTTTCAATGATCGCTCGGGCCTCAGGAATCACTCTACCTCTCCGGACGGAATCACACTAATCATCTGGCAGATGATTTCATTGTGCACTGATGAAGAAACTATTTAGTCATACTTGACGACGTATCCCCCATTAATAAGAGCCCTGTTCTTGTTCCAATGATAGCTCAGCTCCATCCTGAGAATTGAGGCCCCTTCAAGCTCTGCATTTTCTCCGACATCAAGCCTTTAGTTCAATCGGCTTGGAAGACCTGTATTTCAAGGAACGATTTCGCACCTAATGTGTTCTTGGCAGAACTATATGGCGCTCAGGATATATAAGGGGGGCATGAGAGTTGTTGCTCTTGTTATCATTGGTAATGGCTCCTGTCCAGACACTCGACAACAAATTCGTTGAAAATGGCTTTGGGAAGCAGCTGAAACCTACGAGTAAATCAGCAACGTACGATGATGTCGCAGAAAACTACGACGGTCAGTACCGATTTGCTCCCATCCAGGAAGCCCAAGTTTCTAGAGCGATGATTAAGCGGTAAGCTTCCCCAGAAGTTTGATCCTTTCGACGACAACCTTGACTCGGATACCTGCTGTAGGTACTTTGAAACAATGTATGACAGAGCCATCTCCGACGTCGTTATCGTTGGTGAATATCGACTTTCCGTGCGGTTCAGTGCTAGTGCTAACGTCTTGTTCCAGGGGCTGGAAGCGCTGGATTGACCTGTGCTTATCATCTGGCTTCCACTCGGCCAGATCTCAAAATCACTATCATCGAAGCCAATGTTGCTCCAGGGGGAGGAGCTTGGCTGGGTGGGCAGCTAATGACACCAATGGTAAGTAGGTCTAGGCATCGTCTCGGCCGAAAGAAGATGTGAATTTCCACATGTAATCTCACAGGTCATACGGAAACCAGCCAACCGCTTTCTCCAAGAGATCAGCGTACCTTATGAGGACGAAGGTGCTTACGTTGTCGTTAAGCACGCCGCGCTCTTTACCTCCACTCTACTGTCTCGTGTGCTCGCTATGCCCAACGTGGTCATGATGAACGCCACCGCGGTTGAAGATCTCATCATCCACGAAGATCATGCTGGACAGCAGCGCGTTGCGGGTGTGGTAACGAACTGGACTCTTGTTGCTCTCAATCACGACACTCAATCTTGTATGGACCCTAATACGATCACTTGCCCCGTAGTTGTCTCAGCCACGGGCCACGATGGACCCATGGGTGCCTTCTCCGCCAAACGTCTGGTCAGTGCAGGCCTGTTAAAGGAGCTAGGCAACATGAGAGGCCTGGACATGAATCGCTCAGAACCAGCCATCGTCAACAATACGAGGGAGGTCGCTCCTGGTTTAATTATGGCCGGTATGATTGCCTTTCTTTCGTGAATTTGAGAACAAACGATTGATGGATTCGCGGTAGGCATGGAGCTCTCGGAACACGATGGAAAGAACAGGATGGGTCCAACTTTCGGAGGCATGATTGGCAGTGGTATCAAGGCTGCTCATGAAGCCCTCCGTGTGCTTGATTCCGTGAATGTCGTAGAAGGGAAAGCTGTATCCACTATTTGAGAATTATCGAAAAATCTCTGCAACATCGGTATCTATGAGTTCTTGTATTTTTGTATATCTGATTTGTGATTCGAGCCTCATTTATCACATTCTGCCAGAATGGGCTAGCTATATCGGCTTTGCATGTACTTCTGAGACGTACTACCATTGGGCGTCAATTGCTCATTATACGCGTCACAATCATTGGGCGCTTTTAACGTCTACCTCTTCTCCGACTTCGCAATCGATGGGATTCACACTTCCTTCACCCGACAGCCCTGCAGAACAGGCTAAAACGCTCATGAATCAGAAGAAGAATATTGAAACCGAGATTGAATCCCACATTTCTATCCTGAAAGCTAACCAATCAACGATGCAAACCCCGCTCGTTGATCCTGACGGCTTTCCTCGCGCAGATATCGACATCTATGCAGTCCGAGGGGCCAGAGTGAGGATAATAGAACTCAGAAATGATCTTAAGGATGTCACCGCGGCCATTGGGAAGGCATTGGAAGCTGTATATGACCGGTCGCAAAGTGAATCGGTGGGTAAACGGGAGATGTCCGAAGAATCTTCGTCCTCGAAGGAGCCGAAAGCATTTGCAAAAGTTGACGGCGTGGCGCCAGGTAGTCCTGCAGCCGATGCAGTATGTGGTCATTCCCTCCTGAATGTCAATGCTTGAACACTCAGATTTCGTGTAAGGGTCTCTGTCGGGAGGATCTGATCGTGAAGTTTGGCCGATTAGTGGATACATCATTCTCATCTGGATCTCTGACACCAATTGCAGAATTGGTTGGAGCGAGCGAGAATGTGAGTATATCATCAAAATACTTCTGGTCATATCCATAACATCGCTGCCGGCTCGATACAGCAGAGCATAGGGATCAAAGTCTTACGGAAAGGTCAAAGCGTTTACCTTAGCCTCACCCCCCGCAAGGGATGGGGCGGCAGAGGTATGCTAGGGTATGTTGGTCCAGATTTCATCGGAAACGCAGCTCACTTCAGACAGATGTCATATTGTTCCCTATTCCCCCTAGAAGCACTGTAATGTTACATTCGAATATGTTATACTCCATCCTCTTGCACTATAATTTTGCGCGGCCCCGTCGTCCAAACACAATGGCAGAATTCGAAGTATCCGCAAATTTCGCCTCCGCTCTTGTCCTATCCAACTCGTGCTCAGCAGCAACGAAACCACTTTCATTGACCCATCTTCGAAAAACTTCAGCATCTATTTCGTATCCCTCCTCGCCTCTATTATGAGACCACACTGCGTGCTCTAGTAAATAAATGGCCGAGGCAATGTACCCGATGAACATGAGCGACGACCGAGCAATTAATGATGATACTGGATGTAGGAAAGCTGCGAGAAGACTGTCCAGCCTCCCTTGGAGAGATTGGATAGCTTCTTGGACTCCTTTAAGCAGACCGGGCGGACACGATAGGATAATTGAATTGCACCACTGCGAAAAAGGGACAGGATTGTTTAGGAGAGGTGTGGTAAATGCGATTGAATATTGCTTACTGAAACAAATTCCTTTAATCGGGCGGGATCGGTTGTGGAACGAAGAAGATCCAAAGATAAAACAGTGGTTGTTCCTTCCCAAATCCTAACCAGTATATTCAGCAGCCGTTCCAATTTCACGCTCTTGCAGCGACTACTTACCTTTCCACCAGACTATCTCTGATTAGCCTTCCGATGTCAGTCTCCTCCATGTACCCTTGGCCACCTAGTCCAGCCATTGCTTCTTCCATGGCTGCGACTGCTTTTTCCGCTGCAAATGCTTTTATCAAAGGCGTAAACATTCGCAGCCGATTCTGTTCTGCCGCAGACGCAACTCCGCATTCCACACGACCGAGGAGCACAACGACTCCGAATCCGAAATGTGTCAATGCACGATATACCAGGTTAATTGATGCAAGTTGCGCTACATGCAAAGGCACGTCTCTGAGTAATTTCCTTCCTCCGTCAATCCTACGGACATCAGCGTAAGCTGTTGCAATAGCGAGGCATTTTCGCAAACCTCCAATGGAGGCTATTGCGGACCATACTCGGGTGATATTCAGTACAGGGAGAATGTTTTTGACACCCTGATTGGGAGAGCCAACAAGATATGCAAACGTTTGTTCTAAGGATAGCTCTGCAGTGGGAAGTGCATGCGTGCCTATCTTGTTCTTGAGTCTATGGACGCGTATTCCATTACTAATCGATGAACCTGGCTCAATACCCAGGAGCGGCGTCCTCAGGGGTACAAGGAATAGAGATAGTCCCTTAGAGCTATCACTGTCGGGTCCGGTGCGAGCCAGTGCCAACGCTATGTCACCATCTGTGGCACTAGAAAACCATTTGAAGCCATTCAATGAGTATTTAATTCCCAGTTGGTCGCTATCTCCCAGGGATTGTGCCTTGGTTTCTGTTTGAGAGACGTCGGACCCTCCTGGCCTCTATTGATTGTTCAGTGAACGTGGACAACGAGGGAGATGAGACTTACCTCTGTCATCCATTGACCAGCTACAAACGCTGAAGATGGTTCTCGACTTAGCAAGAGGGTCTAGTAAGTACCAATGATTGTTAATGAAAGGACCGAGTGCACCTTATCAACTTTGGTAATATTTCCCTTTTCATACCTTCCGTGCCCATAAGCTCTATGACCCGTGCAGCTCCATCAGTCATGCTCAATGGACAGAAGACCTATCGTATTTCATTGATCAATGCTGTAAGACTCACGCATGAGACAGTGACGGGATTCATACCTCGTGCGAGTCGCCTACCATCATCAGCGCCTTGGCAAATCCGAAAGTACGGCTATGTTCGCGATACTTGCGCTCGTAAAAAATGCCAGGGACCCCTTCTCGTTGAGCAATAGCCTTAAGACTTCTCCATCCTTCGCTGGTGTGCAATTCGTCCACTCGCTGTCCCCAGTTATCATATTGCACGAGTTTGGGCGGAGATATACGACTCCCGCTGCTTTGTGCGCGGATATCTACATACGGATGATGAGGCGGGTCTAAGGGAGTACCAGCAGACCAGACTGTGTCACTAGTACTTACTTGTGATCACCTCGACCCCAAACCGCTTCAATTCAGGTTCTATCTCCTCATCAAACAATCTTTATTTGGCAACTTGCATGAATCCTAGGATGCTCTACGTATGTTAATTTCATTCAACACACCTGGGAGGAATGAGTCGTCTGAGTAGAAACGGTAAAGCAGGATCTTCGGTGTATGGATTGCCTTCATTGAAAGGAACCTGCAAGAAGTAGGAGTGAAGAAGAAGTTAAACCCGCAAGCTGATAGACGCACCTGCTGGAATCCTTCCTCGACGCGCATCTGGGTTTAATCTTGGTGTTGGTTTCGAGAGGTTTTAATAAATTTGTAATTGTACGGAAGGAACAGGTCGGGCTTTCAAGGTATCCGGTACCGGCTAGGCGGTTTACAGTCACGGTAATCAAGCGCTCAAACAAATGTCTATTAAACAATGCAGGAGAGGAATCTATCGACTGGTTTGAATTTTGTAATCGAGAGGGAGATAAAAACCAGGAAAGATTAGACAGGTAGCCTGTAGGCTAAAGGAAAAACGGTCTGCCGGAATGAAATTCAAGTTACAGTGAGGCTCATGTTGCTAGAAGGAGTAGACGGCAAGAGAGGGAAGGTCGAGTTATTCCCGTTAATGGGCGTGAGCGATCGCATTGTGCGCCCTTCCAACAATGGCAGGACTGATGGGGGAAACAGAATCGGAGGGGTAGTGGTGGAAGGCAGCGAACTTTCTTGTCTGGCTTGTGTTGCAGTGGACCCATTCGGAGTTCTATCTACTGGAGGTGCTTGTTTTTTGATGGGGAGGGGGGGCGAGAGCCTGCATCACTGTCATCTACAGACGAGGGGATGGCGCTCTTGAGGGAGGATGTGGTAGGGAGCCATCCTGCATAACTTGCAGATTATAAGTACCATCTACTTGCTTCTGCTCCCCCCTTTTTCGCCGACCGTATCAAATCCCAGCAGCCATTTTATTTACATCAGGCAAAGCAACCAAACTTGGTTCAGGCTGGCTGAGGTCGAGTACCTACAGAGTGGAAAAAGACGGAGGTTAAGTCTTGAAGTTGAGTGTTTGCTGGAACGGCGTCTGCTACAGAGCATTGAACTTTTTTCTGAACTTTTTCAAATGAAGACATTCCTCTATGGTGTATCACGACACAGGGAACGCTCAAGCAGGTCCCAAATGGCAAGCAAAATGCTAGGGTCTGCTGTGAGAAGCAGATATGGTTCTCAACGAACACAAGCATCATTCTTGGGAAAGTCGATTGAAATTGTTCTCGTATTCAATGATATTCGAGGAATCTAGTAGCAAAGACAAGGAATTTTAATGACGGGAACGAAGACCAAACGACACCTTATGTTGATTCCTAGAAGCGATTATCGTTGTATATGAGGCAAAATGCCGAAATCAACGTAGCACGTATGTCAGATCAACGTTTGCCCTACAAACGATCAAAATTATGGGCAGAACCGTGCAGGTACTTTATAAGTTAAGCAGCGATTAGCCCAACTACTGAATCCTGGCCAAATATTTCCGTGGATGCGTACTTGAAGGTAGTAAACTGTTCAAAACCGCGTGATAAGATGACCGGAATGGTGATGCAGATTTTCAAACACCTACCGGGCCTGTTTCAACATTATAAGATACACCATCTTCACCCACAAAGATTGGCGCAATAGTGATAATTGCTGTATCGACGAGCGAACGCGTCGGAAGTGTATCATTCTGCTGTGAGAAGAATGATCGAATGACTTGGGCACCACCTTCGACCATGACAGAGCGTATCCCAAGTTTATACACGGTTTGTAAAACAAGCGATATAGGGAGATAGCCTATAGAATAAAGAAATGAAATGAAAACAGTCTAACATCCGGCGTAAACCAAAATACCTTCGGTGTCATGACCAGTTTCTAGAACAACCATTCTTGCTCCTGCTTTCTCCAATGTATTCCTACGAGTCAACCATTCTGTCCTTTCGCTGGTTTGTGAGGGTTCAGCACAAATAAGCCAGGGTCTCCGTCCTGCGCCTGCGGCATAATTCTTCAACAACTTGCAATGGGGATTCAAGCGTAACTTCGTATCGAGGATCATTGGACGAGGAAGGTTGTATGAGTTATTGTGGTCATTTACAGAGGGATCAGGATCTTTGGGAGGAAGATGTCGGGCTAAAAGAGAAAAAAAGTCAGGTTCTGTTGATAGCAAAGATAAACGAAAGAATTTACTGTTCAATTGTGGGTCGTCGTTCAACGCTGTACCAATACCGATTAGTATCCCGTCATGCATTGTTCGCATCCTACTCTTCTGTACAGGTCATGATAACGCTGCACAGGAGAGATGAAGCTCACCAGTGTGTCATCACCATGCTCTCTTTTCCGCTCAAGATGAGCTGTTTTCCACCTTTGCCTGCAATTTTCGCATCAAGAGATTGTGCAAAAGTCAGGGTGACAAAGGGTGTTGACTGTTCGATAGATGGATTGTACCGGTTCAAAAGAGAAGAAAGAAACACGGGCGGGCCAGCCATTGAGGCGTAAGAGTGATAATCACACTAAAGTCGGAGATTCAAGTTACAGCTTGTTCCCGGCCCTCACCTTCAATGAGCGCCTGTCTTCGCTTTACTCGACGAGCAAGTTAAACCCAAGCTCTATCCTGAACCGCGCCAGTACTGAACGCGCAATACTGCAGGTCTGGCAATCATTCATTACTACCAAGGGTGCCGTGGGCTTAGTGCTGCACTATATATTGCAAGTTCTGATTCATGCAGATAGGGCATGATGCACAATGTTTCCCAAATGTACGCGTTAGTTTGTTTACGGAATAACGAAACCTAAACGTGCAACATAGCTAGTAGTTCATCGAGCGGTACCGGGAGAAGTGAATGCCACGCTGAAGATTGAGAATTATAACCGTACGTTTGGGATATCATTGAGACTCATTCTTGGACACACTGAATTTGACCGCGGCCACAGTAAATCGAGTTGGCGTGAGTTCCATGTTTTCCTTGTACATTGATAATCACTTATCTGTTTGATAGACCGGTTAGTAACACCTAGTTACTTCTTACATCACTTCATATGATTTCTGTAGTTCACGGTGGCCTTATACTGTCCATGACCGACACGCTCGGCTCATTGGCTGTAGCTTCAAGGGGGTACTGGATGACGGGTGTCTCCACCGACATAGGTACCTCCTTCGTACGTCCGGCAGGTCGGCCAGGCGACGTTCTTCATGTCAAAGCAGTATTGACAGCATTGGGTGAGTTCCTGCATGTTGCGTCGGGTTGGTCTGACCAATAGTGATGCTACTTGTAGGCAAATCGCTGGCGTACACACGTGTCGACTTCACAAATCCCGCAGGAGAACTGGTCGCTTATGGATGTGGGTAGATGTTCAACAGGCAATATACATATTGATACATACTCAATACCCCTTTCCACCAGACCATACAAAGTATGTAGGGAAATCCTCAACGCACCAGGTAAGTAATACTCCTTTCGGACAACTCTCGGTTTTATTGATTGGTATATGCACTAAATAGAAAAATGTTAAACTCTCGGAAGATGGAGAACAGGTACTGGAAGGCGAGGACATAGATATTGACTAATTTGCTCTGGTAGAAATGACACGACTTATTCCGGCATATTCTAACCTGATAGATACCTTTTTTATCCCGAGATTTCATTCTAAATCATCCATATGCAGTTCCTTCGTGATCATCATTAGGAGGAGGCTACCCCCGCTATCGAGAAACCTTGCACACTCGCCTCCGCTCGTCGTGGTGAAGCCCGGCCATTCTCCTTGTTTTTAAGCAGGACGTCCCTTTTACCAACATCATAATGGTCACATATCATATCTATGTTGCCACTGTCAAAATCATTCTCGTGTGTGTTTGCAGGCCTTCCACCCGTTGTCTCTCCATTCTAATAGTCATCCAAACTCCACCCCGGGCGCAATGAGAGAATGTAATAACGATCTCCATGGATCATTGGCAATGAACAATTAAGGCTGCTAAAAGCTTACGTATCAGAGCCCGACGAAAAGACAAAAGACCACAAAAAGGGTATGTTCTTCTTCGCGTGCCCGTGTCAAAAGAACGTAAGGAAAGTCCAAAATAGACCATAAATGCTAGTTCAACGGTGAGTATCGCCCTGATACCACCAGGAATCGCGCCCTAATAGTAAAATATCTAGATAAGGTGAGATACAATGTATCTCAATGTATATACAAAGGACAACGATGCAATGTTCCAAGTCATATACAACAGTTGGCCGCGAAGCTTAGTCACCCACGCTCTGAGAGTAACTCGGGTGTATCAAGGTTGCGTATCCCCCATTGTCTGATTTTGGTATAAGAGGACGTCAAGCAAGGCTGCGATAGAGCAATCATTCCTACCAAGCGTACAGGACTGAACTGCTTGGACTTGTAAGCAACTCATCCACGCTGTCTCTTGCCTTCCTGCATCCTCATTTCGTTCACGGACAGAGCAAAAACTCGCCGCAGAACTTCTTATCAACTCCCCGTTCCATTGAATTTGCACGAATTTCGAACGCAATGAGCGACCAAACCCCCCCAGATCACGGATATGGTCCCCCACCTCCCGCCCCTACTACGCCTAATTTTCCCAATACGAAGCCGTAGAGCAGAGAATAGGTTGGGTCATTATCCCGCTCTTCCTTTTGAAGATGTTGACTTTTGTACCGCTCCTCATAGCTCCTCATAGGGTACTGGCGCAGAGATCGCGGGACACTGAAGAATTAGTTATATGCCAATGATTGTATAATTACTTTGTCACGAAAGTTTGATCGTGAGGGCTCTGAGTCTGACTCTAATCCACGCAAACCGAAAGTCCGATTCATCTAGAATCATGTGTGCTGTCTTTTGGGGAACTGATATCCCAGAGCAAGAGGCGTTTTCACTGATCTGGACTTACTACGCCGTAAAGCCTAATAAAATTAATCCGTACCAATTTGCTTTTCATAGGGGTTCGCTCCTCAACTCATCATTCTACGTGTGGCTATGGGCCTCACCTGGTCGAAAGAGAGTTCTGCTCAACTCTTGACCTCTATACATCCCATCATGTCTAACGAACCTTCGGCTGTGTACATAGATAGAAAATTTACGAGATCCTCCCATTCTCCTACTCCCTATCCATACTTAACGTACATATACCTTTGAATCTAATATCACAATCTTTTCGTCCGGCGTGGATGCAGATTTTGGTCGAAGGGTTGATCAGGGGGCTGGCACCGGAGTTTTCCGTGAAATCAACTGGTGCAGACCCCCCCGTGCGAACTTTGACTTGCCAGCCACGGCAACATGGCATCAGAACTTCGGTCGCGTTGGTGCGATCAGGGTGCAATGAACCCAGCGTGAACCTTTAAAGACTGTAAGCAATAAGGACTCTTATTTGAACTGGGCACTCTGCTGTATGTACCTGCCTATCTCCTCTTTGTATAAGTATCACAGGGTATTTTGTTCTGAATGGTGGAACATTGTATAGATAATAGATAGCAAGCCCATTATTGACAATGATTACTACAGATGCATGTCTTGTAGGTGCTTGTTTATGGCCCATTATTATAGCAAAGAGAAAATGATGATTTAAGGAAGAATATATTGATATGAAAGGGAAACCAAGGAGAACGAAGGTGTCGTCGACGGTGCACACTAGTGCACACTGCAGACAGATCAACGGGATCAAGACAGCCGATGCTAGCCGCTGTCGGCAACTCAAAGTTCACACGGGGGGGTCTGCACCAGTTGATTTCACGGAAAACTCCGCTGCCCGCCCCCTGGGGTTGATGATCCAGAGTCTCAATGTCTTTACCTCCTTCGGAACTTATCCGATCTCGAATTTAAATTTTCGGAGCCTCTTCGCACCAAAGCCTTCTGGACCCTGGTGTCCCAAACCTCAGTTATTTGGATTCATTTAGACATGAACGCTTTGCGAGTGCCTTGAGTCGGTTGGAGGAAGTAATTTCGAAAATAAATGAATACAGACACATATACACTGTTGCTTACGTTTTCTAGCTTGCACTTTGACCGTCTGCTACTCTGATTGCTCCGAGTCTGAGCACACCAAATGCAGTCACTACATCTCCCCAGAGACCGCGCAGTCTATGGCCATTCCACGAATGAGTGGCCCTGGTCTTCAAAGGCAAATTGCTAGTACGTGTCAGACTCCTGCGAGTAGAGTCAGATCCCGCAGAACTAGTTCGTCTTTGCAGCCTGCAAACTGTTTGAGCGCCACTGGAAGACGAAGAGGATCCAGGAGTGGAACCGGTGGTAGCGGTAGGAGCAGAAGACGTTGACGAGGAAGAGGAGCCGGAAGACGAGGACGCAGAGGCAGTCACGAAGGCTGCAATCGGGGGTCCAGGGAAAGTGTAAGAGTTTGAGGAATACACCTAAGTTAGGTGGGATGGAGTTAGTAACCTGGTTGGTACACAAACGAAGGGAATTCGAAGAGTTACAGACGCACATCAGGATCATATATTCCGGGATCTGTATCCTTATATGCACCAGGGAACAACACCATCTCGCTGTCCTCGGCCATGCCAGTCTGACTCCCTCCGACTTTTACTTGAGAACAAGCAGGGTAGAATTCAGCTCCACCAAGGGCCGTCGCGAGATGCAGCGCAATGATTTCATGGCGAATGAGATAATTGCCGGGAGAAAGCGTAGATGGAAGAGTAACGTTGGTGAATGCCCCGTTCATCACGCTCTGTTGGGCCCAAACAGGGGAGTTGCTTGATGTCGCATTCGTGACGATACCAATTTCTGCTATCTTGAACCATTTTGATGAGGATGAGTTGTATTGCGTGCAGTCTGAGGAGCCGCAAGAGGTCATGTAGGTAAGCATAGGTCCGGTGTTATGTGGCCACTGTGCGAATTGGATGAGTTCAAAGTAGAAGAAAGACTAAGCAGGTACACACGTACGTTGGTATTATCTCCTCCGCGCCAGTCAAACACTAAAAGGTCTCCAGGATTCGCACTAGCTACTTTTTGAGCGAATTGGGCGTTTAATCCGCAGTTGAGGTCAGGGTTTGAGGCGCCTTTGACGGGACTTATGTCAGAGACCTATAAACAACTGTGAGTAGAGTAGGATTGAGGATAGTGTAGTAAAAATAAGTACCTGTCGAATGACACTAGGACTCGGATCAGCATTGGGTACATTTCCAGTGTAATTTGTGTACGACTGGTCGTCATCAATCCCCAAGTATGCGAGATATCCGTGTGCAGAAACGCAGGGCAAAGCCAAAAAACATAGAATTAGAGAGAAAGCAAGTCGAAGCATTGTCATGATAGGAAGTTAGAGGCGCTGCTTTCACAGCTCAAGTGCCTTTATCGTCGGGATCCTTGGGTTCTGCGAGAAGAGTCAGAAGAGAAAAATCAAAGTGCAAAAGTAGTCGCACAAAATACCAGGCGTCGACAGCAAGGATCATGAAGTATTTGAAATGACTGGGATCTCTTCTTGGCTTTACACGTTGAACGAGCATGGCAGACACTTGCGGGAATTAGACAAATCAACAAAAGACAAAGTTGAGTTTGAGATCACGCGACGGCTTCGGGCTGTTAGAGGGAGTTCATTGCGCTGTATTGTGCTACTTTGATTGAGTCCAGAATAGAGCAAAGGAAAGGACCAGCATTCAATACCCTTCATGCGTGCTCGAGGCTGGATAGATGTACAGTACATGTGTTTCGGACCAGGTCGGACCAACTTTCGGAGTCGGACGCTTCACAGTCAGCTAACGTCAGCACATGTGACAATGCTAAGCGCTGGCGCTAATTCCTCACTCCAAATCCAAAACTCCAAATTCACCAACTCCAATTCTACTTACATCTTCGCGTTAGAATGTTATCGGCTGCCCGCAACTCACGCAAACTATCTACAAACTCATATTTAATCGCTCGATGTATTTCTACTGAAACCTCCTCCTCCTCTTCTTCCTCTGACCTGCAGAATCTTCCTCCACCAAAACATCCGGATTCTCTTTCGAAGCCAAAGGCACGCTCCAGCTTGTACCCCCGGCCCCGGCGATCCCGTCCATCTCATTATCAACCACTCCATGATCTTCCGCCAACGTTTGGCAGGAATCAGCTCTTACCAGTGTCCAATTCGACCAGAGCACTGTTGGAGTCAATCGTGGCTCAGTTTGATGCACCGATACGATATGCTTTTGCCTATGGATCAGGCGTCTTTGAGCAGGATGGATATGGAGCGAGTGCTACAACCTCGCCGGTAACTGGAGTCACCAGTGTCCATGAACCAATCGACCCGAATGCGCCTATGCTCGACTTTATGTTCGCCGTCACACATCCCGCGCATTTTCACTCTATCAACATGCACCAGCATCCGAGCCACTATACACTCCACTCTAGAATCCTTGGTTCGGACTATGTCTCTGCAATACAGGCTATCACTCCAGGAGTCTGGTTCAACACTCTGGTGCCAATGAATGGCGTCGTACGTCCGAATTTTTCTTGAACAATATTTATCTGAAAAGAATCCTCGCAGACCATAAAGTATGGCGTGACGACTATTGACAATCTCTGCTCTGATCTTCTCAATTGGAACACACTGTATCTAGCTGGGCGCATGCATAAACCCTTGCGCATAATCAAAGATGACGCCAGAGTGCGACTGACCCAACAAGTCAATCTTACCTCCGCCGTTCGCGCCGCGCTTCTTACTCTCCCTGCAAACTTCACTGAAACCGAACTCTTTGAGCGCATCGCCGGCATATCTTACACCGGCGACCCGCGTATGGTCCTTCCCGCTGAAAACCGAGGTAAAGTAGGAAACATCGTGCGGAAGCAGGGACCGCAGTTCAAAGAGTTGTATCATCGTCTGGTCGTCGGTCTTCCTGGTGTACATTGGCCATTGAATACGCAGCATATCCATCAGGATATCAGTCCGCAGGCCCGATCACTCCATTTACGAAAGCTACCCGTGAATCTCATTTTCCATATGAAGCAGAGGTACGGGGTGCAGGTGAAAGAGGAAGAAAATCAGTACTGGGTACGGATGGCTGGCGATGAAAAATTGCCGGAGATGGTGAACCGGGGTAAGTCGCATGCCGTATTTTCTTTTTCAATAAATTAATTCTCTTGCAGAGATTCGGACGATCGTTCGATGGCCAGCGACTGCTCAAACATTGAAAGGTATTGTATCCGCAGGTTTAGGGAAGAGCCTCCGATACAGCACTGCCAAGATCAGCAAGTGGTGGAAGGGCTCTGGAGCCAGTCCCACGGCCAAGAGTGACTCGTCATAGGTCTTTTTTACTACGATACCGCTATGCCACTATTCTTCCGCCTTTTGTTTCCCTCTAGATCTTCTGGCAACCTGCAGGACTATCTCAACGGCACATAACTGGATTATCAACTTTTTATATCACACTACGAAATATTGTAACAAGTAATTCACAATCCTTATAGAATTGCATTGGTAAATGCACTTTCGCTCCTTTCAGGCCATGCTTGTCGAAGTGTCTGGAAATTTGTTCTGATTACTCACAAAACGAAGCATTAAGATTTTCCTGAAAATCGCACACCAAAAGTATTCTACGCCAATACGTCTAGGCGGTAGACGTTATACTCGTCCGCATGTTTGTGGTCAGAACATCGTTTCTAGAGTTGTGTGTTGTGCTTCTGTCCGTCGTCCGCCCTCAGTAGTCATCGGGCCTTCGCTGCAAGCTATCGAAGCGCGGACACGCTCGAACTTTCTTAGTGCCTCCTGTACAGTGACGGTACAGCTGAATCGGCAACTTGGAAGCCTGCAAATGTGATTGCTTGAGAGAGAGGATTTTCACGATCTCTCAAATACTTATATATCTCTACACCAGAAAATCGAATAAATAAAGTCTCAATCCCTAAATATCTCCAAATAATCGTTTCCTATCACCGGGAACAAGCCAAGTCGTTAGCGACAATAATCACAAAACATCGAGGGACTTACAACGCCACAGGACTTTCACTCAACACGCTCGTCCCACCATTCATTTCCCTTGCCCACACATCTCTTAAAAACCATCCGATGTGACCCACTAAACATCCAGCAAGGTCTCCGGCGGCAGCTCTCCAAGTTCCACTGAGGATCCATGAGAACGCCACTAGGGCAATAGGTAAGTACGGCGCAGTTATGGTGAATAAGCCGAAAAGAGATATGGGTGTGTCAGGATGTCGCCTTGACCATAGGTAGATGGGAACGAAAGCGAGGGAGGATGAGAGGAAGGGAAGGTTGAAGAGGGGGCTGAGAGCCTATCAATATGTTGAAACTAAGTCAGCGATGACATAGGATTAGTATGTATATGAACACACAAGGAGCATCGCTGAGGATAGAAGTAACAGCCAGAAGTAATCAGCCTTCCTGTTCGCAAACGATGATTCTTCAAGCATTCGACTATATCTCATACTACACAGAAAGAGTTTGGTTACTGGAATGTGACAGATACATGGGAAACCAGGTACTTACAAGAAGAACAAATGAAATACAAAATCCAGCGATATTGATCCAAAGTAGAAGAACGTCGTGAAAACTCGCCAAGGCTACATTTGAGTTGAAGATCAATTAATTTCTCTCCACATCTTTGCGAAGTAGCTGGCACACCTGAGCGTTTATAAAGGCACTTTTTGGACTGAAATAGAGCTGTAGAGGAGTAACGAGCTGACATTGCTGAAGACATTCGAAGCTTCAGAACAACCACTGTATGGCGCTAACGAGGAGACGTACAACGGCCAAGCTGGTAAGCACAGATAAGGCCAGCCATCCTCGAGTAATGGGAGGTATTTGCGTTATCCAGGCCTCGACACCGACAGGCATAGTGGGCGTATTCAGAGAATTGAGCAACGTGGCGCTCAGATTCTATCACTAAGATACTCCCAGTTCAGTTTCGACGCATATCACGTGCTGGTCACAGCTGTGACCCCGCCAAAAATCTCAAGGTGCAACGAATTGGTCTTTCGAGTAGTTTTCATTTGAGTTATGCAAAAATTAAAACACGGGCACTGTTAACCTACTGCTTAAAGACAATATCAGATTTTCTGAGATTTTATAGTGAAGAATTCAGAGATGAGATAGCATTCTGGCAAGAGTGTCTAACCTAAGCGCCAAGTCCTTAATGGTCCTCGGTTCATATTTTTGTACATTGACTGCACTTTTCTCATCATCCCCAGCTGTAAATCATGCTTGAATGAGCAATGTTTTATTATGAATAACCTGGGTGATCCATCCATTCTGAGAGTGGAATAACTTCAACAAGAAACAAGATGCATACCATGGACAAGCCACAAAACTGTGCTGAAATGATGAGTATTTTGCTCTACAGGCATCTATGCACATCTCTTACTACAAAATACAATACAAAGTCCTCAAGTGCTGTTGTTCTTGACTTTTGAGTTTTTTTCAAGAATGTTGAGATTCATCAAAAATGGTGAATTTTGTGATTTCACACACCATAAAGCTATAGGCTTTCTCAATTATGGATATAAGACTTAGATTTTCTGGGTAGGTCTACCTACGAGGGTACTCAACAGGGCCCGTGTTCTCAATAGACTGTATTGGGGCTGGGTGTTGAGATAAAAAGTGCTCAAGGATTGTCACTCTGAAAGTCACTGAAAAGCACATGACGTGCGTCGAAACTGAACTGGGAGTCACTACGTCGGCAGTCGCTAATAACGGCTGGGATTTACAAAGGGAAATCTGAGTCAAAACTTTGATTTCCCATCTGTGCTTTTGATGTATTGATCTTCCGGCAATGACTTGATTTCTCGGCTCATGATTGATAATCTTTCCCATAGATAATTGATAATCTTTCCCGTAGATAATCGATAATCTTTCCCGTAGATAATCGATAATCTTTCCCGTAGATAATTGATAATCTTTCCCATTGATGATTGACAATCTTTTACATCTGAACAAAATTTTATTTCCCGGTTCGCGAAAGTAAATGCCCGACTTTTGAGCCACTGTCCAGAACTATTGAGAGGCGGTATCTCCTTACAAAATGTTGCATTCGAGGAATTTGGTGATGATTGGACTACACTCAATAAGCATGGCAGAAATGGTTGGTTGGGACTTCTTGCATGCGTCAAATGGTGGGGACAGGGTTTTGATCCAGAAGGTGATAAGAAACGATGGCATGAACATGAACTTGTTGCCGATATGGTGAAGATGTTGAATGGATTGGATAACTATATGTCGCACAACTCTGGTAACTCTCACTCTGTATCAACGCAAGACTAGTGTTTGCAGTGGCTCAAAAGTCGGGCATTCACTTTCGCGAACCGGGAAATAAAATTTTGTTCAGATGTAAAAGATTGTCAATCATCAATGGGAAAGATTATCAATTATCTACGGGAAAGATTATCAATTATCTATGGGAAAGATTATTAATTATCTATGGGAAAGATTATCAATCATGAGCCGAGAAATCAAGTCATTGCCGGAAGATCAATACATCAAAAGCACAGATGGGAAATCAAAGTTTTGACTCAGATTTCCCTTTGTAAATCCCAGCCGTTATTAGCGACTGCCGACGTAGTGAGTATCTTATGTAGACGCGCTTTTCTTAGAGTGAAGATAAGATAAGATAACTCGACTACAGCTCTGTTAGACTCTCTCATCCTTTACGAGCTCATTACTCATTCATACAGCATGACCATCCCCAGCCCGGCATAACAATGCAATTAAATATCTAATCAGTATGGAATAGTGTAACCGATGCCAGACAGTCTACGAGAGCTGTTGAGAACTCTTGCATTCAGGTCACTCAGACCGTTGAGCCCACACCTCACGAACCAATATCCTAGGGACCCACTCCCCAAACTTCCAGACCTACACACTCAAAAGAGACAGCCCTTCCTTTCCTATCACCAGGTGAGCACAGCGGCTCATTGTCGAACGTCGGACAACGGGCTGAGGATCCGTCGAAGAGGGACTCGTCAAGATATAAGCCATATACGCCGTCACTAAGAAATAGTTCGAAAGCGTAAGTTTTTTAATTCAAGGCTGAAAGCATATATAGCTGACTGACCCTCCGCCAAACGAAAGGAATTCAGGTTCGCACAATGCTACGTATTCGTTCTTTCCCGTCCACTTGAAAACTTGAAGATTTCCATTAACATAACGCCATAGAAAGCTAGTGGTACCGTCAGGTGAAACGATGAAAGAGGATTCAGAGGAACGTACGATTCCCCACTGCCATAGTATCCCTTCCCTTTGCTTTGCCTCACTCCGTCGCCCATATACACCCCAAAAACAGCATCCCCAGAGTCTTTCATCACAACCAATGCACTGACTTTGGAGGTAAACGCCGAGCTGACCTTAAGTTGCGGCTGGTTTTCGCACTTATTGTAAAGCGTGTGCAGAGAAATGCCGTGCTGATCGAGAGAGTAGAGCAGATTCCAGGAACGGGATAGTCGTGCGAGCGCTGGAAGTCGGGAGCGAATCTTTGAACATAGAGTTTCAGAACGAACACAAGATTTTTCCAAAGTTAACATGCGTACCATCTCGGCCAGATTGACATCGAGGACTGCTACAGTCGCGTCTCTCCGGCCCTTTAACTCTAAATTCCCGGATTTCTTCTCGATGAGACCTCCGATTCCTATTGAAGGGTTTGGAGACGGCGTCCGTGAGTGTGAATGAGGCTGGGAGTTCGATGAAGGTAGTCCCGGTACAAGAATTTTATCAACAGGAGAACTATGGCGAGATATGGGTCCAGGTACATCCAGCAAATTGCTCCGCCCGTTTGAACTACTTCCTGCCTCCAACAACTCCCTGTCCAAATCCCCGGAGTAGCCTTTGTCCCAGTCATACCCTTCCGGTTTGTATCCTGGAGCGCCAGTAGGGGCGACGAACACGTGTGGTGCAAAAGGTGAGTGATGTGTGCCACCATGGAGCGTAGGTTGATTGAGAATTGTTGATGGCAAGGATGGTGTAAATGATGACGACAAACTAGAAGCGATGGAGGTCGGGAAAGGAAAACTTTGTGCATGACGTGAACCTCGGGAGTCCGAAGATGACTGGGAGCGAGTATGGGTATTCGAGATGGAGATGGACGTTGTTGCCGAGCGGGATGGATGCTCAAATCCACTACCGTGAGGTGATGATTCGGAAGAAGAGGATCTGAGAAGAGACGGCACCCATCTCGAGGATATATTCGACAGAGTCTGATAGGAGGGTGATTGGGTGATTGTGGATTCTGCATCAGGAACGTCTTCAGTGCGCGAGGAAGATAAGGCAGATGAGGTTGAAGCAACAGGAGGAGCAGGCCCATGTGGTAAAGATAATGTAGACTTTCGGGTCGGAATTTGGGGCGAGGACGTTTTAGCATGTCGTGGTGTGTGCTGAATGCTTGAGTCGTGGGCTTCGAAATCGTATTCTTCTCCTGGTTTGATGGAGTCAGGTTTCGGGGAAAAGAAATCCAGATCGAGGTCCAAGAGCGAATTGGGAGCTTCGGAACTTTGTTGAGAGGGATTCCTTAGGTCTTGAGGCCGTTTTGACCGATTTTCTTCGTACAAAATCTCATCCATAACATCTCGTTTGTTACGCTCATGTGCAGCCTTCGCTTCTTGAGCAAAACTGTCAAAGAAGGACCAACTAGGACTTTTCACATGTCTCGGTCTAGACGACGAAGGTGTCTCGTTAGCTACTGCAGCAGTGGAAGTAACAAAGGACAGGGGATCTTCAGAAGGCGGAACGGAAACAAAAGATCCAAACTCAGAATCAGGTGAGTTTGACGCTTCGTGCTGCTGGACAGAACGTGCCAATGGCTTGAAGATGATGTTGGAAGGTGGTTCCGGCGAAGCTCTGGGAGTTGGAGGAGAGAAAAGAGTTGCAAATTCTTCTTCGAGTTGCTCCTTTGCGTCTGAATTGGATTGGGTAGAAGGAACAGGAATTAAGGGAGGAAAATAATTCATTGCAGAATTCATGTTCTGTTACCTAGATCAAAGGAAAACCGTCATGTCCTTCCTTTACAACAGTCGAGTAAACTCACTACAAAGATTACTGAGATATAACTTCCACTTCAAAAGTGCCGTTACTAGAATGGACGCTTCGAAGCTGACATCGCGAGCGCATCAGTTATTGTAAGAGTGCAGAATGTTTCTGCAAACCTATTCTCTTGAAGACACTGGAAATTTGATAGTCCTTAAGAAAGTAAACGTTCCCCCATTCAAAGACCAAGTAAAGATGAAAGACGAAAGATCAATACCAAGATAAACAACTAAACGGTCGGTCAAGATGATAGAGGTAGAGCTGAGATTATTGTTAAACTCTCTGCATTGAAGGATCCGCACCAGCTCAAGCGTCGATAGAGAAGGAAGAAACTTCAACTTCAAGAAAGAAAGATGTCACTGTTGGTAACGGGTTCAAGTTAGTTCGCATTATTACCACGTGGCGCATCTATATCCAGGAAGGAAAATGTTGTAAACTTTCAACACAACGACTACCATCCTAACAAGACCTATTCCCTTTCTCCCGAGCCCCAGTCGGTTCATTTTTCTTATTCATATCTAACACCTCTTTCGTTCCTGCTTGAATTATTTAAGATTATAGGATTGGTTGCTTTATATTTTAACTTCAGACATGACTACTCCTCCCCTATCTTCCGACGCTCCTTTCAACTTTATGCATGGAGGAACTGACCATGTAGATAACGAGGAACTTTCTATCCCATCAGCGCCCGCTACTCCGCAGCCCAAGATCACCAGAACAGTCGCGATCATAAAACACCATGCCCTTGAACACAGGTTTGATATTGAATCGAGAATTCAAGAAGCTAGTTTTGAAGTCAGTGCTCATTATCATGGAATCATAGAACAGTACTTGTACTGAAAATACATGTGCAGATCGTCAAGGAAAGACAGATGGAATTTGACGTATCGGACCCGGACACTTTGTACGAATTATTTGGAGAAGACGCAGAATCCTTCGCTGAGTGCGTAATTTATAGATTTGTTTACGTATTCGGACCTAATCTCCTGATAGCGGTCCTGTTTGGGTCTATGTCCTTGAACGACGACGTGCAGTTGAAGTATTGCAGACTTTGATGGGCGATAGAGATCCTGAGGTTGCCAAGAAAGCCACCCCCCATTCTCTACGTGCCTTGTACGGAGTTTCTATGCAGCAAAACGCTGTCATGGGTTCTCCAGATTCTGAGATGGCTGAAATCCAGATAGCCTCCTTGTTCGCCTCCTCACCCCCGTTTCCCACTTCTGATTTGCCTTCCGATGATGGCCGATTCGCTACCATGCGCTCTGTGTCCTCTTCCATCCTGTCCAACTTGCGCAAGGCTACCAGCGACGAAGGGTATGCTGCCTCGAGCGCAACAAATGACGGAAGTCGTGGTTCTGGCAGTGGAAAGGCACTAGCTGCAAACGGCAAGCCCCTTTTCAAAGCTCGAGGCTTGCCAAGCACCCACGAGAAACCCGATATCGTTCCCCGAACGACTCGTGCTGCTTCCCTACGCGCAGGTTTTCCCCTCGAAAAGTCCCCTGGACCTCGTAAACCTCCCACAAAAGAGCAACTCGCCAAAACTTTTGCGAATGTTCCAGGACACAAACGTACAGATACGATACCGGTAGCATCTACAGCTGCACCAGCCATTGCTCCCCGTCTAACCAAAGCAGCGGCATTACGACTTGGCCTACCTCCTCCACCTCCAACGGTAAGAAGACAGTCGAGTAACTCGTTCGAAGGTGTTCCTGGCCATAAGAGAAGAGAATCCATTGTCGTTGCATCAACTCAAGAGCCTACTGTCAAGCCCAAGCTCAATAAGAGTGCATCGCTGAGGGTTTCAAAGGATAACGCCCCACCAACTTCGTTCATGTGTGCGTATTTTCTTCCCACTGTCCACGCGGCTGTCCGCTGAATTCTCGATCCTTCAGTTCGTGGTCCGACTGAACCTAAATTACCTGCAAGAAGTAGTTCTCGATTATCTATAACTGATAATCCAGGCAACGCCAAACCATCACGCCCATCCTCGGCTGCATCGACACGTCCTCCTTCCAGTTTCCCTGGTAGGCCGTCCTCTGTCACTCGAGGATTATCTAATGTCGTACGCCCAATGGTCAATTCAAGGACTCAAACTACCGTCAGTGTTACGAACCCCGACAATGGTACAAATAACATCAAGGGCTCACCTTCTTCAGCAGCCTCCCCACCTCCTGAAGTTGTTGACAAGCCGAAGCTTACACGTCGTCCTAGCAGTGTTTCCCTCCCTCCAAGCATAGCCCCGCGCACCAACAAAAGTGCGGCCCTCAGAGCGGCGAAGAAGGAACAAGAAGCTGCTGCTGCTGCTGCACTTGTAGCGAAGCAACAGAGGAGAGCTTCTAGGCCTCCACCCTCTAGCATGCCGAAGAGCCTGATCGTTTGAAAAAATACCGTTGTGAATTCTCATATTATTTTGATGGGTAGTATTGAATGGATTATCTCTGTATCTTCGTCGTGTATATTTTTTCTTGCTTCAGTTGCCTGATACTTTGTTAAATTGTTAATTCTTTGCTTATGCTTTCTTCCTCAACGATATGGATATAGGATTGGATCGCTCAATGGCGGCATGTTTCGTCATTTGAGGCGAGGGACTGCGGTACGCCGAGCTGGAAGTAAGCGCCTGTATTGTCCCAATACACTCGATAGATAGCCTGTATCTTTTTTTCAATAAACGTATATTGGATATCATTTTCCCTCGTGTCATTATCGTACCTCATAAGACTTGTGTGCAGATAAAGAAAAGAAAATTTTCTTCGAATGAGCGACAGGTACGTAGCGGTATGTCAAATATTTTCTTGCTTGTGGCGAGTACTTATCTTTGGGAGGAGATTTTTTCACACGTACTTACAGTGGGAGGGAGCAGAGGAGGACCGCCGAAGACAAACAGTATCGTACTTGTACCCTCGATGGTAGACGAGCCCAGCTCCAACATATACTAACGTGCACATTTCGAATCACGTAGCCAAACAAGCAGTATCAATGGGGCTTCAGCTGGATTGAAACATGTAGTGCGTGACGAGGTAAGCGTTTAGTAAAAAGGTCATGTTTTGAACGAGTGTGGCTGACGAAGAGAAGCGCAGCTCAGATCTTATGATTGACGCTACCTTGACGTGTACGTCTCGGGAGAATAAAGATGACCTTCTTTAACTAGTCTGGGTGTAAAATGCGTTCGACGAGGAGCTGGCCAACCTCGAGCTGGACAGCTTTGTTTGACGTGCACGTCTCGGAATCTTTCGGGAGGGTGTGCGCCTTGTCTAAAATATGGGCACCAACACAATCTCTTCCCGGTACATATGGTCCATGCTCGACGGACAATTGAAGGAGTACCTCGCGGCGTCGCAAGGAGAGCCCTGTGCGCCGTGTGATGGATTCAAGTTTGTCTGTCGAGAAGCACTTTTCATGACACCTAATGAATGCAAAAAAAGGAAAAATCATGAGAGCCGGATGTTCTGAAAAAAACAGCGATTGATCTACCGTTTAGTTGCCAGTCAAATGGCATACAAAGTCTATCTTAACCTTCTTGCAAATCCATGACAATTATGATGAAATAATTCATCCATTCAAATTCGAGTTCGGCGGAGACGTATTTGGAGCTCTGACTGTGTTCATTATCCATCAATTGAGGTTGGCACAGCAGCTGCCTAAATCATTGCTGAGCGGCAGTCCAGCGGATACAATGATGGAAGAACCGTGATGAAAGGAGCATATCGGAGACACAGAGACCCGTAAAAACAGGATCTCATCCAAAAGGGTACGAATCCGATCCACAGAACCCATGTGGAGATTAATCAAGCTTGAATTTTACTGAATAGCAGAGGCCTGGTAATCATTCTGGTACATAGGGCTGGAAGAGGGAAGGGGCGACTTCTTCATCAGCGCTCCAGTATTCTCGAAAGGACACCCGGATTCGTGGGCTTTCTTACCTGGCTGCTTCGCGGTCCGGGTCGAGGACCCGACAACTTCAAGATTTTCTCCGGCTTTTCTCCATCCACGTGACCTGACAACCACTACATACATTCTCAAAAAGGATAATATGCAACTGTCCAGACTGGACTCGAACTACGACAACAATTTCCGGTTGGTTTCCGGCTCCTTATTGATACGACAGCTCACCTTATCAAAAGTTCGGAGCGTACTACTTCTTGTGGCAGGTTATCATTGTACTGCGGGAGAGCTGCAAAATCCAGACTGAAAAAAATGACACCTCTTCAAGAATCTCTCAGAATTGTATATGTCCAGGTCCTATCAACACCGACATTTGGAACAGGCCTGGAGATAAATCATGTCTTCCGAAACTGGAATAACGATTTGCATGTTTGAATCCAAAGAAACACAATCGATCTATTATTTCCCGCCAATTCACTATGTTGATCACTGATATCTACCCACATGTGTTTCGCAGCAGAATGAATGGCAGTGCGAGTGGAAGATTAAGTTACATGGATATCCATATCCTGGTCGTTTCCCGGTGAATTCTCATAGAAGTGTTACTTCGAAGTCGGGTCCCGCGGGTATCGCTAATTTCCGATATCTTCCGTCGCCGGAAGTTGAACCACAATTACACCATAACTCACCTTGGCCGCACAAAATCTGTATCTACCTCAATGTCCCCTACCTCCAATTGCTTTTTCGCTCTCCTTCTCAAGGTGCTTAAAACTTATGGACTGTTGAACTTTCGACGAAAACCCTGGTGCTATCTCTCGGGAAGATTCAAGAAAGTCTGTCACTAGAAAATACATGCGGTTTTCCCGTTTTGAATCAGATCGGGGCATTCTAAGGGCGCACCAGGGCATAGCCTATGTAAACTCCCGTGCTTACTTGGCTACACCCCTCAAGATGTTGAAATATCGACTTCACCAGATACATGCTCCATTTGAACTGTTGTCTATCTTGTAAAATTTGATAGATGAGTGACCACCGTCCGTTATCAAGCATAGATCTACGAGGCGATGATTTGACTTCGTTCAGTTTTCCGATATGTCTGCATATATCCACACAATTGGACGTAGATTTTGAGAAAATTTTATCCGGGTATCACTTAAATTCCTCTTGGTGAGGATACCATATAAAAGGTCGCAGAATTTTTGTTGTATGGTACCTCGAGTCGATAGACTTGCAGCTCCAAGGTTATCCGTCGCTGGCCTCTTGCATCTAAAATGAGCCAATCCTCAGTTCAGGTTTGCTTCCATCATCCTCTCTGCCTCGTCTATCATCTCATAAAACTATCAGGACTCTGCCCATATCAACGAGAAAGATATGCTCGCCACACCGGCTGCTGTGCATATGGTATCAGCAAGCTCATCTGTTACTTTTGAGTCGGAACCTGGAGTTGCAACTATGCCCAAGCATGACCTGCCTCCGTCTGATTCCATGGAAAAGAATGAATCCTCCCTATCATTCGAAGAAAAGGCTATCTCTTGGGAGGACTTCCGCAACGATGAATATTCGGACAAGAAACAGGGTCGTCTCGCCCGTAACATGCGGTTCAAGATCTTCCCTATATATCGTCGATTGTTCAGCGTCGTGTTTATAACCAATATGGCTATATTCATCGCGTTCTGTGTTCGTGGCGCCAGTGTACCCAAGCTTGGCGAGGTGGCTATTGCGAACCTTTTCGTCGCGATTTTATTCCGCCAGGACTACGTCATTAATGCACTGTTCTTCATACTCTGCTCTGCGCCTAAATCGTAAGTTCCTTCATGATCTCTTCAAGTTCATAGCCTTGGGTTAATTGCGCCACAGGTTGCCGCTGTGGATTCGATTAAAACTCTGCCGTGTATACAGTCTTCCAGGTGGTATTCACTCTGGCTCTGGAGTTTCAGGCACCATCTGGCTCATATTATTTGTCGGTCAAGCAACAAGAAATTATGTTGAAGGCGGAGAGGTCATCATTTCCTCCTTGTACCAAATAGCGAGATGAAATTGATTCTTGATTCTGTTTCAGATCTCTGCAGCTACACTCGGGGTCACATATTCCATCTTATCTCTTCTGCTCGCCATCATTCTTTTTGCGTATCCTTCGTTGAGGAGCAAACAGCATGACGCCTTTGAGTATATTCACCGTTTCATGGGATGGACGGTAGTGGGATTAGTCTGGGCACAGGTAAATATTTTCTAGACATCCAACACTTCTGCTGTGCTTTTCTGACTGGGTCTACGATATCAAGGTTGTTTTGCTCAGTAACGATTATAAGGGTGCTCAATCTTTGGCGCGCGCACTTAGGACAAATCCCACATTCTGGCTGGTGGTAGTGCTGACAGGTACCCCTTATCGACTCAGTCTTCGTAACGCCTTCTAATCTCTTCCCGATTTTCAGCATCTATAGCTCTGCGTGAGTCCAATCCTCTATTGAATTTGGATAATTTCACTGATATGCGAACGAATCAAAGCATGGGCGAGGCTTAGAAAAGAAAAAGTTCAAAGCGAGGTTCTTTCCAGTCATGCTCTAAGATTATACTTCACCTATGGTAGATCTCTCAGCTCACGTTTTAATTTATTCGTACTAATTTTCTCGTCAGATGAACCTGTTCCGGGGAGTTTTATCCGGATATCTAACGAACCGCTTCTCGACTGGCACAGTTTTGCTACCATCAGAGAGCCTGGAAAGAAAGGTTTCTCGGTGGTCGTGTCCAAAGCTGGCGATTGGACCAGTGCAATAATCGCTTCCCCGCCGCCATATGTGTGGGTGAGAGGCGTACCGACAACAGGTAATATACCTTATGGCTCATTGGGATTGCGTCGTGTATCAATTAACACCGATCAATAGGTGTCATGCGTATTGTTCCTCTATTCAGAAGAGTTGTGGTCGTTGCCACAGGAAGTGGGATAGGACCATGCGCCCCCCATGTCTTCGCAAAGAAATCTACCATTCAACTGCTTTGGTCGGCACCGAATGTTCGAGAAACGTTCGGAGATAAACTCGTTGATTCGTTGTTAGAAGCATCGCCGAATGCTGTCATCTACGGTGAGGCAGCATGTTAGCATCTTTTCAATGTCTTCTTCTGACCATGAACAATTATAGATACTCGCAAGAACGGAAAACCCGACATGGTCAAGCTCGTGGCTCGTTTGGTGAAGGAGTTCGATGCTGAAGCAGTGTGCATCATTTCCAATCCCGCGCTCACTAGAAAGGTCGTTTATGGGATGATGAGCAGAGGAATCCCTGCTTTTGGAGCTATCTGGGACTCTTAGACGTTCATCAAGCTGGCTTGATTTTTTGACATTAGAAGATATCAATTGAGTTTCTTTTTTCCATCATGTAGATTTTCACGACTCATGTACTAGATGTTATGTATACATGCATGCCAAGGCATACGCAACTCGCGATAAGTCAAATCGTTACTTATCGCGAGATATTGTGTAGGACATAATACGGATACGTATGTTCAGTGATGAAAATGTCATGCTTTTTCGGGAGAATGAGAAATTTCCGGAAATCCTTGACCTGAAGACTGAGAATCCAGTGCTCATAATAATCAAATGACAAGTCTTTCGAATCGGAGCGGGAGCGATATTGTTGCTAATGTTATTCCGGGGCCTGAAGGTCGGCTCTGACGGGAAGGAATTCCGAAGAAGAAGGGGGGTAACCGTATAATCAATCAAGCCCCCAGAGCAGGACTGCTACTGAGAAGCTTTCTTTATATTAGTAGGCGTTGTACCCACATTAGTTCTACCAGTAGACTTGCACAGGCTTCATAGAAATAAAACCAGGCGTTGATGATGAACACGATCAAAATTCGAACGGAAGGCTTCGAGGATACCCGTAAGCTCGAAAAGAGGAGCTACTGCTGGAGAGTCAATCTTGATTCACTCGCTTGGAAGAACCAGAACACTGTGAAGTGTGGCTTGAGGTCCGTGGCGATATATATATTCCGATGCTGCCCCCATTGATACTGCTTCTTCGACAGGCGCTGGACAGGCGCAAAATGCATCATCAATAATAAGCCTCCTAGCTCGGAGACATGCCCGAAAGCTGATATTTTCAACCTGTACATTTCAATTTGCCGTCCATTGCAGATTAGTCAAATAATTTATATCTTGAAGGAAGTCCGCGTACCGTTGAAAACCGCAATAAATGGAAAATATTCTGTTCGAGGAATCTTATCAAACTAATACACGCATATATTCACATTCAGTTGAACAAAAGTATACTCCGTCACAATGAGTTGACCTGTATGGATAACACGGGTGCTGTGAGTTTCTTTCACCATTTTTTTTCGCGAAAAACCAAAAATGGGTCAAGGCTGGTACAGGCAAGAAGAGAGCGACAAGACTTGGGACCGAATTCGGCTGGCTGCCGAGATACACGTGTTCGATACACGATAGCGACCCGGGCCGGAAGAAGATACCTGAATAAGCGCCCAAGGAGCGCTTGTTCGTGATTCGACGTATGTCCTCCATGACGATGGCTGATTTTCCTGACCCCGCCTCTCTTTCTCTTTCAAAGGATGCCCAACAATCTTCACATTCTTTTCCTCGATCCTCCTCAACTTCTGCATATGTTAGCGCTGGAAACCCGTTGGTGATCAACACTAACAATATCAGAAGGCCTCATCACCAGTAAGTGAATGAAAGGCGAATGCAAATTTCAGAGGAATATTGACTGTATCGTACAGGCAATCCCCTTCCTCCGAAATAATAGCCCCTACTCCCAGAAGACATCTGTTGGAAAGCAACGCCAGTCAATCATGGCTGCACACACCACCACTTTCACCAGTATCCTCTCGAGGAATATCCCCCACATCTACACGGGCCATGAGCCCACATTCACATCTCACTCGAGGGACGAATGGTCAGCAGAGCTTCGGCTCAATAATGGAGTCGAGCGCCTCAAAATTAACTACAGTAAAAGTGGCCTATAGGTCGGAATCTGGAATGGGTCGGCGTTGGATACGGTGGTCGCATAAACGAGGGATGAGGAGCTCATTAATAGCATTCATATTCTTAGCGTGCGTGTTTCTCAAGCTGAGCTTGGGTTTGGGATCGTATTCCGGTGTGTTCATTGATACGCCATCTTGAAGTTTCTCATTATTTGTTCCAGGCGAGAACACGCCTCCAATGTACGGCGACTACGAAGCGCAACGGCACTGGATGGAGATTACTATTCACATCCCTATACACCAGTGGTACAAGTATGACCTGCAGTACTGGGGCCTGGATTATCCTCCACTCACAGCTTATGTATCTTGGATATGTGGCATTGCGTGCGTTTTCTTCATCAACACAATATCATGAGAAGGTCTTATTATCTGCAGAGCACATTCCATCAATCCCACGTGGGTTGCTTTGGACTCTTCACGCGGTATCGAAACAGCAAGTAGCAAGCTCTTCATGCGTGCCTCTGTTGTTGTTTTCGATGCCTTGATATGCGTTCCTGCCCTATTGTTGTTTTCTCGGACGTGGTTTAGCACACGCTCCCAAAGAACCCAAGATTTAGCTTTCTTACTGCTAATGTTACATCCTGCGCTCCTTCTCGTCGACTTTGGACACTTTCAATACAACTCTATCATGCTCGGTATGTGCTATGATATATACTTCCGCGATTGCACTCATATTCGACGCAGGTCTTACAATCATGGCTATGAATTTCTTTGCTACTGGACAAGATCTCCTCGGTGCAGTTTCATTCGTGTTGAGTTTAGGGTTCAAACAAATGGCTCTTTATTACGCGCCAGCCATAGGTTCTTACCTGGTTGCGAAATGTGTATTGTTAGGTCCTGCACATGGCGGGCGGCTTTTTGTTCACCTCGCGTTGATAACGACCGCGACATTCATGTTACTATTCTTGCCATGGATCCCCCCCTTCTCCGCCTCGCCGCTTCTCATCCTCGACCCAATATCTCGAATATTTCCATTTGCTCGCGGCTTATTCGAAGACAAAGTAGCCAACTTTTGGTGCGCATCGAACGTGGTGATGAAATGGAAGAAATGGGCAGACCAAGATATACTGGTCAAGGCTGCCACCGTCTTGACCCTCCTTGGATTTTCACCTAGCGTCATCGTTGTAGGAAAAGCAGCATGGGACTTGAAGGTATGGAATGAGCCCGCTGCGACAAGAGTGGTTGACTCGAACGGCGAATCAGAACCGGAAGGGTCTTCATCACATAACCAAATCCTTCCTCTCCTGCCCTATGCGCTTCTAAATTCATCCATGTCATTTTTCTTGTTCTCATTTCAAGTGCACGAGAAAACCATCCTCTTGCCTCTCATGCCCTTGATGCTGTTGTTCTCTGGAGCTACCTCGGATTCAGAGGTCTACTCATGGGGTGCATTAGGCAGCAATGTTGCGGTGTTCAGGTAAGTAGGAGCATCACCCTTCGAGCTCGCCAACTGATCTTTGATTATTCTCGAACAGCATGTGGCCATTGTTGAAAAAAGATGGGTTGGCCCTGTCGTACTTCTCCCTGACATTGTTGTGGAATCGACTCATCGGTCACGATCCAATCAAAGTAATATATACAGCATTTCCTTTCAATTCTTATGTGCACCTGCTTTCAGCTGTAAGTCTATAAATGTGCAAAACCGAGTAAACTAGTAACCTCTCAATTACAGGGCATATACGCAGCTGTCATATTTCTGCATATCTTAGAACTAATCATCGCACCGCCCGCACGTTATCCTGATCTTTTCCCTGTTCTGAATGTTCTCATTAGCACACCTGTATTCGTGTGCTTGTGGTTATGGAGTATCAAGTGCTGCGTTCAAGTCAGTTGGGCAATAACTAGTCCATTAGCCTTTGGCGAAGCGGAAAACGAGCATAGCAAGCGCTCTTCTACGACAGTCAGTGATGTAAATGGAGGGCGATTCTCGTTTGTCGCCAAGAGCGATCGCACGAGGGCAGCCAGTTTAGGACATGCGCGAGGGAAACGCGTTAGAAGGTCATCCACACATTCAGCTACAGGTTTAGCCACCAGTACTGCTATTCCTCCATCTTCCTCGGTATTTCGTGGCAACGCTGGTAGCAACTTTGTAGAGGAACGGGTGACAGCCTACCCCGAGTAATTGTACCTTTAATCCATGGAATTTTGCGAAATGTATCAGATATATTTGACTTGAATGATTACAATATGCATAATTCCCTATGATTCCTGTCCTCTTCTTCAGGAATCCCATTCTCGTGTTGAAACATTACTCTCGACTGGGTTATATTTTCAAATGTCTTTTTGTAACACATTGCGGCTGGTAACTGTATTAGCCGTTCTTGTTCCCATTCAAATGCTTTGTCCTTTGTATCTCCAACTCTAGAGCTTTTTGGGATAGGCCAGTGTTGGTTCAGTACACCAGAGAATACCATGTATAATATAAATGCTCATAGTTCTTCCTTCCGGGATACCAACTTCTCATCGTCCTGAAACCAATTAACATCACTTCTGGGTTCGTCTCTGCGATCGCTGTATCGAAGGCTCACCGATCCGATGGCAAAGGGTGAAACTCCCGTGCGTAGGGGTTACATACGAAGCGAAAATCCCGGAGGAAAATGGAAAATCGTTGGCAGTGTTTAAGCCTACATCAGCACATATTAGCACCACCAGAAAAGATGAAGTCCTTCTCTTCATCTGCGACATGTTGAAACACAGTTACCAAGCTCTCAGGTCGGTTCGTCTGGTTCACACTGGCATGCACTGGATGAAGTATTACGGGTACTGAAATAATTCTAGGTAGTGCTAATAGAAACGGCATCAAGGCGTGTTTCTTATTCATTTGCGCCTATTTGTGCTAGTCCGCTTTCCATTGGACGAATTCAACCACAGACTGCATCCCCTGATCTCTTCGAAAAAGATTGTCACCCTTTTGATCTAGTATTCGAATCCGAGGTGCGTGTGATTGCGATTGCTTGCTGCCGGAGGGGGTATGAACAATCCAGTTCAAAATGAGGAAGGATGGAGGTGTGTTTAAAGTTGGTATAAAGTGGTTGTGTCAGTGTGGGTTTGGACCGAACGATAGTACGAAGCCACAAAAAACTGTGCATATATTCAGGGACAAATTATGCGATCATCAACGAACGAATTGCCGAAAATGATCGATATAACACGCTTTGACCGAAGGGTTTATATATGGCTATATTCATGGAAGACAGCTCTAGACAGCTTGAAATATGTGGACCTGAGAATATACAGTATATATATGGTCTGTCTACAAGTGTTACATTCAAAGCGGTGATCCCGTAGTTGTTTTGAACCGCTTGTGACTAGGTGATCTGGGAGACCCAGCTTCCTCCGGCACACTTCGTAGCCCTTCCAGATGGACTGGAGGGAAAACGAACTCTCCCTTCAAATGCTTACCCATGCGGTAGATATTGTATCTCGCAATTTCTGTAGAGTTTGAAGTCGGTAGTGGCAAGGGAGGAGGCCTATGTTTTGTTTTCGATTGCTGATAGGTGACGAATTCAGGAGCCGGGGTCATTGATGCATGTCGCGGTAATGCATTTCTTTCGCGATCATTTAACTCCCTTGCAATAATAGTCAAAAGCAAGACCACAACCGAGAACCCGACGATAATCATTTGCGGGAAGAAACCAATTGCATCTTCCAAGAACCATGAGTAAATAGAACATCCAAGCAATGAAGGACATACCAAGCAATACCCCTACATACAGACAGACCCTTGTTCAATTTGAGTTCTATCGAGTCAAGATTTGACATTTCACTTACCATCCAGTCCAGGCGCATCGGGCATACTATATCTGATCTGCGGGAGGCCGACAAGAGTCGCACCATTAACAATCAAAATCTTGAGTATGGACTTGACATATATCGTACGCCTCGCAAGAATTACATTCCCGATGCAGATATGTGTCAAGAACCAGCTCGAAGCAAATAACAACAGTGTAATGAGGCGTGCCTCAATAGGACGACGAATGTGTATATCTATGTCGTGAGAGGGTGTATTAACCCCATCTGCGCTTAGCACGTAGCTTTGGACATCTGCGGATTCGACTACGAAACTCGAGGTCAAGTCAATGGTCGCCAATTTGCTAAACGATATATCAAAATCCTGTTCAGAAGTGACGCGAAGAGTACTGGACAGAAAATATGTGTCGAAAGGGTAGAGCCGATCATTATGAACATCCAAAACATGATCACTGTCGAATTGTACCATATTCTGGATCCTAAAAAGAGAAGCATAAGACGACAAGCCATTCAATGAATGAATCATCGTACTTCCTACGCTCTCCATTTTCGCTATAAGGTATGAGGTCTGGGTCAAAGACCCCTGTTGGATCATTGTCTCTGAAAAGTATTCAATAAACCAGAAAAGCGATTAGTTACTTGTCTACATACCCGTCTATGTAGATCTGTAGAGCGTTATTCGGGAGCCCGCACGAAGTGCTGCCATGTATTCCAGATGAACCCGGAAGCATGTAATCCTGGCCGCAGGCAACGATAGACCAACGAATAGTAACGGATGGTTCATCGACATCGATATCCACACTTTCACCCAAAAGGACAATCTATATCGTTCCAGTCCAGATTTAGCTTTTACTTTGACATGAAAGATGAGCATTTGGACTGACGCCTGGATTCGAATGTGCGACTTCATCTAGTATACTTTTAAACAACGGTTCTTGAGCGGTAACACCATGGAACACAGAAGGGATAGTTAGGACAAATATGACAGAACAAAGAATGGCAAGTCCGAAATAAAAGATTGGAGGAACGGGAATGACTCCGTTGACAGCGCGGATAGCTGAAGTCTGGATGGGACGCAAAGAAAGAGATCTTTCCTTTCGAACATGTTCGTTAAACATTGTGCCTCCAACTGTAGCATGTGTTGTATTATCGGGTATCGTAGCACCTAGACCTGGTATAAGGTGGAAAGACCGAAGTCTGTCAAAAGAGTGGCGCAGCCTAGGGCTTGGGAAGAGTGAAGGAATGTGAAGACCCATACTTTTTAGACAAGTGGGAGGGATTCAAGCAAAGAGAAAATCAAGAAATATAAATGAAAAAGTTCACTGCGATTTAACTCCGCGTGGAGAGGGCGCTGTCCTCGTTTATTATACTCAAAAATACCCGGAGAATGTTACAGGATATTAGAGGTCTTCTCTTTGGTTCTAGTTTATCAGTTTTAGTCGCGAGCATGACATTTTGCCAATCTCGATTCAATTTCTCTTCTTAACTCCGCACTACTCCCTAAATTGAGTACAACAGCTTGACTGTATGGAGCTTTCATTTCGACCTTCAAAGACTAATCATAAGTTTCTGCCTCTAGTAAAAGAGTTTCGATTTCAGCGAGTGGTCCATCGTCGTGGTCCCCTTCATGTCCAATTACCGTCAAAATCTGTCTCGCAGCCACAACTGAGTTTTTCAGTTCTGCGGCTACCTCCATTGTTGATGTGGACCGGACTATCTGATTCCAGCACGTTTTGGCCTTTTCGAGTAGATGTAAACCTACAACATATGAGGGTTGTGATAGACAGGAGATTGACATAACATTTACCGATCTGTGGATAGTTTAAAGGATAAATGAGTTGATAGAGTGCGAATAAAGACGAGCTGGATTCTAGAGCGACATCATAACGTCCGTCGTGTGAGGCAGCGCTAAATTGTTCGGATAATGTCGATATAAATGATTCATGGAGTACACACGCCAACTCAATTGGAAAGAGTGAATCATCCCCGGTCAAAAACGGGCTTAGTCCCATCGCTCCTACAAATTCTCTCAGCCTTTCGCAGACTGCCTGGAACCTTACCGGTTCTTTGGGAGGTTCTGGAATGAATCCTACTTTTCGTATAACGTTGCATGAGGGACAAGAGCATGTAAATCCATACGTCAAATCAAAGATGGTGGTCCGTGTTTGCAGTAGAGCAGGATCTAAATAGGGGATGCATATCTGACAATGCAGACAGGTTGTTAAAATGCAACAAGTTGAGCCAAAATAATACCTGTAACTACCTCGTCCCCTTTTGATATTGCACGGAGAGCCACAACTTCCAGTTTTACGGGTTCATGCACTTGAATAATGAATTTTACAGCAGCATTTGGCATACATGAGTGATTAAACAGACGGCTAGCAATGGGGAAAATCCCATGCGCGTAGGTGTTGAAATGCGAGTGAATGGAAAAATTGTTGTTTTCGAATCGAGAATAAAATCCGTCAATGACCCCCGCTGTGAATGAGTGTTTGGGACAGATTGGAGGAGCTGAAGTCGTCATAGGACCGGGCAGGAGTGACTGGAACGTGAGGAAGGCGGTATTTTCATCCCTCTCGTTCGTTTCAACAGAGGACAAATGAGCAATCAGACTAGAGAGAAGTAAAGCGTCCATCTTCTTGTGTTCCTCGAGGGCTTGAAACGACGCAGCAGAGATATATGTGTTATGTAGCTTGCAAATCTTGCGATGTCCGGACTTCCAATGTTTGCTTTGGCCTAACCAAACATCAGCGACAGACAGGATTTGAAAGATCTCTACTGACATGTTTGGTCGCAGTAGTAAAAAGATGCACATCCCGTACATCGCTTCAGAGAGCCGGAACCTGAAAGATTGTGGCAATGGTCGCATCGATGACCTTTTTCCGAAGGTAGAAGAACATCTATGAAAGAGGAGTTGGATAAAATGATGCTTCCAGCTGAGAATGCGATGCTGGCCATGCATCTACTCCTTCCAACAGCAAGCGGCTCCAGGAAAACATTTTCTGCTAGATCGATATTCGCCTGGTAGTCGGAAGGCATGTTCTGTAATTGTCCAACGTTCAACGTTCAGTACCCAGTAAATTCGAAAACAATCCAAATCTAACAGACATCAACACAGGCTCTTAGTGTTACCACGATCTAAAGTAATGGACGAGTATCCTCCTCCTCCAGATGATGCTCTCGATACACAGACACCTCCACCACCTCCACAACCCCGAACAACTCATACAGGCTCTCCTACCGACTTTTTGAAGGGCGTCGTTGGAAAGAAAGTTATTGTTCGTCTCAATTCTGGAGTCGATTACAGAGGTAGCCTTCCCCGTTTTCTCTTCTTTTTCCCTTGTTCTGATGCATTTATTTTCCGGTGCAGGAGTTCTCTCATGTCTTGATGGATACATGAACATTGCTCTTGAAGCAACGGAGGAACATGTCGAAGGAAATGTGACCAATCGTTATGGTGATGCATTCATACGAGGAAATAACGGTGAGTAGTCTGCTTCAACTCTGGAATATACATTGATCCTTGTTCCAGTGCTCTATATATCAGCAGCTGAAGAAATATGATAGTGGTGAAGATGTCCTTCCTAGTCATTACACGCCCGCCACATGATCGCGCTGGAACATTGGTCATTTTCTGGCTTTCTCCTTGACGATATACTGTGCATCCAATGATCTTAGAGTGAAAACATTTGCTTGAACTCAAATATAGTGAACGATCTTGCAAACTTCTCCCGATCAGCTACCTGGCTCACTTCATCTCGGAATTACGCTGTTTCATCGGTCAATCCTCTAGATTACTAAAGTCTTTTTTGGGGGAGTTCAATATCAAGCAATTACTCATACATTGCAAAGTAAAGTACGTCAACAGAGGAGACTTCGAAGGATGTTAAGAGTCCCATATAGCACCAAAGGCTGGAATTCCCCTACTTTTCATCCCATACACGATTTTCCGCGTTAGTTTTTGATTTGAAATCACACATACTGCTTCGGCGTTGAACTCCTTGTACAACCGGTAAGTCAACTGGATCATGTCCGGCTTCCCGTCTCTGCGAGTGTCTGAAAGTCCCAGTTTATTATCCAGATTAAAACAAGAGATGTAATACGAACCATGGAGGACTGCCTTAGGAGCAGCTTCGAGGATAGAATCGACGAGATGATCTCCAAAAGTTTTCCGGACGTCTGGTGAAGTCCATAACAAACACAAGGGAACTTTTTTCGCGAGAATGACTGGCGCGCAAGGCCCGATACCTGTAAACCGAATCCAATGAGTTGCAGGTTGGGTCACGAGAAAGAAAGAACCCACCACTTCCTGTCGCAACAAGTACAATGCGTCGGAATAGCGACGCAATCCTCAATACTCCATAAGCCGGAACGCCGCGAACCCATAAGTGGGTGGGAGGATTGTGGATTTGTTTCGCCGTCCAATCTCTGAGTTGATTGTTCTCAAAATGTCGGAAGACATCATTGATAAAAAGCGACATACCCTGCCTTTGATACCACCAGGGAGTAGCCAGATTTACCAGGTTCGTTGATCGTAGCGAAACCATGCCATTCCATCAAGGGATTGTCACTGATACGGGTGAAATGTCCCGGTTTTGTAGTAACTGGGTGATTCATAACTCAGCATGATAACAGCGGAAGAAGAAAAGCCTGTTCCACACCATAATCAAAGTACAACCTGACAGCATGATCAGAAAGAACTACGCTTCGTACTGGCACTCTTCGAAGCCTCAGCCACGGAAGTATAATGGATCCTTCAGAAGTTAATGAGTGTCTATTGGTGGGACTGACGCTAGCACCGCTCACCAGTCAGAACAGAGAGTAGCCAAAATGCTGGAGACCGAGATAGAGCCAACCCTAAGGACTGTTCCGGTTCTTTGAAATCATTAGTGAGGAGGACGACCTGCATCATTCGAACAGTCAATTATTTTAGCTAGGATTCGGAAAAAACTTGACCTGCTCACCTGACACCAGACCAACGCCGTAGCTGTCCAGCCTAGAAAGCGATGGAGACGTCTACTCTAAAGGTTAGGAAGATAATAAAAAAGAATAGGATCACTCACTCAAAGGTGTTATGTCGCCTGGATCGAAAGGTGGGATATGCGAATATCACAATTCCGACGAGCAATGTTAATATCCAATATGTCACAGCTAGCGTTGCTGGAGACACCTAGATTAACTCGGTCAGTAAAACTACTGGCCATGCATGAAGAATCAGCTTACGAGTCCTCCGTTTAGCAGACTTTGAGTAGCTTTTCCAGTAAATAATAGGAGCCAGATAACTCCCGAGATTGCACATGAGCTATGGAAACCGCCGATGTGGTATACTTCTGCGACTCGTCTCCTACAGAAAGACGTCAGGATCCAGGAGCCTCGCAATACCGGCACGACAAACCTTATGGCAAGGGGCCAACTTAGTAGTAGTTCAGCAACATTTAGCATGAATCGACGAGAACACAGAAAAACTTACGAAGTCGGGACAGAACAGCATACGGTGAAAAAGGCATTGATAACATAGTCTTGCCTCATCAAAACAGCACAGAGCAGATTGGCAACGACTATTTCACCAAGCTTGACAACACTGGCTCCTCGGACGCAAGTAATGATGAAGATCACCATGTTGACAACGAATACAATTCCAAAAAGACGGCGATAAAGAGAGAATATTTGGTGGCGGATATTTCGAAGCAGATGCCCTTGAGTTTTGTTGGGAACCAAAGGTTCGTGTGGGCCCTCTAAAGCAAGAGGCTTCTCTTTGATTGAGGAGCCGGAGCTGCTGGTGCTGGTTGGGGATACCCCGGCGTTTCGAATGTACGCGGGAGGTGGGAGCGAGGGTATGTCAAGCCACTTTTCGACTGGTGCAGGACCGGCTTCGGCTTTCTCTGAAATTTTTGCACTAGTTTTCTCTTTCGCAATCTCATCAAGGGCGAGTTGACGAAGAGCTCTTTTGTCGGTTTTCATATTACTTAAAACAGACAGAGGCTCAGTATATGAATTTTCTTCCAGTGGATATCACCTACGAAGTCTTGGGAAATTCTTTCATCACAGTAAGACGAGTGGGAACAGCATAATACGGCTGTATCTTCGCTGCGTCCGATAACACAGTCTCGGAATCGACTTCATTCGGGGCTACAAACCCCCAAAGAATGTCGTCTATCAGAAGAGCGGCTGCAATTTTGACGCCTGGAGAGCTCTGTAAACTATGCCGTCAGAAATGTGTATATTATCCCATTCATAATATTCACACCTCTAGCGCCGCAGCTACACCGTCAAGCTCAACTCGGAAACCCTGACATATGATCAAGTTAGTTTATCTCCAAGCAGTGACGGTTGGATCATTAATTAGCACACACCTTAACTTTGACCTGATCATCTATCCTTCCAAGATGCTCTAGTGTCCCATCCGGTCGCCATCGACTACAGGAATGACAGAAATTAGGCTCCAAAATGAGTCATTTCGAAAGCTCGCCCACCCTAAATCACCAGTATTGAACATTAGAGAGCTAGAAGTGGAAGCCTGAGTGACATGTCAATTAAAAACAGATGGGACTACCTACCCATCATTCACGAAGAGATCAAAGAGGTATCTTTCATCTGTCTTCTGTGGAAGGTTCAGGTACCCTCTGCTTATTCCTTTTCCTCCAGCCCACATGAGTCCTGTTTGGCCAATCGGCAAAGGCTGCAGGTCATCGCCAAGCACGTAGACATTGTTATTCGGAGTCGGCTGTCCTATACTTAAAGCTTCTCCGGAACAATGCAGTTGCATTGTATTTACAATTGTAATCTTTGAAAAATAGCATATTGATTGGTTATCGATTCCTCAACATAGTGCGTACTCACTTCTGTCGGTCCACAGCAGTTGTAGAACCGTACAGTTTTAGCCCATTCGTCAGCCAGTCCTAGGTAAGAATGATATTCGAAAAGATATCTTGAAAGCAAACATATAGAGACATCACCTTGCGGACATGCTTCACCTGCCACAGCAACGACTTTTATGTTAGGATAGGCAGATGGCTGGTGAGGGCTGAGCATGGAAGGGGTTGCAATAACGACGTCGACTGTTTTCATCACTGCTCTCCATTCCTTTGAAGTCTTTCCACGTAGACAAAGTGTGGCGCCATTGCAGAGACTTCCGAGTATTTCCTGCGAGTACAGTTAGGAGCAGCAGATCTTACGATAATTCCGGTGAGCGACATACCCACGCAGCCATATCGAATCCGATGTTCATTAATTGCGACACTCGTACTCCTGGGGCCATTGATAAGTTACCTGGAGCAAGGCAAACCACTGATTGACGTTAAGTATTGCTTTTTGAGGTGGTAGACTCTCAAGCTCACAGTTGGTCACGTTCCCGTGTTTAACGTCGACACCCTTGGGTACGCCAGTGGTTCCTAAGAGACGAGACGACTCGATCAGAACCTCCGCTGAAGTCTACCAAGAGATCACCTTACCACTTGTATATCACGTAGACGCTGTCTTCGGCTACAGATAAATCGTTGAAGTGATTTTTACACTCTGAGGTAACGAGGCATTCGCATTTGAAGTCATCTAGATAAATGGCTGGAACGGCACTGCTCTCCAAACGACTCGCAAATTTACGGAATGCGAGAATAGCGGTGGCACTTGAATCGTGCAATACGTGGTGAAGTGTAGAGTCTGACACAACATTTCCGTCCAAAGGTACATATGCGGCACCAGCTTTTATGACACCTAGAATGCCGATGACCATTGGTATGGAGCGCTCCACGAGTAGACAGACGCGAGAATGGCGTCCAACTCCAAGAGATCGCAACCGGACTGAGAGGCAAGTAGATTTTTGATCGAGCTCCGCATAAGTGATGTTTTCTGCGAAATCCTCAACAGCAATGTTGACCGGGCTAGAAGCAGCATGGGATACAAAAGCGTGATGAACGCATTGGAAAGGAGGAACAACAGTGTCACCGAAACCGAATTCCATGAACGAGACGCGATCACTGACAGAAAGGCATTGAAGGTGATCAGGAAGCATATTGAGCGATATTGTTTGGCAGGACCCTTTTGGGGGATCATGTTTTATAGAGATAAAGCTCAGACGAGGTATGCCCTATAGTCAACCGGAAAAAAAGAGTTGGCATGCCAAGTATGTTCGTATGGTAGACCAAATTGGATTCCTCCGTGGTACAAGGTGATGCTAGTGTACATAGATTGTATCGCGCCTCCTTCAGTGCACTTCAGCTGTACAATGGGCCTTCTTGCAGTGTTGCTAAATTTTCGGCATTATCGTCGGTCAAAGGCTGAATAGGAAAGGGAGATTTTGACAGAAGAGGTGTTGGACCAGCCACGCTCGTCAGCGAGCAAAGTAAAAGTACGCCTTTCAGGGAACGAACGTCTCACGTTCACGCGTGATTGAGGCACCTATGATCATGACGATGGCAGCTCTTGGCCCGGACATGTCTGGCAACACCGGGGCAACATTATGGACTGGCTATAGGAATTGAACATGTACTTACGCTATGGAGAATGTTATGAACATACATTGATGGTCGGGTCAAGGCACCCGTACGGTACAGTTGATACAAATACAGTTACGATGATAAATAGTGGTTCGAAGAATGCAAGAGAAACTAAATAGCAGCACTGAAATACAAGAGAAAACAGACAAGGGGAAGAGCATCTTGAGAACCAAAACTACCGAATTCGCTGGCGTTCTGTTGTGGATTTTTGTCGGGAATCTCGAGAAACGCGCCTACAATGGTGGGAGGTCAGGAGACATGCATTCATGACTATGATCTCTGCACATACCAATAATATTCCATCACGTCGCTCTGACCTAACTTGCGCAAAAAGTTTTCGTCATGAGTGATGATGATGAGTTGGAAATTGGAATGATTCTTCCGCTCATTAATGATACTAACAAAGGACAGATTAACCAACAATCAATAGCCAAAAACTGGTCCACCTGGCACTTACTCGACAAGACTAGAAGCCAGAGCTTCAATATTTTCCGTATCGAGCGCATTGGTGGGCTCGTCCAAAGCCAAGATACCACAATTCTGGCCAAATGAATCGGATAGTGCCAGCCGAATGATGATGGATGCCAGCATCTTCTGTCCAGCTGAACATCGACCTCGCATGTCCATCTCCACCTGGTCCTTCGTCATTACGACCTGATGTCACCAATGAAATCAGGCTTAGATCTTTCTAACGGATGCTATTATACCGCACCCTATAATTGTAAGAACGTTTGGAAGCTCCGCCCTCAACGTCGGACCGAATCTTGATTCCATCGATATCTAAAGGTTGCGCTTGCTTCAGAAATCGGAGGATCGTCGGATACATATCCCTACCTGTGCCCTGATACGTTTTGTTCCAGAGATGCCTCATAGTATCGTTCACCTCCTCCATCTTCAGGGTGTGATATTTCATGATAGCACTGCAACCACAGATTTAGAAGGTCCGGGTTGAAAGGTTGAATAAAGTACTTTTCCAAGGCTTTTCCGTACTTCTCCAGGTCATTGTTCGCCATGTCGGACATCTATATAGCCGAACTTAGATGATAATCTTCGATTGCGGTAAGGATAGGTATACCTTGACTTTGATGAGTTGATCAGTGTAATGCTTATTGATGTCCTTGTATTCTTTGGCGTCTGTCTCCCAGGTGCTGAGCTGAGACTTATGGGAGCTTATTTCACCTCCAATGTGCGAAAACTGAGTATAATGAGCGTAATAAAGAGCGAAAGAGTTATTGGATATGTACCTCAAGCTGAAGAGTCTCCTCTTTATTCTTTGCAATTTTCCATTTGTCTTGGAAGGTACGCTTAGCTTTGGCAGCTTCCTCCATGTCATAGGAGTCAATTTCAGTCTGCGTTTCCTGAATTTGTGTCACAAGCTTCCGCAAACGAATGTTCTCCCGAAGATTGGAAAGAGTAGAACCGCTTTCGCTAATCTCTTTGTCGATTTTGGCGATTTTGTCTCGAGCTTCCTCGACTTGTTTTTCCAATTCCTTGATTTCTTCCTTGGCTTCTTCGAGCGATGCATTGGAGTCGCGAAGTTGTTGCTCTTTCCGCTGTTGAACATACCTGAATCAAGGTAAGTACTTCGAAGTGCGATACTGAGAGTCGGGACACACTTTTCCACATGTCTTTGGGTGTCGGCGAGTTTGTCCGCTCTGCGGTTCAGATCTTGAGCCAGAACCGAAGCGCTGGATAATTTGCCGTCCAGCTCGCGTTGTTGGGTTTTGTGCTCGGCATCGAGTGCATCAATGGGGCCCTGAGCTTCGGCGATGCGTTGTTCTGCAGTCTGGAACTTACATCGGTATTATGTGCAAAGCCAAAGAGCAGTGACGTACCTTCATTCGATCTGACATATCAGCGATGTCCTTCTTCCACTGTTCAATCTGTTTCTCGATATTCTCCTTCTCCTTAATTCTGCTACGTATCTTGGCGGATTCGAGCTCCAGCCTATGCAATTCGCTCTCAATGCTTCGGTGTGTCGCATTTTGGCGGTCACGCTCTCTTGTTAAAGCATTACTCTCTTTATCGAGAACACGTCTAAGAAAGGTCAGAATTATAGTGGATATTCAGCCTGGGAGGACAAACGTACATTTCACTAGATAGTGCTTCAATCTCGTTCTGGATATCCTCAGTACTTTTCGTGGACCCAGATGCTGCAAGTTCGTTTTCAATGGATTTGACATCTTGTTTCAGTCGCTCTACTTCTGCTTGAAGCCTCGCAATTGTTTTACCATACTCCCTGACCGCCTGAATGTCATTCAATTCTTCCTTCAGAGCGTTGACTTTATCGGAAGCCTTCCAAACACCGTAAGAGTCTATACACAGACCGGAGAAGCCTCTGCTCTACCTGCTCTGCAATTTCTTTTGTTTCCATTGCTGTGGTTTCAGCCTTGGCAACCTGTTCTTCCATTGCTGGTATCTCTTTGAGCTTCAGTGTGTCCAGTCGACTCTGGATAGGGCGTAGTTTTTGCAGCCTCTCATGTTCTTCCGCCCACCCTTCAACAGAGGCTTCCGCATCTTTGGTTTGCTTGGATTTATTGATCTCTTCTTTCAGCTGAAAACGAGATAAAATATGCACTGCTTGGGTAGCAATGATGAATACTAACATATTTCTCAAAGACATGCAATTCATCGTCATCCATATGACGATTGCAGGCGGTACACTTTTTCTTTTGCTTCCCGGCTTGGAGTATTCGCTCATATACTTTCGCTGCCCCTGCACCAACGTGTACCTCCCTATAACAATTATGAAAGGGTGAGCAAGCCAGGCTATGTCAAACAGTACTAACTCCTTGGCAAAATTGAGCTGGGCGAAAGCATCTTTAATGGCTTCTTCTAAAGTCATCTCCTTTTTTTCAAACGCACTGTTCATTTGACGTTCGGCATCTGAGAAATGTCAATATCCCTGTACATTTAGATCAAAAAGTATACCTTTGAGGTCTTTCATTTTTGATTTCAGAGTAGAAATTTTTTCTGCGACAGAAGCCTCTGCTTGACGGTGGTCACCACTGGCAGTGTTGGCATCTAATTCTGCGATCTCGAGCGCATTCATCTTCTTTCTGCAAAACTAGTGAGTAAACGTCCTTACAATACAACTGAGACAAATTACTTTGCGATTTTCTCAATTACGCTTTCAATTGACTCGATCGAAGCCGTTTTGCCTGTTAGTTTAACAAGTTTCGTGTTCGCAGAATCAACACTAGAAGGATTGATGAGATATTGAAAATATTAAGAGTATAAAAACCCCCACTTGGACTCGATCTCGATATTCTTGGCGTTGATATCTTTCCGCTTCAAATTCAAGTTTGCACGAGATTCGGCTTCTCGGTTCAACATGATGAATTCTTGGTTAAGCCTTTCGCGTTTGCTTTCTGCGACAGTCTTCTTCTCGGTATTCCGAGAAAGCTTTTCATCGTAGTTGGCGTTCTTGAAGTCCGCCTTCAGTTTGTCAAGTCGTCGCGTTTTCTCTTCGATGTCGCCCGTGTTTACCTGAAGCTGACCGGAAAGCTCTTGGCTATTTTCGAGTTCGCGTTCGCCTTTTGCGATATAGCCCTTGCGTTCAGCCTGGTGCAGAGATGAGAAATATATGAAGTGCGTAGACTAGACATGGACCCACAATTTGTTGCCGAAGAGAAGATTTATCGGCTTTGAGCTGTTCAGCGGCTGCAGTAAGCTCACGGGACCTTGCGTTGTATTCTTCCTGTTGAGACTTCCTCTCCGCCTGATGATGCAACAATTGTTCAACATTCCAATTCTATCACTGGGGAATCTCCCAAACCTGCAATTTCTCCAACTCATGGTTCTGCTTTCCCTTGAAATCATCCAGCTTTGACATAAATTCGATGACCTGGGAACCATCTAAAGCATTTTGACCGAAACTACCTATTTCAAACTTCGTCGAAATATCCCTGATAAGTTGTTCACGGTCTTTGAGCCGCTGTTGCTGTTGCTACACTCGGTTGGAAGGTTTTGAGACGTTGATCATGATCAAAAAGAAATGGCGCATACATTAGCTTCAGAATTAAAGCGGGCTACATTGTTCAGATGGACATCACGATTCATTCTGCTGGTATCCAGCTCTCCCTCGATATCTTGCTTTTGAGCAACTGCTTTCTGTCGTTGTCGCTTCTGTTCCTGGATATTTTCGTCAAACCGATCCATACGCTTTTGTAAATTTTCATTGGAGCCTTCGAAACAATGTCAATAGGTGTTATTGTGTTTCATTCAAAAGAGTACACACCAAGAATCTCGGGTACATTCACTCTAGTCTCATCTAAATCGGCCTGCAGGGTTTTCTGTTTCTCCTGAAGATTTTCTATCTTGATATAGATCTCACGGAAGCGAGACGCGTATTCGTAGTATTTGGCATTGGCAACAACAACTTCATCGTAGTCTCTCTTTGTTTCTTCGTAGGTAATCTCCTTGACGTGAATGGTGTTCTTGAGCTCGGAGATTCGAGCACGAAGCTTGTCTGCATGTCCTTTTTCTTTCGCCAGACCCTCGAGTCGTTCTTTCTCAGTTTTGAGGTCCCCTACTCGATCTTTACGAAGGGCCTTGATATTGTCAAGGGCCTTTGTATATCTCCAAAACCGCCCCGGAGCCTGTTTAGTACGGACTAGACGATTCACCTGAAAATACTCACCTAGTCGCTTCGAAGATATCGTCGAATTTCTTTTTGAGCGCAGAAGGCTCGGCAAGCGGCCAGTAAGAATCTTCTTGGTGACAGAAGATGACATTCTCAAGAACAGCTTTAGAGACCCCTAACAACTGAGGTATCTCGGTGTCCATCTCAGCACACTTCGTAGAAATTACAGCTCTCTGCGTATGTCTTCAATCCGTGGTCATGGCGCTGCTACAATCGGATACTCACCTTGCTATTTTTCTCTATACTGGTGTCATCGACGGCCAAGATACTCTCCAACGTCTTCATGGTCAACCCCGCAGTCTTTTTGGTCGTGACACTCAAACTCCTCACAGCAAGCATCCTCTGTCCATTCGCGGCAAAAAACCTGAGTTTTACTTGTGCATTCACCTCCTTCTCATTAGCCATTTTTGGATCATGAACAAAGGCGCCCCCACGGCTATTAGGAGGTTGGTCTCCGGTGGTGGCGTACTTGAGGCATTCGATAATAGTCGTCTTGCCACTACCATTGTGGCCAACAATCACAGTGACAGGAGAAAAGAATTCAATAATGGAAACTTGCTTGTCGTCAAAAGAACGTATACCGCGAATTGCTAGTTTGTTTAGTGAAGCCATAGCTACCAGCGACGAGTAAAAGACAAACGGAGGTACGCGAGCAGTCACACGGAAGTCACATCACGCGGCTTCGGCTGAGTCATTCATGATTGAGTCACACGCGTCGCAGGGCGCTCGGAGTCGTCGCTCGAAAAATTTGATATCATGTGAGTAGATTAGATATGAGATTAGATCCTACTATTCTCCTGGACGCTCAAAGAGTTTTATCGACTCATAATTGCTGTCATGGCCGAAGTTTTGTGCGTAGACTTGTTTCTTCGAGAGTACAATCAAATCTACTGTTATCCTCACTGATACTAATTCTCAGGTCGTAGTATATCTCCTCTGCACAATATCCTTTCTCATTTTCGTTTCATCTTGACCTTGAGGTCTGAAGAAAGAAAATATCACGGGCTTATTCTCTTCAGGTTATCGTCCTCTTCGAGCAGTGCACGTTACGAGGACGAAGGGGCTGATCAGAGAGATCGGAGAGTAGATGATCTCGAAAACGATGCTTCAGGGAATGCCTTAAATCGCCAAATCTATGTAATGGAAGCGACTTGTCCTCATCTGGGAGCGGAAATGTCGCATGCAGATATTGAGGAGTACGAGGATTCGGTAGTTGCAGTATGTCCCTGGCATAGGTGAGTCTCCTGCCTTTCTCTGCTTTATTTTACTCGAACTATCAAAGATACGATTTTGACCTAAAGACTGGAAAAAGCGAGACCGGACTTCGAACATGCACCTACGACGTTCAAATCATGGCCGATCCGAAAACCGGCGAGGAACAAGTCTGGATGGAAGCTCCTCAGGGAGGAAGAAACTGGCGTGTCGTTGAGCTTAGGCCTGTGTCAGATGGTTTGTTTGCAGATTGTACCCAGACGATTGAGACTGACATCTACTTTTTCTCTTCGTAGAATTTGCTGATCCACCCCCAGAATCAATATCCTCCCTTTCAGCAAATGGGGTGGCTACGCCACACGCACAAGAAGCAACTGAACCTGTTGTTCCCGAGAAGAATCCACCGAAGACCTTAATGGAATGGGCAGTCTTAATACTGAATACGCCCAACCCGACGTTGAAGGTAAGAAAATTTCCCACCTTGTCTTCGCCTTGATTGTCCTCACCTTTTACTCTATCTATGTATAGGTCGAACGCACACGCTACGCAGTACATGCATTCCGAACAGGCGCCATAACGTCCGTCGGTAACAAAGTTGCCCATCCACCCGTTCCGCCTGCGCAACCTCCCCGAGAAACGTACATGAATATTGTAGAACCAGGCAAGATACAAAGTGGAAAACGGAAGAATAAAGCAGTGATGTTACATGCACTTGCAAACATCGAGCAGTGGGCGTGAGTATCAGATTCACTTTCATCTATACATGGACTTATTTTGCATCTGCTTTTCTATTAGAATCGATCTTGCGTTAGCATTACCCGCTATCATCATCTTTCTCATCTGACATTCGCTACCTTACAGCTGGGATATCATGGCGCGTTTTGGACCTATGCACAAGGATCTTCCTCCAGCGTTCTTTGCGGATTTCTCAAAAATGGCGTTGGATGAGTCGAAACATTTGTACGCTCCTGATTTGATTCTGCGGATGTGGCATCCATCTGATGATACAGTTTAGTTCTCTACTTCGTGCTCGTCTCACTGCCTTTTCAACACCGTACGGCTCACTTCCGATTCACGCTTCCCTCTGGGATTCCGCCACCCTCACCTCTCGCTCCCTTCTTTCCCGTCTAGCTATCATCCATCTAGTTCACGAAGCCCGAGGGCTCGACGTCAACCCAAAAACTATCGAGAAATTTAGAAAAGCTGGTGATAAGGAGAGTGTGGATGTGCTTGAGGTGATCCATGCGGATGAGGTGACGCATGTGACTGCGGGACATAGATGGTTCGTATGGATGTGTGAGCAGCAACAGCAAAGACAGGGTGGTCTGGAAGTAAATCCTGTTCAGGCATTCCGAGAGGAAGTACGTCGATGTTGGCATGGTGATATCAAGGGTCCGTTCAATGTAGAGGATAGAGAAAAGGCGGGTTTAAGCAGGGAGTTTTATGACGATCTGAAGGGGGAGATGTCCTATCCTGATCATGAAGAGAATGCTCGGATGACCATGAACAAAACCGCAAAGAGTGCGGAAATTTCTCCAGAAGAGACACAGGTGGAACAGAAGCGAGGAAACAGGGAGGGGCCGGTATACACAGCTGGCATTCAAGAGGCATTAGCCGCTGTCCGAGTTACTTATGAAACCTGAGCGAATGAGTCGAAACCGTTGTGGCTCAGTCAACCTCTTATTTTTCTGCCTTTTACAAAATGAAGATATATATTTGTTTATGAATTACGCGACCTAGAAGGATTTCACGTTTGAAACTGGTTCATGGAACGGAAGTTGAGAGTTGTCAGCCTGCGAGGAAAGGTTGAAGCTTCAACAGGCTCATCATTCTAAATGGTATCAGACCGGCAATCGCCAAAAAAAGGAAAACACTGCACGTACCGGCCAATGTCCATATTCACTGATCTTGGTATCAATTCCTTTCTTTATGCAGATCTCTTCAAGCAACTCGAATTGCGAATCATATTTCAGCTTTTCATCAGAATCCAGCAGTTTGAGGTTTGGCAACGTCCGCACCAGCATCAAGACATCTGCAATGCCTACGCTAGGTTCGGAATGCCGGTGAACCAAACTAAAATGCTCCAGAGTCGGGGGAAGTTCCCGAATGGAAAGTGTAGGGACGGAAGGTAGTCCTAGGAAAATCAACTCCCGGAGGTTTGTACATGATCGCAAAATCATCGCAGTGTGAATGTTGTATTTCATTGTCCGGAATGAATGTAGCCGAGGACCATACTCTTGCAGGAGTTTACTCACTCGGACGCTAGGCAGATCGCGTAGCTCGACAATCCGTAACGAGTCCCGAGAGTTGGATAATAGCCATGAAGAGATCTCGTATGGAAGGGTACGATACATAGACAGTTCGTATAGTTGAAACTTGGATGCTGCATTCGTCGGTGGATGAACGGCAATCTCCACTTCCACTGTGAGGAACTTGACTGTAGGGAAGAATCCTAACAGTTCATACAGAATGGGAGATTGCACGCTACACCGTGAAATATGTAGTGCTCGGAGACAAGTTGGGTATAATGGAGGTGTTGACGTTCGAAGTTTGGTGAGGATGGGTTGGAGGGAAATAATTCCAGAGGCACCAATGCGGAGCTCGTAGAGATTAGAGCAATATTTCATGAATAACTCGAATTCATATTGCGTGATATCAGACCAATCTTTTGCTGCAGGTTGGTATGAATTTGAAGACCCCATATCATACTGATACACCAATGAAAGGTCCAGAATACGAACATATTTCATGAGGGCATTCCATCTTTCTCTGCGGCAACGCTTCAGGGCATTCATGAGGCGGGGAGCTGCATATTCTGTAATATGATTATAAAGAAGAGTTCGGGAAGGAGCTAGCCACGTTGAGGAGATCAATGAGCAAGCAGACAAGGTTTTGTGATCTGGTTCCCTTGAAAGTATGAGAGCAGGACGACCACTATTTCCGCGATAGTAGACATGCTCTAAGATAGCGAAGATGATTTCGACAGGAAGGGCAGTCATTCGGTTGTTTCGAGAGAAGCGGATGCCTGCCGGAGCGCATTATTTGTCATTGGCCTGGCATCCAAACACGGTACAAAATTTTGGCTGGGCAAGTTCCGCAACTAAACGATGCTCACCGTTCTACGACATTCTTGTCGCAGTCAACCTCGCATTTTTACTCGTGGTTTTGCAGAAATCGTTCCTGTAGCCTCTGGCCGGGGTTCTAGGCCTTCTGCTCCACCTCCTCTCAAAGGCACCATCGACCCTCCGCCTACTCGTGTCATTGCTGGTCCAGATGGCAGTTCAAACGCTTTAAATGATGAATTCCAAGTTGCAGCTCCAGAACGACTGGGAAACCGTATACCAGTGCGGGCAAATCATGGATTGTATGCATTCTTCCGAAAGAAAGAACCCGATGCTGGTCAGACGTTGATAGGCGAGGCTCAGTTTGAAACTTTGGGTGGAAGTATAGAGATGGAAAGAACTCGTTCTGGTAAATGTCTGGTCTGATATATCTCAACTTATCTTACATCTTATAGGTAGGTCGTGGAAGGCGTCAGAGCTACGACTGAAGAGCTTTGAAGATCTTCACGCTCTGTGGTACATCCTGCTACGAGAACGAAACTTGCTCGCAACGCAGGAAGAAGAAGTTCGTAGACTAGGTGTCATGAAGGCCGTCCAAACTTTCAACAATCAAATCAGGATGGTGCGTGCTCGCCGCTTGACCTACGTTGTTATCTTATAGTCATCTTCAGTGTCGCAAATCTATGGCTCGCATCAAATATGTGATGAACGAACGAAGACTTGCTTACGAGGGTGCTGTAACCCTTGCCGAAGAAGAAAAGATGGCTCATGTTACGAATTTGGTGTTGAAGCAGCAGACGGCTGAATATCGAACAGAACGTGAACATTTACTCGGAAGGCAGAAAAGTGCGAAGATGAAGGCTATAAGGGAAGCCAAGAGGGTGAAAATGCAGGCTAAAATGGAAGCGCAGGCTGAGATGGAAGCACAGGCTAAGACGGAAGTGCAGGCAGAGACTGAGACGGAAGCACGAACTGCCGTGGTGCAACTCGATAGTGAGCAGGACCCTGTGACGGCACAGCCTGAATCTGTTGAGGTCAAGACAGATACTCCAGAAGAGTCAGCGTCACTTGAACCCGTTGAGACCAAGACCGATGCTCCTGAAGTAGTTCAGTCTCAACAGGTTGTCGAAAAATCAGAGCAGACCACGAAATTCCGGCCTTCACAGTCGGAAAGCGCGTCTGAAGTGGCGACTGCAGGGTTGTTTGGCACTCGTGGTAGACGTAGATAGGATATGCATTGGTACAAACTTTTCTAATTGACTTCAAATTGCGGGTCGGACTTGTGCTTTGATGCTTGGTGCTTTTCCCAGTTCCGCATTTCTTCTGACACCCAACAATCTTTCACTGAAGGATGTTCATACATCTCTAATTGCCTCTTTCCTTTTCTCATCAAATGCTCAATAGCACTAACATCCCTCGGAGACACACTTGATGCGTTTGATCGAAAAGTATATCGAATGTAAAGGGAAAACTTGTTTTGGGTGGAAGGCGGTTTCATTTTGACCATACGCAACGCACTACGTAGCAAGAGAAATATCAATGGTCAAGTTCATCCGCACGGACAAGAACATCAAACCGTCTGTATATGCTTAGGACATCTTTCTGTAGTCCTGACCTGCGCAAAGTGGACATGGACGTTTGATGACAAGTTGTTACCGGTGGTAATGACCCGTGCAACCCTTCCCGTTTATCGACATCCATTACGACGGGGCCGCTCAGATCTCAGACGCCAGCATGAGAATATCTTTCTTAATAATTCTTATGTTGTTTGGGAATTGATTCATGCTATGGCGTAGAGCCATAAGCTAATTGCGCCATAAACTTGCACAATGATATACATATGAAGTTCTTAATTGCAAGTGTATTCTCATCCTAATTCTCGTTCTTCCCGCAAACCCTATCAGAACTCATGTCTGAAATACTACAGCACGAGAAAGAGAAAGAGGAGGACCGAGTAGCGTCGGAACCCTCGTCGCCTGCAAATTTGGAGGGAAGCCTTGACTCGGACACAGCCAGGCAGCAAGCTGACCATCATCTGGTTCGAAAAATCGATTCACGGTGAGACTTCTACGCTTCCATTCCTCGTAAGGTTCCTTTTATGTAATTCCCTCTAGTCTCTTGCCCATTCTTACTCTGCTGTATTTGTTGAGCTTTCTCGATCGGTCAGTGTTCTCCTGCAAATCATACAGTGAGCTTGACATTCTTTCAAATTTACAGTACGAATATAGGCAATGCGAGGTAATTTACTTCCAGAAGAAGATTCAAGCTGCTTGAAGTTTAATTATTGCTGAATTATACGTTGTCCCTAGGATTTTAGGTCTAGCGACGGTAATGCAATCATTGTGGACATCATTGTCACTAGGATCATGAACTCACGCGTACCGTTGCTTACACAGGATCTAAAGCTTTCTGCTCCTGCATATAACACGTCTCTCGCATTATACTTCATCGCATACGTGCTATTCGAAGTCCCATCCAATGTAATCCCGTTTTCTTTCCTTCCGTTCAGCTCCCATGATGGACGAAACTCATGTCCTCTCTCAGATTGTGTCAGTCTTGGATTAACCACTCTTCGAATAATTCGTGGACGCCTCTGACAGGCTTCTGCTAGGCTAAAACGATTTGACCCCCAATTTTGGCTGCCGAGTCTTACCCTAGTGTGGGGAATTGTTAGTGTTTGTCAAGGGCTCGTGACAAACCAGGCGGGATTGTTTGGAATTAGATTTCGTGCGTACAGAGTAAAATACCGAGGAAGTCTTTGTTTTGGCCTCAAACAGTGTTCACACAGTACTCGGTGCTACAGAAGCAGGCTTATTTCCAGGCGTCATCTACCTCTTTTCGGTGTACTACATAAGGTCGATGCGGCGACACTGGCTACCTCTTCTGTGACTGTACATTGACACTTTCTATCCTAGGCGCGAACGGAGAGCGCGTGTAGCAATCTTTTTTGGTGGGGCTGCACTAGCTGGTGCATTTGGGGGTTGGTTTTCTATCTACTCAAAGGGAATTATATCGAGCATTGGTCTGTAGGGATTCTAGCGTTCGCAATAGGAAAGATGGAAGGGATAGGTGGGCGTCGAGGATGGCAATGGTAACACAGACAGCTTACGTTTTCTCTCTATACCATTATGCTAATTCGCGCTCTAAACGGCAAAGGATATTCATTTTGGAAGGCCTTCTAACCATCCTTGTATCCTTGATTGCGTACTTCGTTGTCCCCACCTGGTCATACAAGGCCAAATTTGTGTGTACTGGACCATTACACGGACATTAACCTAACCTGCACTTCAGCTTACTGAACCGGAGCGAGAGCATCTGTTATCCAAGCTAGACGCTGACACCGATCCAGCGCACAAGGAGCCTTTCCAGTGGGTCTATGTCAAGCAAGCGTTCACGGATCATCTTGTCTGGGGTTACGCACTACTATTTCACGGATATGCATTCGCCTTGTATTCACTTAGTCTCTTCATGGTGGGTGGGCTTCGGTCACATTGCAAGCACTAATTGATGCCTTCAAAGCCCACTATTATCGCCGATCTTGGATTTCAAAGTTGGCAAGCACAACTGTGAAACAATTCGTCCGCGCTATTGCTACGTTTTCGACTAAATGATTTTTCTTACCGTAGACTAACTGTCCCTCCAAACACGCTCGCCGCCCTTTCTATCGCATTGACAGTTTGGTTGTCCATTCGTTGCGAATGTCGAGCCATCCTCATCATCATTGCTGCAATTGTAGCTATAATAGGTGAATGTCTTTGAACATCGTGCACGTTTCGCAATCTTTGATATTCATGTTAATTAGGGTATATCGTGCTATCAACTGCTACCAAACGTCTGTAGAGTTATATAGATCTATGAAGAGTACAAGACTAACAACAGCCACTCACAGCCGGTGCCCAATATGCTGGTGTGCATCTCGCGGCTGCGGGTGTGTATACAGGGAATGCCTTGCTTCTAAGGTTCGTTATTCTTGTTTCATTCTCTGAGATTTGTTAACACCGGGGAAACAAGTTGGCCTGGTGAAAACGTTGCTGGCCAGACAAAACGTGCAGTGGCAGTCGCCATGCAGATCACCTTTGGAGACATTGGAGCAATTGCCGGGTTAGAATGTATCCTCCTTGCGTAGATATATGTACTAATCCCAGCTTAGAGTCCTGATCTACAGACCCAACTTCGCTGGGCATGAATATCGAAAGCCTCATATTATCGCCATAGGTTATCTTCTATTTTCGATCATCGTGGCTTCGTATCTGCGATTCTGGCTCGCTCGTGGTAACAAGGATAAAGATGCGAAAATGACTGAAGAATCAGCAGAGTCCATTAAAGACCGGCAGCGGCTGGGTGACCGACACATCCTCTACCGGTACGTCTATTAGTATAGCAATGGTAATGTACATACCTAGAATTGCACTGTACAAATTTATGAATTATTTGGTACGAAGAACGAAGTATTATGAATGCGAAAAACGAAAACGCCCTTGATGTGGGATGTGGAAAATGCAATGATATGAAGTGATGACGAAACTGGCATAAGGAGGCAGGGCGAAGGAATAATGATAATATTATGTAGTGTGCGTCTGAAACAAATCCATGCAATAGTGTCGTGTGTAAAAGTTTCGAAACCTAATATACAATGAGTTTTCTCCTCTTGGAGCGAGGTGACTTGTAGATGTACTCCTCATCCTCATAATCGCTGTAAAGCATATCAAAGGTCTCGGAGGTCTTCCGTTTTTCATTTGCGTACTTCCGTAACGCGCGAAGGTTTGTGGAAAGATTTTTGAGAAATTCAGTCTGGAAGAAAGGGGTCAAGACTCAATGAAGAACAGATCTAAAAAGTTACAGACCTTAGTCACATCAACGTTCGAGTTATCTTTCTTTTTTCGTTCTCGTAACTAAGAAGAGGTTTGCTTGAGTCATAGTCCTGTGCCATGAAGTCAAGGTAAAAACTGACATTGGCCTGTTCGCTTTTCTGTAAATCCCCTAAATGTTTGATCCAGAGTTCCAAGTGATGAACCAACGTCAAATTAGCTTTTTCTTCTGGCAAATCAACCTCCATGATTTCCGCCTCACTGTCAGAATCCGGAATGAGATAGGAACGATTCTCTGCAGCACTCCGTCGCGGCCGTTTCTTTCCTGCTATAGCGGTCCCAGAGTCTGCAGGTATGAGAGTACTAGCTGTACGACCAATAACTACAGAGACCTGGGTATGCGAGATACTGCCTCGTGGGGTCCTGTGTTTGCTTTTATTATTCCGTGAAGAATAATCCAATTTGGAATCGACGTAGTCTTCTTCGCTGTGGAAGAACTCGGCACCACTTTGTATAGCTGCGAACAAAGTATAGTTCTGTGAAGACTTTTTATCAGGAGACGCGAATATGCGCAATGCAAGATTGACGTACCGCAGCTCGTCCTAGATGGGCTAAAAGCTGGAAATGTTTCAACGTGATAGGAACAGGAGAAGTAGCAGGATCGCGCAAATAGTGAACGAGGATCTAAGTCTAAGACGTTACTTAAACACATCAACGCACAAAAAGCATCAGACGTACGTTGCTGTTATCATTTAACACGGCATGCGTCATGAAAATCGCAGTCAGGGGATGCTTGGGTCCAAAACTATTTTTGATCCATTTCGCGACGGAGAGATAATCTGGATTTGAGAAAAGATTAATCGATAGTATCGTGGAATTGTAGGACACAATGACATTGACCTGATGGAAGATATTCGAAATGATTGTAAAAGGTGTATTGATGATTGTATGCTCTACGACGAGATCTTGCGGGAAACTGCTCTTCGCGATTAATCATCGTTGTCAATGCCTCTCTTCCAATGGGGCCCTATTCGGAAGGTTAACCAAACACGAGCAATTAACTTGGCTACTAAAACGCACTAATTCCAAGTTATCCACACTGCTGCTCCCTTTGCACATGTCGCTTATGGTCTCCAACTCAGTTTCACCGTTCGAAGGATTTTCAACAACAAAGTAATCTGAGGTATTGCCGAAAAAGCCATTATCTCTACAAAGACTGGCCCGGTAGGATCTACAAGCTTCGGTATCTTCAGAGCTCGGTAGGTTGTCGAATTTCACTTGGTGTTTGTCCATAACGGCCCGAACAATAGTTTCATGAACGCTCGAATGTCCATCGTAAAGTTTTTTCAGCAGTTTACCCTGTATGATTCGTTTATGAGAACGATTACCGATACGCAAGGCTTGTTACGGACCTTGCAATCAAGCTCTAGCAGCCGCGTGGAGACGTTGCGAATGACATCCTTTATATCAACCTGATTCAAGCCTTTTTTCCCTTCCGAATTTGCCAGCTCGCTCTTCATATAATCGAGAACAGGCTGATATCGGTCCGTAAAAGGATGGACAAGTATGTTGAGCATATCCGTCGATGTTATGGGCCCGAGTTTCAGCGGTTCTAGCTTTGCTTTCAGCGAAGGTACACAAGAGGGTGTATCAGGCTCCCGCTCGACGGACAGAAATGCCGTCAATAGTATGACCAATCGGACGACTGGGTCGGAGGAAGGGAAGTCCGCGAAGAGATATCGAAGGTTCACTTGGGTACTTGATAACGTTAAAGAACGAGTATTCAAGAAGAGCTAGCGCCACAGTCAATTGGGGTATGAAGATCCTTGAATAGGTAAATCCCTTACCTTGATGAGATCTTCCACAAGGGTTCTGTAGGCAAGGTCAATTATCAACGCGATTATATGCGTCAGATGACCACTCACGGTAATTCAAAAAGCAGATCACCGGAGTTAGCAAGCAGCTTCAATGCGCTGTAGCCTACTTCATTATGCCTGGCCTCCATACAAATTTCCCCAGCAACCGTTCGACTTAAAAACATCCTGCAATAGATGAGCTTCGTCTCAGATCGTAAGAAAACAATTACATACGAAGGATCAAGTCGACAGAGCTCTCGTACATTATCGGCAATGGTCTCTGCTGTTCTATCACTTAACGTCGAACTTTCAAACATTTTTCGGAACACGAAGTCGCGGTACTGAAAGTATTAGTAAGTAAGCACGCATCGCTATTGACTTTCTGATCATCACATACTTTCTCGTCCATGTTAAATCCATTAGTGACCGCGTACGGAAGTAGACGAGGCTCAACCGCCAGAACTAAGGGAAACTGCGCCATAATAGGGTCCTTGATAACATTTCTTCCGTTGATTCATTTTCGCGTATGTATACAAAGAAAAGGCGTACCTTTTCGCTGAAAGGTATGAACTAGTTCAAAGATCATGACGTTGCACAAGATGACACGAGATGACGCGCGCACTTTATAAATTTCCAATATGTCACGAATGGTTTCCCAGCTAATTGACCTTAGACTTGGAGGATAGCGACTCTCTTTGAGATATGTCAGGAAGAGGGAGCCATCGTCTTGGCCCTAAACTCAGTCCATAGATCAATAAATGACTAAGGACCGGGAGGAAGGCGACGAACCTTTTCGCGTGGTATTTCTCCATAACGTGTTGAGGCCAGCTGCATGAAGTGTAAGAACACAGGGAAAGGAACGTTGCGAACCCATTTCGATTTGACAAAGTGAGTTTGGGTAAAGAAATAATGGTGAATTGCAATTTGAACGAGGTATCGAGAGAGGTGTGCGCCGCTGGTCATCAGAATCTGCCGATGGCAATCATAAAATCAGGAGTGTGTAAGGGGTGTGAGAATGTCAAGAGAAATGAGCGCGCTTCACAGCAACGAGGAAGGCGATGAGGAAAGATGTGAAGACGCATACATCAAGTACCCTTTCGTTAACGACCTTGCCGTGCCCGAGAGCCTCAAATACAGCTTGTGCTGGGCCATAGCGATTCAGAAAATAGTGCGCCCGAGCGTAAGGGTCTTTGGAGAATTGGTGCAGTCGTCGACAAAGCAAAGTAAATGGGGTTGGGTCGTGCAATTCGTAGAATATAAGTTGAAGAATTTCGTCTACAATTGAGATGAGGTAGCAATTAGGCATTGCCTCCTAGATGTAGAAAATCATCATACCGCACAGACGGTCCATTACACTGGATGAGGAGACCCCGAGAAGAAAAGATTCTGATGTAGAAATGTGCCACTAGATGGCAGCAACAAGGAGAATGAGGATGATGAAAAAAACAAGTGGGAAAAGGGAGAGAGAAACAGTGGCGATCAATTTAATGTAATCGGAGTTGCTACTGGTCACGTTGCCAAAACAGGAAATCTTTACTTTCAATAACTTGCGCCATGCGCGGGAGAAGGGATTTCACAGAATCACACAAGTTAAATCGCAGTCTCATGCATTTCGGGTCACTACGTAACTCAAAACATCCGTTGGTAATAACCTTTCCAGATCCTCCACGGTAGTCTCCAATCTCTCGTTTGCATACGAGGGTGGAAAACGTCGAAGTTTACTTCCTCTACTTGCTTAAGAATGCTTGACACCGGGACCTGCGTCCAGTAATAGAACAAAGAGGTCCCGATATGTCAGAGTGCCGAGTAGATCGAAGATAACAAGGTGCTTACCCCAGCAAGAAAAACAGGCATAGCTTCCCAAGGAACTTTACCCCCAAAACCCTCTTGGTGGAACATACTTCGTGCCGTGACAAGATGATCATTCGCTACTGTAGCAAACTCAAAAACCGCATCATCGAGGCCCTTGGCGGCCGGTCCTCTGCGAAACACATCTTCCTGCACCACACCATGTTTTGCCGTAATTTCTGCAGGAAGGACCATTCGTCCGTTTTTGGCATGAAAGGGCAGAGCACGAAGGAGCGTTGTAAAGGTTTGAGCGGCTCCAAGATGAGATGCGGCATGTGATAAAGTGGATGATGGTAACGAGAGTAAGGAAAGTAACAAGTACAACACAGTTGAAGAGGTGGATTCTGAATGGGCTGTTAGTGATTCGACGGTAAGGTGGACCGGTGCTTGTAATTCGGCGTCCTTCGGATCTCTTTAGCTGAAGTAGGCAACAACAGATGGTTGGGATGAGTACACACCCGAGCATCTATGATCCTTTTGAAATGGTAAGTAGGTAAATTGGCTTTGATAGACGCTTGATGTAGCGCGAGGGCGATTGGATGCGCAGGTGGATTTCCCTAGATCGAAGCCCATTAGCACAGCGAGAAAAGTCTTCGAGCGCGGCTTGACACACACATCATTCAAAGCCTTCGTGGCATCCCTCCAGAACTGCATCCTCATCATTCCGATACTCGAATTCGATACGTTATCTTGTATCATAGCCAGCTCCGTCTGTAATTTGCTTCAGTTAACCTTGAGGGAAAGCTAAAGTATTGGTACACGCACAGAGAAAGCTTTAAGAGCAAAGTACGGACCTCGGACCTCCTTTGGCCAGAATTGGCCAATTAGATACGCCTCATAGTCATATTTCTGGACAAAATTTGTGCAGTATTCGACAGGATCGATAGCTCCTGCCGCAGCCAAGGTCGATTGACAGCAAGGAAAAGTATAACTAGTCTTAAACCAGGATGCCCGAGAAAGACTAAAGGTGCATTTGAATGTTTTGGTAGAAAGCAGAAACATTGAATCTTGTCAACGGTAATGTCACACATCATGAACTCAATTTGTCACGTCAGTCACACGCGCAAAAAGTTCTTTCGAACCATAATCGCGATGAGCACAGAGACGCGTCAATTTGGCGACCTTGCGAACCAGCTAATCATGGAATCGCGTCGATCTACTCAGACAGATACACTGTTGAAGTACAACGACTCGCTCGTTCGCTTGCTCATTCGGGAACAGCGTGATCTCGAAAGAGCTGCAGAGGCACTCGAGGCAAGAATGGACGAACTGCAGGGCCCTCCTCCTGCTCTTTTGATCATTCAGACTGCTGTCTCCAGAAACAAACGCTGCCTTTTGGCCTATCACTCTCATCGCATCGACCGTCTTCGTGATCTTTATTGGGATGTTGGTGGTGCTCTGCCTCATATACTCAACAATCAGGATATTAGGAGCAAATTTTCCCCGCACGAGGTCGACTACCTTCGGCAATATAACAATTCACTTATGGAATTCCGCTCTGAGTTTTCTCATGAGCTCGATATAACTGCCAGTATCACCAATCCTCCCAAAGATCTTCATGTACTTGTGAACGTTGTAAAGGACTGCGGCGTCATCCAAACCGAATTAGGCAGCATTAACTTCCAGAAAGGTCAAAGATTTATGGTGAGACGTGCGGACATTGAGCATCTCATCATACAAGGTTATCTTGAGGAGGTTTCATAGGTGCATAGTAGTTTTAAAGTTTCATCATAAGATAGCTGATGGATGTAGGATCTAGGGTCTTTGAAGCCGTTCTTTGCACCTGTTTCAACACAGACAGTGACACTTCTTCGCATAACCGCCATAGTTTCGGGGCGTCACGAAATGCTCTCGGCTCATTTATACGTGTAAAATTCAGACTCCCCGCAGTCTACGGGCTTCCGATGCTCCTGAAATTTCGAATCTCCACGTCCAACGGCCGGTATTTTCGATATCCAGTTGCCCACTCGTGAACCGGAGAACATTCGTTTCATCGCGTACAATTACTAGAGCGAATGCATTAATTCTCATGTGGTGCTGGATCCATATGTGTGGCTTGATACAGCTGATATCATGCGAGAAAGATGTCGTGAAGGAAAATGGGCCAAAAGTGTCTCAAGAATTACGAGAGGTAGGGACTCCAGAGTCCAGATTGAGTTATGTCTGGATACCCCCCAGATCGTGGTCCATTTGGAATAGTTTCCGCCGTCCCGTCCCACAAGTCACTATGTCAGAATGTGACTCTGAGAAGAGATGGAGCAGATGCTCGAGCTTGGAGTCGTCGGTGACTCTGCTGAATAACACCGATTTGGGTCATTAGGCGTGTGCGCATGCACATGTTCCATGATACATGACTTATGCATAGCCTGTAGTAACTCAAGTACTGAATTCATTGTATTTCTATGTTACAAAATTCAGAGAAACGCGCGGACATTCCGCATTATTCTTTGACTGCTCGTCGACAGCAAATGACTTGCACGAGGAAGTCTAATTTTAAATCTTGGTTTATTCGCCTAGCGCTAATGATCGAGTAATCCCCTTCCCGTTCTGGCGCCGAAGACACTAACGAGTCTAGTACTTACGCATGCACAACATAGAAAGTCGCTCAATCTGCCGGGATTTAAACCTTCCGCACGCTAAGGATTCTTGGGCATCCACTTCTAGCAGGTAGAGGATGACTTCTCCCCAAGTGCCTCAGACGTTGAAAGTCAGCCAGAGACGCACCGATCTCCTGTTTTCGACTTCAAACCCTCATACTAGTAACAACAAGAATTTCTAAACTAATGTTCCAAACACGGGTCTTCCGAGCCTGTTCTTGACAGTCTATTATAGTTCGACGTTCAGAGCGCAGCGGCGTGGAGGGAGGAGAAACGATTAAAGGGTCAACCACAAATAATTAAGTACTATATCGAATGCTTGACCTTCCAATTTCATCCAAAGGACTTCAAGCTTCAAGATTCAATAGCTTGAACACCATCATATGCAGGTAATCTCTGACAAGCCTCCGTCCAGTCGATGTTTCCTTCAACAAGGTCAGTTACGATCGCGATGACTTCGTCTATTGAGCCGATGCGTTGGTCCATGGTATCACGTTCTCTAACGAGTTTCAATTCAGCTCGTGTGAAGAAAGAGGGGTTCACAATGATCAACTCTCACCTAATAGTCATAGTCCTATTCTGGACAGCTGTTGTACCAAGAACAGAAATGACGGAAAGAGATATATATTTAGTGATCCACTCAAAGGGCATTAGCTATGAAGTATTGTGACGCACAAGCAAAATCAATCGTAACGCCGTATGGGGTGCCGAGTTCATCGTTTCGCGCATACCGTTTACCGATGGAGGTATTTGAATCATCAACGCGAGAGAAGATACCTGCTCGTCGAAGTTTTGAAGCTACATTCGAGACCGTCAGAACATCGATCATGTTAGGCAAGAAGAGACAAGGGGTACTGACAAACTTCCTGCACTAGAGGATCGAACTCTTCTTTGGCACTTAGTGGTACAATGAGGACTTTTGTTGGTGCCACGACCGGTGGTAAAGACAACACCTGCGAAATTGATAGTTACTCCCGGATATGCATGAAGAAAAGGAAAGTCACATACCCCTCGCTCGACGTCCTGTTCCCTGCTCCAATACGTGTGCTCCAACAAGGTATAGAGTATCCGCCCAAGACCGAAAGACGGTTCAATGACGTTCGGTGTATATTCACGTACTGAAAGAATAATTGAACTATCAGCAAGTCATCTCAAAAACCAGGAAAGTAGCATTTACTAGACTGCTTGAATGTTTTACGCTCTACTCGCAACAAGTCAGGAGCTATCTCGAACGTTTTGCCATCGATAATAATGGTAGTGGGACTACAAAAAGGATGATTCAAATGGAAAATCATGCATCAAAACACACGCACCCCTCAGCAAGCTCGCTCTTGAGCTTTGACAAAGCTGCTTCATCGAGACTCTCCACATGTTTCTGCAGCACCCCAGCATCCTGCTTAAACGTCTTGCCCAGAGCTTTCTTATTGAACTCTGGTACCTCCTTCTCTGTCACGATAGGCTCTTTCAAAGCCTCACGGACAACTAGGGGATGCCCTGTTTTGGCTGAGTGCACAGTCAAATCATACGCTGCCCGGTCAGCGCAGCCAACACACTCTGTCCAACCAGTCGAATTTTGGATCTCAGCATCCCAGCAATCCGTAGCATAATGCGCCATTTCATTAGACATGTGCTGTCTGAACCTCAGGCGGTCGGGGTTGATCCCGATTTTCAAAAGGAAGAGGTAGATTCGGGCCATGAAGTATGCCAGAGTCTCGTTAGCGATGATACCTTTTTCTACAGCTTCCCCGATGCTCATCTTAATAAGCGTAGTGTTACCGGATGACTGAACATGTCTGTCCAAAAGAACTAGAACCACGTCTCGCATCTCTTTGAACCTCGGATGAGACTTGTTTTGTGGATCCACGAAGTGTTCGATTTCGGCCATGGTGAATTCGCGGACGCGGAGGAGACCTGCACGGGGAGAGATTTCGTTTCGGAAGGAACGACCTATCTGGGCAGATGCAAACGGTACGCGTCCGTTGTTGTAATCAAGAAGACGCGAAAAATTCAAAAAATGTCCTTGTGCGGTCTCAGGACGTAGGTAACTACAAAATAACGATAATCAAAATTTCATCAACTGATACTTAGACTAAAAGCTTACCCAGGGTGCTGTCCTGTAGGCCCAATACTACTAGCAAACATGAGATTGAACTCCTGAGGTTCCGTGACCTCATTATCAGTATCGGGATTTCTAATGTTGAATTTTCTACACAGTTCGCCTAGTTCTGCACCTGAGAAATTATCCAACTAAGGGGGCATGAGTAAGGCTGAACAAAATCCAGATCAAGATAAAAAACGACACGTACTTGCGCCAGAGTAACCTCATAGCTCTTCGCCACGTCGTCCGCGAGCTGTACCGCAGCAGCTTTGGCCGTCTTACTCTTCTTCTTCTTCTTATCCTTCTCGTCCTCTTTTGCGGGAGCAGCAGCCTGACCTCGAGCTTCCTTATCCCCAGCCAGCCTAGCCTCCAAAACATTCTTAACGAGATGATCTGCGCGGATGACATCCCCAGTTTTGACGTCTTTCACCATCCAGTCTGCAAATCGCGCGACGTGGCCGGAAGTCTCGAAGACAGGAGCGGGAGTCATGATGGTAGTGTCGAGTTCGAGCATAGATTCCTCCACGATAAAGTGTTTCCGCCATTCAGCGATGATGTTAGCTTGGAGAGTTGAGCCGGAAGGTCCATAATCGTATAGACCAGCGACGCCTAAAAGTATACTTGAGATGTGGGATTGGACTTTGCAAAGACAAATAAATTTTACCCCCGTAAATTTCGAAAGCCGGAGCGTAGAAGAATCTACGGCTCAGAAGAGCTTCGAGGCGACCTTTATCGAAAGGATGGGCCGATTTGTTTACATGGGACATGGTGTTAGTAGTATTATCTTTGATTCTCGTTGAACCGTATCGAATAGTAATCTTTGAGAGATTGTTTATCGATGATGGTCGCCTGGAATTGAGCAGGAACAAACGCATGTGCCAGCCACTGTTGGTTCTGACTCGAAAAAAATAAGCGCCGAAGTTATCTCTCTTGGATCAATTGAACTTTTGTATTAGCGAGGAGTGAATGTATTATAGTTGTCTATCGAATGCAGGTATACAACAATACTCAGTGCCTACGAGTTCATATACGATAACATACTTCGCCTTCTCGCTTGTTCCTCTTTATCCCTTCTCGCAAACCCCCTTCGACCTTTCCCCCATTTCTCCTTCCGAGCTCTGGCCTCTTCTGCTCGACGAAAGTGCGCCGCCAGTGCAGCTGTGTTGTGCGTTACCCGTTTGACTGATTCCTTGTACGGACCTGCAGTTTTTGCTTTCAACCCGATACCTAGCCGGTCGGATTTAAGCACCGTAGGTAGCGGCGTAAGTAGAGCTTTGCGACCACTGGCAGAAGAGATTTGCTGCTGCTTGTCGTCAAAAGTGACTAAAGAGTCTGTTGTGCTATCGTCTTCTGGCTCTGAGTCTGATTCGGAGTCCGATGCAGTAAGATCTATGATGGGAATCTTCTTGATTTCTGTAATCTCTCCATCTCCGTCTCCTAGTGGTACCTCCACAACAGTTTCTTCCTTCTCCTCCCGCTCCTCTTCCATTTTGACCCACGGACTAGGGTCGCCTCGCTGTATCCGCCTCCGACGTACAACGTCCTGGCCAAGCGCCTCTCCTTCATTCCATCCACTATTCTGCAGCATAGCGAACCCCTTATTGGAAGGCCCGATGGCGAGGAAAACAGGAGGTTTGAATGGTTCTTCATTTGGAGCCGGGGGAGGATTGCGTGCGAGGATGTCTGCAAGGGAAGGGGAAGCAGCAGCAGTTGCTGGACGGGTTTGAGAAGATGATTCGGAGGCGAGGACTTTTTGGATGAACCAGTCGTTCTTCGAAATTAGTGGTTTGTTATGGATAGTGGCGGCACTAGCTTGGGAGCGGGAGTGGGAGTGAAAAGAAGAAGTTGCTCTAGTGTCTTTGACATCTGCAGATGATATCACAGAGCGATACCATCCAGATACCTCATTAGAACTCAACCGACCTGATGAAAGCCTGGAGGAGCCTGCACCTGGAGTACTCGTACTCCAGTCATCTACAGTCAAGCTGGAAGTACTGCTGGCTGGCACGAACCGAGGCGGGGGAAGTGGCTGCTTTCGCTTGTATACTTTCGCGGCCTCTAACTGCCAGGCATCGTCGTCGTTATTCTCTGCGAGTTGACCAGTCTCTCGTTCTAATTCCTCGCGATCTACCGGGTCATAATGAGAGTAAATTGTATAAGCCGTGGTAGCCATTGACACACTATTGGAGAAGAGAGATGATGAAAGTTGTTGTTGACCCAATGAGTGTGAGACTTTTGACTGCAAAAGGAAGTTTACATTCAAATCCTTTGTACCTTCAAACTTGCTTCTTTCCGGAGAGAACGAGAACGATGGAGGCTCTTTTATTCAACGTATTGTCCTTCGGCCCTTCTATCTTGAACTCAACTGACAGTGTCTCCCTAGGTTGATGGCGGATTTTTAGAAGGAACAGTTCGTGGATACAAGGCCGGTATTCTCACTCAATCGCATTATGCCAACCTGACCCAATGCGAAAGTCTTGAAGGTAATCGTGTATTCTTTCTATCGACCTTTATTATAACCCAAATTACGCCTTTAGACTTTCGAACGCAGCTTTCTGCGACCGACTACGGGAACTTTCTCGCTAACGAGCCCCTACCAATCTCGACAGCAACCATCGCCGACAAAGCTACCCAAATTCTCGTGGACCAGTTCAAGTACCTACGGAACAACGCCGTTGAGCCTCTGAGTAAGTTTTTGGACTATATAACGTGCGTGCACTGGTTACCTACATCTCCATCTGAAATTGTGCTTATGGACATGCTTCATTGACCTGCAGCTATGCGTACATGATAGACAACGTGATACTTCTCATTACCGGAACACTGCATGAACGGGATACACACGAACTCATTGAACGATGTCATCCGTTGGGTGTGTTTGAGTCCATGCCAGCGCTATGCGTAGCGTCAAATGTAGAGGAGCTATTCCAAAGCGTATTGGTAGAAACACCACTAGGTCTGTCCATTGCCATCTCCCTGAGTTAATTATGTGCTCATTCTCTCCTTCTGAAGCTCCGTACTTCCGCGACTGTCTCTCAGCTTCTGACCTCGACGATCTCAACATTGAAATCATCCGGAACACCGTCTACAAAGCTTACCTAGAGGACTTTTACGCATACTGCGGTAGCCTGGGTGGGCCTACTGCGGACGTCATGCAACGCATCCTCTCTTTCGAAGCCGATCGACGGACAGTCAATATCACTATCAACTCATTTAACACTGAACTGTCCAAAGACGAACGTGCGAGACTGTTCCCAGCCATCGGCCGTCTTTTCCCTGAAGGAAACAACCAACTCGCGAAAGCAGATGAAATTGACCAAGTTCGCTCAGTCTGCGAAAATGTTGGGGAATACCGACAATTTTTCGCTGACGCCGGTTCTTCCTCTGACGAAGACTCAGGAATTTTGTCACAGTTGGAGGACCGTTTCTTCCAAACTGAAGTTCATCTAAACAAGATGGCATTTTTGCAGCAATTCCAGTATGGCGTATTTTATGCGTATATGAAACTGAAGGAACAGGAGATTAGGAATATCACCTGGATTGCAGAATGTATTGCGCAGAATGCGAAGGATAGGATTCAGGACTTTATACCCATTTTCTGATGTACTAGCTTTTTGGAGGTCAGTAATAAACAGATTGAATGACGTAACGATGGTGACGTATGCAAGTTCCTCGGATATATAGAACGAAATTTTTTGAATTTGCCTGTCCTCTTCACCGTCACAACAGGTCGCGGGTGGTTCCCGCTCATTTCAACCAGGCTTTCGAATCTTTTCCTGCTCTTAGCATCACGCTGGTTCACTGCTTTTCATATTGCCCTTTCGTTACAATCAAGTGGTCAATCCCTGTGGAAAATCGATAAGCCCCAAAGCCCTCGTTTTGAGGCAACTCTCAGCCAGTTGCATCTCTGATAATCACTTTTTGCCACTCGCTATGAGCGCGCGCACTTTCTGAGACCGAGTAGCCTGCTGAATTATATTCGCGCTACAAGGTTATCACCAGATCTTGCTTGCTGCGCCGCGTACGAGGCAGGCGATGACCGATTCGTCGACAAGCAAATGGCAACACCTTCCGCTTCAGGTGTATAAATATCCGAATGCGCCACAAAGTCCTCCCTTTCGGTGAGGCAACATTGTCCATCCTTTTGGGCGGTTGTTACACACCTTCCGCTTCAGGTGTATAAACATTCGAATGCTACAAGAAGCCCTCCCTCGTTTGGTGAGGCAGCACGTTTCGCTTTGACGTGTTTTTAAATAATCAAGGTCTGGCTCCGTCGTGAAACATCGATGTTGTAGCTTCCCTCCCTCCGTTTTTGGTTCGAGGCAGACACGTTCCGCTTGACGTGTATAAATATCCTCACAAGCCTTGCTCCGTTTTGAATACTTCTCACTATCAGTGTTTTGTGTTTGACGTTGAGCCCGTCTCCCAATGCAGGAGGTCGTCGTCGTCGTCACTTGTGATCAGCGAATGAACCCTCTATTTGGTTGTAGGCAACCGTCTCCCAATCGAAAGCTGTTGGTCGTCCGCATTTTCATGTTGTCGGTGAACAAGTTCTTCATTGGTCGTAGGCCAGCAGAGTACGCCTGATCCACGTTTCTCTGTGCCCAAGTCAGTACTACATTTAGCAGAGGGCTACTTGGCGGACTAGGTTGCGCTCTTCTTTTGGGTCGAGTGCATTTGCTAGGAAAGGTATTCGTCTCGCTTGACGGTCCGGAGACGCTTTTCTAGCTCCTACAGGTGGCGTGCATCTTTGCCTAATGCTCGTCATCTCTAATGGCACTTCCGGCGTGTCATTCCTCTGTGTTATTGCGGTGCAAATGTGCATTTGTTTCTACACGTTCGAGTGAAACGTGCACTTCTGTAATCGTAATCAGGCTATGTGGTGGGATAGTATCTGGATGGTTTGTATCTGTAAACGCTTGGTTTCAACAAACAGCCGAAGACAGGATTGTTCATATTACTTAGTGTGAAATTAATATACATCCCCTTCCTGCCACTGCAACCAGTGTCAGTCGCGAGGCATTGGCTTTAATGAACGTCATGACTATTTTCTTTTTTAAATTGCGATGTCAGTCTTTCTCAACATCCAAAAATTAGTTGACATGATGTAAGAACAAAAAGAAGGTACACTACAATAGTCTTTGGCTAGTACACAGACATACTTTCCGCCAACCATCATCACTGATTCTTCCTCTCATTAGCATTGTACCCCTTCGGCATTGAATCAAGCCTCAGGGGACTTTGAATACTAGCCATCGCGGAGATGCCAAAGTAGAGCACGGGTAAGAAGATGAACAGCACCATCAACAATACCATAATAAGCCCCGGGGTGAGGAGCTGGTAGTTGTGCAGGATACCACCTTTGTTTTTCTTCGCTAGGATGGACGGTGACGAAGAAGCGGCCTCATTCTGGGTCAGATCGAGCACTGGTCGGGCAGGAGCGGAAACGTTGAGATCTTCCTGACGCTTCGAGTGCATGGGAGGGGTACCGGTGTAGATGACGACAAGGTTCGAGAAGGGCAAGGCGTCCAGGGTGGTGAACAAGAGCGCGTCTATAAGAGATCGCATAAGCACTGCTGCGGGGAATATCGTAGCATAGAAGGCCCAAGCGCACCGTGTTCAACCATACCATTTATACGACTTTCGCTCTGAGATCCCTCGACACCCGGCAAGTTAACAACTACAACTGATTTTTGACCACCTGCTTGGAAATCGACATCACCGCCTTGCCCGGCCAAGATGTTGATTAGCCTTGCGTGACATTTCTGAGATACGGATTGCGCGAATTCAAGATGATGTTCATTTTCACCGGAAGTAAACATGGCAGGAACATAAGCGTATTGCCGGGAAGAAGACGCAGCGGATATCGAGCGAGCAATGTGTGAGGTCTTGGGAAGTTTGCGCAGGTCTGAGACGTGGAGCTGTAAAGTGCATTCAGCGACAGAGAATGTTTTCGTTGGGAAGAAGAAAACACATACACCAGGTTGGTGCACCAGAATTACCGCTTCATGATCACAGACATCATCGTTCATCAACATGGTTTCGAAAACATTCTTGGAATGTAGGGTACCGGAAACAGATGAAGAAGAAGATGGTAGACGGTCAATGAAATTCGAACTGCATGGAGAAATTGTAAGCAAGAATCCTTGGAAGAGATGATTTGGTCGTACCTGTGAGACGACCATGCGAGAAGCGGTGCAGTATTTGAAAAGGCCAACGCCAGGGGCGAAAAGACCAATAATGACAAAAGTGTTAGACGGGACATGGAGGTGCGTACGAGGAAGAAGCGGGTTTCCCAGAAAGGAAGAACCGGTCCGGCAGAGGACCGAACTCTTAGACGCTGTGGGGTAAGCGCCCGGTACTTTTTTGCATATGATTTCCGAAATCCGGAACTTAGGTCGTCTGCTCGGGGTCTGCTTAAATCTCTCCTCTTTCTACCCTTCTCCATCCACAATGTACAGAAACTTCTTACTTCGCACGCTGGGATCGCTCAGGGCATTGCGTTCAACAAACCACGCGAGGTATGTCGAGCTTTCATTCCATCATATATGATTCCGTCGGTCTCAGACTACTATCTATATAGACCCTTCTCCTCGTCAATACCCCGGTTGGACGGTGTCAAACCTCTCGATGTACTGACAGAAGAGGAAGAAATGATTCGGGAAACAGGTCTGTGTCGTCTTGTTTCGAGGCGCGTGTGCTGGCTGAAGTCTTGCGGTTTCTCAACACCCGTTCTGCAGTTCAACGCTTTGCCAACGAAGTAGTCAAGCCCAGGGTCAGGGAGATGGACGAGAACGAACGAATGGACCCGGAGATTATCAAAGGGCTTTTCGAGCAAGGGGTATGCCGTTACTAGCCGTTTACGATATTCTCCTATTGTGCTCATACTTCGACTTGATTCCAGTTAATGGGTATCGAAACTTCTGCTGCCCACGGGGGCTCTGAATCATCCTTCACATCTGCTATCATCGCTATTGAGGAGCTTGCGAAAGTCGACCCGTCCGTCTCCGTATTGTGCGACGTACACAACACGTTGGTCAATACGGTGATACGAAAGTATGCGACTGAGACGCAGAAGGAGAAGTGGTTACCGCTTTTAGCTACCGAACAAGTGAATCTTGGATGAGTCGAGTAACGAACTTGGTGCTCATCAATTTGCAGCTAGGATCGTTCTGTCTATCCGAAGCAGCTTCAGGGTCCGATGCATTTGCCTTGCAAACAAAAGCTCAGAAAGTTGGTAACGATTACGTGCTGAACGGAACAAAAATGTGGATCACCAACTCCTACGAGGCCAGCATATTCTTAATATTCGCTAATGTAAGTTTTTTTTCTTGTGGAAATCTTTGTAATTTCTGTCCACAATCTCAATCCACGCGTCTCACAGATTGATCCCTCAAAAGGGTACAAAGGAATAACATGCTTCATCGGTACGAAGGATATGGGCATTGAAATTGCGAAGAAAGAACAGAAGCTGGGAATTAGAGCATCGTCTACGTGTACGCTCAACTTTGACGACGTCAAGGTAAAGTTATTCGTTTCGAATTTACCATGACTACTGATCTCAACGGAAATATTGCAGATTCCTGCGGAAAATATTATTGGTGGTGAGGGTCAAGGCTACAAGGTCAGACATCTCTTCCACGTAGAATATCTAGATATGCTTATGCGTCTTAGATCGCCATTGAAATCCTCAATGAGGGTAGGCCGTTCTCATTCCCCTGTCCCCTCCCTGCCATTCCTAAACTGAAATATTTCTTCACAGGTCGTATCGGTATAGCAGCGCAAATGCTCGGTCTTGCCCAGGGAGCCTTTGCACTCTCCGTCCCGTACACCTACACCCGGAACCAATTCAAACAGCCTATAGGAACCTTCCAAGGCATGGCTTTCTCGTTTGCTGAAGCCGCGACCCAGATCGAGACTGCGAAACTCTTAACCTATAACGCGGCACGTAGAAAAGAGGCTGGGTTAAGTTTTGTGAAGGAGGCGGCCATGGCCAAGTGGTGGGCTAGTAAGGTCGCGCAGGAAGTCAGTGGAAATGCGATTGAGTGGATGGGTGGTTTAGGGTTCACGAGGGAGACTGGGGTCGAGAAGTTTTGGAGGGATTCGAAGATTGTAAGATCCAGTCGGTATGGATGGGTGTGCATACTGACGGGAACCACTTTTATGTCTTTTTTCTCAAGGGTGCAATATATGAAGGGACATCAAATATCCAGTTACAGACAATTGCCAAGTTCATTCAGAAAGAGTATACGCCTTGACGGTTCGTAGAATCGCTGCTTTCTTTGGCGACATAGATATTACTTGCAGTTTCAGCTCCGCCTCAGTAATCGGCGAACTGTAGGCCAACTTTACGAATTGACAGAATGTGCTGCACAATGTATCAATATTACCTGAATATCCAGCAGATCAAATTAACCGTTTATCTATCGGGAAAAGAATCCAAGGCTCAGAAAAATAAAACACTTTATTCATCAACAATCCCTCTGAACAGCACCCACTTTGACAAGGTATATTTTTTCTTGAGTCGATGTTATTCCATCGATTGCAGTTAGGAACGGAATGGACGCGAAAGAAATTTCAAAAAATGAACGCTATGGAGGTGGAAGAGACTTTGAAGAAGAGACTTCGAGGTGAAACAGTCCTGATGTGTCCTCAGGTAACTTTCTCTTCAGCCAGCGCTCTGGTCTATCGAAAAAATGCGCCAGGTAGTCACCAACGGTAAGTTAGACTTTAACCGTCCCACTGCTGCAAATTTCGGTTGAACATCATTCTTCGCCGAGAGTTTCCAGAAATTGCAAAAATGCTCGCCCGTGTTCACAGTACCAGACACACTGCCAAACATGGACTACAACCTGGAAGGTAATTTCAAAATCCCTCCTTTCCATGCATGCCAGTCTGCAACCTTTTCCGAAGTGGCTTCCTCTTGAATTTGGACAAAAAAAAGTCGAATTCTGCCAGTAAAATTTGAAACCAGGTACTTACTGACAGGGGTTACCGAACTGACGTAGAATTTAAGAAGAGTTCCATCCGGAGAACGGTGGACACGTGGTTCAGCGTCGAATTCAAGGTTCTTCATTGTGTCCGTGGCGGCAAGCTTGTCCTTCTGCGGTTGTACCGCGATGGTACTTTTCAGATCCATTTGGTGACTGCGAATTTCATCTTCCACTTCCGTTACTACATGATTATTGATGAAAATCTAACATTGAGAGTGGCATGAATTGTAGATGCAAATGTGAGAATAACTATACTTAGTAGTACGCACGTAGTTGAGTTTGCTGAAGGCTTCTTCGTCAATTTCGATTTCGAGCTGTAGAGGCAGTAGAATTATTCAACTGTTGAGTGGACTTTTGGAGATGATATTAGTGATCACCAACCTCATAAATTTGTTTTCTAAATCTAATATGCACTTGAATGATCTCTTTATTGCCGAACCTTTAGGTAAGGCTCCTTACAAGAATGTTTCGTCCATTTTCGTAGGGGGGAAGTTGGCCTTATCCACCAGATCTTGTACCGATATAGAAATACATTCAATCCGGCATTTGCCAGCCTTGAATCAATGACTTAAGATCCGAATACAATCGAGTCACATTGACTGAAAACCAATTCATTTCGACTCATGTTCATGTATATATAGATGCTGTTACCTCTTCTTTTTCTTCCTTCCTTTCCTTCCTTTCCTTCCCTTGATTCTCACTGATACTTATGTTCAATACGTGGTCCCTCTCCAATCCAAATCTATCCCTATCTTCAGACTCACTTGAGTCAATGGCTGCACCCTTGACAGGGACTATTGCATCCTCACCCATGATTGGGAATAATAAACCTGAAAATGATAATACTGTGCATGTTACAAATGAAATTCCACATACATCCTTGTCATCTCAGCACCTGTACAAGGCATCTGAGTTTGCTCTTCTGACTGTTCTTCAAAAACAGCAAATTTTCAATGTTCTTATTCAATCTCCCTCAATTTCTTGTAATGAATTGCGTAAACTTGCAACTTTGCATGTTGATTTGACTACATGGGATTCCCAACATCAGCAGAAAAATAAAATGAAATTGCTCAGTGACTTTGCTCAACATTTTTGTTCCAATCATTGCCTTATCCGTCAAGTCCAAGCTGAAACTGTGGGAATTACCCATATTCCTAGCATCTCTCAATCTGAATTTTTAGAATGTGCAAAGGCACTAAAGCTCCGGAACTACAATGAGGTCTCTGCTTACAAACACAAGTATGAACACAAACACTTTTCCCAAAAGAAAATGAAAATTTCACATACTTCTACTTCAGCTGCAAATGATGTACATTTTACAAGTCCTGTTGTTGATAGTGAGATCTGGCCTGAAATATTGTCCTTGAATGAAAAGCAGGCCATTCTGCAAGAATCATATGATGCTGGTTCTAATGCTTCAATCAGGATGATTGAGTGTTCATTCTGTGGAACACTTGAAACTGGAATGAATATTTGTTCTATTCCCTGTACAGATTTAGATATATCTTTACTTGATACAGCAGTGCATGAGATTCGCTTAAAAACACAACAGGCCACAATTGAAGCTTTTCGTCATGAAACAATCAATAATGACTGCTATCAACTTTGTATCCAATGTAAACGTGAAGTCAGATACAAAACTTCAATTGATAATTCTGAGGGACATGGTAAATCACAACGCAGCTTTGTACGCTTACCACTCCGTAGTTATGCAAATGGAACTTGGACTGGTGATCTTCCAAATGCCTTGAAAGGTTTAACATTTCTTGAAGAGCAATGTATAGCCCGGGCCCGAGCTACCAAATGTATGTTCAAATTGGAACTTGGTCCATCAGGACAGTATGCTTCACGAGGAAATGTATGTATTTTTCCACAAGATCCAGGTCCTTTGGCAACATGCCTCCCACCTCCTTTATCACAGTTACATGATGAGATCTGTGTTATTTTAGTAGGATCTCCTGATACTGAGATTACAATTGAAACACTCACTCGAACTCCCCTTCTTGTACGTAGATCAAGAATTATCAATGCTCTCCAATGGCTTCGACTAAATAATCCATTATACTATGATCTCAATCTTGATGCAATGCTTGTAAATGCAAATCAATATCCTGAACATGGTATTCCAATTCCTTTGAAGAGTATAATCCGTACATCATCTAACTCTGAAGGCTCTTCATACACTGCACAAGCAAACTCAGAGCAATTCAATGAAAATGTCTCTTCTTCTGGCATGCTGTCTTCAACAGTTGTTGATGCTGATCATATTGACTCTACATATCAAATGCGCAAGCTTAATGCACTTCAACAGCTGAAAACTGGCAACAGTCCATTTATCAAATTTCCATCTGGCTCTATTCCTTTGTCTACATACAAAAACCCAAAAGTGTATGCATATCTATGGCCAACACTTTTTCCTTATGGTGTTGGTATGATGGAAAATGATGATGTGCACTGTAACAGTTCAGTTGGATTCCGGCACATTGATATGCGTACACATATAGCATACCTCTTACAAAGCAGACCAAACTTTAGATTTCAAACACATTTATCATTCATCTTTGTCATAGGAAATATATTGCAACGACGCCAAACTTCATTTAATGCAAAGTTGGCTGTGAAACGATCTTGGTTTCCACGTGTTGAAATGTTGCTTGGCAAACTATCAAATGATACAATTCTTGAGTTTTCAGAAAAGTTAAAGAAAAACCCATTTGTACATCCAGAAACTGAGGGTGAGAAAGCTGCCAAGCAACTTATGAAGTATATCAACTATATTGGTGAAAACATTCCAGGGTCAATGTCAGAAGTTCAAAACATGAGAGAGGAACTGTTTTCACTTGTTCATACCAATGGCCTTCCTCATGTTTTTTTAACATTGAATCCAAGTGATACAAATAATCCAATAGCTCAGGTTCTTGCAGGACGTAATATTGATTTGGATCAGATCTTTCATGACCTGAAGCTACATAGTGAGAATCTTGAACGTTCAACTTGCATTGCACAAAACCCCATTGCTGCTGCTCAATTTTTTGATATTTCAGTCAGAAATTTACTTGATATTCTATTGGGAACAAAACGTCAGAATAAAAAGGGTGTCTTTGGAGAAGTTGCAGTATACTATGGTGTGGTTGAAGCACAAGGCCGTGGTTCATTACATATTCATCTACTTATCTGGCTAAAGCATGGTCTATCACCCAATGAAATCAAGTTCAAATGTGAATCTGATCCAAAATGGGCTCAACATCTTATTGATTGGTATGATGATGTATTTTCTCAAAGCATTCCAAATCACACTCAAGAATACATCCAAACAGAGGGAATGTATAAGCGTCAACCAGTCATGAGCCGGCCAATGAATCCACAAATTTCTGGATATTGGTATTCCTTTAATCAAGATCTTCGGAATGTACTTGAAAATGCTGGTATGGTACATGAGCATACTGATACTTGCTTCAAACATTTGCCTATTAAGCTAAGATCTTTGCGGAATGATGATAAAGATTGCCGTTTTCAACTTCCTCGGGATAAAGTAGAGAAAACTCACTTTGATGAAGATGGATACCTTGTTCTGAAATGCAATAATGGTAATGTAAATGGTCATAATACAATCATAACAGTTGCTGAACGTTGCAATACTGATGCAAAGCCAATTGGGTCAGGATCAGTGGCAATGGCCATGTTCCAATACTTTGGAAACTATACTATCAAGAATACTATGGACACAGCTTTTGTGTTTTCTGCTTTATGTGCAGCAATCAAAATGCTATCTGATAACCCCCCTATGGATATTGATGGAAATCTAGATACATATGAGCATAGCCGCCAATTTCTCATCAAGACTGCTAATAAGCTCATTGGTAAACGTGAGCTCAGTAGTCAACAAATTGCAAGCAAACTAATTGGGACACCAAGCTGTTATACAAATTGCAGGTATCCTATATTTTATTGGTCAGCAATGCTTCGAGAAATTGCACCTGAGGTTTTTGATACTGCAGATTTACACAATGATGAAGAGTCTGATATAAATTGCAATGGTAACAATATTGAAGACCCAGAAACATTACAACAGAATCTCCCACCAAGGGAAGAATTTGACTGTGATTCATTTGTACTCCTCACTGAAAAAACTTTGAAAACTGGCAAATTTTCATCAAAGAGTTATACACACAATTCTTTGTTCAATGATATTTTTTTCCGGCCTGATGTACTTTTTGACATTTGTGCTTGGGATTTGATGTGTGAATATTCAAAGGAGGAATTACCTGAATCAAAGAAACAAATCAAAACTTACCTACGATTCAAGTTAGGACACCCCCAGTATACAACACATTGCTTGAAAAAAATAGATGCAGATAATTATCAACGAGTTCCTGTACTCAAAGGCTATCCAATTCCTCGGAGTGACAAGATTGAGTGTCAGGATAAATATATGATAGCTATGCTTGCTCTCTTCAAGCCATGGTCCCACAATGAGCAAAGTCCATTAAAAGCACCTCAGGAAGCTTGGAATACTGCCTTCAATACTTGGAAGGATACAGACTTATTCAAAAGTCATATAAGGATTATTAACAATATGCAGCTACTGTATGAATCCAAAGATGCTAAGTTAGATTATTCTGCCCAAAGACAAAAAAGATTGGCAGAGCTTTCCCACAAATTAGCATCAGAAGAAGATGATGGTGAAAGCTATCTATATGATCCTGAATGGGAGAATGCTATGCAAGTACAAGTACCAGCTACAATTGATAATGATATTTTACAAGAAGTAGACAATTACAATGTTGTATCACAAGAAGTGCTTGATGTTATGGAAGCAACAGTTCAGAGAGGTTTCTACAAAGGAGAACTTGATTCATCTTCAAAGAAGCAACTGCAAAATTCATATTCTAATTGTACACGGGTTGCTACTTTGCTTGACAAAGTGGCAGTTGAAGACTCAATCAATTCTATTATGAAAGAGAAAGAAAATCTTGTTAAAAGACGTTTGGAATTTATCAGAAAACCTGATTCCCAACTACATCACCGCTTACCAACCAGTTGTATTCCTTCTCCTTTTGCTACCGAGTTAAACAAGGAGATTGAATATGCTCAAAAACTTTTCATGAAATTTCATCCAAATTCACCTGCATGGGATGAACTTAAATTTCATCAGAAGTTGGCAATTGCATTGATTAACAAACATAAACTCAATGATCAGCAAATACTAGCTTTCTTATTGTTAGCTGATACTGTGGGACACCAATCACTTACAGACAAGCCTGTGGAGCCTTTGCGTATGCTGGTTACTGGCCCTGGTGGAACTGGAAAGTCCCGAATTTTTGCAGCATGGTCTGATTTTCATGAAGGAATTAATTGTAAAGATGAATTTCGGCTCACAGCCCCAACAGGTGTTGTTGCAAGCCAAATTGGTGGTTGCACTATACATTCAGAGGCTGCACTGCGAGTTGCTCGGTCCACAATGAAGGCTGAAACTGCAGGTGGACAAAAAATACGGAGTCAGTTAGAAAAGCGATTTGCTCCATTGCGTACATTAGTAGTGGATGAAATATACTTTATGAGCCCAGAGAATATTAGCATTCTTTCTGAATATTGTTCTATTGCAAAAGGCATAACTGAGCATCCATTTGGGAAATTGAATATTATAACATGTGGTGATCCTGCCCAGCTACCACCACCAAGAGCAAAACCTTTGTTTGACCGTGAACTTGTTAAATGTTATGAATCAACTCATCTGAATGCATTGAATAGTAAAACACAGTATGAAGTCAAGGGAATACAAGCTTGGCACCAAATAGACAAAGTTGTTGTTCTTTCAGAAATAATGCGTCAAAAAGGGGATGATATGCTGATTGATATTCTCAGCCGACTGCGTACTGGTACTTGTACCCAGGTAGATAAAGATATCCTGGATAAATATGTACTTAGTAATGATGCATGCTCAAATGAGACAAAAAGCCTCATTGATATCACACAGTGGATAACAAATCCTGAAAGGGCATGTCCTCTAATTACTTACACAAATGCAGCAAGAGATGCCCACAATTTTGAGTCAGCAAAAGCATTTGCCAGAGCAACAGGTCAAGAATTCCATGTCTATCATTCAACTGACACACGTGGGCGTGGTAAGAACAAGAAAGTTATCAAAGGAGTTGCTGCTGAAGCTGCATGGAGAATTCCTGTAAAAGATGCTCAGGATTTAGGGGGAAAAGTACCATATATTCCAGGAATGCCAGTTTTTGGAACAGAGAACATTGCAACTGAACTGGGTTTATCAAATGGAAGTTTAGGTACATTGGTTTCATTAACATATGAAATACATGATGATAGGTATTATGCAGTGTCAGCCACTGTAGATTTTCCTGGGTACAAGAGCAATGATCCAATACACCCAAACCGTGTCCTTTTGAAACCAATCACCCAAAGTATCAAATTTCATCTGCCAAATTCTGAAAAATTATACACTGCAACTCGAAAGCAGCTTCCTTTGATTCCTGCTTTTGCTTTCACTTCACATAATGCCCAGGGCCGGTCAATGGATGTAGCTTGCATAGACTTTGCCAGTTGCCGTTCAATCCAAAGTGCATATGTGATGCTTTCTCGTGTCCGTTCATTGAAAGGTCTATGTATCCTGCGACCATTTAGTATCAATAAGATTAGAAATCACATTTCAGAAGAACTAAGATCTGAGTTAAAAAGAACTGAGAATCTTGCTTCAAGAACAGCAGAGGCTGCAAAAAATAACTTGTCATGGTATTATTCAAAGTTCCCAACCCAACTAAAGTAAAACATCAACAATTTTGATCAGCTCTTGAATGTTTTGAATACAGGTCATGTAGCTACTAATTTTCTATTTCTTCAGGTTTTATTTTCCATTAACCATTATTCCACTACTTGTCCTAATAGCTAATGGTTGCCAAGGGCAAGTTTATCCCAGGATATGCCTTCTGCCTGACATCTGGCTTGGTCACCCAGATGTTTTTGCTGAAGGGGGCAGCAAAAAGTAGAACAGGCATGATCCTCATAATGGGTCAAACTCTGCACCAAAGGCATCAGAAGCAAAAGGGACTTTTTGCTTCTCTGGGAATTTTTGTTTTACTTACTGTAGATAGATAAATTCATACTGTATGTTGTTTCTGTGATTGAAGGTGGTGTTCGGCACACGCCGCTTGCGGCCTTACCCCCAATCATATGAAATTCGAAGGTAAATAACCCCAATTTAGATATTCCTTTCTGCCCTGTATGGACGGCTGTATCACTGCTGTGTGATCAAGCAACCTGTGTGAGCCATCTTGGCGAATCCATTGCTCAAGTTTCGCCTATATGCAGTAGTTAGATACAAAATAAACGTCATGTAAATGCTTACCTTTCCAACATAAGTATATCCCAGAAATAAACGTGCAGAATCGTCATCATGTAAAACCGTAGAGTCGATGGGAGAGGCGCCAACCTTAACGACACCAAGAGAATAATGGCTAGCAGCTGCAATGAAGAGGGGAAAAAGAGCCGCCTTCAAAAGAAGAATCATGGCAAATGGTATAAGTGTGAACATGACTAGACACGATATGTAGTACGGAGACCAGCTCCGAAGATATAAATTGGCTGAGGTCGAAGGAACGGACGAATCAGAGGGGAATGGTGCGCCAGGCAATACTTGGTGATGAAAACTATCTGAGGTTATATATGTCCACGTCGGTGTTTCTATGTGTGCAAGCGACTATGAAAACGACTACATCTGCAAAACCTGGATATTCGGCTAAGGGCTGAAAGCAGATCCCAGCAGATCCCAGTGCTGAAAGCACCGAAAGCAACATGCTTTGGGTGCTTTCACTGCTGGGAAGTGCTCTCAACCGCTTTCGGACCCTTAGCCGAAAATACAGGTTTTGCAGATGTATCAAGAATCAACAAGTGATACCTTGATGCGCTTCAGACAGCACTGATCCGCAAAAAAGCAGGAAAATGTGTTGCAACTTTTGGTGGGACCCTGCCTGACCCTGCCAGATACATTTCCACGTCGAGAACCAAACATTGAGAGATTTCCAATGGAAAGGAAAGGAAAAATAGACATGGTATATTGAGGAACGTGTTCTTTACTTACCGTTAGTTACCGTTGTTGTTGGCAGCGTGGTCCTCAACTCGATAGAACTCGATCCGACTCGGGCAACTTGAAGACAAGCACCCAATTTAGTCACCCAGGCTCCACTACCATGGACCACACCCTACCACACCTTGCTTGGTGTTGGCCAATGTACTCAGATTATAATGTATGCTAGGTGAGAGGCAGGACGATTCTAACGCTCCAAAATGCAATTCATTAACACCATATCTCACTGCCGCTCGAAGAAAATTCTATATATTCCCAAACATGAACTACTGCAAATTGGATGCCAAACGAGGAGGTAAATCCTTGATACCTCCTTTCCATTTACTCCAGTCTGCAACCTCTTGTGAAGTGGCAATCGCTTGAATGGGATCAAAAAAGTCAAATTCTGCTGGCAAAAATTCACGTTGTAACCAGCTACTTACCGACAGGGGTGAAACTTGTCCAGAACTTTACGACTGTTCCATCCGATGAATGATAAGGGGTTCCGTCCAGTTCGGTCCAGAAATTTAGGTCCTTCATCGAGTGTGGCACGCCAAAGGTATCAAACTTGGGTTTTACAACAATGGTATTGCGGTGTGTCATCTGATGATTGTGAAGGGCCGTTTCCACATTCGCTTGTTCATCAGCATAGATCTAATATTGAGATGTTTGCCATCACTGTCAATGTCAGTGTAGATGCGATAGTACGTACGTAATTGAGTTTGTCGAAAGCATTTTGGTCAACAGAAATTCTGAGCTGTGAAGTAATTCAGAAACGTCGACCACCAGCAATTAAGTTAGGATTATAAACTTTTGGGAAATGATACTACTGACCTCATAGAATTTGTTCTTATTAAGTCTGAGCGTGTGACATCAATGCACTCATATGATATTTCGGAAGACACAAATAAGCTCACAGTTGATAAGTTTCTCTGTCAGCTGGCGAGGGCTGTACATTTATACCATCTTTGGCGAGTATGAATGATACGTTGTCTCCATCAAGTTGGCGAATTTTCCCCTTGAGTTCAACATTATAGTTGGATACAAATTGAACCTCATGCAAATGCTTGCCTTTTCAACATAACCATATCCCAAAAACAACTTCGGAGAAGATTTGATGGCATAAGCATCAACGTTGACAATCATCTGCAAAACCTGTATTTTCGGCTAAGGGTCCGAAAGCAGTTGAAAGCACTTCCCAGCAGTGAAAGCACCCAGAGCAATGTTACTTGCAGTTCCGATGGCCTTGATTCTTGATGCACTGTTTCAGCCGGTCGATCAGCGCTCCCGGATAGGGCGCATAATTAGCGCTGAGGTATTTTTCGCCGCTGAATCTCTTCTTCAGCTTTGCCAACATCGCGTTCATCGCGCATCGGATTACACACGATTTTATTAAAATCACTAAATATTCAAGTTCTGCAAGCCATCATCAATGCATCATCCATGGCAGAAACTTTGCTCCCAGAAGTGATACGAGCACCTGCAAAGAATTTGTACCATGAGGTACTTATGTACATCTGGGGTATATGCCTCAGACGTTTGGTTATTGTGCATAACTCTGTCTTGTATGTCCGTTAACGTTGAATTCAGACCTCCTAGAATCTTTCTCAAGGAGCGCATGTGATATACATGTAGCTTGAGGGTGACAAAACCATAGGTATACTGTTTTTGAAACAGAAACAAGTAGTACCGCAGGAACATACATAGCATGTGCTGGTGGAATACTTGTCCATCGGCTTTTATCAGTTTTTTGTCTTTACGTAAGGTTCAGCCGTGTATATAATACAAGACGGTCGTGAGGAGTGGTCGCACTAGGACCTGCTGGTCAGATCCTTCATTGTTTGCCCCGCTCACAAAAAATTCTTCCGGGCTTCACAATCTACCAATCCCATCATCCCCTCACCAATTACAAGTCCATAGAAACATGCATCTCTTCCTTCTACTGGGGCTCATTGCTGCTGCTGCTGCTGCTCATGCTGCACCTTCCATTGTGAGTCCTTGTTGATATCAGCTGGCCTAAATCATCTCATCAAACATTTGACATTATTTTCTCAATGTCTACATAGGCCCCCAACAGAGATTTGCTAATCGAAGCTCATCAATCCCACGCGCATCCTTGGACACCCTTGTACATGCGAAGTCAGGGGGCGGGTGACAAGAATGAGCATTCAAATGGTGGCCAGCGACCAAACGGTGACCGCCCAAATAGAGCTCAGCAACCGAATGCTTCTCGCCGCTTCATAGTAATGGTCGAATTTACTGGGGCCGCAGGAGATACCCAGGATGGTCGACTTCCACCAGTACATAATCCTCCAGTGCCCACCCGAGTTTATGCCCGAGTGGACGCATACCTCTTTCGAATATATGGTTATGGTGCACGTCCGATTGATTGTGACGTTCGGTTTCCTGACCATGTGGCATACATGTTGCATGATGTTGAGGCGGACTTCACTTTTCGATACCAGTGGGATGGTGAACGTGATTGGGAGAATGTTGAACTTTCGAGAGGACAGTAGCATTAATGATTGATCACAAGCCGATAAAATTATTTGAAACTTGTTTTTACCTGTAAATCTTACTGTTCCTCAATGATACAGTATCGGTTAACTCACCTACTACCTATTTACAAGATCCTTTACTCGACATTTTGTGAATGGACGTTTCCAGCCTGAGCTCCGAGTTGTAGCAGGTCGTAACGCAGACCTGGCGCAGACGATGCGATGCATTGGGCAATGCGCCGATCACGGCAGGCAATCAAATGTTTTGATGCGTTGGTCTTCAACTTGGTCAGCGGTGGACCAGGCGGATTTTATATATATTTTATTTTACGTCCCTTGCTTTTCGTCATGCAATATCATTTCCTATAGAATTCGCTTCTCTCGACGCCTTGTTCGTCTAGCAAGCGTCAGACACGGTGAAGAAGAAGAAGAAGAATTCGTTGGCTATCAGTCGAGCGCCATCTGACGTCCTGTTGCTAGTAACACATATCATCTATTTTATACTACGTTATCAGGTGCGTCTTCTGTCAACTTCTTTTCTTTTCGGCTTGTACCCACTTTCTTCTGCAAGTCATGATTGGTTCCTTCAGGACCTTTCTGCTTTTGCTTGCAATTCTGGTGTCGCTAGTCGACTCTCAGTTTAATTCGCTACGAAACTTTTGGCCCGCATCCTATCCACTCGCTGTCCGAGCCCCGTATTTAAACACCTGGATCAATACTGCTAATGGGAGTGACTCCTTAAACTTTTGGCCTTTGCACTGGGATGGGAGTAATGTGCGTTATGATTATCTTATTTTTGAAAGGTTATCTCAAAGGTTCTTTACAGATCATGCACTGTGGGGAAGAGGGCGTTTTGGCGCCTCCAAAATCCGTCCATTATCCGTAGATTTTTACCAAATATTGACCGATTTTGGGACGTCGAAAAGTTTGTATAATTCTCAGATAGCCGGATATAGAATATAAAGCTCATATTATGCGGTTATTCTAAGTAATCTACCAATAAAAGTGAGGATATAATAATGAATTTGTGCCTCGCGATTGGTTAATATTTTCGGCAGCCAAAAATTTGAAATAATCGTAAAATAACCTACTAGTGAACATGAGGAACATATTTAAAATAATCGTACAATATTCTCCTATAGGTTGTATAAAATTTTCACGAGATATTCACCTCGCGAAAAACATGAGGTTGTTCAAAATAACCTCGCCGAGGTTATGCGTACCCGATGTCGGGACATCGAGACGTCGAGACGTCGTCGATATCGAGACATCGAGACACCGAAACGTCGTCGATATCGAGATGTTCGGACGTAGAAACGTCGCTGGTGTCGAGATATCGAGACGCGCGACGTTCAGGGAATTCGGGACGTGCCAGTTTTGACCTAGCATTAAGTTAGTAATGAACACCACGATCTATATAGGAACGACATAGCTTCTGGCCCCATCTATGAATACACAGAAGGCCCTGGGGAGGGCTTTTCCTGTCATTTATCAGAACATAGTGGCTGCATAATATCTACATAAGTACAGATACAATGAACATGTATAATTCTCCATACAGGGATCTAGTAAATTGTCAGTCTTGAACATGAAGACATGGATAACAAAGGTCATACCTTCAAGCTGTTGCAGCTCTTGTCAGAACATGTTGAATGATTGTGTTCCAAACAATGTAAATGTTACCAATGAATGTAAATTTTTCAATATGTACTTTTGTGCCTTCAGAAACAGCACATGAGCTTACTCTTCAGAAAGCAGAGTATACATACATTGAGAACAAAGAGTTCTAGGTCTATCCTGGCAAACAATCTCCAATAGGAGATGTGATAAGGATTCTGACAACAGATGAGCATCTCAATCAGATGGTATTATTGGTACTTACCTGCCCGCCTCCTTCGCGGGACCGGAACAGGAGGTAGCCACACACGGTCGGGACACGGACACTGTTTGTCCCACTCGGCTCGCCTTCGAGGGAAGTTGTTCGTGTGGCCGAGTTTCCAGAGCGTTCCGCCGAGGTCCACAAACGCGTAAAGTACGCCTGGCCCATCCGCCGCCGATTTTGCGCGCGCTTTCCGAAATGCGTACAAAGCGCGCAGTTTATGGACGGGGCGCTTCGGCATCGGATCGGATACGAGATGATTAGGAAGAGAGGACTGGGGGGGGAAAAAGAGCAACATCAAATTAGGTAGAATAATGCAATAAAATGAATTTAACATACTGATTCTGCTCTGGGGCAGTGGAGAGAGCCAGTTGGATGGTCCAGAAGCCAGGTGGATTGTCCAGAAGCCAGGTGAGTTGTGCAGAACCTGGTGGATTGAGAAGAAGCTAAAATTGTTGTGGGTCAACTGCAAAACTAGCAGTGAGTGACTTGGTGACATAAGGATGGATGAGCGATGATTAGTCTGTAAATATTAAAACACTGTGGATTTCCCTGGTTCCAACAAACAAACAATGAAAACAGTGGCACTGGCAGAGGTTGAGCTCATGAACAGAGCAATACAGAGACCATAGGAGTGTTAGCACAATGTATTGGTGGACAAGTAAACATACGGGGCGTGAGTGGTCCAGACATTCAGAAGAACCATGAAAGATGGCCCGAAATTGAAGGATAAAAACATTGCATAACGAAAGGTGAGATATTGAGTGTGTGTATTAATTAGAGAGAGAGGAACAGAGAGGAACAGATTGCGAGTTACGCTATTTTACCGTCCCTAAAAGGAAAAAATGGTCAAAGCGACCCTTCTCCGTCCATAAAAGGGAAAAATCGTCAAAGCGACCCTTTCCTGTCCTAAAAAGGAAACTCCAGACCCTGTCAAAGACGGCGGGGGAGCTCGAAAAACTCGGATATCTGTGAAATCAACGTAAGTCGTTAAATATTAGCTAAGATCATCGACTAACCGGCAGGTCCATTAACCCCGACTCAGGCAAATATGTCTCGCTCGTTGGTTGCTGCTGATACCCTCTAACGCCTTACTTAAAATATTGAACATACATAGAGCAGGACTAAATTCTGAGTACGTACCAGCCGTTAATAAGCAACAGATGGGGACAGTCGCAGAGGTCCCAGACCCAGGATCAGCCTTCATTGCCACGTTTTTGAAAAGATGGATTGACAGAGGAGAAGGATGGAAAGCCCGGTGACGACAGCCTCCCTAGCTGAGAGTGAACGCCTACCGGGATCTATCAGGGAAGTCGTCAGCTCTTGAAGGCTTTACTCCTCTCGCTATATCGTTGACGCCCCGGCTACAAATAGTGTATTCAATGAAGTACCGGGAAATGAATACGTGAGACGACTAACCTTACACACTCGTGAACCGCCCTTGTCTCCTTCAGTCCTGACACTGTGCTTATTGCATCCGCCTTGTGATATGTACCTGTACTGCTATTTGAACCATGTAGGAGTACTTGGGTACCAAGGAGGGACATTGGATGCTGTCGTAGAGCATGTAAATTTGAAGGTACTAGGTCTGAATGAGGTCGATATTCAGGTATAGGCGTCGGATGCTGAGTAGGACTCCGAACAAGCTGTCTGAGATCAGATAGGCTGCTACTGAGTTTAACTCTGTAGCAATCGCCTTGTGGAAGATAGAGAACAGGAAAGTAGATGTCGCAAGGTGTTGACGAGATTTGCTATCCAGATAAAGATAGAGACTGCTACTGAGTTTAACTCTGTAGCAATCGCCTTGTGGAAGATAGATAACAGGAAAGTAGATGTCGCAATGTGTTGACGAGATTTGCTGTCCAGATAAAGATAGAGACTGCTACTGAGTTTGACTCTGTAGTGGAAGTCTTAGAGAGAAATCGTTTATGTGACTGTCACATGCGGTCACGGATCTGAAGTCCAGAATCATGATCGTGACATCGAGACTAGTCTCCCCTTCATCATCTTCGAACATCACTTCGGCTTAGTCCTGGTTTTAAACCGGACAAAAGCTCGACAACTTACTGCTTTAATCTGTCTCGTGTCCTGTCTCCCAACGGTGACCTGCTTTACCATGGTAAGTACTCGATATCGTAACACGGTCGGCTTCCTGCTCATCGATGTTCCTTAGGACGAATCCGATCGCAACAAACTGGGCGGGGCTACTGATTTCAGTGATCAGGACAAGGATAAGGTGAGGATTTCTACACAGTCAGACAACGTTTTCTCATAGCACGTTAGAACGTGAAACTAGAAGATCGCAAGGAGGCTAAGTTCCGTCGACGACAAAGAGCTTTGGTACGTCGCCTCACATCAATCATTCGAGAGTCCTAATTTTCCCGTATTCAGGCTGGCTCCTCTTATCTACCCCTCAACTCGCGATTGCTTGAAGAGGTATGAGAATGATTAAACCGGAAATAATCCCTCATTATCCATTTTTTAGACCTTGAAGAACATGCCCGCAGAAGATATCGATGGAGAAGTCGAGGAAGTTCCTCAAACACACCACAAATTATCATGGAGTAGTCCCTTGATCAGACAGTTCTACGACAAACTAGGACAACAGAACACGAAATGATGAAATCCGAACTTTCGTATTACTAGTTCGGTTCTTGTTCAACAGTTGTCCATCGCTGGGACTTAGAAGGAGTTAGTAGATTCAAGTTTCACAGTAAAGCAGTAATGCGGGAAATGCCCTGTAATATGATATGCCCTTCCTGGATACAAATACACCGTTTCACTTTGACTTTGTGATATCAAGCCATCAAGAGTACCAGCAAGGCTATATTCCATTCACAATGTATACCACGATACAACGAATGTCATGTTCAGACTCATCCACTTACACCAGCTTGATACCAGCTTGATTATTCTTATGACAGCTTATACTCATCCTTATGCGTGTCATGCATATCCGTAGTGTATATTCACGCCATTACACGCCTTACTTTCACGCGACTCTAAAAAAGGAATTCTTCTCAACCCATTCGCTGACATTATGGCCCGGGGATTCAGCAGATCATGACGAAGGTAGAGAAACAAGGCTGGTCCTATTCTGTACCATCCTCATTGTTAGCTAGCAGAGTAAGCTTTCTTCCCCCACCAACTCGATCCAGAATACTAACACCACCGGTGGTAGTCGCTCCAGCAACGATATACGCATCCCCGTTATCTACTCTTCCCAATGTTGGTGAGGAGTGGTGCTGCAGAAACGTGATGGTCGTCACAAATCCGTCGTTTGGAATGGACGCGTGGCCTAAGAGTTGACAGAGAATATCGGGGAGCGCTGCGCAAGGTCTTCTTCGCGAGGTCCAAATGATATGCGGAACTCGGAACGGATTGGTGGAGTCGAGGATAAGGGTGGCGCGATAGAAGCGGCTGGCTGATAGAATGGGCTAGGAGAGGAGCAAAAGAGGTGAGCCAATACCGATGATCCAGGGAACTAAATTCTCACCTCAGCTGGGTCAGTCCACGAGAAAGGACGGTCGATGTTCGAGAAAGGGAGAGCCGAGTCGTATCGCTCTCGGAAACTATTAGCAGCCTGACTTGCCATTATAGCCTAGGATGATCATTAATCAATAAATAAGCTGGGACAGAAAGATCAACTTACGACAGCTTTCATTATCTGCCGTCTGAGTGCGATGACGACGTTGAAGTAGCTCAAGCGCTCATGTGAGCAGCCTTCAATCTAAGAGTTAAAATGAGTGAGTGTCGGACCTGTGACCATCATAAAGTGAGCTCACCATAGCGTTGAATTTCGATGGACTAAAAACGGAGATCGGATGGAACGCAAGTGGTAAAAAAGATGTAATAATCGGAGGGGCATCTGAACGCGAAAAAGAGGGGTTCTCTGCGAAATCTGACGGTGGCAGACATAGTTTCGAAGTATCTTGGTAGTAATTTGGTTGATTGAACCAAGCGATAGCAAGATCACTCATGGTATCGGATGCAGGGGTGATAACGATATGGGGAGTTAGCCAAGGTGTCGTTGAGTCTATAGCAAGGATGTTTCTGCTCATATTCCAGCTTTGAAGGACATCCTGACATAGACGAAGGTCTTTTTGAGCAAAGTTCGTGCGCGTAAGAACAGATCCTACTCACATCGTCAAGAGATGCATCGAATTCGGGCTCATATGCATAAAACACGTCTCTGAACTATACCAACAGTAGAACGTTGAAGTTAGAAGTAGACAAAAGTCACGGAAAAATCTCACCTCAGCGTCACATTCGCTATCGGAATCAGCCAACGGATATTCAGAATTTTCAAGCTCAGCCTCGTGGAAGGGGTTTACAGCGAGCACATCGCGCGTTTCCTGCACGCACAGCGCAGCAGACGAGTCGACCTGGATATTATACAAACATTAACGAAGCCCTGATCCCGAAAGAATATAGACACACACCTTGAAGACTTCCCCTGCAGGTCCTTCACAAGCGAAATTGCTGGCAGCTGATTTCGCCAACGGAACTTCCCACGTTGATAAACGACGCGTCGTTGTTGGACGCGTCAAAGTAATTTTCGCCATGGAGGGAGGGAGGGAGAATCGAGAGTAAAATCCAATTTCGAGCCAGGGTGTAGATGACATCGGCGGAAACATTGTTGGAAAGGGGATTTGTTGATTATTGGTTCACCCGGTGTGGACGTTGATGGCAGTTGCTACGTCGGAAGTTCCAGGAAATTTTGAGGATTCAAGGACAATGGTGGTGGTGTTAAAGGAAGAAGGTTATATGACAGTTTGTTTTGACCAAGAGCTCGGAAATTTCAGGTCTTTGTGGTGGCCAATTCCTGTCATAAGACTCATGAGTCGACAAAGTCAGCAATTACATGCAACTCACAATATGACCACTATTGTTTTTGATCATGTTAGGAAGGAAGGCTTTCAGAGTCCAGAAATGCGCGAGCGTGTTAACCCCAATCGTTCTATGTAATTGTGAGTACCATTCCATGGCCATCAACCGGAAACCCACTGTTGCACGTCCGCAGCACTTAAATCGGTGACAAGCTTCCCCTGCACGACGCCAGCGTTATTTACAAGTACAGTGGGGTGACCAATCTGATGACATGTTCGTTCTTTTTTGTTGACGAGCTAGACACGAATGCGACTGGGCATACCTCTTCAACAATCTTCTTTGAAACCGCCTCAACTGCATCCCACTTGGAGATATCACATTTGTAATAGACGATGTTGTCTTTTATGAGCCATGTTAGGCAATCGAAAACGGAGGGAGGCAAAGGCAGTATTCACGATTTTCGGAGACAATCGGGTTAACGTCGAGTACCACTACAGTCACATTTCGAACAGCGAGAGTATTTGCGAGCAGTTCACCGACGCCGGAAGCGCCTATGGCAGTTTAAGCACGAGCTCAAAATCGGATGCATTCATGACCACATACCTCCAGTGACTACAACAATCTGCTCGCCCCAGTCGAAGCGAGGAGCTCTGAACAGAAGACTGCCTTGGTTTCTGTACAAAGTTGACAGCCAATCACCGAGCCCTGTGAGCGCTGTGATAAGTAAAGTCCACAAGACGGAAAGATATACACACAATAGATGCATAGCAGCACGTAGTAGCCTCCAGACCAGAGGACGAACGGGTTACTCGTCCCTGCACCTGAGAAAACGTAGAGGACAGGAACGAAGAAGACAAAAAACGGGCCTGGAAAAGAATTCTCAGTTGTTGGTAGAGCTGGTCATACGCTTCACGCACTGAACAAGGTATTCTTCAGCACTTTGAACACCAGATCAATGTCCAGCGAATCAAAAACCGGAGATACGTCGCGATTCATACTGGTTGTTTTCAAATCGGTTGGTTAGTGCTAGATGGAAGGCGCAGCCTAGAGAAAAGAATGTGGAAGTAGTAGAAGAAGTTCTGAGCACGAAGAATGAAGAAAATACCGACATTGGGCATTTATATAGTGCATGGACGCTTAACTGAACAACAGCGTCGTTTCATGAAAGATCTACGTTTAGGGAAAGAATAAAGGATGGTCAGTATTTGTTAGCTTAAGTGCAAGATGTACAGGATTTATCAGAACCGCACCCTGGCTGATTCTCCTTGAAGTCGTGACTTCACCAATGCTTTATAAAATGCCAATGCCGGTCAGCGAGCTCGATACGGGTCATGCTCACGATATTCACGGTAAATCAGACAGAAAGCAACAGGAAATTGAGTGCTAGGAATACGGACAGATTCAAATGAACGATGGCATAACGTTTGAAAACTCCACCTCTCGTGTACCATCCTTGTCCACTTTGATTTTGTACTTTCCAGGACTAACGACTGGACGCTTTGCAACCTCGTCAATGCATCTCCACAAAGTCGCGAGTCTTCGAATGTAGCCTCCGGATCATGTATCTACAAACAAACAGAAATTCAAACACTATAATCAGGCCGTTCCCTGCGCCTTTGTATAACCTCTCTGTTGTAACGTCCTGAAACGGTATCAGTCAGAAGAAATGGTATTCAAAAAAGTACCAACTTCATGAGGTCTGGAGGAAAAACAAGCTTAACGGGTTTTTTTGGACGAATCAACTCGTTGACGAAACCGCTTCCACCCTTTGACCATCCAGGTTCTTGTTCTTCAAGCCATTGTGCATCGTAGAAGTTGGCAGGCAGTCCACGAACGTATTTGCTTTTGGAGGTCTTATCGTTTCTATCCACACGAAGGCGTGGCGGAGAACCTCGCGAGAAACTGAAATGGAGTTGGTCAGTTGTGCATCGCCCTTCAAGATGGCAATAGTCTATGAGCCGGAGATGGTTCTTCAATTCGACACTTCGCCACTTGGGCTCCTTGATGATATATTGCACACGGGGCTTCTTCATGCCAGGATCCTCTTCATCAGAAGACATTCCTGCAACGCCTAAGTCATCGAAAGTGCCCAGGAAGGGTTGGAGCGAGTAGAAAGTGACGAGTACATCTCTTCGTTGATGGAAAAGCTTATTAAGATATCAGTAAATTTCGTTGAAGAATGTGCACAACACTCACAGTATTCTTCCGCTGCCACCTTTTGGAGAATAATGAACGAGGCGTTTTGTCACTGTCCTCCGCCATTTTCTGCTTGTCTTGCCAGCATGTGTGAAGTGATTTGAGTCTCACAAAGAAAGCTTTGCGGAGAGCATCGCGAGCTTGAATGTCTAGATCAGGAACCAACTTCTTCTTCACAAGGATGTCTACAAAGACATATGAAGCACCCTGATTCCACGGCGATTTGGAGCCACCAGCAATCCAGTAGCGAAAATTATCAGTTGAGCATGGACGTGCGAGTGGATTATTTTTGAATGTTTGAGCGAATTCCTCGGCTTCTTCCTTGGTAACAACCTCTGCCAGGAGATCTTGACCTTCCATTATCTCGTTAAGCCATTTACGGATTAACTCCTATGTCGGGGATGCGCCGGTGAGTCACAAATAGATATCAGTAGTTCATTTGCCTGCACCTTTTCTTTGAGCTCTTGGAGGGGCCGACGTTTCACCTCTCCAGAGTGATGTTGACTCTTCTGGCTGCGATTGGGAATATCATCGCTTGGGTGTCTTTCATCATCACCGTCCCCACCTCCGTCTCCCTCTACCTCGTCATTATCTTCGCCTTTGTCTTGGCCTCGATCCCCGTTGGCGTTGTTATTGTTGTGAGCGGGGCGGCTCCCCTCATTCATAGTGGAATCTTCGCTGTCATTACGCTGAGTCCTGCTCGTCCCGTGAGTATTCCTGCGCTGCTCCTTACGATTTCCAGACATCATATCAAGTGTCTCCCCGATACGACTGAGTATTTCTGCATTGAGATCGAGGGATTTAGCCACCGTGTCTATCTTCTCGTCCTGTTTCCGGAGTATGTCGTCATTGGATTGCTGAAGGCGAGAGTAAATCTCCGCCATCATCTTTGTCTGGTTGTCGAATAAATTTTGCAACTACGGAAAGACTGTCAGACCAAGTCCGTGGATCATGAAAGAACCTACAATATCAACAGGGCTTTGATCATGAGATTGAGAGCCTGACTGAGCTCGCGGCTGAGCAGAGCCAGGCCGCTGAGAAGGTCCAGGCTGAGTATCTTCATGGACTCGCCTTTTTTTTGATTTCTGGACGGTTGGGGATGGTGGTTGCTGATAGATACATTTGAAGCTTATCCTTTAGGGATATGATAGGACACACCTGCGGCATTTGGTTTCTAAAGCCCGTATAAAATCTTGGAGTGGCATCAATATCGACCATTTCATGATCTGCGGGTGGGGGAGTTCGCAGTGGAGGAGTTTGTGGTGGAGGAGTTTGTGGTGGAGGAGTTTGTGGTGGAGGAGTTTGTGGTGGAGGAGTTTGTGGTGGAGGAGTTTGTGGTGGAGGAGTTTGTGGAGGGGGGGCCTGTGGTGGAGGGGCCGGCGGGGCAGGTGACGAATACAAGACCGAGGTCGAGTTCTGTGGCTGCGGTGGAGCCTGGATTGGACTCCCCGGAGAAACCTGTGGTGGTGGAGGCATCTGTGGTGTCATTTGCGAGGGCTGTGGATTCTGTGGATTTGATGGCAGCGGATTTGTTTGACTGGGGCCCTGAGGCGCTTGCGCATCATCAGAATCTACAGTCATCCAAGAGTCAGAATCGCTAGAATCTTCGACCATACTGGCAACATCCATAGAGAAATCTGAGACGAATGCGAGACCGGGGACTTTCATCTTCAAAGGAATCGATGAATCGATGTTTTCTTTCGGAGGTTCAAATTGTAGTCAAGCGATCATTGATATAACCATGCATCTGTTAAAAAACATGCACGAACGGCGACCTTCGCTAATTTCGCGCAAGTGTCGCCCTTTGTCGCCGTCTGAATCTTCCCCTTATCCCTCCTTATCACACATGTCTTTGAAGGATTTTGAAGCAACTTGGCGTCGTCGGATCTTACGTTATTCGAGTAGATAAGTACATGTGAGGAGACATCGTCTCATTCAAGCAAACGTCATCCACGATATTACAGGATATCACCTTCACAAGCTCAGGTCTGATGAGTTCTTAGTATGTTGTACCGACTGAAGAGCCCAGTACATACCAGCAGATCTCCCAAGCCGATTAGGATTTCCTTGATTGACATTGAAGATGGGCCTGATGATCCCGCACAACGCGCCACAGGAGTTGGTGGCGGTGGAGGCGTCGCAGGAACGGATAACTTGGCAAGATATTCCGGCAATCGACCGGAATCCATCTCTGTCCAGGGTGTAGGGAATAACAATGACATTGCGACAACTATAGCCATCAGAAGGAAGATGATGTATCCCGCATTTGTGACCATATGTACCTGTGTGCCGTCGTGTTATCAGGTAACGATTTCCTTTAGAAAGCATAACTCACGATCTTGAATAGAATAAACCGCAACTTGGATACACGAGAGGAACTATCCTTGGGATTTTCGGTCCATATCATGATTCTTGTACGTTCGCCACAGTTTCCATCCCCAGTGGCTATCATTCGACGACCATTCTCCAGTTCGGCATAAGCCTTGGCATTGTGGGTGTACAAACCACTATATAATCAAGAAACAGTACTCACCAATGCAGTCACCCACGTTTGGTCTGAAGTCAAAAATTTAAGCAATGTAATTGAAAAGAGCTCGTGAACTCACCAGCTCCATGTTTGAGAGCTTGCACCCTTTTACCATGCTTCGCCTCAAAGATGACTGCATATCCCTTTGACGTTCCCATAATTGTCGCTTGACCGTTATTAATAAAAAGAACGGGGAGGGGAATGTTAGATCCGGGGCTCTGAATCTCACAGGAGGTACTCATTTTCTTCAGCTTGTCGGGCATGATCTTGTACCAGTCGAGGCCCTTGTGCAGATTTGTTGCGATGATGAATGTTGAGTCCGGAGATATAGCAGACGCTGCTCTAAGAAAGTCATGAGCTATACTGACCATACCACTCGAACCTCCGAAAAATATACATTTTCTCGTACAATCTTTCGTCCGAACTACAAATCCTGATATTCTCCCAAGTGTCTATCTTGAATATCCTGATATCCGGGTCAGAAAGGATTAAGCACGGAGTTTGTTACTCACCGAAAACCGTCATGAAGATATGCTATGAGGCATTCGTTACGACTTTCGAGGAAATATGCTCCAGTTGCCACAATTGGAGGCGGTTTGTCTTCAGGCTCTCCTAATGGAATTGGACGAGGCAAGCGGTCCTGATATTGCCAGATTCCAGATTCTGGTTTCGAATGAGCGAGTATTAATTTTGATATATGATAGAGTACTTACTACTTTTCTTGAGAAGCATCACATCGGCACCTGAGCAGACGAGAAGATGGTCGCCACGTCGATTGAACTCCATGACATGGATAGGTTCATCGGCTTTGTAAACGAGTTCGAATTCACTATTGCGTCGTCGGATCCAATTTAGTTTTGATTTCTGTTTTTCATGTATTGAGATGTAGTGTAACGGTCTGTCAATTTCAGCTTACCGTAGTAGGATGAGACAGTGTCACATCACCGTCCATATTGCCCATGAAAAGACCGCCATCTCTCCATGCGAGGGCAGTAAAGGGATGTCTGCCTTGTAGCTCCCAAATCGTCGTGAATTCATGCTTGACATCATATACACGAACAACTCTATCGTTACTAGCACTCGCCAGATACCGTCCATCCTTCGAGAACGCTAATGCATGAACGAAATCAGTGAGAGCATCGATCGTCCTTATGTGTGTATAGGTGGTGTTCATTGGATGGGTATGAGTTCGATCTAGGAAGTAAAGGCGACACTTCTTTAACGACTTGCGTGTGTTATACACGAGGCGTTACCGCTAGGAGAATTTGGAAGAATTTGCGGTATATTCTTGTCGTGCTAAGTTGAATCTGTCGATCTATCATATTGTGCCTCGCGGTAGCCCACGGTGCGGATATCCTCGACCCTGGACCTCACGGTACAATCTTAGATGAATTATTACTGACTACGCCTTCATTCATAACAATTTCCAAAAAATATGATACAGAACAACAGGAAGACCGTCTTGATATCTGACGTGGAACAAGCTCAGAAAAGACAAATTGAATGGACGATACCACCGACTGACCAACAATCAGGGCCTGATGCATGCGGATGCGAAAGCTCCTTTTCGAGCAACCTGATATCCTCCTTATGTTTCTTCCATGAAGCAACGGCTTGAGTATGCTGAGCTTGTGTCTCGGCAAAATGAGAACAGAGTTGTGCTTTCTACACATGGGTCTTCAGACATACCGGGCTCTATCCAGTGAAAGACACTTACATCGTCAAGTAATTTGATATGCCTTTCTAACTTTGCAATTTTCATTCGAAGTTCAACAGCCTCGCCTGAAGCGAGAGCGATTCTGGACTCCAACTGGCGAATTTCTGCGTCCTCTATGTGATGAGTTCGTGTATACATCAGGCTTTCGATGAGACAGTGCGAGGAATAATGCTTACTGAGTCGAATTCCTTATAAGATATTCCGCTTGTTTGTCATGCGAGTCCCCATTATGAGCCTTTGAATTTGGGCGAAGACCGAGAGGTATAAGAGCATTCAATTGAGATGAAAGACGTCGCAAGGCTGACATAGACTGAGTTGTACTCTGAAGATTGCCAAAGGGTAAACGAGATGAAAGACGTCGCAAGGCTGACATAGACTGAGTTGTACTCTGAATATTGCCAAAGGGTAAACGAAATGAAAGACGTCGCAAGGCTGACATAGACTGAGTTGTACTCTGAATATTGCCAAAGGGTAAACGAGATGAAAGACGTCGCAAGGCTGACATAGACTGAGTTGTACTCTGAATATTGCCAAAGAGTAAACGAGATGAAAGACGTCGCAAGGCTGACATAGACTGAGTTGTACTCTGAATATTGCCAAAGGGTAAACGAGATGAAAGACGTCGCAAGGCTGACATAGACTGAGTTGTACTCTGAATATTGCCAAAGAGTAAACGAGATGAAAGACGTCGCAAGGCTGACATAGACTGAGTTGTACTCTGAATATTGCCAAAGGGTAAACGAGATTAAAGACGTTGCAAGGCTGACATCGACTGAGTTAAACTCTGAAGAGTGCCAAAGGGTAAACGAGATGAAAAGAGATGAAAAGAGTTACGTTCACCGCCACGTGTAATGAAGAGAACTGATAAGCGCCGTACGCGTGACTTCTGACTTGGACTTAAACTTCGACAGACTTCGACTCATCATTTTACTTGGCTTAGTCCTGGTTTTAAACTGGACACAAGCTCGACAACTCAAAGACTCGACTGTTCAATGACAACTCCTCGAACGACAACGGACTAGTCCTATGTTCTCTAGATCCTTGCGGCCATGTACAATCGGTGACGTGGACTTGAAAATACGTCTCCTTTGTTCCTTTACCTCAGGTTAGTCCTTTTGATAATGTCGTGCGCAAATATAAGAAGTGCCTGACTTGCCTCTTCTGCCCCTGCGACCCCCTCCGACATGGAATCTTGCAACAATCTAGTGACCGCTGCAGCGTCGACTCTACGTTCGTTGGATCGAAAATACAAAATATTCCTCGAGACGATGCATTCAACAATTGAAAGTCTGGAACGTCAATACGTGGATCTTCTTCGCTCAAACAGTCACAATCATACCGTATGTACTCGCGTTCACTATTGTCCTTGTGTGGTAACTAACTGTGCACTAGGGGTGTCATATTTCTCTTCTGCACGCAAATATTTTCGGTCTCAATTCGACGATCCAGATACTCTCGATTGAGGTACCTATGATCCCGAAATTCACGATGGCTCGGTATTGATTCTCTATTGTCTAGATCTCCACTGCGAAACTATTTGAACCTTTGGTCAACCTTTCAATTATACTTCCAGACACGAACGAAACCTGCCAGCTGCTCTCGAATGCGTTCCACGATCTCTCAACTCAGATCACTCAAGTGGCCCAGCGGATTAACTTAAAACTGCTTGACGCTCTTGCATGTGACCATAGAGGTTCGTCTCTCGAAATAAAGGCATGGATATTATACCTTCCTTATAACTTAGTCACTGACTTCCATCCAAGGCTGAGCAGTACCTCTGCGAGTTTGCACCTCTCTTTATTCAGACCGCCGAAGTTGAAGATATCTTGCGAAAACTGAAACACCAGGTTAAGATTTTGTCCTTCTTGATTTTTACAGCCATAATAATTCAATCGTACCTCAGATGATGGTGACTGAAACCATTTTGCGATTTGGAGGAAGAAATAGCACCTAGATCACGTCATGTACTCTAACATAAACCACCGTTGTTATTCAATCGTTTTCCCCCGAGTGCATCGCCGGCGATACTCGAAGATATGCACGCTGCATTCATCATGATATAAACTCTAGAACGTGTCCGTTCTTTGGTCTTTCGCGTCGTTTTGAAGTGTCAGAAATGCCTCAGCGTCCTACCCATCTGTATAGCCTGATTTAATTTAAAGAACGTGAGTCCGTCCCATACTGATATGTGTCCCGTCATAACCTTGTTCCTGTTTACTACAAAGTACATTTGTAAGTAGGCTATTACTACACGCCGCTCACAGCGGGTCGTATGAGCCCCTGTTCCCACAAAGCCTCGTCATCCGAGTCACTCTCGATCATTTCCGCTGCCAAATCCTCTAGCCCGTTTGCTCTTTCTTGTGCCAATGTCGCATACCGGTTCATGATCTGGGCGACGCGTTGTTCTACACCAATCTCGATCTCCAGCTGAATCGTACGAGCTTGATGGGCAACTGCGGATTCCCATAGTCCAACGGCTTTCTCTCTCCTTCTGAGGGCATCAATTTTGGCCTTGGGTTCGAAGATGTACGAACGGTAGTGTGTCCAAAACGCGTAAGCCTGCGAATAATTAGTCTATGAAATCGTCATGGAACCGTGAGATACACACTTTCTGCAAGGTAATATCAACGACTACTATCACCCCAAACACTGCGAGCGCAGAAAATACTATTACGAATATCACAACCATCTCGGCATCATCGGAGAGATTGTCCGACCCCACAAACGCCTTAATCGGGACAACGGACGTAGTCGTAACGTTAGAAGACAAGAATGACCGGATGCTGCGCAGCAGGGCGGCGATCCCAGAACCGTTGGTTGCAATAGACATGGGCTTGATAATGCTGGAGAATTCCATATCTCGAATGTCAGGACTTCTGAGGACTTCTGGAATTGATCCCCTTTTTGAATACCTACAAGAACCAGATAATCCTCGTGTTATCTTAGTTCGTATCCGTGCGTGGAGAGGCGTGGAGGTGGCAATGCGCAAAACGCACGCAAGTTGCGTACCTTTCCAAGGACACATTTGAACTTGGCAAGCACTGTAGGAGTAGCAGCGTGCAGGGAAGTCCTGATTGAACTAGCAATCGGACCCCATTTTGGGCACATTTTTGCATCCTGTCTATCCTTGCACGAGGTGTTATGAATGTTTGATGTTTATAGCATGCAAATTGGTATGTGCCCCCATGTCCTTGTTAGAATTTACTAAAGACCTGGTTAGAAAGTATGTCTAACGTATACGAAGACCGTCAAAGGTTACTACTCAAAGCTTGACGCCTAAAGCCTGAGTACGGGCGGGCATTATGATTATTCTACGAGAATTTCTCGCCGTCCCTGATGTCAATGGAATCGATCGATCTCCTTGAATCTCGGAGCTCCAACGGTGTGCTTTAATGATTTGATGTCCCTGAGTAAAGCTTAGTATTCAACGCTTTCAGATCATTATGTGAACTCCTACTGCAGATCAATGCAGTAGATGTATGAGTCGCTTTGACTCTCAAGAACACACACAATATATGTCCCAAGTTCATGATACTCTGCAGCTGGTGACTATCAGGTGGGATTGAGAGTCCAATGTGAGTATACAACTTCATTGCGGTCCGCCACGTCGCGTTTTACCAATCTAAGCGGTCGTGCATGTACATATTCATAACATGCTTTTTGATCCCTTTCATCCTTTGTATCCGAGTCTCCGTGACTCCCCAGGACCCTTGAATCGTATCTAATTTTTTCTGCCCAAAGGAAGTACCCAAAAGACACACCTGAGGCCAAAAACAGTAAATTTCGATATTTATGAAACATATTGCCTGATCTTTTTCCCAACAAAATCGATATCTGAACGGAATCAAGAATAAAATATTTTCTAGTAATGTCAGGGGTCCTGACTCTCTCTGGCGTCAGAACCGATCCGATTTTTGTCGTCAGACTGTCATTGGTAGGTTGAATTTGCAACCTCTCGGCCTTCGTGCTCGCAGGCAAGTTCATACTTATCGGATCCTCGAGGAGGGCAGCAAGTGACCTCACTTCGACATTTTACAGCCTTTATTCCGCACAAGAATGGTAATCATTTACATGAAAATACATTTCCTTAGACACTGACAAAAAGAACAGGTAAATTCTGAAAACATTTTCAGACGCATGTTCAGAGCATGCGCGGCGTTATAAAAGAGAGGCGAGTAACTACTCCCCCTCTGTCGATAACCCATCGTCTCGTTGAAACGCATTCTGCATCATACTCATAATGCATGCCACTCGATCTAGATCTTCCTCCATTGCTGTCCACCGGCGTCGAAGACTTTCCCCCAGCCATACCATCCTGGGTCCACCGCTTAACGGGGACATCATGCCTTCTACGGAGCCGGTATGATTAAATATCTATCTGCTAATGTACGCCTCATTGACATTATCACCGATAGGAATGGGGTACGACACTTGGTTTATACTTTGCACTAGGCGACGCGATTCCCCAACTTAAAGGCTTTGACTCTACATTGAGTCGTTTCGGTCACAAACGTTCCATCGACGTTCCGAGCGGTTTTGGTGCCAACGCTGATGGCGACGACCTTTACAAGGCAAAGGTCATAGTAGGAACTCGCAAATTTTACATTGCTGGTACCTATGACCAGTCTTCTTCCAATACCAACGCATGCCTCAGCTCTTGTGGCTGCACGGAGATGTTCAAAGGCGACGTCGCGATCTTTTTCTATTCTATCCATGCACCCGAACGATTTTTGCACTCCATCCCACGTTATCAGACCATCCAGGCTAGGGATGAGGTCATTCGACGGGCTCTTACAGCGTAAGTCGGGCCACTTATCTTCCCTTATCCAGACAATCTGAAACCTCCGAATGCAGGTTCTCGAAGAACGTCCGGGAGCACGTTGAAAAAGGGACCACCCTCAAGCATATCCTCAGGGGTTAGGCCATCCGTGGCTTCTCAACTTCTTCGTTTCTCATATCAATCTTTATCTCTTCTTCATCCTTTCACTTCCGAAGTGTTCAGTCATGCATGCCCTAGTGGCACCCATCCCTGAGCCATCATCCATGCTCACCTCTTCCTATGTCTTCCCTTCATATATATAACTTCTTTCAAGTCGTGGGCCCTAGTGGCATCCATCTCGACGTATATGACTACACCGTTGTTTACCCTTGCTATATATCTTCCTTCAAAACGCCTTCCCACCTTCATATTCCTCGTTTAACTCAAAACAATTTCTATAATCGAGTTTTTACCTTCTCTACGCTCACGTTCTGTTCCCGCTCCCGACCATTCCATGTCCCTTGATACAAGTCTCTGGATGTGCATTCACGCTGTTCCGTTGTTCAACATCCACTGTACTTGCTATGCTCCCCCCATTTATATGTCGCTCATTACTACCACGGCACACGATTCATTCATTCCACCAACTACTGCTGCATTCTCTTACACACGGTCACTCTTTCATTACATGTCAGTCTTTACGATAGTGTGTAGTACAGTACTGAATATCATCGTCTTGATGTAAACAGTGTGTCACTGTCACTGTCTGTCACAACTGCACGTGGCATCTGCTAAGTTTTCGATCCCAAGTTTATTCTTCCACTACGCTGCTTCTTTCTGGTTTAACTGGATCTGAGGCCTCAAATCCACACCTTGCTTGATTACTCACTACGCTGCTTCTTTCTGGTTTAACTGGATCTGAGGCCTCAAAAAATCACGTTGCTCGATTACTCCATCCACGAACAAAATCACCCGCCCAAGTAACTGTCGTAGGCAGGAATCCGGCCTTCATTGAAGCATTTTCCTGTCAAATTAGGGCTTAACCTTAATACCAAGAAACTCATGTTTTGTAAGTAGAGAATTAATTCGAGTTTTTTTTATCTCAATTGCCCTCCATCAAGCTGGAACCCCCCGTCTGGCAACAACTCAAGTGACCGACGGATTCAGCTTCCATGCAGCAATCGACGACGGCGTTTTTACCTGTCTCAGTCGCAAACCACACGATTTTCCCAATGTCCCTTCTCAACGGCAATCTTACAATCTCAGTCCACACGCAACAACATTGCCTGAGTTCTATTCGCCGCGCTGGGTAGATTCATCGATACCGTTTCTGGGCTTCGCTCCTAGCAGTAACCCTTTTAAATTTCATTTCTTGAAATGTCTTGATTATAGCCACGACTCTCTACCAATCGAAGAGGATGGAAACAACTGCTACGCTCTTAGGTCTTCCATACAAGCTGACTGGAACTCGCTGGAGAGTAATATGCGCGCATTTCTCCGTGCGTGCATGAAAGTGAATCCACTCGGAATACCTGAGACTTTTCGACTTTGGCCGTATCCGAATAATTATGGGTTTCGTTTACGCTGGAGGACAGACAGCGACGCGCGTCATGCAGTCATGCGATCTCGTCAAGCGTTTATACCCTTGATTGCTTGTATCTCCTTCTTTCTTCGCATCCTTTACCATCTGGAGAATCAATGGGTTAAACTTATCGCGTCCGATTGCCAATCTGTGCTATCTAGTCCCAATCCTTTTTGGAGTAAGAGGCAGAGGGAATACGAAGAACTTCGTCGCGGCCCCGTTCCTTCCAAATGGGAATGGCAGGACCGTCTTCAGCGAGAAACGTCCATCAGTTCAGAATGGCTCGCCTACTTCCATCAGATAATGGATATTCCAATGGTCGGCAGTTTTGTAGATGTGCGTGGCTCTGGCTCTGACTGCCTTCCATGGATTCCTGTTTTCCTCGAGGCCAGAATGCCTCTTATGTTGTACTGGGGCACTCTCAAAGATTGGTCTGTTCCAGACGTGCTGAACGGTATCATTCCGATCCCTGCGGGTATCGTGATCAGTACTTTGGCCTCGGAACAGACGCCGTACGTTCCACCTTCAAAATACCTCGAAGAAAACGTTCATCAAGTGGGAGTCTCTGAATCTCGACGTCGATTGCGCTTGCCCCGTCTCGATGGCGGAAGCCTTCCCCGCCCGAATGAGGACCTCTTTACATTCATTGAGCGTAGAGAGGCGCATAGACTTAAAGTCATTGCATCGGAATCTTCCCTCGCACGTCAATCTCGTTTACAACGTGAGGAAAATGCGCGGAAGGACCGACCCCCTGGTCGAAAAGGCGCCCGTGTTTACTATTGGGATTTGGTTGAAGGAATCAGAGTCCGGACAGCAGTGGGAAGAAGCAATTACGAGGACATTTGGGAGAGATATGGTTCACGCCAGCGGCGTTACGATTCGGTTGCTGACGAATGGGAAGTTTGCACAAATTTGGACCCGGATGATGTCCCCGATTACCATGATTTAGACTTCGAAGACGATGACGATGACTACTTCATTTCCGTCCAATCTCACATGAATGAACAAACAGGCCATCATATGGGTGTTGTTTCCTCTGAAGCATACCTCACTCGTCTTCATAGTTCAAATGACGACTCGTCCGTCGCTTCAATAGAGTTTCCAGATTCGATTGAGGATGTTGCCCGTCATAGACTTGGATTTCTCCCACAACGTGTCCCAGATAATCGTAATATAGTGCTCAAATCTCAAGCTTGGAAGAATGTTTTGGGTCTACTTGGAAGTGGACGGCATCCTCCAAATCCCAAACCAGATGATTATGTCAAACTTCAGTTGTCTACCTTTACTGCTGGCCTATTGAATGCAGTTGATTTGCGACACGCACCTCAAGCGTATGATTTGGCCGTGAAAGATAGTACCTTGAGGCCTGTGATTACTTTCGAGCTCGACGTCCTATCCTCACCCAATGGCCAATTTTTCCTAATACAGGCAAAAGATGCCAGTGATTCTGATCCATTTCTGATTGCATTGCGCAGTGCCGCTACTGTTATGGAAATAAGCCGAAGGAAATGGGGCCCCGGAACTGAAGACATTATCAAACATCTGATCAATCAAGGGATGTCTTTCAATACGCTTATGCCAAGCTATCCTCCCCGTCATCTCAGGTCAATCCCCTGCCGTCGCCCTGCAATGCTAGGATTCCGTCCGGTAGGATTTGTACCCACACTACAAGATTATCGCTCGTATGAAGCTGCTCGAAATGATTTTCTTCGCTCAGCTAGGGGCCGCGCAGCTCTTCTTGCTGGAGGGATAATAGCTCGGTTGGCT